CCATGGACGGGCCCTACCCTTAGGGCCCATTGTCCATGGACACCGTGGGCGCCCATGGGCCTTTTTAGTAAGCAGAATTTCTTGACCTCGTGACCTGCATTATTTGTGCATTTTTTCTCTGTATTTTTGAGTAATTCGATTACATGTACAATGACTTGATACTACTGTCAATTTTCTGACCTCGGTCAGAAAAATGAACTGTGGAAGCCTTTGTACAATGACTTAACACCACAGTCAATTTTCTGACCGAGGTCAGAAATGAGCTTTAGAAGCCTTTATACAACAACTTGACACATTGTCACTTTTTTGACCGGGGTCAGAAATAAGCCTTGGAGGCCTTTGTATAATAGCTTAGGCATTCATTATATTCATACATTCACACTAATACGATACAAATTGATCATCATTGGGTTTGCTACGCTTCCTTGCTTCTCTTAAACCAGGGCGCTTTTGAGTGCTACCCTTATCTCTATAATGAGGGAGATAAGGACTGCTCTCATCTTCGCTGTCGACTAGCTCACTTCTCTGTCGCTTCCGCGTACTTAGCACTATAGAAGGACGAGGAAGCTGACTCTCCATTATAAACTCATGCTCGATCAGTCCAACAGGATCATTATCCTCGGAATCCTCACCATCGCTGATTGGTTCAGGTATATCAGTGGTAAGCTCAGCCTCTCTCTGTTCGTCTGCTTCTTGTATTGAATCCAAGGACGTATCCTCATCGGGTAGTTCTTCTATTTCAATATCGAACTGGGTTTTACACCGGAACATCATGATATCCTGGACTGTCTTCGCACTCAGCCGCCCACGTCGGTAGTGGTAGACATCCCGTGCTGAATTGAAAAGACGTTCAACTCCAGCGCCTGTTGCAGGAATAGAGAGAATGTCGCGAGCAACACTTGAAAGAATTGGGAATTCATTCTCATATTCCTTCCAGAATTGTAAAGGATCGACCTTTCTCCTTACTATCATAGGTATTAGTATTCCCGCTCGTAATAACAGTGAATATAACGTACGCTTTTCAAGGTATCTAGCAAGTTCGTACTCCGACGTTGATGGATCAGAGTGGATATGAGGCAGAAGGTCAAGGAGGGCGTCTAGGTCACTTGTACTGGCTGAGTGACGCTTAGGGGGTTACTCTTCTCGTAGGGACTGTGTCTGAGTGTATCTTTGGGCGTAAGGAGCTATGAACTGGCGAAGCGTTTCCTTATACTGATCACTCCAGTTTGTGTCGTTCTCCGATGTACCCCACGCCTTACTTGAGAAGAAGTGAAGCTTATACTGGGGTGTAAGAATTGTTCCAATCGCGTAGAGACTACTATAGATCTCTTTTGTCTTTGTATAGTAAGAGGTAAGCTTTGCCATCCCAGCATTGAGGGCTTGTAGCATCGCCTTCTTCCAAGGTATGGTTTTCGGAGTGAGTCGTGCAATCGATTTCTCGAAGTGCTTAAAGAGGGCGTTATAAATACCAAAAACATGATGTACTGTTATCTCTTTGGTCTTTAAAAGCACTGTGGTAAAGCGATAGAACGGCTCTGTGATATACAGAAGGTAGTCGACCTGCCGCTATTCTGCCTTACTGAGTTTGTATTTCTGAGTCCCAATATTATCACAGTATTTATCGCAGGGCTTGCTGAGGCGTTTCGCACGACGAAGCATCAAGAAGGTAGAATTCCAGCGGGTGCGGATATCTTAGATAGGCGCAAGTTTTGCTCTATTGGTCTGGAGACGGAAGAAATCATCGCGACGTTGGGGGCTTGCATTAATAAACACAGCAAGCCCTCGAATCTAGATAGTTATTAGATATATTAAGTGATAAACAAAGTGATACACTTACCTTGACAAGGGTTTGTACAATGACTTATTCACTCTGTGAAGCACAGAGCGATCGAGCTTGGGCTTGGGCTTAGACATCAGAAACATTCCGATCTGTGGTATCATTCTGGGGATCGGCCTTCACCGATCCAAGTAGCTCGCGAAGGCTTAGCTGGATAACATATACAAGACAAGGGATTCGAACAACCACCGGGCTATTCGGTAGTTCAAGGGAGTCAATAGAGTCTTGAACTACCTATACCAAAGTTGTGTTATTTGACGCGTTATCTGATATAATCGCTAACACACGATCAGTAATATCAAGCTTCTTAAAGATCTCTATAAGCACTTCACTTAGATTCACACCAGAATGCGCCCCATCAAGTGGTTCGAAACCAAGTAGGAGCTCACGGTAATTCCAGTCTCGGTCGATAAAGTACCCTGTGATTGCCATGAATACCTGCTGAAAAGGCGATGTCCAGCAGTCGAGGGCAATTGAGAGCTTCGTATCTTGTGGTAAGGTAGCGAGAATTGAATGTTGCTCCTCGTCGACCAATTTCTTGAGCCGGCGTTGAGCAGTGCGAGGATAGAGTAAAGTGGGCTCAGCTGGAGCCTTTTGTGCCATTCGAATCAAGGAAGCAAATTGCTTCCTCTCAAGTATCCGGAAAGGGAGGTTCAGACTGGTAAGACATTCAATCTGCTCTCTTTCCCATTCATCATTCGAGAATTTTGAGTTATAAGATAACTCCAGTGCCTAATATATAATATATTAGTTATCTTGAAGGGTATAATAATATAAGACTTACCGGTATATACTGCATGGTCTCCTTAATCGACTGTTGTGTAGCCTTGCTTTTACCACCCTTTTGGCATTTACCTGAGGCTAGATACCGCTTGAGTGTATTGGTGCCGCTTTGCTTTGTACTTGGATGAGGCAATGTAACCCCACACGTCCGACATATAACCAAAGGTTCGCCTGTAATATAATGTGCTACCTGGTCGAAGTTCTCCCAGACATCTGATATATGTTTTGCATCCCATCGTAGCCTTTGTTGTGTCTCAGTACTGCTGCCGCGTACTGTGGTACACCACCACTCGATAAACTTTACTTTGGACGCGTTGTTCATCGCGTCGTAGAGGATAAACTGCTTTCTCCGATCGGGGCCGACGCGTTTAAGAGAGCAATCAAGAATAGCCGGTTGAGTGAACTCGGACTCTATCAGTGAGATAGAAGTCTGTTGGCTGTTGAAGAGACTGGGATCAATATTTGGATCAAGGTTAGGATCAAATATATCGGCGACGTAGGAGAGGTCTGGTTGGGAGCTCGGAGGAAGTGAAGAAGGCCCTGCGGTATAGGCACTAGGTTGTAGACTGCGACATCGCCCGTCCACGGTGGGCCTTGGGCTATTTAGATTTTCGAGTGCCCGTCCATAACGCCCAAGGCCCACGGGCATGCCCACGGCGGGCATGCCCACGATGCCCACCATTATATAAAGTTGTCTTAAATATATATAAAAATTAGATATATAGTAAATTATAGTATATATATTTATATATATCTTATTAAAAATCCGGAATTATGATTGTAAATATATAAAAAATATAAATTTAGTTGAAATATTTTGAAATCTGTCAATAAAAATCACGTGTTGCGCTAATTTTGCTTACTAAAAAGGCCCACGGGCGCCCACGGGGTCCATGGACAATGGGCCCTAAGGGTAGGGCCCGTCCATGGGCGTATTGATAGTGCCCATCGCCCGCTTATATAAGGCCCGTGGGCACTGCCCACCCGCCCGTCCATGGGCGATGTCGCAGTCTACTAGGTTGGGACATGGTTAATATGATATAAGGGATAATATAACGACTATAGGAGAGTGAGTGATCTGAACTTACAATAGGTAACTTGCGACCGTGTAAAACGAGGATTACTAGTAAAAGGGGTGCTTTGTATAGATCTGATAGATCGTAAATTGAGTGTAGACCCACTATATATTATAAGCTGATTGGCTATAAGTGTCTTTGTCCATAGGTATACCCGTGGGTACGCCCGTGGGCACACCCATGGGAACATACCTAAACGCCTATCTTGAGTTACAATCGAAGGATTTAAAACTCCCAGAATAATAACACAAGTCTTTGAGTGATATAATTGACAGAATTTAGTGATATAAGCTTATAAAATAAGAATTATACTAATTATCTTTCGATCTACCTATAAGAAATATACCAGAGTAAGAGATAAAGTAGAATCTATAAGTAGTATTTTACTTATGGAAAATGCCAGGCATGTACCACTGACTTGAATATATATCTTCAAGCTGTTACAGTATGATTTAATAAGTTAATAAAAATACCACACAACATGATATATTTCGATTAAAATTTTATTCCAATTCGTATCATATATATATTAGTTTCTTATATATATAGATATTTCAGTAAAATTTATAGATGTTATAGATTAAAACTGCCATTTTACATGGAGTTGGCAAAACAGGTGTAAATAACAGTTATTTATTATGCAAAGTCAGCGAGTTATACGTCCATTTTGGGTGACTTTATGCAATGGTGGGCATCGTGGGCATGCCCGCCGTGGGCATGCCCGTGGGCCTTGGGCGTTATGGACGGGCACTCGAAAATCCAAATAGCCCAAGGCCCACCGTGGACGGGCCTTGGGCACCTCCTAGGTGCCCATGGACGGGCGATGTCGCAGTCTAGGTCAGGGTCAGGGTCAGGGTCGGTAAGGTTGGACCCTGACCCTCTGAGGTGCGGGTGGAGGTTCCTAATCTCGGACCCGCGGGGCGGGTGAGTGCCAGGTCTAAATGGTGGGCATCGTGGGCATGCCCAGTGGCCTTGGGCGTTATGGACGGGCACTCGAAAATCCAAATAGCCCACCGCCCACCGTGGACAGGCGATGGGCACCTGGGAGGTGCCCATGGACGGGCGATGTCGCAGTCTACTCTCATGTTTCTCTGTCATACCGCCAACATGTCAACCCTGAACTAGACCTTGCCAACTCCCATGGACCCACTCCCATGAGAAAGTCTTGGCGGTCAAAATTAATGCCAAGCCCGACTATCACTGCCTATTTAGGTAATATAATTCCCTAAATAGGCTTAGCCTAGTCCCATGGGAGTGATTTTACTCCCATGGGACCAGGATATGGGACCAAAATTTTCTTAGTCCCATGGGAGTTGGCAAGGTCTACCCTGAACAAGCCTGCCGAGCCCCCCGAGATCCCCGAAAGAATATCGTCTCTCATGACACCTTCTCGTCAGTCAGCGCTACGGACTCACAAGCAAAGGTCTGTGATTGCAGTATCCCGCCTTTCTGAGATGTCAGTTGAGTCGGCAAGCTCCGATATTCTTGACGTGAAACTTGCGGCAATGGAAAGTGAACTTGAGTACATGCGATGTGTCCAAGACGGCCTCAACGAAGCAAGACAGACCGAAAAGATCTCCCACAACGCCTTTCAGCGAGAAATCCAACCCTCCTTGAAGTCCTTCCGTTCGTCGTCATCGACCATTCAAGTTCTAAAGGCACAACGCCCATTGATAATCGAAGACATTGATGAAGAGGTTTCAGTGAAACGTCAGAGGATTGAAGGACCGGTTGACCAAAGCCTACTCGAGCATGCTTACCGTGACGCCATAATCTCCCGTGTGCTGGGTGCAAGTGCAAAACAGAAGGGTCCCAAGTTTGATCTATCTACGTTCAAGAGGGAAGTTTATACGTACTACGGTGTCAATGAGCATTGTCACCCTGGCTTTGGGTGGTGTCATGTGTTAGACACTGTATTTCGCCAGAAAAATATCAAAGCTGCCCATCTTGTACCCAAATCTACTACATCTAAGGAAGTTTCTCAGCTATTCGGAGTCAGCGATGGAGTTCTTGATGACCCCCGCAATGGTAAGAATGTTCTCTTTGTGGCCAAGGAAATGACTGACTCATACAAATTAAGTATCACACTAGCAGACAATATTGAGCTGCTTTTCGACCAAGGTACCATCGCGATTGTACCTATGCCCGGCCCAATGAAAAGTCCAACTCAATGGAGGTGTGTTGTTTTGGACGAATCAAAGAATGAGAACATCATCGGTACCTCGGATGGATCCCATATGAAACTGAAGGTCAGTATTGCAAAAGCTAGAGTTGAGTATTATATTAATGATATAATAGGACATTGACAACAAGCAATTGACGTTCGTTTCCGATAACCGTCCTCGCCGACGGTATTTGTACTCCTGTTTCATGATTGCGTACCTAAATACAAAGAGCCGAGGAGCCAGTGACGCCGTTGCGAAAAAGGTTGAGGCCACGCGTTTTTGGCCGTCTGCCGGCGAGTACCTCAACCGGTCAACACTGGTTACATTAACCCGTTGGGTTTCAGGATCGGAGCTCCCTGAATTCCTTGTGCAAGACAAGACGTTTGACTCCGGTGATACCTCCACTCGTGACACTGACGCTGGAACTGTGCTTGGAGCTGATATCTGTGACGCAATTCTTGCCACGAAGAGTCTCTAAATCATTACTATGCTGCAGCCCTGGAGGACAAGCCACGGATGAGTCAAATTTGCGTTTTTCTTTTCTCTATTCTTACTATATCTTTTGCTTTTGTTCAGCAGCGACTAAGAGAGAGAGAGAGAGAGAGAGAGAGAGATGCATTATACTCGAGTATCAGCCGCCTTTCGGGGCTCTTTCCGAGTCGACAACAGCCGAAGCAGCGTCTTCTAGCTAGGCTTTCTTGATAATACATGGTCCATCCTGTTCCATCCCGTCCCCTTGTAACCGCCTTTCCGTCCCCTGCCTGTTGTTGCGCGGTCTGCCTTGACCTTCACGAGTGCCCATTGTCTACCCAGTTTGTGCGGTTGTTTTGGTTCGGCGCGTTGCTTCCGCTCCTCAGTCTCAGTTTGGCTTTGCTTTTCTCTGCCCTGGTATGTCTCTGTCCCCCGTTGTGTGCCCGTTGTTCCCCTCTATCAAGAAAGCCTGCCAGAATCCCCACTGCCACGGCTCACGTCGTCTTTTGTATCAAGGTGCGAATAGTAAGCGCGGATCAGAAGTGCGGTAAATTAACGGAGTCACGCGCTGTGTGCTTCCCCTGGAGGTGCCTTCCCCATCAGGTTTGATCCTTTGCCGCGTGCGTATGGTTCCTTGTGAGAGGGCCGTTGTTGTCCCGTTTTGGACCGAGAGGTAGTGTGTGTGCGCTGTTGGTTATTATTTCAATGATCGGTGTCGGTCTCGTCGTCGTCTGGGATTGGCGATGGGGGTAGGAGGTACTGCAGACGCCCTGTAGCCAGCAGGAGGCGTGCGGTCTCCTTGGCACTCTCTGGCCCCAGTGCCTGGTGTAGTATCCTCGGTGCCCGTTGTGCACCCCAGATTTTAGTTCGTAGATCTGCGTAACTCATACATAGGAAGAGGACGTGGTTCAGCGTCTCGTCCTCTCCTTCGCAGTGTGGGTAGTCGGGGGAGTCTACTTTGCCCCATCGGAAGAGGACTGCATTGATCCCGATATGGCTGGTACGTTCAGCAGCAACTATGATTATGCTTTCTTATTTCTGTATGAATAAATTTTTTTGCTCACTGTCAAACATTACTATATCTAGAAATGCCGTTTTCACCATGTAGCCTTTTTGTAGCCTGTATTAGCTGTATACTGGGGATGCACCGCCATTTGGCGTCGAGGAGTAGGCTCTAGAACGCTATCCCCGCATAGCAGCATGTATGTAACAGCGAGCTACATCGGGTTAATGAGAACATCATCATCATCATAGTCTGGGATCCCCCTGGATCCCACTTACTCCTGTAAGAATTAGTCTTGAGACAGTTCCACACAATACATTGTATTCGCCTCCTCTCACACAGTCTTTGTATCTTACCCGGTTGACAGGCGTTACACCTGAGACCAGTATACCTTTACAATCTTCTTCTCGAAAAGCGTGGAACTATACCAGTTCCTTCGGTCGGCCATAACTGGGTTACAAAATTTGTGAAAAGACATCCTTCTATCTCCTCTCGATTCTCGAAACGATATAACTACGAGCGCGCGAAATGTGAAGATCGTAAAATCATTGGGGAGTGGTTTAATCTGGTTGAAAAAACAATCCTTCAATTCGGAATCGACCCGGGTGATATCTATAACTTCGATGAGACTGGTTTTGCAATGGGAGTAATTGCAACTACTAAGGTTATTACAAGGAGTGAATACTACGGTCGGCGATCACTTTTAAAACCTGGAAATCGAGAGTGGGTAACTGTTATTGAGTGTATAAATGCTTCTGGTTGGGTTCTTCCTCCGTGTGTGATTTTTAAAGGCAAAGTCTTTATTGAATCTTGGTTCGATAACCTCCCAGAGGATTAGCGCTTTGAAGTTAGTCCTAACGGCTGGACTTCGCTGGCTTCAAAAGCTCTTTATTCCTTCAACTTCGCGTACAAAAGGAGTATACCGGCTTTTGATTCTTGACGGCCACGGAAGTCATTTAACACCGAAATTTGACGAAATTTGCGAGCAAAACAAGATAATACCAATCTGTATGCCAGCGCATTTATCTCATCTTTTACAACCTCTTGATATTGGTTGTTTTGCGGTGTTAAAACGCTCTTACGGCCGGAGAGTTGAGACAAAAATGCGTAGTGGGATCAATGTAAAGGTATACTGGTCTCACGTGTAACGCCTGTCAACCGGGTAAGATACAAAGACTGTGTGAGAGGAGGCGAGTACAATGTATTGTGTGGAACTGTCTCAAGACTAATTCTTACAGGAGTAAGTGGGATCCAGGGGGATCCCAGACTATGATGATGATGATGTTCTCATTAACCCGATGTAGCTCGCTGTTACATACATGCTGCTATGCGGGGATAGCGTTCTAGAGCCTACTCCTCGACGCCAAATGGCGGTGCATCCCCAGTATACACCCACCCATGTCACCAGGACGAGTCTTGGAAACCTGAATTATAAGGCCACAAACCGGCCGGCATGCAAACGAGACAAGAAATAAACGTAAAGAAAGTCAATTCATCCGTAGATGATCAGTCCTGCATTCCCCGCAGTCGCAGAGTGTCCCCTTCTCTCTGCATTGCACCTTTCCCTTCCCCCTTCCACCTCTCCCTGGAGATGAAGGTCCTGGCTCAGCCGTTATGGCTTCGAGTTCTTGCTTCAGCTAGATGAAGCGCCTGCATAGTCATACGCAACTAGTTAGACTGCAACAGGTTAATTGAACTTTGATTGATTGATTGATTGATTGAATAAGCCGCCAAAGGTGTACATCGAGGACAGGGAAACAGCAAAGATATCATACAACAAGATCATGAACCGGATGGATGAACCAGTACGGCCCTACACCGATGGGAGCGGTTTCCAAGGGGTAATTGGAGCAGCGGCAGTGTGTCCAGGTACCCAAAATAGGCTCTGCAATATGGGAACCGGGGAAACGGCTACCGTATACGCAGCTGCGTTACGAGGCATCGAAATGGCACTCGAAATTATCCAAGAAAGAAACTCCGCTGGATACCAGCACATGAAGGTATTCCCGGCAACGAAGCTGCGGACGAGACCGCAAAGAAGCAACAACTGGCCCAGAAAAGACCACACACAACCGTTATATCCGACTGACCGCCGCGGCGAGGAGGGGTATCAAAACGAAAATCGTATGGGAAGCATCGTGGAAGAGGGGAGGAAGGACCGCGAGGAGGACAATGAGGCCGATCGAGACACCGAAAAAGGCGAATTTAGTATACTGGAAAGGTCTACGGTATTAATCCAGCTCCGTGCCGGGATCATCAGTCCGGCAGGCTACCTGGCGAAGATCAGGAGAAAGGAGTCACCTCGCTGTGTGTGCGATATGGAGAACCAGACAGTGCGCATATGCTGCTGGAGTGCCAGCTGCTGGAGGAACAGTGGTCCGCGATGATAGAGGAATTGTACGAAGTAGGAGTTTCAACAGCGCTCGGGGAGGATGAAATGCTGAAGGAACCAGAGGCAGCACCAATCGTGGCGAAGTTTATGATCGCGATAGGGACCCTGGGACAGTTTCAGTCAGTGGACTTGGTCGCCATGGGTAAGGAACCGGGTGGGAGAAGAAGATAAGAAGATCAAGTATCAATATCAAACCAAGGCATTGCGAGTGCCGGAGAACAAGGACGCACCATGCAGCTGCTAGACAGGTCTGTCGAAGCCGCCTCACCCCAATGCATATTCCGACCGGCCGATGCCGACGACGAGGAAGACAACGAAGCATGGCATACAACAAAACATGGCATCATGATCCGAACCTGTTTGTACGACGCGCCGGCAATGGACATAGATGCACAGGACTGGCGGACCTGGTGATTCCGGAACTCGGTAACCCGGGGAGCCGTGCCTTGGGGGAGACAGTGGGAGTGAGAGAGAGGAGTGAGAAAGGTGCAACTTGCAGAGATAAAGGGGCTACTTTGTTCGGAGTATTCGCGTGGAATACGGAAACTGGTCTAATAATTACGGCCTACAAAGTACGGAGTAGTACTCCGTACTCTCTTTATATTTTTTGTTTGTACTGTTTGCGCTTGCCAGCCTGTTTGGCCTTACTTTTCAGGTTGCAGTGCCTCGGGGAGTCCTGTATCCAGGATGGATTTGCATGCTGGGGTACACCACCATTTGTCATTGTTAGAGCTGGTTCTGGACCGCTATCCCGCATAGCAGCATGTATTCAAAGTGAGCCTGATGTCGGCAGTAATCCGATAAATCCTGATATTAGCATGGGATGTAAGAGTGCGCGAAGGCACCCATGCTTTGACGCGACAAGTCATTTTGTTGATACAAGCCACTACCAGCGCCAATAATGAATCTCCACTTCAATTCTTCCCCAAATTCCATATCTCCTTGTGGATAGTCACTAAAGGAGCTCTAGTGATGTTTTTCTGATAATCATCTGTATGGGCTACCCGCTCGCATATTCATTGGCTGCGACGTGTTATTGTGGCGGAAAATTGACGCTAAAGTACGAGCGCGGGCTGAACACAGATTGAGCGCCTCGTTTGCGCGTGGGCGTCAGCGAGAACCGTTTGACCCCTCTGTTATTGATTTTTCTCGTTCGAGTCCAAAGGACGCTTAAACCGGCCCCTGACTTTGCTGGTTCCCCGTAAACCCGGAACACAAGGGAAGGATGAAACGACAACTAGATGCGTTCTCAAGCCCAGCACAGTCCCCTCCTAAAAAGGACCTATGTCTTTTAGTCTTGGATGGGGGCGGGGTCCGCGGCCTGTCGATGCTTCTCATCATCAAACGTCTGATGGAAGGTATTAACCCACTGAGCCCTCCAAAACCATGCGACTACTTCGACATGATTGGTGGCACCTCAACTGGCGGACTAATTGCCCTGATGCTTGGCCGAATGAAACTTGGTATTGATGCGTGCATCGAGGCGTACTCAAATCTGTCGCCTAGAATATTTAGTCAAGTTCGGCACCGGATTAAGCTGTCAACAGGAAAGACACAAGGTAGGTTTGACCATGTAGCGATGGAACAGGGAATCAAGGATGTTCTTATGCAGTATGGAATGGACCCAGAGACTTTATTCAAATCCTCGATCATGGAGGATTGCAAAACGTGAGTAGGAGGCTCCGTTTTACATTCGGTTGATCGAAGACTTACAATGGGTCGCGCAAATGCTAGTTTTGTATGTGTGACAAGTCAAGCCACAGGTCAAACTGTTGTTTTATCGAATTACTACAATGAGCGACGAGGAACGGACTTGTTGAACACGGCCAAGATTTGGGAGGCCGCGCGAGCCACGTCCGCTGCAACAACATTTTTCGAACCGATCACTATCAGTGATGAGACGTTTGTTGATGGAGCCACCGGGGCAAACAATCCTATCAATCAGATTTGGTCAGAAGCCGCCGATCTCTGGGGTCTAAATGCCGCGCAGTTGGAAGAGAACGTCAAATGTTTGGTTTCTATTGGTACCGGTATTCCATCTCTCAGCGCCTTCGGACTCGGATTACGCGAGCTTGCCAAAGCATTGAAGGCCATTGCCACAGAGACAGAGGCAACGGCAGATATGTTTCGTAGGCAGCACACTGGGCTTTTCCAGTCGGGAAAGGCCTTTCGCTTCAACGTCGTCCGTGGTCTCGAGGGTATTGGACTTGATGAAACGCTCAAACTGGGAGTTATCACGGCGGCAACAAGAAACTATGTGCAGAAAGAGGAGATTCGTGTGGAGATCAAGAAGTGCGTGGCGAATTTGCTGGAGCGGGAATGTTCGTCTTTCACTTAATCACTTCATAGCTTTAATTGAAACTCATGTTTGCTGACCAATTGGGTAGGGTTGGAACGAATGGAGAAGTTCATCATTGGCACCATAGAAGTCCAAGTGTCGGATTTGAACGATGATGACTCGCTCGAATCCGCAGATCAACTTCAATGGCTGATGCACACAATGCCCTACGATACATGGCACCAACGTGGTTTTGGTATTATTTGGTACCAATTGAACGCACGACAAGTCCAACCAGACCGCAGATACGCCGGAGCATCCGTGGCCCACTGCCTAGCAGATAGATATAAATGTTCAGCAGGTCTGAAGTTTGGCGCTGGTGACAACCTTGCTAGAGCGCTTTATTTCCAGTGTGACCAAACTGAGCAGCCGGGTATACAAGCCAATGATGAAACTGGTTCTGGGCAACAGGATATTCTGTGGTCTTTAATATGCCAGCTGCTCATGATTGATTGCAAAGACACTGCGGCGCTGAAGAATCGACTTGCTCAACTTGAAGCGAAGCACAAATCGTTTCTTTGGGAGAAATTGGACGGCTACGAGACGCAGAGTATTGCTCAGTGGTCCCTTTTTGAGGAGCTGCTTCTTTTATTAAATGCGCCTGATGTTATTGCTCTTGACAATGTGCATAATATTCACTCATCTGCGCGGAACGAATTTCTGAAAGCTCTGGCGACGTTGGCAGAACGCCTGCTTGCTACACGAGGTCTAAAGCTTCGCGTGATGATCTCAGGAGATCCATCTCAGATAGAACTAGATATGGAGGGCGAAATTCTGACTGTGAATGATAGGACAGAGAGAGAGGGTATGTGGCCTACCTAGCTTGAGCTTCATTTCTAACTCGATGTAGAATGCCTGCGCTCCCTGTATTTCCCGGAGTGGAATGTCCGCCGTGACCAGGTTGCCGATGCTGACGCGGGCACGAACGCTTGGATATGGACTCACGAACAGTATTTAAAGTGGGAACAGGCCACCTCAGGACTGTTATGGGTTGAAGGAAAACCGGGAAGCGGCAAATCTGTGTTGGCCAAAACCTTACAAAAGCAACTGAAAGGTGCGTCTATGGCGGAAGGGACTGGATCGCCATCGAATGGTTCTTTCGGGCACCAGACCGTCATCAGATCCAAGTTCCCTGAGATTCCGATGGTGACTGACTGGTTTTTCAACTCGCGAGGTGGAGAAATCGGCATAGCCTACTCTTCGTTTCTTCAATCCATCGTATATCAACTCCTGCAGCAAAATGAGGCGGCTTTTGATGTCATCACTCCATTCTACCGCAATCAGACAATATCTAGACAGCAAACGTGGGATGCAGAAAGAATACAGTCTGTTCTTGGAGCAATCAGTGCAACCGGTCTATCCATAATCTGCATTATCGACGCAATTGACGAGGCTGCTGGTGTTATTGATACCTCCAAGGCCCACCACACATATAGGGCCAGAAGTCTCCTATCCCTTCTAGGAAATCTGCTGTCAAAAATCGGAGATACTAAGCTGAAGTTGATAGTACTCAGTCGCCCCGATCCTGCAATTGAAATGGATTTCAGTGGCATCCGTAGGCGTTGCTCTAACGCCTACAAAGTTGTTCTGGAACACGAAAACCAGCTTGATGTGCAACTCGTCGTCGAAAAAGGACTTCGTTTACTGCAGGAGACAATACATGCTTATGACTCTGATGATGAGCTACAAGACGGTCGAAAAGAGTCTCGTAGCAGCCTGACGGCTAAGCGGGAAGAGAACGCATTCCAAAATATTCGAATTTATCTCACAGAAAATGCAAAGGGAGTGATCCTTTGGGCAACATTGATTCTTGGGGAGCTACACGACCAAGCAGCGGGTGGAATGCTGAAATTCGCTACGCTGGAGGTCACAATGAAAAGACTCCCACTTCGGCTCGACAAGTTCTATGAGTACATTGTTCGAGAACTGGAAGAGCGGCTTAGCGATGAAGAAATAAAGATAGTCCGCTTGGCCATGATCTTGATTTCGGGATCCGCCGCCCTTGATAGGCCAATGAATCTTCAAGAGATGTGGGAAGCATTGGCTGTTCCAGCAGATGTTGAACCCGCTCTTTCTTCTAAGGTGGACCCAATAATCGAGAATAGCATCCACATTATTTCCTGGAAGGAGTTCTGGCGTCAACTCCGACGGAAATGTGGGCCACTGATAGAGCTAGTCCGTGGGGAAGAACTTGAACCAGGACAAAGGCTGGACGCTCAAATCAGCCCCACGCTTGTTGTTCAATTTATGCACCGCACTGTGAAGGACTTTCTAAACCACCCAGACCGAGTTGGACCTCTCCACTTCTCCGAAAAATCTGCCGTTGATGAAGTAAAAAGTATTTGTGCAAGATACCTTGAAATTGCCTTCCCCCAAAGCGAAACTGCATATGGCCCTCCCATCCCAGCCCGCGATGGAAGCTCTTGGAAGAGAAATATACAGAAATATGTTGATTACCTAGATTCTAGGAGTCTACTTCAATTTGTGCTGAACACCATGGCCCCCAACGGGGCAAAATGCCAACCCAATCTTGGGGTGTATGCTTCGATTGACAAGATGATCCATCTACCCTGGCCAAAGAGCCAATGGAGATATATAGAGGATTCAGATGTAACCAGGCTCATTGGCAGACGGTATCTCTTTTACCCAAAATTACTGTCACACACCAAGTACGACCGTGCGGAGATTATCAAAGCAGCAGTATTGGGGCAAGCCTTCCGTTATGCTTGCACCAGTGGAAGAATGATAGCCGTCAGGAACATGCTAGAACTGGGCCGGAACTATCATCCGACTTTCAGCGAACTAGAGGAATATGTTATAGGAAATGGTGTTCTTCTAGCATGCATCGAGAAGGGTCTACTTGATGAGGTCAAATTCTTGACCAAGAATCACAGACACCAGTCAAGATACATTCATGGGACATCAAACATGCCTGGTTGGCCGACTAACCCTCATACGCGTGAGAACAAACTGGATGAATTTATCCAGCTGGCGGTGAGGTCGGGCCAAGAAGAGATCGTTGAATTTCTGTTCCTTCACACGGACCAGTACTATACCAGAAAGAAAGCAGTTGCCGACTTCGCGGTTACGAGAGAACGCATCGCGTCACATAGGCACACTGATCTAGAGTCCGATGATGATATTGACGAACTAGATTCAGCAGTCCTCCAGTCCCATTTTTTCAATTTTGATATGAAACTTCACGTTAAAGACGAGTCGGATGTTGAAGAGAATAATGGACCCATCCACAAGCAGCTTCGACCAAGCAAGATTGATGTGAGCCTCCTGCAGCGAGGAGTAAAGATATCACCGCAAAATGAGAATAACTCTGGCTATTACTCAGTTCGTGCCAAGCCTCCTGGATTGGGGTACTCAGCGAGGACAGGATACATCGAAGTTATGTCTGACAGGATTACATCAAAGAGGGAGGCCAAAATAAACAAAATACAGTACTTGCGATTGAAGGAGTCATGTCTCAAAATGGCTAGGGAGAATAGGATGGCTCGAGCTGATGATGCGACGGATGAGTCGTGTCTTCAAGATGTCCAGATAGCAGTGTCGATGGTAATACCGTGGATGGTGAGTAGGCGTCCCTACCTTCGAACTTGAGTAATGTCAACAAGTCCACTAACTAGGACAATTAAGCCAACTGAGGATGGCCAAGGATATGGCGAAGGGCAAATCCAGCAGAATGCCTTGAATCCATTTTTGCAGCTGTATGCGATGACAGATCTTCCGCGCCTGTCAAGCGAATATTCCGTATCGACTCGCTCGCCATCGCCAGATGAATTGTGGCAACCAAGGCAGCCCGCTCAACAATCATCTTCCCTGCCAAACTTAATAGACCAGGACAAAAATGTTCAGTCCAGTCCGGGACAGCCTGCTCAACGATCATCTTCCCTGTCAGGCTTAATTGATCAGGACAAAAAGGTTCAGTCCAGTGTGCTCGCCAAAATGTTGCTTAGTGTTATGACAGGCGGAGGTGTCAGGCCACGTAAAGTAGGTATGTGGAAGTGAAGGGACACAACGTCTCTCATACGCAGTATTTATTGCGTAGTACCCAGAAGCCTAGAGTCATGTGTGTTACATGAATGAAGAAATCGCCGCTCAAGGAAGTATGGTTTTTGTTACATTTATACCTTCCTAGTGGGAAAACCATTGGCAATTGAGTATAGTTCAAAGAAATATAACAATGCTATAGTTTCGTTCCCACCAAAGAATATGCAACACAATAGAAATAGTATCCCAGTCTTTAGCTCCCCCTTTTGTGGTGACCTTGACGACGCATTGACCTAATCAAGAGAGAATGCTGTGCGGAGACTGGATTCACTGGCATTCGCCGTTTGCTATTCACTGAGCAAAAATTAATTCAGGCTACCGCCGCACCCTAAATATCATTGAAAGAGAGCTTATGTCTAAATATACAAATCTCCGACTTAACAACCAACAGGCAAAGCCCCGGTCGAAGAAGCCACACTAAACAGCGCCACCTCCTCGGCCCGGCGGCGCGTCAGCCCAGCAACAACGGCACCATTCGCTTTATTCCACTTCGGCAGTTCCTCGGACGCCACAGTCCCCACATCTTCACCGGCATTCATGCGGCTGATCAGACTGGATGATTGCATGTTCCCGTTGCCCACGTTGAAAGTCCACGATACCAGTGCCGCGTACTGGTTGTCGTTCAGAGTGACCGCGGTGGCAAGGGCATTTGTTACGCCATCTTGGTAGCTCTGTTCTTCCTGTTAGATGGTATCTTCATTTTGTTTCCATGGCAAGGTAGGGTGCTTGTAGAAACTTACCACTAGGTCATTAGCAAGCAATTGACTCGCTGTCTCCTCGGTCAATGGCTGTGAGAATGACACTTCTGAGCAAGTGGAGTCGCCGCAGAGATGGCCGTAGCCGAGAGTGGGGTTGCCGAAGCCGTCATCGTAGACATTTGGTTGGAAGGACTCAAAGCTTTTGATTAGATCGAGGCCGTTGTCGTTGACTGGAGGGCCAGTGCAGGCAATTGCCAAGACTGGGATGGTAGCGAGCAGGAGCTTGATGGACATGTTGGCGTTTAATTTTTGGGATAGAATTATTGGACTGAGTGAGTTTTGGATGTTCTATGGGGGTTTGAAGAGTGGGCGTTGATGATTTATAACTTTCCTCTTGTCCGGTACCCTATTGCTCATTCTTGATTCGCAAAATATCTCCAAATCTGGAATACTTCATGTAGATCGAGGGTATACAAAGTACATCCCAGGGTTATAGAAGCCCCCTTAACTTCCAGCGTTTCAAGACCCTGAAAGATCCAACGCCACCCGAGTGCCTCCCGTGTGGGCTTACTTCATTTTTATCCTGGATCCATTCATTATTGGCGTATAACACACGATGAGTTCGTATTTAAGACGATCTTGGTACTGCGCTCTAGTTTCAGAATTAATTCGCCCTTCCCGTTACATATATCTGGTTTCTAAATAAATTGAATACGAGTATTATCGACGTATAGCCTCGGTACTCCAACATATACAGTTGGTGAATATAAGTAATTGCACCCCCGCAGGTGCCCAGGTGTACTCCACGTACCATGGCTGCTTTGATTAGATGGGATGGTCACGCTAGATTAGCGTGTTTTATAGTTATCATCACCTTTTTTTTCTTCCTACCAGGATAATTGTGACACTTGACGTGACCTAATTATGAAATTTATACTCCGTACGGAGAATAGATTTTATAGAGCCCTAAACATAACCCGCAATAATATATCTTCGACCCAAGTTGGGTTTGAGACCCATTTGTCGATTTATAAGATATATCACTAGCTTCGACTATGTGCAATTTACAGAAGAGAGTACAATGTTTTGAAGTTCAAAGCTAATCTATCTTTGCGAAGAGCATTGGATTACCCGAGCTGAACTGCAATTTCTCTACGAAATCCAAGTCTCTGGATGTGACACTCAGGCCATTCGATATGAAAGCCTCAGATATCAGTCTTTATTCCATCAATGAGATGAAGCGATCACTTGGAGTGCACAAGGCTTGATCGGCAGCAGGGATTCCGAAACTCTTCATTGATCAACAAGGCACAAAAATTGTCTCAGTGTCACCGACGATCAGGTGATGTCAACCGGTCAGTCGTTCCCTCTAGCGCAGGATAGCTAGCAGAATGGATCATCTTTACCTTCCCCTAGCTCTCAGTGCTTACACTCAGCTGGGTATTCCCATCTCTCCTACCATAGAACCACCAGCTTCGGGGCTCGAGAAGTGATTATTTTCTCAGACAGCCAGGCTGCTATACAAGCAGTGCAAAACCCACAGCGACCGTCTGGCCAGTACGTGCTCGGAGAGATTTATGACCACGTACGGGCTATCCGGTCGCGGAATCAAAACCAAGAAACCCCAACAAATATCACTATCAGGTAGATCCCTGCACACGTTGGTGTAAGCGGTAATGAATATGCCGATAGAGAAGCGAAGAGTGCAGCGCTTCTTGGTGCGGGGATGGGAGTTGCGACCGGGCCGGATAATCCGATAGTCCGCCTCGCCGCAGCTGCTAGGAGGATGGTACGCCAGCGTATCCGAGAGCGGTGGGAGAGGTAGTGGGAGCGAGAAAGGACCTCGGCTCCTACAAAGCGCTTGGTGTAGGCGCCGAATAAGAAGACCCTTCGTCTGTACGAGGGATTGACGGAACCACAATATGCGATCCTGAATCCTGATCCAGATGCGCACAATGAAGATCGGCCTCCGTCACTTCCTGTTCAAAATCAAGGCCTCAGAGACAGACCAATGCGGCTGCGACGTAGGTTTATAAACGCCGAGGCATATTCTGATACAATGTCCACTGTACACCGGGCTTCGCGTGAAAATGTGGAAGCAGCTCGATAAAGTGGGAGTGAAGGATAAGGATTACGACAAGCTCGTATCCAACCCGGAGGCCATCCGCTACGTGGCCAACTTTATACACCGAACAGGTCTCCTCCAACAGTTTCAACACGTGGGAATCGAGGAGGACGACGACGACGAACCGACAGGCCTTGCTGCAATAGAGCTAGGTGTAGAAGACGATGGGTATTAACCGATGACGAAAACGAAGCTGGGAAACGAGAAGCTCAGCCAGAGTCGACAAGTATGCCAGGCAACTGGCCATGAATAATACACCACCAATTGCAACCGGAGCGGGGGGGCGGATACAGGGAGGAAGAGAGAGAGAGAGAGAGAGAGAGAGACAGGAGGCGGAAGGCGGAGAGTGCACTCCGCCGCAATTCATTTGATATTTTCACTATGTATGGGTTTGTGGGTTTACAACATGCGGGAATGGGCTGGTTCCACACTCTTTACAAACCAGCCTCTGTATTTACTTCCGGGAGTGATCCCAACTCGGCGTTTGGCTTCGAGTTCTTGCTTCAGCTGGATGAAGCGCCTGCATAGTCATACGCAACTAGTTAGACTGCAACAGGTGAATTGAACTTTGATTGATTGATTGATTGATTGATTGATTGATTGACCACCAGCTTTGGCAGACACTCCGGGGCCCTACTCACTAAATAGGTAATCTTAGATGGCATGGTAACTTGTTTTGATTTATTCGATCTTCGTGCGTATACCTACAAAAGCGACCGAAGAAACAAATGAAGTCAATAGTTATTATGATGGGGGCGTCAAACAGGGCATAAAAACGCCTGAAAGCCGGACAGTTCTCGATCCATCAGTTAAGATAATCGAGAACACCGGACAGCGTAGCACCCATCGATCCATCAACTAAGATGACCGACTAAATCGCAAGCCGTTCAACCTTTGCTATTAGCTCTTTGATCTGAGGAGCGAGGGGAATAGCGTCGTTCGAAGTGATACTGGCCGCGATAATAGCTCGGCTCACACCGCATGCGCGACCCAACGACATCTTGGCAGAAACGAAAACGTATGGCACGTTCTTTTCTTCCGCGAGTAGGGGGGAGGTGCAACAATATCGAAAGTGGGCTAGCGTCTCCAGCAAGGACAATCATTTCGGATGTTCCTCGGTTGAGGGTCTTGGTGGCTAAATAAGTATTACTTTGAGCATAATCCAGAAGAAATATGTGGGTAAATACCTTCGTTGGCTCCTTTTTTGACCAGACCACAGTGACTAGCTTGTTGCAAGAGATCCAAGATCTCCTGCGAAAGGGCGGAATCGGCCATCGGCCACGCTGCAAATTGTGTCAGAGGAGAATTAAACCTTAGATATCAGGCGAACTAAACGAGAGATTGAGCAGGTATCTCCATTTTGATTTCTAAAGGCTCCCCAGCAACAGCTCACCGCCTAAAGATAGGTCAATTTGGACTTTGTTGATACATGGGAGGCGGAGAAGGATTCTTTGGGTCCGGAATAAGGTATTCCCGAATAGCTCCGGTCCTTCTAAGCCGAGGTGAACACCTGGGCACCTCAAATTATGTAGTAACTTTTCAACACACACTTGCTCAACCTAGGATCTGATATGGGTGTAAATGGTAGCGACAATGGAATCATTACCTCGCAGATTTATATATGTTACTAATAGATATTTTCGTATATATATAATCTATGTTTAAATTTCGAGAAGCATGGACAGGAATCATTCCGAAGGTGCGTGGAGATCACTGTCGTCAAATCCATGGTCTCATTGTATATTCTGTACTCCGTAGTATATCATACAATATCATTCAATTATTTTCACCCTATGTGCCCTGGTAATGGAATAATTTTATGAGATTCAGCTATGCTGCTAAGGTACTAGTGCTGACACATGGCTGTGAATCCCGAAGTTGGCGTGCAGGCCAGCTGAAACAAACTCGTGTCTTCACCTGCGTGCGACCTGCTTTATGCTTATTTTTAGTTCCTTAACAACTTCGACTTTCCTTCGAATTTCCTCATCCGTTTGCATCCGAGATCCAAAGACGCCCTTAATGGTGGGCAAGGTAGATGACAAGTATGTTCATGCAGTGGCTGCCTAATACCTGACGTTTGTCGTTTCCCACTGACTTTTCTCTTTCTTCGCACCTCGTCAGATTTATTGGCCTTGCACTAGCGGTATTATCCTCAGTAGCAATCGGTTGTGTCGTCTTTTCCCTGTTTCAGACAGTTTACAGACACACTAACGATTGCGATGAGCAGGTTCAAGCTATGTTGTCACTAAGAAGGTTCGGCGCCTAGTCATATTCCGTGTTTTCTTCGATTACCACCCATGCTAAATATGATGATAAACAGGGGCTCATACAAGCAGCGGAGACATTTGGGTACACTGGGGATGGATTTGCATATATACGGAGTCCGGTGTGGTGGTGTGGAACAATCTTGCGTATGGCTATGAGACTCTACAGACATCTTTCGAGGCTAATAGACCTTGATCGTAGTGGTTGCTGGAGAGTTGATGAATACCGCTGCCTATGCATTCGCTCCCGCCGTGCTAGTCACGCCGCTTGGAGCATTGAGCGTACTCATTGGGTCAGTCCCCCAATTAATGATTAGACTCTCCCGCTAATCAGCTCCAGTGCATTGATGAGCTCACATTTTCTCAAGGAAGAGATCAACGTCCTCGGAAAACTCGGATGCGCTGCCTGCCTTTTGGGATCGGTGCTGTTAGTGCTCCATGCCCCGGGCGACAAGGACATCCAGACTATTGATGAGATTCTGCACTTGGCAATTCAACCATGTCGATAACCTTCCCAATGCTGTGATGTGAGCTCACTAACACATCTCTAGTCTTTCTTCTATATTGCGTATGCGTTGCAATCCTTGCAATTTACATTATCTGGAAAATCGCACCAATCCAGGGGCGAACAAACCCGTTGGTTTACATCTCCATCTGCTCTTCGGTCGGATCTGTGTCTGTCATGTCAGTCAAGGCATTCGGAATTGCGGTGAAACTTACGGCAGGCGGCGACAACCAATTCACCCATGCATCTACATATGTCTTCGCATCAGTTCTGGTGGTCACCACCCTAACCCAGATGAACTACTTGAACAAGGCAATGAGCGAATTTCCTGCATCGCTGTAAGTTCTCTTGTCTAATTCTGATAAGTCATAGCTGTTATACTTAATTCTTTACAGAGTAAACGCGATGTACTATGTTGGTTTCACAACATGTACCCTCTCTGCTTCCATTATCTTTTACCAAGGGTTAAACACTAGCAATTGGACCAGTATCATCTCAATGATATGTGGATTTCTGCTTAACTTTACGGGCATATCGCTTTTAACATTGTCCAAAACTGCGCCTTCCAATAAAGGACACATGGACTCGGTGCGAGGGATGAGCATGCGGTCACTGGAACTCTCTCACGGACAATACAACCACGTACGAACAAGTAGTGTGGAAATTGAACAAGCTCATAGGAGACGGTCCTCCGGAGTATAACCGGACGAGAGATCGTAACGGTGGTTTGAACTTTCGGATTTGATTTCTTTGTATATTATTATTTTCAGCTTCCTGCTGGGTACACGGGATAAGTTAGAATGGAGAATCTGCCATGCTGAAATTAGGAGAATACAAGACACCTGTAATCTCTCTCGACTTGCTCTGGCAGCAGTCGTGGTATCTCCAGGGCTGAGGATAACGTTGACGTCATCTACTCCTGGTGCGCGCGGGAGAAAATGTGAACTTGCCCATCAAGCGTGCAAATTGTAGCAGTGCGCTTGCAACCTCGAAGCCGCAAGAGCACAATGAAAAAGTAACAAAGCTCCTTTGAGAATGTGTATTACGTTCTGACTTTGCTCTCTTATCTTCAACAGGCTACCTTTTCCGTCTTGGGAATGTCGCCTGCCTCCAGCATAGTCTGCGGGTTGAGTAACAACTCTCCATAGTCGCTTCTGACTGGGGACTGGCTGTAACTATATGCTCACGGTATTGGCCAAGATCAAGTGGCATACGAGATTTTAGGCGAGCGACCTACCCAGCACTTTTGAGTAGGCCTCTGCAAAGCCCACAAAGCTCAAAGCCCAGCCCAACCCACTAATGGGTTGTTGGGCTTTGGGCCCATCCTTCGGGCCCATTTAGGCCCGTACTGGGCCCCATTATTTATCAAACAATACAAACATGCCAATCCATCGCAACTGCATAGGCTGTATATAAAGCTATACGTGAATCATCATATTCTTCATCTTCTTTATCTTCTTCTTCCTTTACAAATTTACAAGTAAATTTAGGGGATTGGTAATTTAACCCCCCCCCCCCCCTCTTAAAATAACCCCCCCTGCCTGAAGATGCTTGATTTTCCAGTACCGCCTTCCCAATTGGGTGCGGCCGATAATTCTGCCGTAATCTCTGCCACTCCATTTTATACTGCCGTATATTCTGCCACCACCATAGTAATTCTGATTTACATAGTAAAAAACCTTCCATTTTGATCAGAAAAAATTGTACAATTCATTCATTTCTGCATTGAACTACTTTAAAAATTCATTATGCTAGTTATCAGGTACCTCCCCGTGCGCGTCTTTCTCTACGACCCCGTCCTCGACCACGTCCTCCAGCCTTAGTATCACCATCACCAGTTTCACTACTGCTTGTTCCACGTCCACGTCCTCGTCCTCGTCCCTGCGCTAGCATATATTCGAATCCTGAAGGATCTCGTTGGGTGGATCGATCCTGGGTAAGAGGATCAGGTGAAGATCGCTGGGTGCTGCTTGGCTGGGTACTCTGTTGCTGGGTACTTGGGAGGTTTCTTGCACCTCGTGGGCGTCCTTTTCGGCGAGCTGGAAGTGAGTCCTGGACCAGAAGGATTGGATCAATTGGGGGGGCATTAACACTATCTAAGTGCCAATGCGGGTGATATAAGTCTGGTTCTAAACAACACCCTTCTGTATTGTATTTCTGAATGATATAAATGCACGGAAAACCAGCTGTTTCTTTAGAATTGCAACTGTATAGTAGTGGGACTGGTGGTTTATTCTCCGCTGGGGGGAGATACTTTGCGTAAACCTCCTTTGTAGGCTCAATTGCCCGTATAGAGATCCGGGTATAAAGGAGTTTGTAAAGCTGGGGGATACGTGCTGGTCTGCGAATCTTTTGGTTCTCAATTCTATGCTGGATCTTGGCGAACTGATAGTTAACTGACCGAGTAAAACTGCGAAGAACAACTAGTAAGTCGTTATTTGCGACATAGAGACCACTCTTAAGCAGCCAATACGCGCTCTCTGTACGAGAAGTAGCGATCTTATTCAAATAAAGGTACTGAGAGGTATAGCAATGGAGAAATCGTTCCGGGCAGTTATCAATCTATTTCTTTTGGATATATTCGAGGAGAGGGATAAAGAGGGGATCAGCGTATCGCTCTTTGAAATTACTCTATTGTCGGTCCTTCTCTTCAAATATAACAGCATATACGACTCGGTTCCAGCGGCGAAGTATCTTCTTCCACCGCTCTTCGGCTTTCTCTCGATCTTCTTAAGCTTCGGCGGGGGTAAGGCGGCGCGGGGGTTGGTCGCTGTTCGCTTCTCGACGGGCTTGGCTAACTTGATCAGCGAGAAGGGGGTATGCTTTCTTTAAGATATTCATATTGATATACTAAATACAAATCATATACTTTGTATCCGGAAAAACAACCTCAATTGCATTGATCAATGCTCCTTCCTTGTCCGTAAGGATCGTACGTGGGGGTGGAAGACCAAGGGCTTTATAGGCCTCGGCAAGACAACCTAGCATAACTTTATACGTATCGTCTTTCTCATCCCGTATAAATACAAAAGCAAGGTAGAACGTAGATCCAGTCGCTGCAAAGCCAACAATATCAAGCAGGGGGAGCCTATACCGATTTGTCTTATATATACAGTCTATAGATATAAGTTCTAGACCTGGCAGTGACCGCCAAGGCCCTAAGGAGGGTCTAAAGTCAGGATCCTAGACCCGCCAAGAAAATTATGTATACATAGCCTATCCTAAATAGGAAATAATATGCTTATAAACCATGTGTTATGTATATTTATGTAGAACTCCAGGTCTTGGCGGGTCGCTGGACCCTCGGAGGGTCCAAGGTCATGGACCACCCGGAGGGTCACTGCCAGGTCTATTGATAACAGGTTTGATGGATTTGAAGCTGTTGATAATGAAGGGATTGATGGAGTTTAATGGGTGAAAACCAGAATTGGAGTATCAATTTGTTTGATCTAGTCTATATGACAAAAGTGACTTAATTTTGTATAGGGTTTGCATACAAATTGTAGGTACCTGTTGTCTACTACTATTGTATAGGGAGTTTACCAGGAAGGCGGTGGATAAAATTAAAAGGCGGTGTGGAGAGCGGTAGGCAGATCTAGGTGTCGAGGCAAAAGCGGTACCCAATTAGGAATGTACACCTGATTTTTCAGGCAGGATGTTATTTTAAGAGGGGGGGGGGTTAAATTACCAATCCCCTAATAAGATACTAGAATTAGTGTTATATTCATATAATTCCTACTTTTTACCATGATAATTAAACATTTGAATGCTACTGAGTATACAGGTTGGAACATGCGTAAAATACAGTCCTTAATCAGCTACTTTATGTATGCCAAGATGAAATTTATGCAGCAGAATGGGCTTTGCAGAGGCCTACTTTTGAGTGTTAATAGATGCAAAAATCCAATGTACGTCAATTCGGACCCTTCATGCGCTGATAATAAGGCCAAGCATTACAAATAGCACCATAATAGAGGCACTCCCTCGTGAAATACGCGACATTCCAGCAGCGTTCCTCGCATCATTATCGATATTCAACGAGTTATTCCCAAACCCAACTGTCCGCAACCACCTCGCTGAAGAAGAATTCACATCCAGCACATCCGAATGATAAGTATCCAGCACCCCCCACTAAAGTGAATATGGAAATTCCCAAAAATCGATTTTCCGATGGTTGGATGTTGAGTGATGTTCTTGAGGAGCCATACACTCGCGCCGAATATACCGGACATGGTCAGGTTTGCCGTGCGGTCATCAAATGAAGCATTCATCGTCGGGAGCCGAAATTCTGACCAGTCTCTCGTATCCCACCATTGCTCTGTCCTTCTCCGAAGAGATGCAGACTGCAAGGCCCAGGAGGTAGAGACAGGTACGAAGTCCCGGCATGGAATACATGTTGATATACAAGTTCAAGAAACCGGAAAGATGGGAGGAATTTGGGCATTTGGGAACCAAATTGACTTGAATTGGTGTCCAGGGGCTTTCAAATCCATTGGGCTGAGGCTCGTGTCTGGAAGAGTATTGTGACAATAGCTTTGACCAGCTAAACCCTTGCCAAGCCTTCATTTCTACTCAACCAATCGGCCATTGCGGGGACTGAGAGGAGTCGATATTTTAAGGGGGAGCCAAGACCTTTGGTGAGACATGGCCAAGGCAAACAAAAAAAAGTCGATATATTGGATCAAATACTCAAAAGAATTCATGTTCCATGTGCCTTTTCATCATGAATCATCACTCCATCGCATCACTCATTGACGGGGGTAAACCTCAACATCAGCTTCCGCCCGCGTGGCAGTGAAATAAAGGCAAAATCCTGCTCGATGCCCTTGTCGTCTACAATAGAGGTCGTGTAATTTGAGTACACAGCCGCCATAACCAATTTGATTTCTGCACCATTAGTGTCTTCTCTAAAAGTCATACATGGGAAGCATACCTTGCAATGCGAAATTACTTCCCAGACACATGCGTCCACCGCTCCCGAACGGCCAGAACAGCCGCCTCATGTCGTGGATCTTGTCACCTGCCTCCAGCCATCGTTTTGGCAGCCATTCTAATGGACGCGGATAGACATCACTGATGCGGTGGAGGGAGTAGGCGGTTGAGCTGACCCTCACGCCGCCCGGGATATTGTCATACCCGTGCAGCGAAGTTCCTTTTTCTGTGGTGGGGGTAACGCGGGGAAGTTGGGCAGGGGCCGGGGAGTGAAGACGGAGGGTCTCGCGGACCATAGCATCCAACAGGGGGAGTGCGTCGATTGCGGAAGGAGAAGGAAGGATCTTCTCTCCATCTGTGTCCAGGTATCGGAGAGATGGAGATAATGTTAGTAGTTCCTTTCGCAGCTCGGCCTGAAGCTCCGGATGCTGCGACATCTCCCACATCATGTACGTGAAGGTAATGCCTGATGTTTCGTGGCCTGCAACCAGGTGGTCTAGCAGTTCGGATGCAATTGCTAGGTTTAGCGGACGCCGATCCTGCTCTTTCTGGATGAGTAGGCTCTGGTGCAGTTGGTCGTAGACGACTGGGTTCGTGGATGGCAGCTTCTCCTCGTCTCTGGGGCCCTTCTGTTTCTTAGACTCTTCCATCCGGTCGCAGAGGCCCAAGCACCATCTCTCAATAAAACCCATATATCGGTCGTCCCGGCTCAAGTACTTGAACTGCTCATACTCCTCCAACCACATCATCCACTCGGGAATATTCAACAAATACTTCGTCCCTTGCCTCAATCCAAACAGGAAAGAGGAGGTGAAGTCCATCCCAAGAGCCTGGCATAGTGGCAGCACATTCAACACCTCTCCGGTCTCCCCTGCCTGCTTAAGAATAGGCATAAACCGGCCCCAGAGCACGGCCTTTGCAATGGTGCGCAAGTCACTGGATTCCTGGAGAAATGACTTGGAGTAGGTCTTGCTCAGCATACGCTTCTGCTGGGCATGCGCCGCATTGTGCACCATGCCGACCATGTTTTCGGTGTTGAAGTTGACGAAGACATCATTGTAAAAGGCGTGTTTCTCGAAAGCGCCCGTGTATATTATTTTTAGGCCATGGAGAGAATTCACGCTCAGCTCCTTGGGGCCGAGACGGACGATTGGGCCATGCTTTTGGTGCAAGGCATAGATGGCGAGGACTTCCGTGCCTGTACTACGCTTGCGATCAATCCAATAGCTGGACAGTGGGGATGTGAAGTGGGCATTGGGGATGGAAGATAGTGGAGAGAGGAAATAAGGGTTTATACCATGGTGGTATATGAGAAAGGAGGTGAGGATGAGGATGAGGAAGGCGAGGATGAGGGGGATCATGGTGATGGATGAAGGTAAAGAGGAAGAAGATAGAATGCCAATCAAAAAGCGGTTATTTCAACATCGATCGTCCCACATGTTTTGTTCTCTTCCCATGCAAGGAGACTCCGCCAAAGCAATTTAGAAGGATTAGTTATACTTTGTATAAAATATTATATTATATATTAATTGAAGTCAAAGATACTCGGTAAAAACTTATGAAACATAAATATACAGACTAGTATGAAGGAAGCCAATCATTTTCTGAGTTGAACCGAAAACCAAGGCCCATCTACTCCATACTGTGTGTATATACATACTCCGTATGGAGTACTCCGTACAGAAAACTATATCTGGTCTTGGCATGATGATTAACTATTTCCCATCCATGGATACAGAGTAGGTACCGGGATTTACCGGACGGGACGTCCACGGGTGTGTTATGGCCAACTTGGAAGGGAGTGGATCTGCTGAATTTAACAGATCGGCGGTAATATACTACCTAGGTTTATCAAATCCCGTTAATTTACTTTGAAGACTCTCGGTTAGCAAAATTATCCAATTATGTATAAGCTAATTAATTGTGGCCAGAACAAATCGAAGTAAAGGGGTTTCAATATTAAGGGGTTTTAATATTATTAACGAGGGTTGGCTGTATATCTGCACGTCGACACATTAGAACGTTCGATTCCCCACACCTGGCGTGGCAATAACAGCCACAGTGGTCCCACAATCAACACGAAGCCCTAGCTCACACTAACCTGCAGAAGGTTGCAACCATGCCCCAATCCTGCTGAAGACCTTCCTTTCACTGCCTTAGCTGCCAAGAATGCAGACTCTGTTGGAGGCGAGCTGCTCCACTGTCGGACAGATGCGCCGGATGGATTCCACGAGGGCCGGAGAATATTCTAATGCCTGAAACCACGTTTCTTTTATAGTCCCACCATACCCCTGTCTTTTTTCTATATTAATCCTTCGTCGCCTTTGTTGTGTACATGTAAATATGTACTGGAACAAAGACCCTTCAACAGTCACCATGACCGTGGCCGAAGAGGCCCCATCCCCAGGACAGGTCGCCCCCAAATGGCGCGGCACCCGGGCCGACCAGGCCGATATGAGCGCTCTGGGGAAAGAACAGGTCCTACGGGTATGTCCCCCTAGTATTATGAAGCTAATGCATCTAAGCTGACCCTGCAGCGTAACTTCCGATTCGTCTCCATCGTAGGATTTGGCTGCACGCTGATCGCCACGTGGGAGGTTGTTTTAACGTACGCTATCCATACCTACTTTTTGGTTCAATGACTGATGGTCTAGTCTACTGGCGCAAGGTCTGACTGATGGAGGAACGGCCGGTTTGATCTGGGGTTTCCTTATCGTCGCTGCTGGGTTCCTTCTAGTGTTCCTGAGTCTGGCCGAGATGGCATCCATGTGAGTCTACTCCGTACCCATTGAGTATACCCTGTACTCCATTCTGATCCTTCAGGGCTCCCACATCTGGCGGACAGTACCATTGGGTATCCGAGTTTGCCCCTCCTAGCTGCCAGAAATTCCTCAGCTACATTACCGGTAAATTCTCTTGTTTCCCTTGCTCGTCAACCATGCTAATTATGTAGGCTGGCTGTGCGCTCTGGGCTGGCAATGTGCTATCGTGTCGATCGCCTATTTGGCTGGAACTATTATCCAAGGCCTGATCGTCCTGAACAACCCTGACTACGACATGCAGCGGTGGCACGGCACCCTACTGGTGATCGCCATCACCTTGTTTTCGATCATATTCAATACCTTCTTAGCCAAGCGACTACCCTTTGTAGAGGTGTTGATTCTGATCCTACATGTGTGCGGCCTATTTGCCATCATGATTCCCCTGTGGGTGCTTGGCCCTCGCCGCAGCGCGAAGCAGGTATTTACCGAATTCAACAACGGCGGTGACTGGAACAGTGCTGGGACTGCCACACTCGTTGGATTCTCAACCACCATCACAGCGCTGATTGGATATGATTGTGCGGTGCACATGTGTACGTCTCTCTCTTTCTCTTTCTAAAATTGACCGTTTTTTTTTTTTTGCTAACAGTATACAGCGGAGGAGATCAAAGATGCGTCTGAGACTTTGCCAAAGGCGATGATCACCTCTGTCTGTGTCAACGCTGCCTCCGGTTTCGTGATGCTGGTGACGGTCTGCTTCACTCTGGGCGACATTGATGATATCCTGGCCACTCCAACGGGGTACCCGTTCATGCAGGTGTTCTACAACGCGACGGAGAGTCTCCCGGGAACCAACACCATGACCGCCATTCTGGTGCTGACTCTGACAGCGAGTACAATCACAGAAGTAGCAACGGCTTCCCGCCAGTTGTGGTCTTTTGCGCGTGACCGCGGTCTTCCTTTCTCCGATTTCTTCGGATATGTACGTCCACCCCCTGCATTATCTACGTTTGACAACACTAACAGGACTAGGTAAACCCCGGCTGGAACATTCCCTTGAACGCCGTGATGGTCTCATTGGCAGTGACGGTGCTCTTGTCGCTCATCAACATCGGATCTACCACCGCGCTTCTCGCCATCGTGACCCTGACCATCGGTGCAATGATGTCCTCGTATATTATCACAATTACCTGTCTGCTCCTCAAGCGTATCAGAGGCGAGCCCCTCCCACCACACAGATGGACGCTCGGCCGGTTCGGCATGGCAATCAACATCGGGGCGCTGTGCTTCCTGTGCCCGGTGTTCGTGTTCGCCTTCTTCCCGCTAACCTCGACGGTGGAACCAGACACCATGAACTGGTGCGCAGTGATGTACGGTGGGATTATGATCATCGCGGTGGTGTACTATGTGTTGCGGGGACGGCACCATTACATCCCACCCGTGGCGCTGGTGAACCGAGAGATTTAATCTCTATCCCCGTGTAATTTTTACGTTAGAGAGAGAGGAAAAGTAATTCGATATGTTAATAGTTGAGAATAATTACATGGACGATCTTAATGGAATGTTGGGTGCAACTATCGTAAAGTTGAGGGTATAGTGGAGTGCTCGGAAAGAACAAGTCCGAGCGATGAATATTCGAAGAGTCAACGGAACTTCCGTCTGAGTACGGAGTACTCCGTATATCTAGGAGAGGAAATTAATCAAAGGGCTAATCAAGCCTGGATGTTAGCGAGCAAAACTACACATGAATACCCACATGGATCTGAAACGAGTTACTCCATACATAGATACGTCCATACATATGGCTTCGTTGCAGCGGATCTTTCCGATTGGGCATCACCAAGTTAGGGATAATGTCAAAAGTTCTGTTGACACTACCCATATCGCTAACAAACTCGCGATTTTTAGCTCTTTTTTTTTTTTTTTTTTGTTTTGCTCTCTACAAATGTATATGACAGGTTAGGTCTTTTTAAAATTTTATATGTCAATATATATATTTTTTTAAAAAAAAAGGATGTACAAAGAATAATACACCTTTCTCCGTTGACTTTTACGACAATGTTACTACGTTGTATGGCGCCATACTAAAACACCGATGAAGTCTCAGGTCCGCTTTTATATTCATTACTCAATCATGAGAGATATATTGTACGGAGATAGATGCGTAGTATATCTAATGCTTTGAAAAGTGGTTTTTTTCTTTTTACAAAAAAAAACAATCATTAGTATTATCAATTTAGTGAGAAACTAGAGTTGTACTCCGTACAGAGTAATGCATACTACAAGGGAGACTTTTCAAGGCCATACTATTAATTAATTAAGTACAAAATAGTCAGCTAAGAATAACGGAAGAAAATATCTGGTCGTGTGCATAAGCCGAATTAATTAAAATATTCCAAGGTTAAGGTGGAGTAGCTAGTAACATCCAATTAGCTAAGTGAACTAGATGAACTAGATGAACCACTTGGCGCAATAGAGTTGCACCATATGGAGCCTCAATGGGGGCCAAAACCTACTCTTCTTAAAGTGTAAAGTCCACGGGTGTCTCCAAGATTATCTAATTAATACAGAAAACTGTAACTAGTTACTTTGTAACATACTCCGTAATCGGATGACCAGATCGAATACATTAAACTTAATCTATCAGGCGGATTAGATCAGGAATTTAGCTGTCTCAAAGGAGACACTCATAGTCTCGTTGAAAAGTGCCTAAATTCCTTTTGTCCTGGCAGTCATGGAATTGCCATCTTCATGATCGTTCATTATTGTCCCTTTTCATTTCCTGTTAGACTATATTCCCTGAGACATCCAACCTCCCAGACCACGATTTTGTCTGCCGCAATGGCCGTCAAAGTGCCCCCTGGCCAGTCGCCGCCTTTCGAGACGATAGACGATAAACACCATGCTGGTATCATAATTATCACCGGCGCCATCTGCCTAGTAATATCCCTGGTCTGTCTGCTAATCAGGGTGTACGTGCGGGCATTCCTCAATCCGCCATGGGGAGCAGACGATTTTATCCTGTTAGGAGCAACGGTACGGAAGTGAGAGAAATTGACCTGTCCTGTAAATGAGGCTAACGGGATAGATCTCCGCCATTGTCGAGTCAATCATCATCTTTCACGCTGCGAGCATCGGCTTCGGAACGGACGTATCACTCCTCACCCAGAAGGCCGTTGATCGCATACAAAATGTATTCATTACCAAACGCCCCACCCAATTGGATTTCCAAAAAAAATAACCGACAACATAGTCCCTCCTCGCGGCCGATATCCTCTATCTCTTAACCCTGTACCTCTCAAAATGCTGTATCATCGCCATCTACTTGCGCTTGACGCCCCGTAGGCGTCACAAGAGTATCCTCTGGGCCACGTTTGGGCTCAGCACGGTCGGAATTATCGTGTCGATACTGGTTATCGCAGTTAACTGCGAGGGAAATAGGCCGTGGATTGTACCTGGCGAGCAATGTCCTAACATGGTATGTCTAAGATTGCATAATAGCCAACCGTTGTCTGAAAGACTATCGTGAACTGAACAAACGAACATGGAATGAAATATACTAACGGGCAAAAGTTCCCCCGCTGGCAAGCCATCACTGCGCTCGACATCTCGACAGAAATCTTACTATTTGCCTTTTGTGTCGCCCTAATCTGGGGTCTTCAGATGCACATCTCGCACAAACTGGTGATCATGATATCCTTCGCCGCGAGACTACCGTGCGTGACTCTATTTCCCAAACGTTCCTTCCCAGCCCATTGCATCAAACTAACACAGATCTAACTGATACATAGCCTAATAATATTTTCCGCTCTCCACCTCTCCACCCTCAAAGACTACACAACAACCAAAAACCCAACCTTCGCCGCAATCAGCCACATGATCTACACCCAACTCCAACTCAATTACACCCTAATAGCATGCACGGTCTTCTGTCTGCGTCCCTTCATGAATGCCCTCACAACATCCTACGGCACAGCCGGCGATGCCAACCTCGGAAGTAGCAGTGGCGGCTACGGGCACGGGTCCGGGAGACGGGGGAATACCAATCCCTACGCGTCGGGGCGGTCGCAGGATTACGAGATGGGGGGTGTGAAGGGACGACCCGGTCGGCGGGCGAGTGGCTTGTTCAGGGAGAGGCCAGATGTGGGGGATAGGACAGAGAACGGGACAGTCTTTTGTCAGGCTGCGGGGGCCGTGAGTTCAGGGGAGGGGAGGTCTGAAGGGGATGGGGGAAGTACGCGCAGTGGTGGGAGTGATAGGAGTACGAGGATGATTATTCGGAAGGAGGTGGAGTATTCTGTCTCCGTGGGGCATTCATAGATCTTTCTTTTTGTTTGGATGGGATACAAAAGTGGTCGGCCCCTTATGTGGCCTTGTCGAGTCTTTTTAATAGTTCTTTTAAATATTTTCCCCTTCGTATGTGGGACATACAGAATTAACATTTCCCACCTAGGGGCTGGACAACATCATCAAGCCTTCGGGATTATCTGTTGAGGTATTTCAATTGAAAGATTGATCAGCTATGTGCCGAGAACTTGGAAGGAACAAGTCGAGGTTGCCATCAAGTCTGCATTCGTCGAACTGCATGATGAGATCACACACGATGCTCTATCCGCCATCTACGAGCCAATAGCCCATGCAGAGGCCATGTGTCGAATTGCGCCGGCAGTTTCAGAATTGTGTGTCCTTTCAGCTTTGTATGACGCAGGTGGTTCCGCTCTCCATTTTGCCGGTACTGGCGGCTTGCGTGCGGTCCTTGGCATCAACAAGACGAGCCAGAAGCAAAACGGCACACTGGTTACAACATAGAGGACATAGCATGATCAAGGGCGGAACACCCAAATAGAGACTACTTGGTCTCGCCTTCAGATTGACTTCTAAGGTCACATGTCACCCGTAGCTTTGGTGATGTGTTTGCATTGTGCACAACAGATAAGTCACGCTCGTCTCAACTGTGCTTTCATAGATGCGGATTGGAAAACTATCATATCGAATCACAATAACCATCCTTTGAGTACTGTGGAAGATTTGAATCCAGAAAGAACATTTGCTATCGGAGAACTTGGGGAAATTTTGACTTGAAAGTCAGCACAAAAAAAACGGCATAATTCTTATCCCAAGCAAGCTACGGGCATTATTTTACAAAGACTATCTCTACGCGAATGAAGCCATCCAATACAAACATCCAGATAAGACGTGGTAGTGCTCTATCTACAGGGTATCTTTATGTACATGTTGAATCTAGAGAGATAAGTATCCAATAAAGCAATGTATATATACTTCATGTTAAACGCTCCAGCTTCCTGTAAGATGGGTAAGAGTGAGGTGAAGGGAAACTCGCTTTAGTGACGCGTTGGCTTCCCAGCAGCCTGGCGGCGTATCCACCGAGGAAAACATGGCGGATCCCAGCCTCACGCAGTATGTGAGCAAGCTCACTTGCTGCAGCGTCGAGGTGGATTAATCAGATGCAAGAGGTTCCATTGTAAAGGATATTGAGAATACAGAAATTATAGCTGTGTTGCATGTGGTTGAATAGAAAGCAAATGTGAGAATGGATGAGGAGAAGAAAAATATCAAATTGGATAAGAGAATTCAGAAGGAAATTATCAATCTGCTTGAAGGCATGAGAGGCATGGCAGGTAGATAGTGGAGCGGTGATTGAAACGCAAACCGACAGGGTTGAATATTTCACTTAAACTTGACCTCAACTCTTTACTCTACCCTATTCTAGCAGCTTATGAAAGCTCAACCTCAAAGTACGTCCTCATCTAGCCGCTTCAGATATTCCCAGGACACAATTTGTTCTTTGACTATGGAGACCCGAAATATCGAAAGTTCCTCAGCCTCCGCAGCTTCCTCAGGTGTCGTTGAGACTATGGTAGTCTCCTCGACTGATGTTGACAACGAGTACCATCAAAATGCGGACGAGCTCCAAGAACCCAAGCATCTTCTACCAAGATCAACTCCGGGTTCCTAGCCCCTCACTCGACAAAGGTGAAGAGCCCAACCAGCATGAAAGCCCTGACGATCCCGGAATACCCTACAATTATCGGATCACGACAGCTTTGAAAGCACTTTCGAATAAGAACATCACACTGGTAGAATACGGGGCTCATGTTCAGTTCAGATTTGGTTACGAGGAGGTTCCAGTGGTGAGTGGCAAATTCAATTTATCTTGAAAGGAATAGCTCTGTGAACAAGATTCCCATAGGTTCTGGAATGGGCAGTGCCCGATGAGCAGCTATCGCTAGCTTCACAGATCCTAGCCGAGCATAACTTCCCCTGCCTCTTCACAAGAACTCGATCGTAGTTTGGATACTGAGACACCGGATGTTTGTGGCACAGCTTAGATAGTGCAGGCTAGATGTGTGTGCATCTTCTCCCGCTGACGCTGGTTGGTTTTACACTTGAGGAGACAACCGAGATTCCCTCAATGTTTGTCCCCGAAATCATGATTCTTACCCCAAAACCTCCTCGATAAATGCTTTCCTCAATTCAACATCTTCGAAGCTCCGAATTGGTGACGGAATTGAAAAGGACCTCTTAACTTTCACAACTTCTTACATTCTCCATGGCCCGCCTGCGAATATTAGTCCCGAGCGTCTTCCTCGTCTTATAAAGGAGGAGAGCGAAGGAGAAAGGCTGAAGAAGTTGGATGAAGGGGTCAGATAAATGAAGGAATGGGACTGGGGCAACGTCGAGGAAACGGACTTGGCTATTGCTGAGCGTGTCATTCGTGATTGCCGGTACGTCGGAAAGCTGACATATATCACTCGGAGTTCTGCAAGCCCTTGCACAAGTCCAGAGCCTGTCTCGCTCATTAGGTGATTTTTGTGTGTTTTTTATAGCATATACCTTTCGAGTATTCAAGATTTCCGGCCATAAACCAAGTAAAATGCGGCTGTATTTGATCTGTTTTTTTTCTTCTCTTCCCATTCTTCGTTATATCCATCCCATGTTACCACTAGGCAACCGATGATGGGATTAATATCAAAATCAAAAACCTTGGAAACTCCACGGGTATCAATATCATAGTGCGCACGTACGCATCCTATATGTTCAATCTAGATAAAATCCTTCTATTATAGAAGCGACCAACTGGATCCGCTTTTATACTTGAGTTTCCAATGGCAGGAGATACAAAAACGTCAAAATTATTGAAATCACAAACCTCTAGTCAGAATCCCACTCCTATCATCGGCAGGGTTTGAGATCCCACTTCGCTCAAGAGCCCCTTCCTCCGAGGTCGACGTGTAGCGAAGTTGATTTTCTCAAGATCTGGGGAGGGGCTTCGCAGGATTCTAACTGCATAAAATAGTGAAATTTCGAGTATCTAAAGAAAAGACCACTGAAGATACAGGGATAGTCTGCATAAGCGACCGACTAAAGGTTTCTTGTATATGTAATGTTGAAGATGAAGCATGAGATATATTTCTCGGTCACCTAACCACATATGTAATCTTTTTCTGAACATGACCCCTATAAAAAAAACACAAAAAAAAACCCCTTTTCACTTATTATAAAAGCAAAAAAACAAAACAAAACAAAACAAACGAAGAGTAAGAACGAAGATTGAAATCAGTAAGATACCAATAGGCTAAGCAGATTGAAATTCAAAAAGAAAAAAATAGTTTCCCTGGGAATCGAACCCAGAACCTTTCCGGAACACTCGCTATAAACAGCGATTGTTAACGGAAAATCATAACCGCTAGACCAGGAAACTGTTGTATGAAAGAAGAGTCAGATTAACATATAATGACCAGATCCTAAGCTACATAATTTGTTCCTGAACAGTTGTAGTGCTGGAGCACACAACACTCAACCATAGTAACCCCTGAGCGGTCCCCGGATTTGGTGACTATTCAGGTATTATTTATGGTCTAGATAATTCTAGGATACATGATTGAGAGAGGGATTACTGGAATACTCTGGTAAAAACCTCTTGAATTGTGCGTGGAGAGAGAAAGGAAACTATCTACATGGGAGGAAAGACTTTGATAGGTGGGAGCAAACCAGCGAGGTCACGTGACCTGCAACAATGATAAATGAAAGGCATAGTCATAGTTGTTCGTCATGAACATCCTCGCACGATAACCTATTCTTTCTTCACTTGCTGAGATCAAGTCAACTAAGGTGGAGTGAATCTATCCAAATCCAGCTCCTCTTTCGTCGGTTTTCGGGACCAGATTCGTCGCCTGTCAAGTTTCAGTTATCCACAAGGAAAGATATATGCAAATGGGAAACCCAGATAAGGTGATAAATATGGTGGCTCGGATTAAGGACCTCAACGCGAGCCTTTGCGACATAGACCTGAACCTCCTCCTATCTGTGGTATACCGAACGTGGTGAGAAAGCACGTGGCCCATCCTTCCATCCAATATAGACCCTGCTTCAAGCGTTTCAAATTGTTGCTCCTCGGCTGGACCCCTATCTTTGTCAGAATGGATTCGTTTGCCATTGAGGTATTAGAGGATTAGAGCGAAGTACCAATATTGACCTTCTTTGAGCGTCTGGTATCTAGAAATCGAATAAGCGCCGGCCGTGCATTGCACCAGAAGGCATACCGCCGGCCATTTTCGATCGCACCACAGGAGATTGTGAATTTGATAGAAGTAGTTTGTCTGTTGGGATATTACTTTTATAAATCTTGTTGTTTCAGATGCAACCGCATAATTGGTAAACTTAGGAGTGAAAGCCGCTCGGATTATCATCATCGTCACAGAGCGCGTATAGATCGCGATTCTGAAATCCGTGGAAACAAGAGACTGAGCGAATCAAACTGTCTTACGACCGCAAGCTTTTCTTCTGGCATGGCTATCAGAGAACGGCAAGATTTAAAATATACAAGATACAAAGACAAATGAGAATGTCCCAAGTCGTGGCTAATAATTGTACTTTGAAAGAATAGGACTGGTCCAAAACATATGGAGTCGGCTGTTGCTAGAGTTCGTATCCAGCCATCTGGATTGGGATTTCATATCCCTCGGGTATAGTAGGTATAGCTTAAATGTACTCCGTACATATATAATCCTCATGTGTGACTCCTAGAATCACTATATTATTATTCTCCTTTCACCTTTCATAACCATAACAAGGCCAAGTGAGTTGCTTAATCGTTCTTGAAAATTTATACAATGGAGAATGAATAGTATGTAGTGAAATATCAGGGGTCGTGGATACTTAGTTCCCATGTGGTTGACAGGGAATAATAGGCTGACTAGGGCCATTAGTGCCCTCTAAATTGTGGCATTTTCATTTCCATAGGATTTGAATTAGTAAATAGTTGTGCTAACAGTCCCAGCTAACGAACCTATGAGATATTCTCATTATAATTGCTGTGTAGTCCATCCATACAGTTTAAGTCCTATACTTGAGCGGTTGGGCTCAAACGTTGGAGCTACGTTTCATTCGTATAGGTAGTTGGAATCCGCAAAATGCAGATCAATTGACTGGGCATCTAGGACTGGTCTAAGCGCTTATCCCAGCCAGTATCTCCTGTTCTGGCTATCATTTGTTGCTTTGACAGCTCTGAGAAGATTAGACCAATTGCAGATCTGTTGAAAGTGGACATGAAACGAGATGGAAGACATATATGGCTTACGCCGTTTCCGAAAAGTCACACCCAGAGACTGGGATTTCTAAAGCATGATAGTAGGGTATCTCACTTCCATGTCAGATCTGTCCTCACAATGCTCTCAGTTGATTCTCAAAACAGACATGATGATGCCTTCAAGGTAATAGTCTGTGTACTTATACAGTTGTGGAGGACTCGCCAGCGAGACCCCACCGATCTCAGAGCTCTCATCTTTCCCCCTCTCCTCCCCCTTCCCCCCTTCCCCCCTCACCACCAACCCCAGAACCACTGTCCCACGCTCACCCAGAACGTGGGAGGAACTTCCTCCACATTGAAAACCTCACGCAGGGGAGACTGCACGCGCCGGAAAGTGGATTGGCGGCGGCGGCGGCGGCGAGTCTTTCCCGAGGCACTGCCAAACTTGTGCTTGGCAATTTGCTTTTCGCACACGGCGAGCTTCTCGTTCAACTCCCGCTGCATTTGCTTCAAGCCCTGGTAGGTGACCAGCAGCTTGTGGAGGTCATTGAGGGCTGGCTTGCACTTCTTCCTCGCCTTGAAAGCAAACACATGTCAGTTTCTGTATAGATCTTATATGGATTGACTAAGGGAATGACAGGTCTCACCCGCGAGGAATCATGCTCAGCTGAGCGCTTTCTCTTTCTCACGCTCGACGGCTGTTACAGGTTAGAACTTGCGCTTTTATACCAGGGGAGATTGGGGAGGGAACTTGCCAGTGAGGGCCGTTCATATTCGTTCTCGTTGGCATCCATGTTGGTTCTTATGGGGGATGTGAAAATTGAGGTGGACATGAAAGAAATTAAAACAGACCTGATACAGCAACCTTGGCTGGTTTTATATCGTGACACAGCAGGCATCACACTTGAGAAGTTGAATAGCTATTGTGCTCATTATGTAGGTTAATACTATGAGATGTCACCTCTAATTCACCAGATCAATAATGAGAACATTCAATTCAATGGAGACAATGGACACCAAGAAAAGCCAAGATCCTTGGACAATAATTTGATTGAACAATAATTTGATTGACGATGTTTTTGTTGAAAATTGAAAAGCCTTGGGAAATTGTTTGCCTTGGGCAGATTTTGGGGTATTCATTTGGCAACGCATTTGGCGACACCCGTAACAATGTGTCACTGTGATCAGATAGCACCGACACGAGGCAAGAATAATCCACTGTTTTTCAAGTTTTATATATGTATGGTTGTTGGTATCTTGTTCAAGTAGATCAAATAGATCGTGAATGGTTATCAATGTCTAAAAGTGATATCGCTAAATGACACTCCCACGAGCATGAAATGCAGCTGTAAATCCCAAACGCTGAATGATGAATGACGCTGATAAACCGAAATAGAAAGAAAAGAAAAAAACCGAAACATGACACACATATGATAGAAATATGTTCAAAAATATGCAAATGCAAATAAATAACTAGAAGCTGAACAGACCAGTGCGCTTCTTGCCGTATGGGTAGACAACCAAAGCCGCGATAAACAGTCCGACTGTGATACCAATCGCGACTTGGATCATGCCGAAACCGAGACTGGCAACTGAGGTTTCTGAAATAGTATTGGAACCCGTACTAGTGCTATTTTTGTCGAGGTTCTGACGAACCTCGTCGGCGTATCTGATACCAGCAATCAAAGACCCACTAGAAGCAAGGCCAGAAGGGACCAGCACAAATATACCGGGAAGAATGGCGGTGGCGGCATGGCCATGCCAGAGACGACTGTACAAATTGCCTAGAACACCAATGGTGAATGCGCCGACAGTGTTGGCGACTTCTGAATTGCTGCCGAGCTTGGTGGTGCTGAAATAGTTGGCCACGTAGCCGGACAACGCAATGAACACCATGACGGGCATCTGCTTCAATTTTCCGTGGTTCACAATGGCTAGGAAAATAGCGTAGACAGCCACGAAAGGGAATGTGCGGACATAGATTGACCCGTAGACTTCCATGCCTGAACATGTGGATGCAGATGTCGCATTGCCATCCATCAGCCCGTAGATCGTAGTCCCCACTGTGATTCCATAGCCCAAAAATAGGGAGTAGATAATCGCATACACCATGCGGATCGAGCCAGCGATGATCTGGTGAGATTGCAGTTCCAGACTGCTACAGAGGACCATGAATCCAGGGAGAATTAGAGCGATGGATGACTGTGCCATAGCGGAGAAGCAGAAGAGTGTCTCGGATTTACCGTTGCGGGTAACCATGATACTGCCAAATGCGCGTGCAAGGAAGGAAGTCACAATGGCAGCGGTAACCTCGAAGACGTTAGAGTAGAGGGTAGACCGTGGCGCGAGAACGTGCTGCATCAGTCCAACAATGCAACCGAGACAGAAGATGATGGGCATATCGATCGGTCGCGCCATGAAAGCGAATGGGCCGACAGTAGCACTAGCAAGACCGTAGACTAGGACCAACATCCATTTATTGACTCGCGGCTTGCGTTGCATAATATCGTCTAGTTCTTGACTTGCCTCTTCGACACCGATAAGATCGTGAACAACATTCTTATAAACGTTGTGGGTATCAGCAAGGCGACCAAGGTCGACTCCTTGCACCATTCGCACGAGCTTGACTTCGGCCGTGCGTGTGGTAGGATCATCGAAGGACATGATCATGCAGCCGGGCAGATATAAAAATTGGCCCGACACTTCCAGGACCCGGGCAGTCATCTGCATATACTCTTCCAGACGATGGGTCGGCGCACCGTATCGCATAAGCGCACGGCACAGTTGCATGATGTACCGCTGACGTGCGATGATCTCTGCGATATGGACGGTTACACGAATCTCATCCTCCAGACGGGTCTTCTGTTTCTTGTTCTTCCGTTTCTTATGTTGCACACCCGGAGCAGCCTCTGCCGCAGCAGGCAGACTAGCAGTACTGAGGTTCATGGAGGCATTGATCAGCGACGCGGTGGACCGATGGGCCGATTTCTTGTACCATTTGAGCTTCTCCTTGCGCGGGGTCGCGGAACCCGAAGCTGGCATGGACGCAGGGATAGGGGGCGAGAGGGAACCCTTCTTTGGAGTGGAGACACCGGAAGACACCTGTGTCTCGCTGTCGGAATCATCGGTGATGACACTTTCCGGACGTGAAGAACCCCAGCCCCCGTTCTGTGCCGCCTGAAGCCTCAGAAGCTGCGACAAGATACCGCCGCTACCGCTGACTCCACTGGATCGTCTTCGCTGAGTAGTGTCCTTCTCTGGAGTTGTCTGATCAGAACGCTGGTATGCGCCCTTTGGTTTCCGCTTCCGAAGCTGATCCTCAACCACGGTCATGCTGCGGACCAAACGATGAGCCTCGGCGCTAGGGGGCGACTCAGTAAAATTCTCGCCACTTTCCAATGCGCGCTCTCGATCGGCGTCATAACGAGCGCGGCGCTCCTGCATCTCCTCAATTGGGATGTCGATGTGAAAGTCATCTGGATTGTAGTCGGCGTTGAGCGGCTCGCCCTCATCCGGGGAGCGACCGAGGCGTTCCGTCAACCGGCTAGTTTTCTGTCGCAAAAGATGACCGGTAGCTCTGAATCTGTCACGGGCCGATGTGGTACGGTCCATATGACCGTGCATATGACCCAAGACATCATGTTTCTCCGACTCGCTAAACTCTTCGGGGGTGTGCACGTTGGCGAGGCCAGAGCCGCGGCGGGAATGTGTGGGGGCCGGCGGGTTGATAGGTCCGGATGGCGGGACTTGGCTACGGCCTGGGAGCGGTAGTAATGGGCGCGATGAAGGATGTGAAGCAGATTCATTTTCATTTTGGCGCAGACTCATTGAGCGAAAGCGAACTCTATGAGATCGGTCGCGACGGCTTGGTGGTGGCTCGGGTGCGGCATCATATTGGTTGGCATCAACAGTGTCCTCACGCGCGAGGCTTTCGCGATCGCCAGGATTGGGGGTGGTTGGAAGAGGATATTCTGCGTATTCTTCATTTGGACTGGGATGTGGATTGGTGACGCCCGGCATGAAGGGAATTTGGGTGAGCTCAGTGGCTCACGGGAGATTAGCCGATAGCTGCAAGCCTTTATGCAAGGCACACGGCACAACGAATAGAAAGAAGAAAATTGATGAACAAGGTAAAAAAGGATAGAGGAATATAATAAGAGAAAAGGATTCTCTTGAGGCTAGAATAATAGAGAGGTTAGATCAGAATTAAATGGCAAAACAAGAATTGGCGCAGACACCAGAATAATTATTTCCTCAAAAGCGGATTTTCTCGTTAGAGTAGTTAAAATAGTCTATAGGCTTTTTTTTTTTTAAGAAAAAAGAGGTCTAGATCTAATGAAATCATCGTACTTAGTACTTGTGACTTATACCCTTTTCCCTTATACTTCATAGGCCTAACCCTAACTTTACTCTTAAACCAACCATATATTATACATGGATAACTGACATCTCTCCCCCCTATCATTAGTCCACCGGGAAATAGAAATCATTCTAGAGTTTCCAGAGTTTCTAGAGTACGTACTACTTGCACATCACCGTGGTGTGGATCTTCTAGTGTGGCGATCTTATTATATCCAGCGATATTGGCACCGAGCCATCCGGGTCTAAAATGGTTCGTGCATCTTGCAAAAGACTCCATACCGATTTTATATAGTCTAGAAATGCTTTGTTTTTCTTTTCAATTCTTTTTTTCCTGATCTATTTGAGTTTTTCGTTTTCATCTACCTTATCTTAACAGAATTAACCCCTTAGGCCGCGTTCAGTCTGCCCGAAGCGTCGATCCTGACCCACGTCTTGATACTTTGCAGCCACCTCCTGAGAGTGGATTGGAAAGAATTAGAATACCAGAATCCCTGACTTCTCACTGCAAATTTATATGATCAACAGGGAATCTTGGAAAGGAATAACGGATGCCAGACTTATAGATAGAAGCATGACCCACCGAATCCAACAAGATTACGAATCGAGAGCCGATGGCCAAGCACGGCCGCCACCCGGTGGGGTAAAAAAAAAGTAGGCGTAAATCTGTGCGGTTTCACATGATTCTATGATCGAGGTCGAGAACCCTCCATCGCGCTATCTTGTATCAAGTACGGAGTACTCCGTACATACATAGTAGCTTTGCTTTCTTATCTCATTACTCCCGAGGTCTGACCGCGACCCATTTGGTTCAAACCCCATTGAAATATGCCACGCGTGGAAGCAAGCCATGCAACTTGAGGAGAAGGGACAAGCCACCAGAATGCGGTCCGAGCTGCCGCCCTTGATCCACCCTCACAGCCATGCCAAATCGCCGAGTGCGAGGCCCAATTCCTCCAACCAAAAAAAAAAAAAAGTATGTTGTACAACATTCCGACAACACTTAGAGCACAACTGCATGTAGAGTGTTTAGTGGGGCGTCTCCGACACAAATTTTGCGAAAAGGTGGTGACATGGTGGCATTGGGGGCATGGTAAGAGGCGTATCCCACCCGTAAAGGATATTCCAGGCGACGGCAAAAAGCCAGCCTGATGGGGAATGTGGTTATTGAGGCTGTTTTGTATGTCTTAGTCTCGCAATTTCGCTTGCCTGTATCCAGAATAGTCAGTGAAAGTCCAAGTTAATCCCCGGTCCGATGCAATACGATTGGCCAAGAGCCGCAATGGATCCTGTGGTGATAGGTTTGCCACCACCAAAAGGGGGCAAAGATAGCCCGAGCTAGAGCTAGCCCGAGCAAAAGCGAAAGACTTGGGAATTATGATGCACAGGCAAACAAAGGCAAACAAAAGCAGGAACTGAAGGATATGCGATATGAAATTGCATCTGAGGTGAAGTCGTGAAGATCTGGAGATTCCGATCCTCACTACGTCAACGGGCGGTACTTCGGGTATATTTTTTTATCTGGCAGAAAACTATGAAATCATCTGGATAGTCACTTTATTATGTTTTGGAGAATATTATTAGACACTATATAAAATAAAAGCATGACAGGTATCTAAACATTTCCAAGGTTCGCATTCATTGATACCGTGACTTCAAGGGCGAAAACCGAGTCAACTATGGCGGCAATCTGCTTACCGTGGAATTGATGAGCCGCGTCTGGTAAGAATCGACGCCCCTGTCGGAGGGGAGTTTAGAGTGAGCGGGAGTGTGATCTGTCCTCTTTGGTATCGCGCGGAGGGCGGATTGGAAGCTCAATTGGGGGTGCTTCTAACAGGTTTATTGATGTGATATGGGACACGTAAGTGTACATATATGTATGCTGCGTCGTTGGGTAACATCACGTACTCCAATTTGGAAGCAGTCGATGCCGATCAAACTAACTCCGCAGGGTCGGTGTTGGGGGTCGAGTTTCTCAAACCGGGTTGTAACGATACCAGCTTGTCCTCATCATCCGAGATGGATGAAAAGATGAGATATCGCCAGCCTGGCGAATTATAGCAAAGAACCAATTACTAGACCAAACCAAGGGGATCTAGTGGGGGGGGGGGGGGGGGTGCATAAAATCTTATTTTGGAATGTACTGACTTGATCGGCAGAACTTTTAACCAAGCACATTTGAAGAGCTTAGTATTGTGAGAAGGTTGTTTACGAAGAACTGGCTGTTGGCAAGTAAGGTTGGCTAGGAATATCAACGGTCAATTGTGGTCCTGACTTCTCGGAAGATATCTTCTTCCTGTTCGAGTCTCGTGAGGACAGTCTGATAGATGTCTTGAAGGAGGAAAAACTAGGAGCAGGACGGGCGAGGAGATAAGATAGTGATGCGGATTGTTTCGATAGGCTCGGCAGAAGTCCTGCAAGCTGTTTGATCAAGTATCCGTCGCTAGATTCTGATGTTCCCCTGCCGAGCAACCTTCACTGTAAGGGTAATCTTGACCTGCTGCCCCGATTCACGAAGCCAAAATCAAACATCTTACTTCAGTTTGGCCCGTCATTCAGACCAGCCAGCCTCAAGGATTGTCGGCTATTTCACATCTGTTCCAGGTGTATCGACTGAGGTCGTGCAGTAATACTATTGGCACTTTTTCCTTGTGAAACCTTCCATGATTAAAAGACAAATCTTCTGGCCATAATGCCAAGTCGAAAAAGCATCACTGAGAGTCGATGTTTGAGTGTCGCGAGAGCTGCTTGCGGCTCCTCGAGAGTGGGCGCAGTAAGAACAGCGGCGTTATGAGAAACAAGGATGCTTTGGGGATAAGAGAAGGGATATGAAGAGTTGGAGGAGTTACCGGACAAGGTAAACGAGCCCGCTATCTGAGAAAGTACCAATCGTGCCTTCCTCATTCGAAGCCTCTGGGTTTCTGGCAATTGTGAAAGCCTCGGGTAGGAAATAAGAAGAACTTGGGTAAGATAGGGACCTCGAGAGCTAGAGCCTAATTTGGGGAGTTATTACAGCTATTGGGTAGATGTGGTTTCATACAAGAGACCTAGTCCATCACCATGCTGTCACCAACACTAGGCAGCCATTCCTAGTGTTTTGCCAGATGCTAGGATTGTTGTATATGGTAGATGGAGCAAAGGAGACTAGTCCCATTTAGGTTTCTACACCCCTACTGTTTACAAGTGGGATACAGTCGCAAACTGAATGTACCCAAGGATATGGTGACAAGCCTAATTTATACATACTAATTATATTATGATAGCCTAAAAAGCTATGTGGATGGCCAATAGGGCTTGCCTTGACATACACGTTTAGCAACCTAGAAATATCAATGGGTGACCATTAGCACCGTGGCTTTTTTAGGGTTGTCACTGAGTCAGTATGCAGAAATATGTAGTTCGACTGTTTGGTCTGTACAACTGATAGCTTTGCCGAGATGATCTGTCTCCTTGCGGCGAGTTTCAGGGCCCCTGGTCGTTCGTGCATATCGATGAAATTAAGCCGAACGAATCGAATGGCATTTCCGCCGTGGGCTGTTGTTTGCCACAAAGGAAAATATAAAATGTCGCAGGCAGACAGTGCAATCACTATGGCAAGTGGTAGTGATTCTTGACAACAACGGTGCCTTTTGCTCTACTTCCAACATAATGCCCCTACGATTGTTGTGTCTCCATGGTTGGGGAACAAATCAGAAGGCAAGTTACTGACACTGCTGATAGGGAGTGTGACGGCATCCTAACTTCCCCATAGATTCTACAGTCGCAACTGAGTATGCAATCTCCTGCTTTAATGGCGAGACACAAAACTCTAATTAAACAGGTGGCCTCATGCATGAGCTCCAACGTGACAATACAGCAACATTCTCTTTCCTCGAAGGGGAAGTCGACTCAGACCCAGGACCTGGAATCGCCGGCTACTATGATGGTCCGTACTACAGCTACTATCGTTTCCCACGCACCTTTTCCCACGAGGATAGCGATGAATCCGACATCCTGGAGGCGTACGGGCAACTGAGTGAAACAGTTGCCTTGGAGGGTCCGTTCGATGGGATTCTAGGCTTCTCCCATGGCGGCACATTGGCTGCTGGATTCATGATTCATCACGCCAAGATGAATCCGAATCAACCTGCGCTATTTCGATGCGCCATCTTCATCAATTCCCTACCACCCTTCCGCATGGAACCTGGAAAGTCTCCTGTCGTAGATGAAGGCTTAGAGGGGTTCATCTCTATCCCCTGCGTGCATATTGCCGGGGCCAAAGACCCACTCTTTGAGTACTCAATGGCTCTGTATCGGCTCTGTGCTACCAGGCATTCAACATTTGCCGTACATGGGAAGGGTCATGATGTTCCTAGTGATCAAAAGAATGTTGGCATCATCGCCACTGCAATTCGAAAACTCTCCAGTCAAATCTTGTGATACCCGATACCAAAGGAAAGGCCATCACTTCGGCTGTGCGACAGAGGGGCAAAGATTGCGTTAAGAAAATTCTGTTCGAGGAGGGGAGTAGTGTGTTTGCGGTTGTGGAACACAACTTGCAAGATATTGTAATAGTATATTGCAGATTCTTCGCGAAGGCAGAAAAATATGTTTCAAATCGAGACATTCATGGGCTTTGAGTTTTGTTTCGCCGTTGAGGGTTGCACCCGGATACTTACCTCGCTGCGAATGAGGTGAAACCTTCCTAGATATCCCGATGTAGAGTGTTACCGAGAACGAATAGAGCCAAAATAAAACACCAAATGGATTCATCGCTTTGATACAGGAAGGCCCACTGCCCTGGCCTGAGAAAAACCAGATCCCTCGCCCTTTCTTGACATGGGATATATGGTTATTGGCCGACGACATTCAGAAAACCAGAAGCAAAAATGTCGTGTCAAGCTAGTGTCAAACCCCTAAAAGCGAACATTTCAGAAGATGATTTGGCAGCCTTGGCCGCGGAAACCTGTATACCGATAGCAATTGTGGGAATTGGGTTCCGGGGACCAGGGGACGCCAAAAATGTCGACAAGCTGTGGGAAATGATTCTGACGGGTAGAGAGGCATGGACCCCAATTCCAGCTAGTAGGTGGAACAGCGCAGCATTCTATCACCCAGATCACAATCGACACGGAACGGTAAGCCATACATGCAATGAGACGGAATAACCAATAATGTGGGAATAGATCAACGTGGAAGGTGGTCACTTTCTGGAAGAGGATGTATCTGTGTTTGACGCGCCGTTTTTTAACATGACAAGTGACGAGGCAGCAGTGAGTACAGATTGGAGTGTTGTAGACGTCATCTAACTGTCAATCAATCAGGCTATGGACCCCCAACAGAGATTGCTCTTGGAAGTAGCATATGAAGGTCTTGAAAATGGTAGGTTATTCCTCCGACACGGGTCCACGCGTTCAAGACTAATAGTGGATAGCTGGAATTCCTCTGACCAACATCATGGGTACAAAGACATCGTGCTTTGTAGGATCTTTCTCTGCAGACTATACAGATCTGCTACTTCGGGATCCAGAGTGTGTACCCATGTATCAGTGCACAAATGCCGGACAATCACGTGCAATGACGGCAAATAGGCTGTCTTATTTCTTTGATTTGAAAGGGCCTAGTGTTACGGTAGACACAGCCTGCTCGGGAAGCCTTGTGGCACTCCATTTGGCATGCCAAAGCCTCCAGACAGGAGATGCGTCAACGGCTATTGCAGCGGGAGTGAATTTGATCTTGAGTCATGAGTTTATGTCAACCATGAGCATGATGAAGTAGGTCAAAATTTCTCGGTGCCTGAAAAGACTAAACTGATTAGTGCTAGATTTCTCTCATCAGATGGGAGATGCCATACCTTCGATGAACAGGCTAATGGGTACGCACGAGGCGAGGCAGCTGGCTGTCTCATTCTTAAACCCCTGGCTAAGGCGTTACACGACCGCAACACGATCCGAGCTGTGATACGAGCAACGGGTTCCAATCAGGACGGGCGCACAGCAGGAATAACACTGCCTAATGGGGCAGCCCAAGAAAGCTTGATCCGGAGCGTCTATACACGAGCTAATCTGGATCCCTCGGAGACAGATTTTGTGGAGGCTCACGGGACAGGCACATTGGCTGGAGACCCAATCGAGACTGGGGCAATCGCTCGTGTCTTCGGGACTGGACGTCCACCTGACACTCCTGTACGGATTGGCTCGATCAAAACCAATGTCGGCCACTTGGAAGGCGCAAGTGGAGTAGCGGGTGTGATCAAGGCAGTTCTGATGTTGGAAAACCGAACATTCTTGCCAAACAGGAATTTTGAAAAGATCAACCCGCGTATTCCACTCGATGATTGGAACCTCAAGGTTTGAATACTTGAGCAAGTCAAAAATTGGAGACTAACGCCAACAGGTTCAATTACGCCCTGAGCAATGGGGAACCACAGGACTTCGTCGCGTTTCCGTGAATAGCTTTGGGTATGGTGGAAGCAATGCCCATGTCATTGTCGAAGAAGCACATGGCTGCATATCTAGCTGCGGGCTCAAGGGAGATGACAGAATTCCAACCACCACAGCCCAAAACTATGATGACACAGTTCCTAGCACGCCGCCTGATTTATCTCGCATATTCATGGTTTCTGGTTTTGATGAAAGAAGTTGTACGCAACAGATGCAGGCTCTGAGCAATCATATCCTCGATAGGGAACATGAGGTTGACCATGAGAAGTTTCTGGATGATCTTGCATTCACAGTCAACGAGCGACGCTCTGTCTTTCCATGGAAGGCCGCCGTTGTCGGAGATACGATGTCAGGTTTGGCAGCCTCGCTCTCTCAGAACGTCAAAGCTAGGAGCGCTGTTCGGAAGCCAACCCTTGGGTTTGTCTTCACTGGGCAAGGCGCACAGTGGGCCGGGATGGGAAAGGAGCTGTTTCAGGCCTATCCTGTCTTCAAAATGTCAATTTTGAGTATCGACAGATATCTGAAAGATATTAGAGCTCCCTTTACAGTAGAAGGTACCTATACTGGCGATCTAAAAAGCCTCATGCACTGACATAGGCGTGAAAACAGAGGAGATCACCAAGTCACCCCAGGACTCGGATTTGAACCATCCAAGTCTCAGCCAGACAGTGTGCACTGCATTGCAGATTGCACTCGTTGATTTGCTGAAATCATGGGGTATATGGCCAGACTCCGTGACGGGTCATTCCAGTGGAGAAATTGCAGCTGCATACGCTACTGGTGGACTCAATATGAACGATGCAATGTCAGTGGCATACTACCGAGGGGCTGTGGCAAGCCAACTGCTGCATGACCAGCCAAACAGAGGTGCTATGCTGGCAGTTGGTATGTCTGTCGAAGATATACAGCCCTACCTGGACACATTTCAATCCAGACAGCTGGTGGTAGCGTGTATTAACAGTCCATTGAGTGTGACAATATCAGGTGATACCCTTGCCATCGATGCACTCGCACAAACATTGAAAGAAAAACAATTCTTCTGTCGGCTCCTTGAAGTAGGTGTTGCTTATCACTCTCCTCATATAGAACAGGTTGCAGAACAGTATTACAGCTTGATAGAACACATCCAGCCCCGAAGACCGGATCAAATAGCGGGAGACGACAGAGAAGGAGGTAGATCGCTCTTTTCCTCAGTTACTGGAGCAACGGCTGCTTTGGAAGAGTTGAATGCTCAGTACTGGGTGTCAAATTTGGTTGGTCAAGTGAAATTTGCCAAGTCCCTGAGGGCTTTGTGTTTTGAGACCAATGCCCAGCGTGCTGGGTATGCAGGGGTGTCCAGAATGAGAAGGGCTGGGGCAGCCCAAAAGCCTTCGGTGGATTGTCTCATCGAGATTGGTCCTCATGCGGCACTTTCCGGGCCGATCAAGCAAATTCTCCAGGCCGACGCGAAACTTAATGCTGCCGATATAGCATATATCAGCATTCTGAAACGCAAGGCCAATGCAGTCACTGCAGCGCTCGGAGCCGTCGCTACACTAGCATCACTCAACTATCCAATTAACTTTAGTGCAATCAATAGGCCTACAGGGACCAAGAAAATTCGTACACCACAGCTACTGCTTAATCTTCCAACATATGCCTGGAATCACACTAGGTCATATTGGGCGGAGCCACGACTGAGTAAGATATATCGGAATCGAAGCTCGCCGCGGATCGATTTGCTTGGTGCACCAGACAACATGGCATGTCCATTTGAGCCTCGATGGAGAAATTACCTTCGAACCTCAGAGCTCCCTTGGCTTCTTGATCACAAGATTCAGGGGAACATTGTTTTTCCCGCCGCAGGGTATCTGGCCATGGCAATCGAAGCATCGGTACAGCTGAGCAAGGGCAAAGAAAGGATTGCCAGATACGTTCTGCGAGATGTGGTAATACAATCAGCACTGGTGCTCAGTGAAACCTCTGCCGTCGAGGTTATGGTATCTCTTCAAATGTCAACACAAGACCACGAAAAATTGTACAATTTCCAAATATACTCCATCTCAGAGGAGAATAGGTGGAGTGAGCATTGTACTGGGTTGGTTGGGATACAGAGAAGCATTGGTGTTTCGGGTGATGGGCTCGAGGAAAGTGAGGGTTATGCGACGGTCCCGTTGGGGACAGAGGTTCATGGAATATCGGTTATTGATGTCCATGATTTTTATGAGAAACTTCAAAACTCCGGCCTGGAATACGGACCATGCTTCGCGAATATGACAAAAGCACGTGTCACTCAAGATGGGACGTGCTTTGCAGAAGTCACCATACCAGATACATTATCCGTGATGCCTGCGTCATTTCAGCATGAACTTTTCGTCCATCCATGCACTCTGGATAGCATGTTCCAAACAATTTTTGCCGCTCTACCTCCAGGTATGGGGATTGAGGAAGGACCTGCCATTCCTGTTTACATCGAAGAGATGATTGTATCCTCAAGTCTCAGCTGCTCGGGAGGAAAGCTAATGAGCATCTGTACTCATGTGCGCCCAATGCCCAAAAAGGGCGTGATGGCATGTATAGCCGCGGTGAGTTGTAACGAGATGAAATTCGAAACCGAGCCAACTCTTTCACTTCGTGGCCTACGATGTGCGCGGCTCGAGCGTCATGAACCGGCATCGCAGACAAAAGAAAGCCGCCTCATTTACCAGATTGACTGGAAGCCTGATCCGAAGTTTCTTTCTGGCAATAACGCGTCATTTCTATTCAACGACAAGGGTGCTGTTCAAGAACCCGCGCCTCAACCAGAATACGATGAGAGTGCAGCCGGCTTCATTAGAGCTGCGCTGGAGGAAGTCAGTACAACAGAGGCAATGGGGCTTGACTATTCTCACCGCAGATTCCGGTGTTATCTCCAAGATGTGCTCGAAAGACACGATAAAACCTCAATATCGTTATCTCACTGGGAAAATGTCGATTCCATGCCGATGGGAAGGCTCCTTCCTCTCATTGGCCAGAATCTGGTGGCTATTATTCGAAACCAAGTTGAATTTTCCACAGTCATCAAAGATGATCGCCTTTTGGATGAGTTCTGGGATATATTCTCAGCTGACGCCTCTTATCGGGCAGCTGCAAAGTATGTCAATTTGATTGGCCACACAAAGCCAGACATATCCATCCTTGAATTTGGGGTTGGGACAGGCCAGGTAGCGGAGGTAATTTTGAACCATCTTGTGACGCTCAATGGGACACCGCATTGCGGAAAATATACATTTGCTCACGAAAGTGCTTCTATTCTTGAGCATACCTTGAAGCGGCTGGAGGCGTGGTCCAAATTGGTTAGATGCAAACCCCTGGATCTTGGCAAGGATTTCACCAAGCAAGGATTTGAAAAGAATTCATTTGACATCATAATCCTGCCGCATGGATTGTGTACTGCACGTTGTGAAAAAAGTGCGCTTGCCAAAATCCATGATCTTTTGGGGCCACATGGCTATCTGATTGCAATCAATGCCTTTGACCCAAAGAAGGATGTCGTGAAAAATCTTTTATTTGGTGCATTGCACTGCTTGTCAGCAGAAGAATTCTGTCTGGGACAAGGTGGTTGGACAGCGAGTCAATGGGACGAGATCCTGAAAGATGCGTATTTCACAGAGGTTGATGCCTATGCGGAGCAAGACTCTGAGAAGAGCCACCAATTCATCGTGGGCAAAAAGCGAAAAACCAAAAGATCGCCTAGAATTGTTTCCATCATTTGTCAGGACAGAACAAAAGCTGTCAGATATCTAGTTAATGAACTCGAGAAGACCTCGGGGGATGTGAATGTGACAGACCTCGATAATGTGGAGTGTAAGGACCAGATTTGTTTGGTCTTGGATACTTCAAATTCTTCTTTGCTGGCCGCTCCCAATGAAGTCACATTCAGCAAGATAAAAGAATTGTTTACACAGAGTGGAGGAGTTCTCTGGATAACAAGGGGAGGGACAATTGAGGCCGTTAACCCTAACGCGGCCTTGGCTGTTGGATTTGCAAGAACGGCGCGCGCCGAATCGGGTGTCAACCCGATTGTCACCCTTGATCTGGATATTCAAAATCCCCTCTCGGAATCCCAAGCCGCGAAGATGATCGCAAAGGTGCTGGTTACGCGGTTTCTCCGTGAGAATATGGATGAAGACACGGAATATGCAGAGAGAAATGGACAAATCCTGGTTCCACGGGTACTAGAGAATGTGAAAGCGAACAAGGCCATGAACAGTATCAATGATATTGAGGCTGTATCCGATCAATTTTTCCATCAGCTCCAGCAACCTCTCCGTCTTTCCAGGAAATTTGATAACCCCGGTTTTGTTGGTGATTCCCAGATGGGAGAACTCCCGGTCGGCTACGTCGGAATCAAAGTACACTGTTTCAGCCTGAATAAATGGGATATTCAGCCAGATCATCTGGATTGGGAAACAGACGATACCATTGGTCTGGAGTGCAGTGGCATAGTATACAAGATCGGCACCGGGGTCCACGGCATTACGGTAGGCGACCGGGTTGCGTGTCTCGGAACTGGGACTGCGAGAAGCTTTTATCATGATCAAGCATCAGTCTTCCAGAAGATCGATGACGGAATGTCATTACAAGTGGCTTCATCTTTGCCACTAGCATATACAATTGCTTACTATGTTGTGAACTACCTGTCACTGACAGAGTCAAATGAGGTCGTTGTCATTCATGAGGCCGGCAGTCATTTCGGCCAAGCACTTCTTGAAGTGTACTTACTGAGGGACGCTCGGATATTTGCGATAGTACAGAGCTCCGAAGAAAAGGACTTGCTGAGCTCGAGGTTCGGGATATCCGAGGAGCATGTCTTCATAAACGAAAAAGATGATATAGTCAAGGGTGTGCTACGTTTGACGGACGGCAAAAAGGCAAACGTAGTAGTCACGTTCGAGACGACAGAGGACAAAGTTCTCCAGAATTGCACCGCGCCATTTGGTCGGTTTATTCAACTTCGAACAAACAATACCAAAACTAGACCATTGTCATGTCCTCAGAATATGTCCCTGTCTACTGTCAATATATTCGAGCTTCAAAGGGAGAGGACCGACCTTACCAACCAGATATGGCCGAAAGTCTTTCGCTTGTTCCTCCAAGGACGACTCAAAGGGCCTAGTTTTACCGATGTATATCAGGTTGGATATATTCAAGAGGCAATAACGGCAGTTCAAACCCGCCAACATGTTGTGGTCCATGTGGAAGACGGTGATACTGCGAAGGTACGGCCTATCCCATACCACGGAGGAAATTTGCCTCCGGCTAACGAGATCTAGGCCATGCTGCCTAAGGCTACCCATCCGTTGTTCTGTGGAAATGCGTCATATATGCTGGTCGGTGGGCTTGGCGGAATTGGGAGGGAAGTAGCTTCGTGGATGGCGCAAAATGGGACAAAGAGCCTAGTTTTCGTCAATAGAAGTGGCCTTTCAACGCATCAGTCTCAGACGACAGTCAGAAATCTGGTGGAAAAAGGTATCCAGGTAACTACAAGATCTTGCGACATATCCGATGAGACTGAAGTTCAACGAATGTTTCATGAGCTCTCTTATTGCGTGCCCCCAATACGGGGGCTGATTCAGGCAGCCATGGTCCTCAAGGACGTTCACGTTGAAAATATGAGGTTAGACGAGTATCGAGATGTCATGGGCCCGAAGTATCATGGGACATGGAATTTGCACCGATATGTCCCCGCGGACCTTGACTTCTTCCTGATGTTATCATCTATCAGCGGCGTTATTGGGAATGCCACACAGGCTGCCTATGCCACTGGCTGCACTTTCATGGATTCATTCGCTGCCTATCGAAGGGGTTTAGGTCTTCCGGCAGTGTCTTTGGATCTTGGAACGATTACAGATGTTGGCCATTTGGCCGAAAACAAGGATTTAGCCGCAAAGATGGAACGGCAAGGATTTCAGGGCACTAAAACGCCAACTCTTTTATCTCTGATACAATTTGCAATCTCTCAGTCAATGAGCGGAAGAGCACAACTTGTAACTGGCCTTGGCCAATGGAAAGAGAAGGAATCACTTGGGAATTTTGATGCGCCCTTGTTTGCCCACTTCCGATACATGTTTCAGGGTCATGGCGAATCTACTGCGCTTGGTGACTCGATGGAAGGATTGAAGGTTGAACTTGATGTTGCAAAAACGGTGGATCAAGCCACCATTTTAATCTGCGACGCTCTGAGCAGGAAGATTGCCTCTCACCTCTCCATCCCGATGGAAAACATTAATCCTTCGAATCCTGTTTCCGAGTATGGAGTTGACTCCCATGTGGCTGTGGACCTGCGCAACTGGATATCAAGATGCACGGATTGCACTATCCCCATTTTGGAAATTCTAGCAAGTTCTATGTTGGAGTTATCTCATAAGATTGCCAGCCAGAGAGTCGCCGGCAAATCGGAGTGAGTTACTAGTGTAATGGCGTGGAGCGAATACTATATATACTGTGGAATATCTAATATGATATCTACTCCGTTCTATCTAGCTTAACATTCATGGAAGTATATTACCAAGCATTGATTAGATTTCCTAAAGGCTGTAGATCAGGAATAAAAGAAATAAAACTACAAACTGACTTTCAAATGAATGAAAATTTCGACCAACTAACAGCCAATGGGAAACGAGTATTCTACCGTAATCTTGGAGCAATTAAAATCCATATGGATATCCACAAGTCCCTCCTTAACTGGTCCTAAGACATGTACGTCGAGAGGCTATGTTGTACTGTTATCATTTCCGTTAGCATTTCTATACTTACATATGTAATGATTATCCTTCACCTAGGCAAGTTATACGGGTATAGAGAGATACCACAGATATCGGAGCGTCCCGAATATTATCTTGGGCTAGATGAATCAGTTAAAGTCTTACAGAGTCAAGGACAGAGGCTGTATAAGTGGCCGATTCTGATAATAATGCAGCCATATAGTATGTAGATAAGAACTACATACTGATGTCGTGATGAAGGCTAAAATTAAGGAGTGATCATAATGGGGCCGGACTGTATAGTTAGCCCGAGGCCCGAAGGCTGTGTATAATGCTAATTTACTATACTTAGAATCCCTAGATTGTCCTCTCCGCTAGACCTGAATAAGGTAATTGGTTCTCCTCGAGTTTTAGTCTAGATCTATAAGAATTCGGAATGCACCATGGAAAGTCGCATAGTTGAGCACGAGGGTTTTACCCGCGAATCTTCCGTCTTACTATCACTAGTCGTCTGACTTTCCGTGGTTACATATAGGCAGAATTAGTTCAACTCTCGGCTTTCGGCGATTTCATCTCCGTGGAGGGATTTACTGTTTGATTAGTGTTAGTTATATAAACGTCGTGACTCTATGGTTTATTCTTACTTCCGAATAATAGAGGTGATACGGCCGACACCTGACATAAGGGGTTACGGAGTTACGGAGTATCTTGTAACTAATTATTCGGATTATTTTCTACCTCCTAAGACCGAGAAGAACAAAGATCTCAAGAGACCCAGTGGGCCAATGACTCCTGCGACTAGATTGATGCCAAGACTCCAATCGGAACTTGAGACAGGCGAATAAGCCGTTTAGTCAGCGGCTCGGACGCAGAGACTTTCCCCGAACGTTGATTGTTATCAAATTCATATGCTTTCTTGACAAGATCTATCACTTGGGCTCCGCACAAAATTTTTAATGTTGCCAATAATGTAACAATGAGGGTTCGGCCTCGGACTTCCGGGGCCGGTATCGTGGACCCCCCTAAGAATCTTATATAAGGATAGAGTTCTCCCCAAGTTGGTATATGCGTGGCCTAGTAATCCGCCTCTTTAAACGCCTCACATCTTCAGAGGTCTCTTCCCCGCCATCATGGATGGGCCAGAAAAGCCCCCGGGCGCAAGCTCTTACGAAATGCAACTAGACACTGAAAGCGCTAGGACGATCACGGGCGACGAAACTCCCCGCATGGAGACCCCCAGTCCCAAAGGAAATGACTGGAGCATGATGACCAAGCTCCAGGAGGATCACAATCGCGACATGGCTGCTGGATTCAGAAGACAGGAACTTGGTATCACTTGGAAGGATCTCTCCGTGCAGGTAATAAGCTCGGAGGCCGCCGTGAATGAGACTGTTCTTTCCCAGTTCGATATTCCCACCAAAATCAAGGAGAGCCGACGAAAGCTCCCTCTCCGAACAATTCTCAACAAGAGTCATGGCTGCGTGAAGCCCGGTGAAATGTTGCTTGTGCTGGGCCGCCCCGGCTCTGGCTGCACGACATTGTTGAAAATGCTTTCTAACCGACGAGGAGGATACAAATCAGTGGAGGGCGATGTTCGCTTTGGATCCATGACGCCCGAGGAGGCTAAATTGTTCCGAGGCCAGATTGTGATGAACACTGAAGAAGAGATCTTTTTCCCGACCCTCACAGTTGGTCAAACCATGGACTTTGCCACGCGCCTGAAAGTACCCTTTCATCTGCCAGATGGTATGACTGCCTCGGAATACCAGCAAGCCACGAAAAAGTTCCTCCTCGAATCCGTTGGAATCTCTCACACTGAGGATACTAAGGTCGGCAATGAGTACGTTCGTGGAGTCAGCGGTGGTGAACGCAAGCGAGTTTCAATCATCGAATGCATGGCTAGCCGAGGATCCGTCTACTGCTGGGATCAATCGACTCGTGGCCTCGACGCCTCTACTGCCCTTGAATGGACGAAGGCTATCCGCGCCATGACTGACACACTCAATCTGTCGACCGTGGTCAGTCTTTACCAGGCTGGTAACGGCATTTACAATCTGTTCGACAAGGTCCTCGTGCTTGATGAAGGAGAGCAGATCTTCTACGGTACTAGAGAGCAAGCCAGGCCATTCATGGAGGAAGCCGGATTCATTTGCCGCGAAGGTTCAAACGTCGCCGATTACCTCACCGGTGTTACTGTACCCACCGAGCGCAGAATTCGAGATGGGTTCGAGAACCGCTTCCCGCGCAACGCCGAGGCCCTGAGAGCTGCATATGAACAATCGACAATATATTCCCAAATGGTAACAGATTATTCTTACCCGGATTCCGAGATCGCCCGCGAGCGGACTGAGGAGTTCAAGCAAGGTGTACTATATGAAACTTCCAAAAAGCTACCCAAGAACAGCTCCTTCACAGTTGGCTTCATTGATCAGGTCAAGATCTGTGTGCAGCGCCAGTACCAAATTCTTTGGGGTGACAAAGCTACGTTTATCATCAAGCAGGTGGCAACACTTATCCAGGCCCTAATTGCCGGCTCCCTGTTTTATGATGCCCCCAATAACTCTGGTGGACTTTTCATCAAGTCCGGTGCCGTTTTCTTCTCCCTTCTCTACAACAGCTTGCTCGCCATGAGTGAAGTGACCGAGTCTTTCTCTGGAAGACCTGTGTTGATCAAGCACAAGGGCTTCGCTTATTTCCACCCGGCCGCTTTCTGTCTTGCCCAGATCGCGGCGGACATTCCTGTATTGCTTTTCCAAATTTCTGTGTTTGGTCTGGTTCTCTACTTCATGGTTGGACTCACAATGACCGCCGGCGCATTCTTCTCCTGGTGGATTATCGCGTTCACAACCACAATGGTATGTAATTTTTTCTCCACTTGACTCATGGATGTAACTAATCGGTACACAGACTATGACTGCACTTTTCCGAGCTGTGGGCGCTGCCTTCTCTACCTTCGATGGCGCCTCCAAGGTGTCGGGGTTTCTCATCATGTGCACCGTTCTTTACACCGGATATCAGATCCCAAAGCCTCAAATGCACCCCTGGCTCGGGTGGATCTTCTGGCTCGATCCGCTTGCCTACGGGTTTGAGGCTATGCTGAGCATTGAATTCCATGATAAGACTCACATTCCATGCGTCGGCACCAACCTCATACCCAACGGCCCCGGATATGAGGATGTCGCAGCGCACCAAGCGTGCGCTGGTGTGCCTGGTGCGATTCCAGGCCAGAACTTCGTGGTCGGTGAAAACTATCTAGCATCGCTTTCGTACAGTTACTCGCATGTTTGGCGCAACATGGGTATCAATTGGGCCTGGTGGGTTTTGTTTGTTTTCATCACGATCGTCGCAACTACAAGGTGGAAGACAGCGTCTGAGGCGGGTAGCACTCTGGTCATCCCTCGTGAATACTTGCACAAGCATGTCCAAAATCAACAGAAGGACGAGGAAGGCCAGAGTTCAGAGAAGAAGGTTTCCCAAACCAAGGATGAGAGCCCAAAGCTCGACAACCAGTTGGTCCGCAACACCTCGGTCTTCACATGGAAAAACCTTTCATACACAGTGAAAACACCCACTGGTGACCGCCTCCTCCTTGACAATGTCCACGGATGGGTGAAACCTGGTATGCTCGGGGCTCTTATGGGCTCGTCTGGCGCCGGCAAGACCACCCTGCTTGATGTTCTCGCTCAGCGCAAAACCGAAGGAACTATTCATGGCTCTATCATGGTTGACGGACGTCCATTGCCAGTCTCATTCCAGCGTTCAGCCGGCTATGTTGAACAGCTGGACATCCATGAACGCATGGCCACGGTTCGGGAATCATTGGAATTCTCTGCGCTTTTGCGCCAACCTGCTACCGTTCCTCGCGAAGAGAAACTTGCTTATGTGGATGTTATCATTGACTTGCTCGAGCTCCATGATCTGGCTGATACCATGATTGGTAGTGTGGGAGCTGGATTGAGTGTCGAACAACGCAAGCGTGTCACTATCGGAGTTGAACTTGTTTCTAAGCCTAGCATTTTGATTTTCCTCGACGAGCCTACCAGTGGTCTTGATGGCCAGAGCGCGTACAACACCGTCAGATTCCTTCGCAGACTTGCAGATGCTGGCCAGGCTGTCCTGGTCACTGTTCATCAGCCATCTGCCCAACTTTTCGCCGAGTTCGATCAGCTTCTTCTTTTGGCCAAGGGAGGCAAGACTGTTTATTTCGGTCCTATTGGAGAAAATTCGAAGAGCATCAAGAACTACTTCTCACGTTACGGAGCGCCATGCTCGCCTGATACTAACCCTGCTGAGCACATGATCGACGTCGTTTCGGGCCAACTGAGTCAGGGTAAAGATTGGAACAAGGTCTGGCTGGAATCACCTGAACACGGTTCCATGCTCAAGGAGCTTGATGAGATCATTGAGACCGCCGCATCAAAGCCGGCAGCTATCACCGATGATGGTCGGGAGTTTGCTACCACCCTTTGGGAGCAGACTGTACTAGTTTCGAAACGTACCTCGACCGCCTTGTTCCGAAACTGCGACTACATCGATAACAAATTTGCCCTTCACATCTCATCCGGCTTGTTTATAGGCTTTAGTTTCTGGAAGATTGGTGACGCTGTCACCGATCTTCAGACTGTGTTGTTCTTCATCTTTAACGCCATCTTTGTCGCTCCCGGTGTGATCAATCAACTGCAGCCGACCTTCCTTGAGCGTCGTGATCTGTTTGAGGCACGCGAGAAGAAGGCCAAAATGTACTCCTGGAAAGCGTTCACTATTGCCTTGATTGTCTCGGAGTTCCCATATCTAGTTGTCTGTGCCGCCCTCTTCTTCAACTGCTGGTACTGGCTTGGTGGTATGCCAGTTGATTCTAGCAAGAGCGGTAGCATGTTTTTCGTGTTCCTTCTCTATGAGTTCCTTTACACCGGCATTGGTAAGCCCCCCATTCTGTCCGTTTTACATCAACCCCCTCTAACAAATTACCCCTAGGTCAATTCATCGCTGCATACGCACCGAACGCTGCCATGGCTTCTATGATGAACCCTCTCGTACTAGGAGTAAGTCCTCTTCGTTCTCACCCTTCGTGATATCTCAACTAACACTGCACCTCTCAGATCATGATTTCTTTCTGCGGTGTCTTGGTCCCCTATGCTCAAATTCTCAGCTTCTGGCGATACTGGATCTACTGGCTCAACCCTTTCAACTACCTCATGGGCAGCATGTTGGTCTTTGGAGAGTTCGATCGCGAAGTCCATTGCAAGGAGCAAGAATTCGCCAAGTTCGATGCACCAAATGGACTCACTTGCGGTGAATACCTGAACGACTTCATGCAGGCCATGGGCGCCCGTATGAACCTCGTCAACCCCGAGGCGACCGAATCATGCCGCGTGTGTCAATACACCCGTGGATCCGATTACCTTGTCACTGTCAACCTGATGGACTACTACTATGGCTGGAGAGACACGGGCATTGTGGCCCTTTTTGTGGTCAGCTCATATGCGCTGGTGTTTGGCCTCATGAAATTGAGAACCAAGGCTTCCAAGAAGGCCGACTGATGGGGTTTGGAATTCTAGGTGTTTGGACTTTCAGGGGTTTGGTTGTCAACTTTTCCACCACTCATTATATATAGACTTGCATTGTCTTTTTTCTTTTCTTCTTCAACCTTCATTCTCTAGACTTTCTCTTTCCTTGTTCACTTTTCATTCTATGCGATCATCTCGATGTATGAGTATATATCTCTTTTTCTTCTCTACCGTTAGCTACAAAATCTGTGCATCTCGACTTATCCGTTTGAACTTCAATATATATTAATTGAAATCATTATCTTTCATTTCTCATTTGAATATTTCACAGAAAACCACTAGTAAGATGCCGAGGATAGAGAAACTCGCCCCAAGATAGGAGTTACACCGGCCAAGCTCCAGCCACACGGAGAAAGTGCGAGCCCTCCAGAATGAAAGAAAAGAACAACGACAAAGACTGGCGGATCCAATGATCGACATAGGGGACCGATACTACATTCCTGTTTAGTCCTCGCTAATAGACAAGTCGACACTTGGAGCTCGGCTGATCACGGACTTTGTCCGAGCCAATGTCAAAAAAACGGCCAAGTTGAAGCCCGAGACCCCAGTCTTGGCTAAATAGGTTGGGGTAAAGGATTGTGTTTCGTTTAGAATCCTTCATGCCACAGGTCAATTGTGTATCCACCGTGGGGGCCCCTCAACACCGTCATACCACCAGATCCCCTCGTATAATCTCCGCTATGAGATCTCCCCGCAAAGTGATTGGACCCCCACGTTTCTCCAGAATTCAGAATTCACGGGGTAAATGCGATCTCCGTGATAGCTGTCGGGTTGCCACTTTTGTAGTGTAACATGACATGGCCCATCCCGCTCTCCGCACATAAATGAGCGCTCCCCGGAGCGGAGCTTGTGTCTGCGTTATACTATTCTATTTGATCCAAGCATAATGGTCGGAGCTGAAAATGCTATCAGTGAGGCGGAGTTGGGGATGAAGATGGACTTGAGCCATGAGGAAGTTGTCCATATGACAGAGTTGTCTGAGGAAGATAAAGTTATCGAGAAGGCACTGCGTAGACGCATTGATGCCCTGATTATGCCACTGGCTATTCTGGTCTATCTGATGAATTATATTGATCGGTATGTTTGTCTCATTCATACCACTCGGTCAATACTAATAGAACCAGCAACAATTATGCCGCAGCGAAACTCCAGGGCCTTGAAGAGGACCTCAACCTCGATGATACCAAATACCAAACCGGCCTCTCTATTCTCTTCGTTGGATACATTCTCATGCAGGTACCTTCAAACATGCTTCTGAACTACATGGGCCGACCATCCCTGTACATCGGGTTCTTCGTCACCGCTTGGGGGCTGGTATCGACATTGACAAGTCAAGTTACAAGCTATGGAGGAATTGTGGCCTGTCGATTCATTCTAGGTCTGGTTGAAGCACCATTCTTCTGCGCTATTCTCTTCTATCTATCCAAATGGTATACAAAGAAAGAACTGGCTTTCCGTATGAGTATCTTCTACTCCGGCTCCCTGCTGAGTGGCGCTTTCGGAAATCTCATTGCCGCTGGTATTCTCAACGGTCTTAAAGGCCAACGAGGACTTACGGCATGGCAATGGCTTTATATTATCGAAGGTTCCATCACCTGTGCCATCGGACTGGTCATTTGCTTCGTTCTACCCGACTTTCCGGAGACATGGAAACTTCTGGACCCGGAGATGCGCCGAGTTGCCCAGCGACGTCTGGCCATTGAGGCTGGCCAGTCCGATGTGGATGAAGGGGGTGGCAAAACACAGGTGGAGGGATTCAAACTCGCAATGACCGACATCAAAACATATGCATTCGCCCTGGCATATATGTGCATCACCGGAGCTTCAGGTTTCCAGAACTTCTTCCCGACATTGGTGAAGACTCTCGAGTTGCCCGAAACCATCACTCTGGTGCTGGTGGCACCCCCATATCTCTTCATGGTTGTATATTCCCTTTGCCACTCTGTGGCTTCTGATAAGCTGGAGAAGAGGTTCTGGTTCTTCATTTACCCGATCCCGATCACTATCATTGGATTTGTCATCTTCATGACAACCAACTCTTTTGGACCACGCTACTTCTCGTTCTTCTTGATGGTCTTCGTCTTCGCCCAGAATGGAACTCTATACTCTTGGCTGGCGAGCTCCATTCCTCGTCCACCGGCCAAGCGCGCTGTGGGTATGTGATATATCCATTCCCTGAATGTGTTCTACTGGCCATGCAGCTAACCAGTACAGCCTTCGCATTTTTCAACTCAGTTGGAAACAGCGCTTCAATTTGGACCCCTTACACATATTTTGAAAGGGAAAAACCTCATTACATCACGGCAATGGGTGTTTGCATTGCGCTGCAGATCGTTGGTGGCCTTGCAGCCACCTTCTTATACTTCAATTTGAAAATGCTCAACAAACGCCAGGAGCGTATAGAGAATGAGGAGGTGCAGCTTAGTGAGAAGGATATTCGTCGGTTGCAGGTTACTGCTGATATTGAGGGAATTGATATTGCCGCTGCTAGACGGCTGCAGAAGGGATTCCGTTATGTATTGTAAAGAATTCTAGCAAACTTGATATGATTGATTTGATTTGATCGGATTCGACATACTAATATTGTATTATTCCAGATTAAATGCATACGGGAATTCTCAGTATAGAACATAGTCCTACCAACTGTAGCAACTCAGATATAATAAAGAGGAATAAAGGGATAGAGTCCGAGTGGCACGACTTGTCTCATATGCTCCGAATTTCCCAATGCATCAACCCATAGTCACCTGACTCAATGAAGTCATCATTTAAATATCCGTGGACTCCAGGGCTACTCTCTCATCGCCATTTCTTCCCATCACATCCACATCTCTGAATTGTTCACAGCTTCACAGTCCAATAGTTCAAACCTGACTCCAAGTACTCTATCGTACACAGTGTGACAAATCGAGTTCGACATCCCCATAGCATTTTCCCACCATGCAATCAACAACTTTACGACCTATTTTGCGTATTACTACGAATTCAACCCTTCTTCGATCTCTATCTACCACTCCTAAAATTATGGGTGCAGGTGATCTGGGTTCGACAAAGTCGGGCTTCATGGCCGAGTATGGGGACACAACTACAAAATGGATGACGTCATAGCTGACCATTCTAACAGGAAGGACTCTTTCGCCAAACGTGAGGCTGCACATGAAGCCATGTATATTCGAGAGCAAGAAAAGCAAAAGTGAGTTGCACTGGCTGTATATGTTCATCTAAAGACGTTGACTTACTCGGCAATAGGCTTGAGCGTCTTAAGGCAAAGCTTAAGGAACAGCGCAAGCATATGAATGAACTTGACAAACATCTGTAAGGATCCTCGATTTTCCCAATGAGCCAAATTCTGACAATCGCAGTGATGAGTTTGCCAAGAGTCAGGGGGGCGAACAGAACTAGCTTTCCGACTTCGTTGCGGGCATGTCCTGAACGATCGAGCTCACCCGAGACATTACTCAACTTTCAACTAACAACAGTGCCACAATCATTCTCAAATTTTTGTACACGATAATTTTCTATCCTAGCGTTATTATGACCTGGAATGCGACATCAAATTTCAATCTGAGATCATTTTCTATTCTATCCATCAACTAGATCTTTGCCTGCCACCTCCACCGGTAGCTCAAACAGGCCCATCTCGCCATCACGAACAAACCAAGTGAGACTATCAAAACACTTCCCAAATAAGCCACCATGGCTCTCTTCCCGACTTTGTCAAGCATCTCACCGCCAATGGGGATACAGATTAGTGTGCTTGGTTCCCATTAGCGACGCGCTACCAAACTGGATTTTAATGACTTACGCAAAACTGACAATAGAATATGTCAGCCCGAACCTTCCACCGACCTCGCTCGCCTTGGAGATCTGCCCAATACAGGCCGGTGCAAGACTCAGAAATGATCCTGAAGCAAGCCCAAAGATAACCGAGAACATGTAAAGTCCTGCCAGGGAATTACCGAAGGGGAGCCAGATCACAAACACTGCAAATGCACCCACAGCAATAAGTGCGGTCTGCGTGTTGATTCTGCCAAACCGATCAGCCACACCTCCGGCCCCCAAACGTCCTACCGTGGAGGCTCTATTCCAGACTAATCAGCGCTTTACTCGAAACACCATCAACACCAATCGCCACTCACATATTTAGAACAGCGAGAAGAATGACACTGGTATTGGTAGAAAACCCCTGCATAATAACATAGGTTGGATAAAGGCCTATGCCAGCGAAAACCTCCAACTCGAGAGCTGTCCCAAGTCAGCATTTCGTTTCTTCTGCTATCCGGATCCTCAACCGAAATCAACTCACCAAAGATGCCCAATGTCAGCCAGGTAAACCTTGGATCTTGCAAAGAACGCAGGTTGACAGTTGATTTACTTCTGCCCTTCGGAAGACGTGCCTTCACCAGAACTGTTCCAACCATACACAATACCAGCACCAGAAAAGCCAGCAATCGAATCGTCCACTTATATCCCAAATTGGTGAATCCGGCTCTGAGCACAAAGGGAAGCACCACACCACCGAGTCCCGCACCCGACATCGAAATCCCAATAGCAAGAGCTGCCTTTTGATCGAACCATTGAGGTACACTGGCCAACGCCACCGTGCTCAAGAGCGCGGCACCAGTTCCAGAGAGAACACCAAGAGTAAGAACAAAATGCCAGTAAAGATGGCTTTCAGCAAGGAGAAGAAGACCAGCCACATAGCATACAGTACCAGTGATCAGAATCGTCCTAGGCCCATATCGATCAAACATCGGCCCAACCTGGACAGAAACACCCAGGCCAAAGAAGGTGAACAGTCCCGGAATCCAGCCGATTGCACTAGGCGAGTAGCTCGCTAGCTGGTGAGTAGCGAAGTAATTTTGCAGAATTCCGGTCGTATTCATCACGCCGAATGTACCCATCAAGAGACAAAATGACCCCATCACAACACACCATGCTTGCAGTCCTCCGTCTGGGAATGTCTCATCGGTACTATGACCGGTGAGATGGGTGGTCAGTGTGGATAGCTCGGCTGGGGGTTCGATAATGGAAAATGCCGACCGGGGAGCTTCTTCGTCGAGGTTTGTGTTGTGTCCAGAGGGATATCCAGACACACTTGTCGAGGCTGATTGCCATGGCTCTTGTACTGCCTGTTGCACAGATATGGTGGAATTTTGCATAATGATATTCTTGACCCTCGACAGATGGATACTGAGGTGAGACTTTGAGCTCAACAATTTGCTATAGGAATATCCTAAAAGATCCCAATTATTTGAAAGTGACTCATTAGCTGAACATGATAAGGGTTTGCATTAGTCTCAGTGAGTTCATGGTGGGGTAGAATATCGTATTTTGGAGTATACATCGGCACCGGCTTCCGATTTTGATCGGGGATGGCCGTGGTCGCCAGTAGACATAGGATATGTATTTTGATTTATATTCTTCAGAGGCTTAGAGTCGGGTCCGGTGGCTGAATTGGTTTCCTTCCAAAATCCTAGATCCTAGGACACTTCAATGTTCTTCTTTACGATATTTTCACCATCGGCTCCCTTCCCGAGATTACTTGGCGTTGAGTCGGCGTCCGAAAGGGGGAATTTGATCAGGAATACATATGTAGAAAAATGTGCGTTAGTCACTTTGGAAATACCTTCGGATATTATTCTTTGATGGTGGGATTTGAGTGTAGAATCTCTATGGATACACGCAATTTGTCTCAAGAATCACGTACCCGATATGTATATCGGCATTGATCTTTTTTTTTTCCATGGAAAGTTCATGTCATAGAATAATTTCAGATATTTTTTTCTTGAATCGCATATATAGAGATTGCCAAATGCAAAAGGATAGTTATGTAGCTGTATAGTACAAAGTGAGGTTGGTGAAGATGGCATGACAGTCTCGCCACTCCCAAAATCACCCGCACCAAAAAGAAAAAGATCCCGATTTCCTCCATTCAACATTTCAAACCGAGTGGCATGACTTGGGGAATTAAACCAGGTGACGCTGTAACCATTTCGTCTGTGAATAGCAATTTTTACTTACCTAGCATATATTTACCCTATTTCTCTTGACATTCAAGAACATCAATTCAGATCTCTAAAATGTCAACAACACAATGCACTAGGCTCCTCACCAGAAACATTCCTCAAGTGAGGCGAGGACGCCAACTACAAACCTCTCGTGTCACTCTCGTTGGCACTCCAACCCCAAGTCGCAATCCTACCATTGACTCTGAACGTTTACCATATCGACTCTACGAACTCTCTCTAAAGAAGATCCGAAAAGAGGCCCACGCGGCTGAACCCGATCTACGCCATGTCATTGCTGGCCTCGCAATGCAAAAAGTGGTTTCCACTGCTGTGCATGATGATCTTCTGCATCGAGTCGACATGATCGAAACCGCAAAACCACCTCCAAGACTACCCATCTTACCAGGGGCCGACGAGCCGTGGGAGCATGAAGAAGTCACCGCATACCAATCATCAAACCCAAATACCTGGGATATTGAATCTCTCGATCAAGCACTTTATGAGATGGAACGTGCGAGCAAGAAAGGGAATGTTGCAAAATCTGTTTGTTTTCAATTAATTAGTGAGATGGATAAATGATCGAATTCATACCAACGCGTCCAAAGGTGTTATATAAGTCCCATTAAACCACTTGTTCAACTCGCCCTATAGATATTATTTTCATCCCGCAATCCACGTGGCTCTTGAGGATACTGTGCCCATAAGTCATCCTATGGGGTGTTTCGCCTCAATCATCTCTCGCTTCTGTCACTGCTCTCACTTTCACACCGGAGGCCTGGCAGTTTTGCCATTCCCCTCTTACACTTTTCGTTGATTCTATCCTTACAATCTTCTCTTCAAGCATTTTTCTTGCTCAAATCTGCCTCGGGTCTTGCTGCTTATGATTTCGCGCTTTCTTTCGGCTTGCAAACTTATGATTTCATTACGCTGAAGCATTTTCCTGAAGCATTGCCGTAACATCCAACCATGGCGGAGGAAACCAGATGGTGCTACACCTGCAATAAGGAAAAGCCAAAGGATATGTTTCGGGCACCTGAAGCTACAGGGAAGGAATTCTATAAGTTGTGTGAGGCTTGCCGCACAAAATATCGAAATGTGAGGACATCACATGCCTAGATGGGCAGAAGCTTGCCATTAATCTTTCAAATCTAGACTAAAATCACACAGAGATCACGAGCCAAAAGGGCCAAAACAGACGGTGGACGAGTTAGACCATATTCTCTCCCCGAGCCATCGCCCCAAACGAACATCCACCTCAGCAACTCGGAGACTGGACCTGCCTCTGCAAGGACTAGTGCTGCGCCAACCACCCCAATACCTGAACAACCGAAAAACTCGCACGCAGATACCAGCGATCACAGTCAAGTCACAATTGCACCGCCCGTTGTCGAAAGCTCTGCGCAAAGCACAACAACAACCACTGTCATCACCATTTCAACCACCACCGTCTCCAAGAATATGACTGAAACATCAAATAAATCGGAAGAAAATGCAAAGTCAACACAAAACCATATCCCAGAGGTCAAAGATGAAGACCCGGAATCAGTTTCAAGTGGACCTGGATCCGAACAGCGAAGTGAAATGGAACTAGGAAATCACCAGCGTCCTGAATTCTTTGGCTGTCTGCATTGCGAGAACCTTCGCCCATGGCCAATGGCGGCGCTTCACATCTGTTTGTTGTGCATTCGGGACTGGAAGTGGTGTGCGAAGGGTGCCCACAATCAAGCCAAGGCGAACTTCATGTGGAATGATGAGGAGCACGAGGAGTGTTATGTGTGTTACTTCGCGGGTATGTAATGCTTTTTGCTCGGCATGGAGACTGCAGGATTATATCTCCGCATGAAGCACCTATACCTAGTGTGTATGGCAGCTTTAATTCCTGATTTTCTTGTTTTTTTTTTTTTTTTTTTCAACGTGGTAGCTTCGTACTAATGTATACGCCATTTGGGTGGGGATGAAGGAGGAACTAGAGATTGAATCATGATAGACTAGATAAAGACAAATTGAAAGCAGCAAAAATTCATCTGTTTCGGGGTGTCTTTTTTGACGTCTTTCGGGATATTTGCTAACCATACCAGGAATACCCACTCGATATCTAGCCTCTATATAGGTTCAAGAGATGGGGATATGGTATGTCTTTCGGTATGGTTATAGACATACCAAATAATGAGATACATATGTCAAGATGTCAATGAAACAGGACGGAAAGTACCTAGAAGGTCGGAATGTGTCAGAATATCCAAGATGGAGGGGCTGTTTCACGTGACAACCATCGAATCCAAGATGATTAAGCTTGTGATTCCTACCACTTTGCATCTACAGCATATATGAAGTAGAGAAATTACAATAATATAGTTCGTGTAATTTATAACTTTGAACCTGCACATTCATTTTGACTAGCCTCCTCTCTAATTCTTCAATCCAATGACCGGCTGTGTCCAGAGCAATATCAAAATATCCAATCAAATCCACCCAATTCAGGTCCCCTCGCAATGGCGGAGTCACTCCACCTACTCACCTCCATTACACCTATCACAACCTCCCGGGGCGTCGACTACTGTCGACCCTAGCGTGCCAATGCCACTTGAGAGCAAGATGGCCCACCCCCCAAGCAAGCAGATCTCGGACTCCCACGTCGGAAATCTGACTCGCCTAAATCCTGTCGTATCGTTGGCTCGGGAAGAGGAACCATTTCCATTAACCCCCTCTCAGCTTCCCTCGCCGCGCCCCCATGGTCGGTGATACGCGACAATTTGCCCCCGACTCACGAGTCAGGAAGGCTCCAAACCGTCAGTCGCGGTCCTGTAAAGTCTGCCGGCTCCGGAAAGTCAAGGTCCGTTATCCCCCCTCCCCGCGTCCTCGTGCTCAGATCGCGCTCGGGTTCGGGAGCCTCCCGTACCCATCTGATGTGTTCCACTGGTCGTAAACACAGCACCCGCAAGGCTAACGTGGATCCCGTTGTCAGTGTGACCGAGTCAAGCCCTGCCACGCGTGCTGTGCTCATGGCTACCCGTCTAAATGCGTCTATGAGCATGTCCCCGACGAAGAAGCCCGCCCCATCAGCCAAGCAGAGGAAATCCGGAACCTACGGGCGGAGATCCGCGACCTGAGAGGAACAGTAGACGATAAACAGAATGGTAGGCCTTGCAGGCCCCGCCCACTCTTTTCTGCAGTGGCAACCAAATATGGGGTTGGAACAATTGCTGATGTCTGTGCAGGATCTAGGGCTGATGATCTCCAGCGCCTGGGCCAGCTCGAGAACTTATTCGAGTCTATTCGCTCAGCACCTAGCTCTATAGTCGATAATCTCGTTCGGGATATTCGGACCGCACATGTCGGCTTTAAGAAGAATTTGGTTCCTGTAGGACCATGGGAAGGCAGGGAAGGTATGTCGTACATCGATTGGTCAAAAAGGCTACCCATGCTGACAGCCCCAGCGTATGAATCCTACGATTATCCTTCGCGCCCTTCGTTGACTCTGCCTGTTCGGAATCGCCTATTAATAAATTCCCCGGGTGAAGACTTTAATAATTTCCAAGTTGAGGATGATGATGACAGCGACTTCGAGCGCATGTCGATGAGTAGTGGCTCCGACTCGTCTGGCACGATCTCGATTATGAGTATGCAAAGTCCCGCGGCCGATGTATTTGTCGAAAGATTTGTAGATGCATTTAGCCCAGAAGTGGACATGAAATCCGGGACAGCGGGTGCACTACGAGCTGCTGCCGGGATTCGAATGTTCTCACCACTCATCACAGACGCCTTCGAGGCTGTTTCGGTGGCATTTTTTGGTCGTTCTGTGCAGAACAAGCATATTGAGGCATCCGGGTTCCGACTTTACCCCCGCGTGTTACGTTCATTGCAGGATGCGTTGGTGGACCCCGAAAAATGCAAAGCAGAGTCCACACTGGTGACTGTGATTCTCTTGCTGGCTTTCGAGGTTGGTTTTAAAATCGGTATTTCTTCCCAGCCAATGCTAACTGTAGCAGAGCGTTGAACGCACTACTCAGAGCGGTGTCTCGGCTCACGTCCGAGGAGCAATGCGCTTGATCGAACATCGTGGACCAGAAAATCACATATATGGTGTTGAACATCTCTTGTTTGCAGAACTCCGTCCATATTGGGTAAGATCACAGCAAGCCTTCCGTAATGGCGTCTTCTCAATCTAACGGCTTAGATTGGCGGCGCTCTGGCAGCTCGACAACCCTCATTCCTGGCCCGTGAAGAGTGGAAGACCATTCCATGGTCGGCAGGCACGACCCAAAAAGATATTTTACATCATCTGCTTGACCTGGCCACCGAGATTCCTGGTTTACTAGCGAAATCCGATGCCTTCAAAGAAGCACAAATCACATCTTTCATGGGCGCACAAGAGATGGCTGTCAAACAGTCTACACTTTGGAACGGAATACGCGAGCTTACAGCCCGTTTCTATCAATGGTACGTAGACTATGTTGTCGCATACCCTGACGGGCCACCGCAGGAAGCCGAACAACACGGCGACCAGGGGTTCCCCATTTTTCAACGCAGGGACCTCCGCACCGGGGCTACTTTCACCCCAACAAGGTTCACATATCCAACCCTGCTACTCGCACAGACCATGTGTCTCTACTACGCCGTGCGATTAATTCTGTCCTCGATCGACTCTCGGCCGGAGGATCGTGTCACGCCAATGGAACAGTACGACTTGGCCTGCGGGATCTGCCGCTCGTTGGAATTTTATATCCTCACTGCACCAGGCAACATGATCAATCGTCTTGCATTCCCCACTCGGGTAGCGTGGGAAGCATTCCCAGATGGAGGCCCAGAGCGCCGTTTCATGGTTGAAGTGCTGCGATTAGTTGAGAAGCGGCATTCCCTTGGGCTCTGGGGCAGTGCCATGCCTGAGTTATCTACAAAAGGAGACTCCCCACTGAATACAGGTAGCTCGTAGTGTGGAAGAAAGTACGGAGTTGTATAAGCCACGATTTAATTATTTTATCACAATAAGTGTTGCGCTCGGGCGCAGCTGTCATTTACAATGAATCCCTATGCCAAAATTGACATGTACACAATGGGCATTGATGAACATTTTCTAATAATGGTATAGTTGTTCAGCTCCCAATAGTATACGGGCTATGTTCCGCAGCTTCCGGCTATGTTATGTGTTGCCTGCATAATAAAATGACCCAATTGAAATGAAAACAAAGTACAACAAAGTACAACATAATGCTACCTGATGTACGGAGTACGGAGTACCTAAGTACTAGAGGGGACACTATGCATGCGAGCTGAAATGATGAATCGAACATTCATCTATTTAATTTTGATTGGATAGAAACAATAGATCCGCCCCTGACACTATAACGCATTCGAAATGGCCCCGACGGGGATCGGCAATATACTAACCACTCACACAGCGATCTAATTGATCAACAATCGATAGTTTGGTCGAGAGGGAAAAATAGGAGATTTGCGTTCCTGCAGATTCCCTCATAAAAAGCATGGGGGGGGCCCATTCTACAATTAACATACCAGTCATACATCGGACAATCATGCCTTCATTCACCAAGTTGGCGCTCTCTGCCCTCGCGATTACCACAGCCCTCGCAACAGGAACCAACGATTTCTCCTGCCAAAGCTCTCACAATCCAGTCGTCCTCCTGCACGGACTTGGCGCCACATTTTATGAAGATCTGAACTTCATGCAGTACTGGCTGCAAACCCAAGGCTTCTGCACGTACGCGATCACATATGGCGCACATGATGGCTTCCCATTGCTTGGCGGCCTGAAGGCAATCAACGAGAGTGCCCCCGAAATCGCCGCGTACATTAAAGAAGTTGTGCAAAAGACCGGAAAGAGCAAAGTTGACCTAGTGGGTCACTCTGAGGGTGCGTTCCAAGCTCTCTACGTGCCTAAGTTCGAGGGCGTCGCCCACCTCGTCGACAAGATCGCATCTATCGCACCACCTACCCATGCCACTACATTTGCCAACATCTACGACCTCGCATACTTGTTTGGCAACGCGTCGCGCGAACTCGTGGGCGAAGTGCTCGATACTCTCGGCTGCCCTGCTTGTGACGATCTCGGCCCTGATGGCGCAGCCGTTTTGCGCTTGAACGACGGTACCCCCATCGCGCAGCCCGGTAACAGTATCACTATCATCGCGTCCAAGTATGATGAGCTGGTTACCCCCCTTCCACATCTTTCATCAATGAGGACGGCGTGACGAATCGCTGGATCCAAGATACCTGCCCCTTGGATCCCGTTGGTCACATTGGCGAAGCTTATGATTTGAATGTCTGGCACTTGGTCAAGAATGTGCTGGCCGAGACGCCGAATAAGAAGTTCCTGTGTCTGCTTGGATCACCAGGTAAATAAAGAGCTCAAGGTTGTGTGAAGCGATTAATTCAACTGTATATAATAACTAATCGTTGAAGTGATACATAATGTGTTATCTTATCATTGTTCGGGTTTTCTTTTGATTCTCATGGCTTCTATATCTAATCCATCGTTTTTAGTCGTAGGCAGTCATATGTGGATCTTTTAAAGTCGAGGGTGCATTTTCGCAGCAATCATTGCATTTAATACTCCGTGCTGATTTTATGGAATATATGTTATAGTGCACGTCCTCATAGAAAAGAAATTAGGAACATTCCGCCAATAGCTTTTTCGAGAATATTATTCCAGATGAATAGAGATCCATATACTCCGTACTCTGGTCAAACTCAATATATACGAAGTAAAAGAAACGCCAGGATCCAGGATATACGTTGTAATCCTTCGAGTCAGTCGCATACCTTCTGGGGCACCTTTGATGCCTCGGTTTTCCCAAATTTGAGAGACAAAGAGTGACAGATCCTATTTTGTTAGTCTAGTTTGGTGTGATCGAACTATAATGCTTACGCTCGTTCTCTTTGTTCACTGCAACTAATCCTCAATGTTTTGATATAAATACTCGAGGTTTCCCCTCAATGAACCTAAATCTTCTCTTCGGTTTAGCTGCACCTTTAGTTTGCTTAGACGAAGGATAGAATATTTCTTAATCAGTTGGCCCTTCAATTTCGGATTACTATTGGCAAACGGATAGATCACATATACTGTGTTTGCTTGTATGAGATTGGGAAACACTTGCTCGGGTCTGGCATTTAATGAGACGCTAAGAGTAAATAACCGTTGGCAACCACTCTCATCTCATCACCTTTCAAGAAGTCTCAACACCTCACACTACTGCTATTCATCACTCTGGCATACCTAGGTAGTTTATCTACTTCGAAACGGTTGCTGCCTTAGGCACCGCGACATGTGATTCCAATTCTTCACGGACTCGGAATTTTCTTTCTCCGTACACTATCTTATCTACAACGCGCAAGGATTAAAAAAATCACCATGTCAGAGCCAGACAACAAAACTGGCTCTGGATCCAACATTCATCGAATTGAAGAGCGATGGGAGAATCTGAATGAGATGTTCCCAAACACCGATCCTGAGCCTGCAGAGACTGTCGGCTCTGCCGATGACCTGGAGGCGGAAATTCGTCAAGCTCAAGCTCAATTATCGAGACTGAAGAAGCAGCGCGAGCTCATTGACATCAAACAAAAGGTTGCAGAGGAAGAGAGGGAATTGGAATTGGCTCGCACTCGCCTTCTGGCCGTGACCTCCCTGGAAGTTCCCCCGGCCACCCCGGCTTCCACCCCATCTAGAGGCGAGGCGAAGCAGAACAGCAAGGCTGGTAATGGTGGAGACCAGAAGAACATTCATCCTGCCCGATCTGAGCAAATTACCATTCCAGCTCCTCCAACTCAAGCGCCAGATCGTCGTCCTTCCGACGCTAAGCCATCCGAACCGAAGTCCTCTGCTAAAGCCGCAAGCAGCCTCGTGTCCCATTTGAACCTCGAGCAATTGCGAGCCCTCGCAGCAGCTACCAGGTCCCCCGCCGCACCCACAGTCATCAAGACTGAATCCCGTTCCAGTCTGCAGCCTTCCGCCCGATCTTTTCATCCCGAATCTTCCGTCCAAGCCCCACCGGTGCCCAATGTACCGGTATACAACGGACGTGCTCTGGGGGAGTTCAAGAACTTTTCTATGGGTCTAGAACGACACTTTGATAAATATCCAGAGTGGTACAAGGTCGAGGAGCGCAAGGTCACGCGGGCGCTTAAGCACGTTGCCCTTAATATCGAGGATGAGTGGAAGCGACACATACGTCATCTACCCGCTGAAAAGATCACCTACGGCAGTTTCTGTACATTCCTTATTCACCAGCTTCAAAACGGAGTCTACCCTGATGTCGCCAGATCCCGTTATATGGATAGCTATCAGCGACCGGCCCAATCCGTGACTGATTTCTCCAACTGGATGCAGCAGTGGGTGCCACACTTCCCAAATAACGACTCGGAGCGCGACCGAATGCGCCATCTCTTTGAACATCTGATGAACAGGGTTCGCAGTGAGGCTGACAAGACCCATCTGGACTTTGATAACTATTACGACTTTGTTGAATATCTCCAGCGGGTCGAGGATTCCATCGGCAGCCGCGCTGAGTCGCTTGGCCGCCGGGTTATCAACCCTCGAAAACGACCTCGCAGCCACGACTAAGCGGTTCGACCTAGTTCGATAGGCTTCGCTTCGAGACCCAGCTCCGACGAAGGAAGCTGACATCGTCTTTACTTACGTCTGCACATGGGGATAGATCGGAGGGGGCTCGGTGGGGTTTCTTGCTATTGAATGGGGGATTTTCTCTTCTATCTTCTTGAATTTTCAGTGTAAATACCGGGGCGTTGCGAAATCTTTTAAAGCAAGGTATTCGTAATGATTTTCTTCAATTTTTTATTTTTTTTTCATTATGTGAACTATTTCTCCGATGTGAACTATGATCACTGCGATCATTCCCAGCTCCACCCTAGATCATCTAAAGCATACTAGAAATACCCATAGCGGGTTTCCTTGCCAGAGCTTCCTCAATCTGCTTCCTACTTGCATTGATACTATGCTCCCCCCACCCATTTTCTTCCGTCCAACCACGACTGCTCTGCCCTGAATTTGGCTGGTCGCCCCAAAGAGAGGTGTATTCCTCCTCGGTGAAATACAAAGCCTGGCGCTCGTGGAAACACGCCAAGATGGTCGCACTCGCCTCGCCGCTACAACAGGCGCAGTAATCGGGATTCTCGTTAGGCGGGGGATATACCACGGTCCCATCATCGAGCCCCTTCCTCAACATCGTGTAGCTGGTGTTGTAGACTTCAAGGATCGGGTCATCCATGGAAGTGTGGACGAGGCGCACTTTCAGGGGCGCGTGGTCATCGTAGCACTGGGATCCAAGCTTCAGCCAGAGGGTGCCGATGTCGTTTAGATTGCCGATTCCTTCGTAGTCGGGGTGTTGGACGAAATAGCCATATTCTTGAGGGGCAACGCTTGTGAGGCCTGGTATGAGATCGGCGATTGCTTCAATAGCCTCGGCTAGAGGGAGGGTTTGGAGGACGTCGATGTGGTCTTGGAGTTTGGAAGCCATGGTGTAGAGTTTCAAAGAAGTCTGGGAAGAGGGGACCTCTTCTTCCTTTTGTATCGTTCATGTTGATGAGGGTTTCTTTTTCTGTTATTTCTTGGAGCCACGTACTCTATACTCTTGCCAAATCAAGCGCGTTTGCTGTATTTGGGAGCAGGGGATTGAAGCTGAGTGGCTTTTCAATTGTAGTCGCGTGGTGTTTTCCCACGGACTTCTCTTCTCCGCATATCTGCCTTGCGATACTTTGTACGGAGTATAGCAATCTTTGTTGGGGAATCTCATATACGTATTCCCTGTGGCCGGCTAGTTTCCAATATTCGTCCCAATTCGCTTTGTGATTTGATTGGAGCACCAATACGATTTTGCACAGCCCGAAAGATGTTGGGATCTACTCCGTACTTGGACCCTAGAGATATGTAGGTGCATTGACCCATACGCATTCTCTTATTGCTCAGCACTTATCTTTCCCAGGATTTCATCGGAACGAATCGCATGGATCGTATTTCAGATCGATAGATCAACTTCCAATAGAATGCAAGTCATATATGGATATGATCGGAAGGGAACCCCCCCCCACTTGGCGGGACCGGCGGGATTCCAAAAGCCCATTGACTGATCTGATTTCCGCCTTGTCTGTTTATATTCTTGGCCTCTGGGCTTATAGCCTTCTGAGTTTCGGAACTTTTTTCGAAAACTGCCCTTGCTCTATGGGCTTTGGGCTTTAGAATTTATTTGTTTTGGATGTTTTGGTCGCGTTATGGATGTGAAATCCGCGCATTTACCGCCTAGCCAGGTACAGGCACGCCAGGTACCTCATCGATATGCTCGTTGGGGATTGTCTCTAGCCGCTGCAGTGCTGATTCTTTTCGTCTGGCCTGTCCCCCCATCTTCCTGGAAGGTGGTCAAGCCTTTGGACATTTCAGTCATCTGGGACGAAATCATTCCTTCGCAGTCGCTGGAGTATCAAAATTGCGGCGATGAGTTCCAATGCGCGAGGCTGGAAGTACCAATGGATTACCAACGGATAGACGGACAAGGTCGCACATTCGCCCTGGCTGTTGTCCGACTACCAGCCAAGGTCCCTGTCACAGATCCACGATATGGAGGCGCGGTTCTGATCAACCCAGGTGAGTGGTTTTGGACCTGATTTATGATCTAAGCTCATAGTGCAGGCGGGCCTGGTGGACCGGGAACAACGCAAGCTTTCGTGGCGGGTCGCAATCTTCAGCTGATCATTGATGCGGAAGCCGACCCAGACCAGACTGGAGAAGAGAGTGGCAATAGATATTTCGATATTATCGGATTTGATCCTCGTGGAGTAGGATCCACAAGTCCTCCAGTGATGTGTTTCCCTGATCCCGTATCCCAAAGGAACTGGGAATTACAAATCTCGGCAGAAGGCATGCTGGGGAGTGGACTGGATTCCTTGCAGAGAAACTGGCAACGCACTGAAGCACTCAACTCGGGCTGTTCTGTATTTGATATGTCAAGTCTAGGAGCAGACGAACCAATGATGTCCTATGTAAATACACCACTCGTTGCGCAGGACATGCTGGCCATCATCGAACGCCATGGAGAATGGCGGGAGAAGGAAGGCCAAAGGGCCCGGGCAACCCACAACAAGTGCCGTGGACAGGACGAAGTAAGCAAAATCTTGAATCGTACTCAATGGCATCGCGGAGAAGAGCCACTTCTTTATTGGGGCCGCTCATATGGTACCCTGCTGGGCGCCACGTTTGCATCGCTCTTCCCAGAGCGAGTCGCCCGAGCTGTGCTCGATGGCGTAGTCGATATGGTGAGATACTACCAAGGAACAGGACCGAACGTTGTTGTTGATGCAGATGCCATATTTGATCGATTTGGCCAGTACTGTAATGAGGCTGGACCTGAGGGATGTCCCTTTTATATAGAGGGTGGTCCAGACGCCATAAAGGTAGCATACTGGAAACTTGAGCAGCAGATTCTTAACACTTCGATCCCTGTCATGGCTTCTGCGGAACGGGGGCCAGAAGTTGTAACCTGGACGGACATCAAAGAGATTCAACGCTTTGCCATATACCAGCCCCTCCTTGCATTCCCCGTTCTGGCAGACAGAATGACCGAGTTGGGAAACGGGAATGCCATTCCTATGGCTGACTTCAAGCACGGGAGCCAATTCGGCGCGTGTCCGTCCAACAAATGCAGTCTTGCGGGGCCTTGGTCGCCAGAATGTGCTACAACGCAAGATAATTTCCTCTACGCCATGGCTGCTATTATGTGCTCAGATGCAGAATATCTGACAACTCTAAATATTGAGCAATTCCGGACAGAATGGTCTAGCCTTCTAGCTGACAGTGCATCTTTGGGTGATTATTGGGCTCAATTACAACTGAGCTGTGTTGGGTGGAAAGCCAAGGCTAAATACCCTTTCGCAGGTATGTCCTATTCTGACCTCTATGCGTTCGCAACTGACCTATTTTAGGACCGTGGGGTACTACTACCGCTCATCCCATGCTTTTCGTATCAAATACTCTAGATCCAGTGACTCCTCTCCACGGGTGTGTATTATTCACCGACCGCTAGTGCCCAGGTGGTTGTCCAAGCTAACCGCCCCAGTGCCAAACACATGTCCCAGATTTTCCCAGGATCTGGGTTGCTCCAGCAAGAATCAGAAGGAGTGAGTCACTCGCGATGATTCCTCCGGTGATTCACCTCTCACATATTTCTTCTAGCACACAACTCTCACAGCTCCATCAATCTGCGTGGCGAAGGCCATTCGCCATTACTTCCAAACTGGCACACTACCAGTGGTAGGAACTCTGTGCCAAGCCGATTTGAAGCCATTGGTTGGATCTCCGCATAATCGCACGACGATCAGCCAAAGCTTCAGCCTAGCCGACCGTAAATTGTTCGAGGCATTGATGGCAGAGGTCCAGCGAGCGCCTCTGTTTCCACCATCGAGGTTCCCAACATCTAAATTTCATGACGACTAAAGGAATATGAAAAGGGCCTATTCAGCCTTGGAGCTAACTATCATGATTTGACGCATTAATGATTCAAAGTGCTATGTTCAAGTTCAGCGGTTTGATTTTGGTGCGTTTTCGATGTCGTATTAGTATAATTTCTTTAATCCTACTCAGCATGTACTGTTGACTCTACCTCAAATTACTCCTTGAATATCACTATATTACCCCAGAGTACAACATAGGGATTAATGCGAGGATATTCCCTTGCGGAGAAGTTGTACAACCTCGGCTCATCAGCCAATCCCAACATTGATAATCAGTGACCCCGCTTCGAGGGGTCTCTCTCCACATTACGAGTTATATTGGATGACTTTGGAAGCAGATTATCTATAATCCTTGTGTGTCCCAAAAATCCTACAGCCATGCAACGAGCAACCATGGCTGCTTCAACCTCTACCGAGACCCTCGCGAACACTGTCAGCATGCAAACACCACAGTCATCCCAAGCAGTGGGTGCTGAAAAGGCCAAGGTCAAGATGCAGATGCCCAGCATGCCTGTGTTCGAGGATAAGATGAAGGAGCGAGAGTATTTGAAGGGCCGCCTAGCAGCAGCATTCAGAATTTTTGGTGATAAAGGATACGATGAGGGTATGGATTATCCTGTAGTGAAGCATCAGGTTAACAACTAAAATTACCATTAGGTGTCGCTGGGCACATCACCGTGCGCGATCCAGTGGATCCGTCAACATTCTGGGTGAATCCGTTCGGCACGGCATTCAAGCTGATGAAAGCATCGGACTTGATCCAGGTCGACCACGATGGAAATGTTATTGCAGGTGGAGAGAATCGGATGCTGAATGCCGCAGCATTTATGATCCATTCTGCTATTCATGCAGCACGGCCCGAGGTCAACTGCGCTGCGCACAGTCATAGCCTCCACGGACGGGCGTTTTGCTCGCTGGGCCGACCGCTCGATATCATCTCGCAGGATGCCTGTGCTTTCTACAATGTAGGTTCTCGTAGTTTCTTTCCAATCCTCCTATGTGCAAAGTCCCAGTTCTAACAGGACCAGGACTTGGCTCTCTATTCATCATTCAAAGGCGTCGTATTAGCGGAAGAAGAAGGCCAGAACATTGCCAAAGCTCTGGGCAACAAAAAGGCAGCCCTTCTGCAAAATCACGGCCTTTTGACAGTCGGCAACACAATCGAAGAAACAGTGTTTTGGTTTGTGAGCCTGGAAAAATGCTGCTACGCCCAACTCCTAGCGGACGCGGCAGCCACCGGACGAGGTGGCCAAACAGTGAAAATTGAAGAGGCAGATGCTGCATTCACTTACAAAACAGTGGGAACCCCGAAGGCTGGCTGGTTCAGTGCGAAGCCCCTGTTTGATGTGATTCACGCCGAAACCAAGGGTGAATACTTGGAATGAGATATCCACCCGGTCTAAAGTCAATATATCGCTCTTTCGGGATAAGTTAGCTTGCAGAAATTAATAGTTTCCTCGTAAATTACCACATTAAACAACCAAACGGGATTTTATTCACCAGGGCCTTCTTATTTCGTATTGCATCAATGTTGTAGTCTATCTCGAATACTGGGCAGTGTCGCTAGTAAGTACCACCACAAATAAATCCTGTTAGGCAAAGAGAAAGTCCATGTGCGGGGCTTTGGAATTGACTAGACCTGCTTGACAAAATTTAATGCATCAATAAGGAGTTCTCATGCACCACACTTCATCATTTTCACCAATCGGCCTAGTGTTGGGCTTGTTTTGAGGAGAAACATTCACTCCTGAAGAGCTTCGGGAGGCGCTCCGCTTTTAGCCAATTCCACCACTCTCCACTTGCAGAGATGTGCCTGTGTCTTGCAGATGGAAACTATAAAATGGGAAATTTTTCATCCCGATATGAATTTAAAACCGATCAAGTCCCCTATATTTGAGATCTCCTAAGCACAGAAACGCTTAGCGACCCAGACAAGTATACTTGCAGTCTTCCAGCTCATAATTATCACAATGCGCTTCATCTTACCTTTCCTCGCCGCTGCCAGCCTTGCCAGCGCCGGTCTGCTAGAGACTGTTGCCAAGAGAGATGACTACTGGGGTGGCAGCGTCTCGCTTGGTCCCTCCAAGTCGACCATCATCAACGCTGTTACAACGCTGATCCCCGGAGCTGCACCACCAACTCAGAACGGCGTGCTATTCCTCTGGCCTGGTGTGAGTTCTTAATTCTTTTAATCGGCTTGCTAGTCACTAAAAATCATAGATGTCCAACGGAACCGGCGACCTAGTCCAAACCACTCTTGAAAGCTGGCCTAGCAACTCGTGGTGTGGAGCAGCCACTGGCCAGTGGTGTGTGCGTGCCAGCGTCTTCGGCAGCTTTGGTCAGCTCGACGGCACTGGATCACCCGTGAGTGGAACCGACCAGGTGCGGATTGAGTACAATCTCGAGTCCGATGGACAGACCTGGAAGCAGTAAGTATAAATCCAAGATGGCCTAGATACATCACAACTAATATTTGTAGGACTGTCACAAATGGTCAGACTGGCGCGCTGCTTTCAACTTACTCTCATGCCTCTGGACCTTACATGCGAGGGTAAGTGAATCTTAAGAATGGCACTTTATCGAGCACTATGCTGACTTGGGTTAGATATGGCACCGGAACTGAGTGTAACGACAACTGCTCGGGAACTATCGCTGCGCAGAAATACTTGAACACGGTTATTACTCTCGCCTCGGCTGATACTACCTTCGGCTCGACGATTGCCAGCGCGGGTGGTGCTACTTATACCGGACTTTCGTCCAGTCAGAGTGGAAAGGTGTGGACCATTACGCAGATTGACATTCCGTCGATGCATTGAATGAAGTTTGGGAGCTTGAAAGTGTGTGTTGCGAGGGGATACGAGCTGTCGATGTGGTTTTGTCCTACAAGATTCATATATGAAGGATAGCCTAGGACAAACTGTCAATTTTTCGACAAATTAAGCGCTTTTATAATCACTATCCCACCCCAACATGCATGTGTATATATACAAAAACTCACTCTTATCCCTGATAATCAAGCAAGACGTTCAGTCGCACAGGACCAGGGGCGGCCTCACCACCAATGCCATTCAAGTGCTTTTTCGAGTACACATAAGAATTAACCACCTGCTTGGCGCCCGGCGTGATGATAGAACATTTCTTCCCGTCAGCCTGACAAATAGACATGCCCTGCACAGGCTGATCCGCAATCTGCGCCTGAATAGCCGAAACATCCCATCCCGACCAGCCGTTATTCTCCCCATCACCAAATGTGAATTCGCCCCAGGTACAGGAGTATCCACCCCACCGGTCGGTGGGTAAGTGATCGCCAGGCGCAGCACCCCAGGCTCCCTCAGAGTCCTCGTCAAAAGCAACATAGCGAGTTTCACCAGGTGCAAGAGTGAATGTCAGAGCAGAGTGGCCGTACCATCCGGTCATCATGCCGTCAGGCCCGAACTTGTTCCACACAACAAGCGTCCAAGGCTCATACTTTGAGCCCGTGAACTGTACCACGTATTTGTAGGTATGGGCCTCGATCGGGCTGACAGTGATGATATTGCTTCCCCAAGGCATGCCGATATTGCCCATGTAGTGGATCTGCGTCCCTTTCCCTCTTGATGGAGTACGTCCCCCAAATCCCTTTCTCGAAAATTGCCCCCCTGGTGGTGTAGCAGTCCAGTCCAATGATGTGGGCTTGTCTGAGCTTGGGCCTGGGAGGATCTGGTTGACTAGAGGGAGAGGGAGATCAGGGAGGAACTCGCCCGGCAGATGGAGTATGGCGTTGATTGGGTTGTCGTTGCTTTTGTGAAGTGGAGCATGTGGGTGTTCTGCTGGGACGGCTTTTTCTTCTTTTAAAGTCCCCTTCGGCAGAGTGTTTGCAAGAGCGACAGCTTTTTCTGTTTTGGGGTGAATCCCAGGGAATGTGTTTGCCAGTGGCACAGCTGTAGCCCCTGGGTACACGGTAACCCTTACGGTGTTTGTTGCAGTTTTGGTGATCGTTTGTGTCTTTACTATGGTAATAGTCCCTTCCAGGTCTGTTGGCCTGAAAGCCCAAGTCTCGGCCTGAGTGAATTGAGGTCGAACTGGCCTCGTGTTTGTCGGCACAGGGAAAACAGCATCAAGCTGCGGTTCACGTTGATCCCAGTGATCCTGATATGGCTCGGCATGACCATGCCTACACGGTGTAGGCTGAGGCCTATGTTTGACAAGCGTTAGCGTGCTGTGAATAATATTGGTTGGCGCGCAGTTTCCAAAAACAGTTGTTGTGGTCGTGAGCGTAATGGACTCCACCACAAAATCATCTGGGGTGTTATTCACATTATCCCATGCTGGATTTCGCGGCTCCAGTTCTTCGGTAGGCTGCATCAAGTGGCGATGGCGATAGCCATGCGCATCATGGTGGATGCCAGCAAAAGTATATCTAACGAAGCCCACAAGAAGGACCAGCATAGATACACGCCGCATTGCAGACTAAAAGAAAGTTGTAATCAGTAATAGCTGCGTAGTGAAGCCGGTGGTTTATAATTGACGTGGTGGATCAAGGCGTCAATGATGTTATATTCCAAAAAGCATCTCGGTGGCGCAGCAGTTGTCGTCGTACGGCCGCGCGATCTGGGGACGCGACTTAGCTTTATACAGCCCTTCGAGAAATGGGAAATGGTCTGGACTTTTATCTGGAATGCCATCGCGCACTTGACCTTCGAAGGGCTCGAAGGGGACAGTAGCAGCCCTGAATTCCGGGGGTTGCTTGGCTGACCCTTGGAGGCCTGTGAATCACACCGAACTTTTGAGAAATCTAATAAACATTAATGCAATATGCATGATAAATTAAACATATCTTAGACATCCTGAGAAAGATACCGAGTTTACTAGTTTCTCTTGGTAAATTGATGTTCAATGTGTTTACGTTGAGCTTCAAGCTATAATAGATGTGGTCTATGTAGCCCCTCGCGTCGCATTCCGACCCTAAATCACATTCGTCCCTCTTTTCTTCCCCGCGAGGAACGAGCTTTTAGAGCAGTATTCCATTAGAATATGAATTGATTCCTTCAAGTGACATGGTCAATATTGGAACTGTAGATATATGAGTGAATGGCTTGAGCGAACAATATATGTTCAATGAGTGTGTGTAAAGGAAATGTTAGAAAGGAGTATATATCGACAGAGTATTATGGGCTGCTCCCTCCAACATGATCCAAAAAACAAAAGATTCAGTGAAAGTATGCAGATTAAAAAGCCATCGGACACTTATTTCTGCCTGCTTTCTTTATTTTCTTGCAACATAAGACTTACAATGCCGGCCACCTCCTGTCTCCCTTCAGGAGAGACCATCATGTACAAGAACCCGACACCTGGGTTTGCGGGGGTCCCACGTTAACTACCTGAGTACAAATAATAGTAGTGACACTGCGGCCAATGCCATTGAAAATGCAAGTAATGCTCTCAGAGCTGGTTTGAATGTGCGAAATGCTCAAAGGGTTCACTATGTGAATTAGTATCTTCGTTTGGTCATTGCAAAATATATAGACACACATACCAATTTGAACCCATTCACTGTTGGAAGGGAAAATTTAAGTAAACTGAGATCCAGCAGCTCCAATGAAAGTGATAATGTAACCGGCACCACTCCGTACATTTCAGATAATTCTTGTAGGATTAATAGGTTAGGAGTACTAACCAGTAATGCTAACTGACAGCGCAATACAAGCCTCCCTAGGCTATAAACAGGAACCTTAGTTTTTGTTGTGGCCTAGTGGTAAAATACTCTGTATTTGCTCTGACACTAACTCGGTTCCTAGGAAAGATGCCTAACAGTTATCGGATAATATTATAGAACAATTGAAAGACTAAAAGCATTGATTGGCTAGGACATAGTAAAAATGAAGGATTTGCGATTGGGAATCGAACAATTCATGGGATGTTAGATGTGTATTCTCAATCTGTACACCGTACTCCGTACTTTTTCTGCTAGTTAGTTACCTGCTGGGCATGTTTCAATGATTACATAATAAAACCGGGAAATAAAGAAAAGCGACAGAAATCAAGGTGTACAAGGTATGGTATGGTCAATCTAATAAAATATGTATTTGTCATCCTTAACACTGCCATAGTTAACAACAAACTAAGACAGCATTCAATCTCTATTACATAAATCGTGTCATCTTGCCACGATAAAGGTGTTTAAGTCTTTGTGGATGATGACTGGCAGCTCGTCCTCCGCATGTGATATACCTTGCCTTGTAAATATACAACATAGGTCGAGTGTGATGCACAGAACACAATAGACTGCGTGGACCTGCATAAATGGGGTTGCAGAAGGCTATAGTTGTGGCTTGACCTGTAGAGCCACAACGCTACGGAGTACAGTTTCCATACCTGGCTTTGCAAAAATCACCCTTGAACATTATCCATAATAAAAAGCCTTCAGCTTTTTTGATATGACACCCAGGGAAATCTACTTGGCTGTATTTATTCTAAAATCTGTTTCTCCGCACCTCAAGCCGACCCCGGAAGCTCGGGGCCCGAGCACCTCGCTCCCGGATTTCATATCCTGTGAACATCATGTTGACTGAATCACAACAGTTTGATGCATGAATAAAATTGTTACATTTCAACATGAGTAGTGTCCAAAGAGGATCTACTTTATCTACCCCATCCAGTTTGAATTATACATGCAACGAATGTGCGCGTTCCTTCCAACGACGCGAGCATCTGGACCGCCATCGCACATCTCACTCAAAACAGAAGCCATTCCACTGTCAAATATGTAATAAATCCTTCACAAGAAGGTGAGAAATTTCAGCCCAATTCTACCTGCATGTTACTCAGCTACTACCTTCTCAGGGACACTTTACAACGACACACGATTGTCCATGGACAAATTCCAAACGGAGTGAAGAAGTTGCCAAGGGCTGTGCAAGCATGCACAAGCTGCATGCAATCCAAACAACGTTGTAGCGGGGGATCACCTTGTGAGCGCTGTTCTCGTCGGGGCTGGCGGTGCTTGTTTCCAGAAGATCCGAAGAAATCAGGAACCCAGATGACAGCTTCCACAGGTGATGCTTCGGCAGTTCAGCTAGACCACCTTGATGATCACGATATAGCGGGAGCACAGCTTCCTTCTGACATAAACGCCTTCGCAGAGTCTACTTTGAGTCCGGCGGTCCCGTTAATCGGTGCTGAGGGTAGAGGCTCAATTGAGCAACACGCAGCTTCGGTTAATCCCTGGGAATCGTCGCCGACAATACGGGATAACTCAAGTTTTAGCTTTGATCCAATGCTTCTTTGGCCTCTGGCAGAGTATGAACCAGATTATACTGGCATGGCTGCCTTTCCGATGCAACCATCGGCTGTCAATTTGTCCATTGACGGACAGCAAGAACCAAATCCAGAATTACTCGACGCTCCAGACATTCTTTCGGAGGGGACTCAGTTTCAGAGCTCGCACAAAAATTTCCGTCAAAATTATTCAGAGCCGAAGAACAAACCCCCACCAGAGATTTCAGACGCTGACCTTGACATACTCGCATCCGAGGACTTTTGCCAAGTTCCCTCCATATCTTTGTCGATTTACGAACAATTATGCGAGATGTGTCACCAGGGATCACGATACTCCAGCCCTCGACTGCGTCCGCTTCTTCCAAGTTTGGACGTACTTAATGTATTCCTTCAATTGTATTTCGAAAAGTTCCACAAATCCTTCCCCGTTCTCCACCAACCTACGTTTGAACCAAAAAGGGGCTCCTTGCTATTATGTATCGCCGTCGCTGCGATTGGCGGGCAATACTCACGTCATTCTGCGAGAACGACGCATATCACTGGCTTGATTCGAATTCTGCGACATACATTACTGTCCAAGGTACGCCTTGTTGTCAAGTCTATCCTCAAGTTCGACTCGCAACTAACCTAACATCTGCAGCTTGGTCGGGGCGATTCACTTCTGGGTGATCTTTGCTTAGCTCAAACAATATTGCTTTTCACATTTTCATTGATATTCGGCGGCAACCGAGAGGATATCATGCATGCTCAGTATCAACGCAACGTTTTGACCACAATTTGTCGCCCACTGCTGGTTCCAGGGATTCTTTTCGAGAAAAATGCGGACACCAGGCCTAGTTCAATGATAACTGATTGGCCACAATGGACCAAGGTCGAGTCTTGGAGACGAGTTTTCTACTTTTATTGGGGTGAGTGTGCCTGATGCCCTGAAAGCTGGTAGTGGAGGATGCTAAATGCAACACGGTAACGCAGTTTCTGAGTGTATACAACACATTCTTTTTGATATTCCGCCATTAATGTGTGTAAGCGATTTGACTATCGACCTCCCCTGCGATGAAGATCTATGGGCATGTGGAGGTGAGAAAGAGTGGAAGCAGAAACTTGATTCAAAACCCAGTAAGAAATTCAGCATTCCCACTCGGTTGGTTGATATTAATCTATCTATGCCAGGCCCGACTCAGCCAGTAAAGGTTGCTGAACTGCTTCGCAACAAAAGTATCAAAAAAGATGATCTGAAATCCCTAGGGCCCTCTGCTCTCCTTGTGGCAACCTGCGCCGCATACGTGGAAGAAAGAGTGTTGATGAAACAATTCGGTGGTGATTCATCCCATCCACTCTTCGAAGGCTCAACAGGAAGTATCTTCGACCGCTTAAACAAGCACACTGACGATCTTTTGGGCCTTTTCCCACGAGTCTACATTCATTCCACCTCACCTATTGTCGATAATACTACAAAATTTGCTCATCTACTCCAAATTATCCGTTTTGTTCCTTACCGAATGTTATATTCATCCTGTGGTTGGTCAATGCGCAAACCTGAAGCAGATACCTTCGCACAACAGATCTCCCAGAAACTGGAGGAAGAGCCCCAAAAGGCTCGCCACACTCTGATCCATGCAGCTCAACTCCTTCATACTATTCAAACCCAGCAGTTGCCCGAATGCTTTGACTCTTTCTTTGTCCTCATGGCGTCACTTTATATTTGGTTCTATGACCGGTTCATAGTGGCCGGGAAAAGAGGCGAGGTAGCTGGTCCGATGCACCTCCATATTTTGCGAATTGATCGAGATATTGGACACGACAATTTAGCGAATTGGGTGAATGGAGAAGATGAAGACGAGAAGCTCATTCACATATCTGGGATAGGTGTTCTTAATGGCTCGGATAGTACCTCGCGCGTTCTGAAAGAGGCTATCCACGTACTAAGCCATGAGGGGCCCTGGTCTGTGCAGTCAAATACCATCGCTCGGTCATTGCAAGGGATGCTTGCGGGAGGGTTACCTTCGTTTGATGACTAATGTATTTTCTTCCAAGGTTGACTCTTTCTTTGGGGGCAATGTTGGATGTAATTTCATCTTCATAAAACTCAATCGCAGAATATTAGCACCCAAGAAAAGAATTGACTGCCAATTTTTCAACGCCGGCAAATTTCATTGTCTATATAGAATAACCGAATCTCAATAGATATTCCTCGAGAAAATTTACGAATAAATACCTATTAGGAGAGAGGGGCCGACGGGGCCGACGGGGAAAAGTGGACAGTAAACGGACATACCGGTCTTTTTCCCCCCGACAATATGTGACATAGTTTCCACCAGAATTTGGATAGGAAGGGAATGATGGGTTCAGTTCTTCAACCGAGGAAATTCTCATAGAGCTGGCGGTGTTAGGACGGATTTAAGGACTTGGGGCATATATAAAAAGCTGTCCGTTACTACCCACTAGGTAGCATTCTACCACAACATCCAATATATATTATTATTCGAATCAAATCAAAGGCATGCATACACTCACATAAATTCGGAAACTATCAATGTTAGCTGAACTAACATATTGTAGCAACTCACCAACATGGCAGCTGTTGACTATGAATTGATTCGCAATGCGATCGCTCAGTACTCTCTTGCAATCGATCGAAAGGAATATCAAAACCTCGCGAAAGGTTTCTCAACAGATGTTGTGATGAAATTCCCCGAACCAATTGGTGTGCTAAAAGACCTTGCAACTGCCATTTCTGCCATTGAACGCGCACTTGAAAACTTGACGACCCACCATGCTTTAACGACCCAGACCGTTGAGTTGATAGACGAGAAGACCGCTTTGGCAACAACGTACTGCATGGCTATGCATTTTGACACTGAGAGTCAGGGAAAGCGCAGTGTGACTGGATGGGGATCATATGATGACAAGTTAGTGAAGGGGATCTACGATGGAAAGGAGGACTGGCGCATTGTGGAAAGGACGGTGCATTTCCATGTTCCACATACCGGAGATGCGTCGTTGCTAGGATTGAATTAGTTAGAACGAAATTACTTTGCATACCAATATACACCTCATTACTTCATGGAACACATATGTATCTCCCAGTTCTACTTGGCTTCAAATCGTATTTTAGTATTTCCAAACGCTATTAGATGGTTCCACGCAGTGCAGGAAAAGGGATAATCACGGCCCTAGGAGGCGATTAGTCAACCAATCGTTGTGGAGGTAAAACAGGCCACAGGAAGATAATTGAAACACCTTGAGTTTCAGATCTAGCAACGTTCAAATTGAAATTCAAGTTTGGATTTCAGATAGACGTAATCTGATGGAGCCTCTCAACCTCTATTCCATGATTATTCCTAGATTCTAGCAATAAGTCTAAGGAACTAGAATTGATATTCTGGTATTCATATTTGAGTTTCAGCAAGATGAAAGCACAATCTGACCCCGTATGGATCCATGGTCAAATTAAATAACATATTTGAACAGCCCTGGAGAAAACCCTAAGCTTTGATAATCTCCTTCTCAAACCAATCGAATAAGACATGATTGCAATGTCTCGCAGCGCCAACATGACAATGTTCTCCAGCAGCGTCCTCACTAGTGAAAACATGGTAGTGTGCCCTGTCCCCGAGAGCGTCCCTCATTGCCTCAGGCTGTCCCTTGAAAAAGTGATCATCTTCGGCACAAGCAACAAAGACTGGGCATTCGATTTTATCCGCTATTCCAACCAAGGAGAACATCTTCGCTTTGTCAAGATATTCAGCTGGGGTTTTAACATTGAAAGCCCAGAGACCATGAGATAATGCCCAACGAGCAGTAGTCGGAATGCTGGGATTGTTAAACAAAACAGCGGCAGAATCGAAGTCTTTGATATGAGCAAAAGACGCAAGACCATGGTCCGGGTCAAAGACAGGCGTATCGACAAAATTGTAAAGGCCGTCAATACTGAAGACTGCAGCGATGCGCCTTTCAAATGCCACAGCGCGTGCCGCCAATAAACCGGACATAGAGATGCCCATCAGACCAAGCTTAGTCATATCAACAGTGGGGAGAGTCTCGAGGAAGTCCACAACGGGAGTAAGAACATGCTCCCACTCGTGGGTAAACCCGACGCCCTGGTAGCGACGCGTGCAGATCTGCCCTGGTCCATCATAGCAGATCACGTTCCAGCCACGCTCGAGAATGGCAGCACCGTGCAGGTGGTACATTTCTTCCATGGACCCATCATAACCGCTACCGAGGATGAGAGTCGGCCGCTTCTCATTGTCATTACTTGCGGGGAAGAAAATAATGGAAATATTGCACCCGGGTCCAGGGAGCTCCTTGCGATAGCCTGGGAAGGGAAGTCGGGCCATCGCCTCGTCAAAACAGGCAGCCTGTTTATCCCACAATGACATGATGCGTGAATCATCCCAGTTGCCGTGGATGTAGAAATCAGCAGCACGGTAGTAGGTGGACGCTCGGAACATGGCATCGCGGATAGAGATATCATTTGTCATGCTTTTTCTCTGTTCAAGGATACGGTCTGCTCTTTTATTGAAGACAGCAGAAAAGGATTCGAAATCACCAGGTATTATTTCAGCGCTCATGGCAAGGACCTCGCCGACGTCAGCACCCCCATGGCTGGAGTGAGCGAGAAGCCGGAGGAGTTCGAAGTGAAAGGATTCGTCTGAGCTGAGTCGAGCCATGATCATAGAATAAAATCACCACTTGTTTTGGAAATGATACTGCGTGACACTGGGGTTGATGATACGTTTGTATTTATACAGCATGCTATATCACCCGAGGTACGAAGGAGGCCAATGTGACTGGGGCAATCAAGGTCGGCTTCTACTCAACACCGAGTCCGAAAACGCTATTGCATACCACAGAAAGAGTGGACACTGAAGAATCCAGATATCCCTAATTCAGAGCTAACCTTGGAATACGTCGTGGGTTTTGGTATGTCCTGCGGGGCCGACGGGGCCGAACAAAACCTGATGTGAATTTGTTGTCACTGTGGACCACTTCGGCCTTAATTAATGACCGAAGACGCGAGACGATGAAGAAAAAAAAACAGTTCATGCAATCTAGAGGATATCATAAGATAGTTATGTAGTCAAGAGTATTGAAGAACGAGAGTCTAGTCTCTTATACCCGAGTCGCGCAGGTCGTCGGTGGTTAACTACTACCGAAGTTGCTATGTCTGACGGTGTCCTCAAGGAAAGTCGTGAGATCGCCCTCCTGGTTGGCAAGATGGTAGACTGCACAAACTTGGTCTATATGCAGAAGGGTAAATTCAAGGATATATTACCGCAGGCGCTGGCCCTCCCCCGCCAACAGTGCTTTGACGGAAGGCCACAAGGCCACAAGGCCACAAGGCCACAAGGCCACAAGGCCACAAGGCTACAAGGCTACAAGGCTACCAACTCGCAGTAGGCTTCTTCACCTTAACAAAAAAAAAGTTGGAGACACCGCTGATCATCTTCCAAGGATATTTTTCCACTCAACTCCACACATCCAATCACAGTCGTGAACTCTGGCTTATCAACAATGCGCTAAACTCTTTAAAGGCAAAGATGCGCTGCGCGACCAAATGACCAATCAGATCGAACAATGCGAAAGATTTACCCAAAATGGAAACAACACCCGTAGGGTTTTGAGGAATATAAATGCATTGCTATGCCCGGCTTTGCAGAAATCATTGAGCATTATCCAAAATGACAAGCCTTCATCCATTTGACCCCATCACACCTGTGGAGATCCAATTGGCGGTCTCCGTTCTGGAATCCGCTTTCCCCGGTGTCAAGTTGCGCTACAAACGCATCGATCTCCAGGAACCCGCCAAGCATGAGGTTGTCCCGTTCCTCGAGGCTGAACGCCGAGGGGAAGTGCGGCCGCGTAAACCGACACGTTTGTTAATGGCGCTCTTCCACCGGCTGGACAATGGGTCCTTCTTCAAGGCTCTGATCAACGCAGACACCAAGTCCATTGTGTCAGCAAAAGAACTGCCCAAGGATGTCCAGGGTCCACTGGACGTCGATGAAATGATGGAGATTGAGGAATTATGCCTCAGCCATCCAGCTGTCAAGGCCGAAATTGAAAAGTTGAAGCTTCCGGCTGGCCACACAGTCTGCTTGGATCCGTGGATCTACGGCACCGATGATGCCAAGGAGACTCGGCGTTTGTTCCAGTGCTACATGTACATCGTGGCCACCGACCACCCCCAGAATAACCAGTATTCGCTGCCTTGCAAATTTTCCCCGGTGTTTGATGGCATCACTCGCAAATTGGTCCGTATGGATTATCTGCCTGGCGGGGCTGATGCTCAAACCACCGACACACAGCCCTGGAAGCAGGTGACTACCGTGCAATATGCGCATGATTTACTCAATGAGCCTCTGCGCACCGATCTGAAGCCCTATATTGTCCAGCAACCAGAGGGAGCGTCATTTAATGTCATTGGGAATGCTGTGTCATGGCAGAAGTGGCGTTTCAGAGTGGGCTTCAACAACCGTGAAGGTCTGGTGTTACACAATGTGACCTACGATGGTCGCAACACCTTTTACCGTCTGTCATTCTCTGAGATGACAGTCCCCTACGGCGGTATGTTCTACTACTCTGCCTTTGGCAACACATCTAATTTATTCCAGATCCCCGAGCTCCCTACCACCGCAAGCAAGCCTTTGATGTCGGTGACGTTGGCTTCGGTATCACAGCTAACCAACTGAGCCTCGGCTGCGATTGTCTCGGGCACATCAAGTATTTCGATGGTTATCGCACCGATGCACAAGGAGCACCGGTTCAACTAAAGAATGTCATCTGCATGCACGAGCAGGATAATGGCCTACAACATAAGCACACCAATTACCGCAGTGGTGCGGCAACTGTCGTCCGTAACCGCCAGCTCGTGGTGCAGATGATCTGCACTGTCGCAAACTACGAATACATCTTCGCTTTCATCCTCGACCAAGCAGCCAATATTGAGCTCGAGGTGCGCGCAACCGGTATCCTCTCCACGGTGCCCTTCGACAACGAGAACGGCCAAACTGTGCCATGGGGCACGAATGTCGGGCCAGGCGTTATGGCCCCATTCCACCAGCACATGTTCTCCCTCCGCATCGATCCTGCTATCGACGGCTACAAAAATACAATTTACTACGAAGACAGTGTGCCTATGCCCGAGGATGATAACAACCCATGGCTTGTTGGTTACACCACAGAACAAAACATTATCAAGTCCAGCGGCAGCGCCTTAACCAGCGTCGACCGCCACCGCGTCTTCAAGATCCGGAACGACTCTATCGTCAACCCTATCACCCACCACCCTATTGCATACAAGCTGCAAACCAACCCAAGCCAGATGCTCCTCGCACACCCGAACTCATTTGGCTCGAAGCGCGCCCGTTTTGCGACCCGTCCTATCTGGGTCACTAAATACCAAGACAACGAGCTATTCGCCGCCGGCGAGTTCACAAATCAGAGCAAGAAATCGGATGGCGTAGAAGTTTGGGCTGGAAGAAACGATGCGGTTGAAAACGAAGACGTTGTTCTCTGGCACAGTATGTTATCTCATCTCAACTCTCTTCCAAAATAGTGGCTAACTATTCCCAGCATTCGGCCTCACACACAACCCCCGCATTGAGGATTTCCCTGTTATGCCCATGGAGCGTGTCAGCGTGATGCTGAAGCCGGATGGCTTCTTCACTAAGAACCCTGCACTAGACGTGCCAGCTTCGAGTCAGTCTTTCAACCAGTCAACTTTGCACCCCGAGCCGGCTTGCTGCGCGGGTCCTCAGGAGCGAGGTCAGGTGAAGTTGTAGATATTAATTATATATGATGAGATGCCGAGGGCGACCTCGGTAAATGAATGAACTGGCATAGCAGCAAATATATCGAATTTATCCCAAATATTCCAATATTGACTCTGTCTACTATGTCTACTCTGTCTGTGTTTTGTACACCCTCGTTTATCAGATACCCGACGGATGAAACTCTAGCCCACTACGGCCCTGGATGCGAAATCGATCGCTGTGGCAGGGCCACTGAGATGAATGAATGTCCGAGAGAATATACCAAGTGTCTACGTGGTGAAGACGAAAGTGAAGATGCGGTATGAATTTTTGAAAGTCTAAGTCTCCTCCTTATGAGTACTTGTGGGCGGACGCCCCGTCCTTCCACGTCTTCAAATCCGACAAACATTCATGTGTCCTATTCCTTGTTCCACGTATCTTTTCAATGTCTCTTGTTGTCCTGTAGTGGGGATGAGCTGATCCAAACCCGGGACCACAAACACCACCGGCACCGCCAGATACTTATAAATCAGAGCTGGACTCCACGTGAGGAGGTTCCGTCAAAACTGGATGGTCGTAGGATTGACATGATTGGCAGCCAATGCTTGGTAAGTGGAGATATTCTCATCCTGTACAGTGGCCATGCGCAGAGCTGCATCTTTATGGATGTCCAAATTGAACCCATCTGGATTCTCAGCCGTTTGTCGAACATTGGGGGATGTAATGGAGGGTTCTCTTTTTGCTGGGACTCACAATCCTTCGTAGTCCTGCCAAATAAGCTAGCTATCTTGGCTTACGCGAAGGGACACTCCGAAGTTGGACGAACCGCGACGACGAAGCGGGCTCGTGGGTCAACGGCCCCGGAAATGGACATGCCTTGAATTCCAGTGCAGTCCTAGTCCACCATAGGATAGTAGCTAGAAAGCTTAACGCCCCCAAGTAGTCATTGATCTGCGTGAAGAGGTCGGTCTTGTTGCATGGCTTGCCATCGCTAAGTCAAGTAATTCGTAGTTCACGAATGAGCAGTGTGATTCCGAGCTGCTGAGAGGCTAGAGCGACGTTACGCAAGCCCGCTATCTCTTTCACATCATAGAGCTACCCATCATTAGTTAAGAATATCAGATGGGGGATTATTGTGCTCACTTTATGACTCATGACAATACCAGGCCCTCGATTCGAGACGATGTATATTCGATCTTGAAGAGGCTAGTTGGACAACATAGGTACTCTGCCAATTTACTATCTATAATATTCCGACCCTTTGCTGTGGCCACTGCAGTGCCGATTTCCACTTCTCATTCTGATCCTTTAGCTCATTCGATAACTCAGCCACTAGCGCCTCTCCGCATCCCGTGGCCCACCAGAAATGGGCCCCCGATTCATTTAATAGAACTGCCCAATTCATGAGGATCAATAACTGGAATGGTTGACGTGCGCGCAATCCATCCACAAATTCTCTCTTAGCGTAGGTGAGCCAATCCAAGATAGGTGCGGGATTGGTCACATGCGTGAATCTGGCAAAGGAGTCCTGTAGGGAGTCGATAGCTTCCAGGTTGATGATGTGCTGTGCTGAGTCTGTGTTTTCAATTGCGCTATTCAGCATTCGCAGTTGTGCGATTGCATTAGCCACGTCGGGATCCAGCCAGGGATTCTCTTTCCATTCATATTTGGAGAAGATGGTTGACTGTCGCCATGGCTTGCTAATTTGTGAGATTCTATTTGTCCCCCGAAGAAGCTCCAAAACAGTCATTATAATTTCGATCATGCTGAAGGATTCACCGCGATATTGAGCGTTCAGTCGAGGGAGTGCTATACCAATGGCAGCAAGGATCGCCGATTGGGCATACACAGCGTCGCAATTGTGAGGAGTAAGGTTGATCAAGGCCTCTCTAAAGGGAGCAAAGGCAAGTTCATTGCACCGCAGTGCGGTGTCTAGGTAAGATATAACTTGCCCTGAGTCCGGGGTAGTGGCCACCATGTGAAGCGCGGCGAGGGAAAAGATGCCATGTAAGAGAAAGTCATGTTCGAAGGCAAGCTTAGGAATGAGAAGCTGCCAATCCTCCATGTCAGATTGGTCGCCACAGAGGCTTTTATAAGTTTCGGTTGAGAATTTGTGCATTAGCAGCAGATGGTGAGCATCATATTTTGGTGAAATGAACTCTGGCATGGCCGGTGGTTTCGGCTCTGGTTTCGGAGAGGCTTCAGCTACGGAGCTATAGATGCAGGGTAGTTGCCGGGAAGTGCAGGCATTGCATAGAGGCCGTGTCTCATCACACTGGTGCTGTTAGCATCTGACGAGGCCCTGGGAGAGTGTCGGAGAGGGATGGACCCACCTTGACACGCCGTTCTTTGCATTGGTTGCACCCATTTCTGGACTTTTTGTGAAATCGACGAGGCATGGTCTGTATGGAGGGTGTACTCCGTAAGACAAGGGGGAATGAGAGGTGGAGAGCGGGGACCGATAAACGATAAACGATAAACGATAAACGAGTACGAGGAACAAGGCAAGCCAAGGATTAACAAAGGATTGAGATATATCAGCCCTGGAGGACGCTTTATCAATGTTCTTCTGTGTCTTACTTTGGATGTTCTCTCTTTCAAATGGGGGCCATTTGCACAGAGGTCACTGCCTACTGACATACGGCTAGTACTATTTGGGTTATTGCTGCCTGGATGCCTGAGGCCTGCTTAGATACAAAACAGAACTTTCAAGGTTTTCTCTGTTCCATTGTCATTTATCAGAAATCTTTTCTTTTCTGGCTTAGCCATCACTATTTTTCTACGGACAGTTTTGTGAAGTGCCTTCGCTGTGGAAACTGACAGAATCAAGTGACCAACATCGAAGGAGCTCTCTTGGGTGCCAGATTTCCCCCCCGCAGATACAATATATTTCTGACAGAAATTGTCAATGATTTAGGGTGCTATTTCCTTTACCTTGGAGCGGACATAAGCTGGCTGCCTTGAGTTCTCCATAATCGGCGAAGAGCGTCTCGGAAAGAATTGCTCTTTTTACTCGCTTTTATACGCCCCTGAAAACCCGCTGTATTTCCCCAGTACAATCAGTAAACGAACATTGGAATTGAGAGTCCTGCTGTGATATCAGGCCAGATGGGCTGTTTGAAGCCAAATCCCCAGGCATTTGGCAAGATCTCGCACGGTCGATGCTGCAGAGGCTTTGAAGGATTCATGCTAACAGCAGCGATGATTGTCAACTTGTCTTGCACTGCCTTCGTGACTGTCAAATGTGCTTCCCCTACTAGAAACTTGACCCCGACCAGCAGTCCAGACACTGGCCCTTCTTGGGTAGGTGTCAGAATACCTGTCGAAAGAGTAGGTTGAAGCAGTCTGGAATGTCCTTCCTTACATAGCGCAGAGCAGGACAGCATTTCTTTCTCCTCCAGGAACTCCAGACATCTTTGATTAAAGACAGCAACGCTCGACGTGTCCCGCGTGTCCTTGGCCACCAGGGGCGAAAGAACCGATTGGCGACGAAAGCTCCGTGAGAAAGGCAAGAGTGTTGCCTTCCATGGAGAACCAGGCTGGGTCATGTGGGGGTAAAAAGAGGTTGCGCAGGGCTATGACGCAAAATTTGACTGGTCTCTCCCATGGATATCCGTAGCAGTATCCCTTGATTTATAGCATGTCTGCGGATCTCTTTCAAGACTAGAATCGGTCAGGACACAGCGGAGGCAGATGCACAGGTACAATGTCATTGAGTCGCTGGTCTAAATATGACCCACAGTTAGACTTCCGCAAAGCCCATAAATGGGCCCTACCTTCGAAACCCGACCCAACCCACAGCCCCATCAGGTATAAGGCCCCCGTTAAAGCCCATCCTAGGAGGCCTCTAATCGCTGTATTACGACCTTCCACTAGGTATATAAAGTTCAAATCTAGAATCCAGCATCACAGTTACTGTATAAGTATATAGTTTGATTTTGAATAAAATCTACCTGGTAGAAGTCGAGATATCATTCGTCTTAATGTTTTGGTAGGATATATATTTTGGGTTTGTGTAGGAGTACTACTACTTTCTAAGTGAACTTCTGTAATTTGTAAATTATCTAAATAACGCGCTTTCTCGCGTTTTTAAACGTGATATAGAGAGATAACTAGCAATTAATTCTAAATAATTTTAACTAATAAAATCTTACCTTTAGAATAAGGGTTAGAAACGGGGGTAAAACGAAGGGTAATTTTAAAAACCCTTTTAGGGGGTTCAACTAAGTATATTTGCATTGTTTGGGGCCCATTGGGCCCCCATTAAAGCCCAGTGGGCTTTCACCCCGGGCCCAAAACCCGGCCCATTTACGGGTCGGGTCGGGTTGGGCTTTGGGCTTTGTGGGCCGGTGCGGAAGTCTAATTACTGTATATGGTGAAACTGATGAAGAAGCGAGAAACCCCTAGCCATGATTTTATTTACTCAGATCCAATGGGATGGAAAGACCTCTAGATATATATATGCATACTTAAAGATCAACCTGGGATTATAGATCCTTTCAAAAAGTCCATAGCCGTCGTATAGGGCATTATTCGGGAGGACGAATGTAAAAGGAGAAGTCCTACTCGGGTTTCTCACAAGAGCCTTCCAACCTTGGAACCTTCCTATGTTTGATACGCACGGCATGAATTTTTCCGTGTGATGTGTCTAGATTCTTTACTACGTCCACCAATATCATACGAGAGGGCTCAACGGTGGTATTCAAGATGGTTTCTCGAAGTGGGACCATCCAAAATTACAAAGATTTGATATTATAACTTTCCAACAGTAAGTGCATAAAGACAAAAACTAGATAATTATATTGCATTCAACTAACGGAACATAGTAAAATAAAACACAAGAATTGAGTGACAGCAAATTGTCCGACAATGATCAACTTGAAGGGATCTGGAATGTCTCCATGACTGTTCCACTTTAAACCTCGGCCAGATTGATTCGTCGCCTTGGATCAAACATTCAATTCGCCTGGGGACAGACGAATCTACCACAGGAACTCACCCAGACTGCGAAGCAAACCGGCGGGTACCATGATCGTTTCCGAGTCGCCAGCTCCATTCAATGCCGCGTTACTAAGAACCTTTCTCAGGGTGCGAGGAGCACTCTCGCCGTTCAAATTCAGAGGTGAAAAGGTGCTCTGAGCAACGAGACTCTGAGTAGAGAGACGCTGAGCAGAGAAAACACTGCCGAAGATTGCCTTGACGCTAGACCCTGCGCTGGAGGCCCAGTTGTAGATAGATTGCCCGAATTCCTTGATCTTGTCCCAGGCTCTGATGATGAACTCGCTGATACGGCTGACAAAGCCCTTCAGCACGTCAATGACCTTCCCAGCGAAAGCACCAATGATACTCAGGCCAGCCATGTATGTGGTTGCTGCACCAGATCGCATCGATGGGGGAAGCCTCTCAATCCCCGTGACGCCGACATTGTAGAGATCATCCCATCGCTGATTGCTCTTCGCTTTCTGTTCTTCAACAAGTCTGCGCAGCATATTCAGCCAGTCAACCTCATTCTTGGCGTTGGGGCCACTCGCGTTCTCTTCCAGGCTGCGGTTGACTAGTTCAGCCTCGTCCTGGGTAGCTTGAATGGCCTCGGTCGTCTTCTGGCTGAGCATCTGGTAGACGTCTGAGTTGTTGTACATGGTATTGATGTCCATTGCCATCAGATCTTGGCGAAGAGAGGAGGTCTCCGCTTGGAGGTTCATGAGGGTCTTCTCGGAGAAGATGGAGAGGAAACCCACGTTACCCTCGGAAGATGCCAACTTGAGCACAGCAATATCGCTGGCCAAGGCCTTCTTCCAGCTTGCATCCAGGGTTTCGACAGGGGCAGACATGGTGAATGTAGAAGGAGAAGATAAAAAAGGTGATTGAGGCTTGTAGAGAATTGGCTTGCAAAAGAGCTCAAATAAATAAAATACTCAGAAGGACTGAATAGATGGCGGTTGTTTTCAAGATGCTGATTGCGGATGCAGAGTTCATTCTGGGTGAGAGAAGTGGCACTTTATATACACTTCTCAGGAACACTCTGCTGCGAGCTACTCCAGCATCAATCCCCCTTTGCAATCCAATTTTCCGCCCTTAGCACACTCGTTTGTGATACCCCGACTCTTCTCAGCCAGCCTCCGGTCTCCCCGAAGAATCAATGGGGCAATGGAAGCAAGCTCCAGCTGAGATGACTCCCCGCTGTATTTGAGGCATCTCTAGCGAGTATCTTTGGGCCAACCAGATGGTTCATAGCATAGGAACTAGCGGCCATAGTGACACGTTTGAGTTCATCACTGAGACATATCTCGTGATCCCTTTCGTTATCCCAGGAAGTTGCTTGAGAAGTGACAGCCGGCACCAGCTGAATAGGATGCTTTTGTCTCACTGACATCTTTGGCGAGTATGTTCAGAACTCCGTACTAGTAGGTCAGGAGCTCCACAGTGGTAAGATCTCAATGCAATGTCTCTTCTAGCTCTCAGTGATATTTAGCGAGAGCCACAGGGCTCCCCGTAGAATTCACAAGACAGTGGGGAAAGGGTTCTCCCTGAAAAGCCATCACATCGGCAAGGATATACCTATACGGTGTACAGATATGCGGCTAGTGTGTACTATACTCAATGGTGCACTCATCACAGTAGATGGTGTGTATCTTTTGGCTTCAGCGATGGTTGTGATTGATGTGATAGTGATAGATTGTAATAGATTGTAGTATCTCTCAGTGGCGTGAAGAGATACTAAACGTGGTTATCATACCCGGGCCGGGCCTACAGTGGGTACCTGCGTAGACATGTTCGGGGGAGCTGCGCCCGCATGCGAACTGCGAACATGTTCTTCTCTTTTCAGCCATGCCCGTCGCGCCATGCTTTATTTGTCGGTCATGCGGTCTCCGATGACCTTGCATACCTGGCTTACTTTCCGCCTTCTTCAAATTAAGTTTTGTGAGGATATGGCACTCATGGCTGCCAATCCTCCTGGGGATATCACCAAGCATGGAATATCGCTAAGCATAGATCTCGTCGAGTATACTTTCTCGCAGAATGCTATGAGGGCCAGTCAATTTGAGCCCGTAATTCCTGTGATTACATTCCATCCATGCTAAAAGTATCTTCTATCGAAGGCCCTGTAGTAGGTAGCATCCCCACCCTACGCATCTAAGCAGTGAGCTGACAGACATCAAGAAGGTTCAGTTGAAGCAAGATGATTCTGCTTGAACACCATATTCCTTTTTTATTTCTTGCTAGAAGGTGCAAATCTCGATCTAGACACGAACGAATAGTTAGCATTTCGGGCAACAATAGGCGACTGAATATTGTGGCGCCGTAGCATAGACCCGCAACTGTAAAATTGCACAACAAGAGCCAAAAGATCCGACTAAACGAATTCAGAATTTGAAATAATGCCCAAGCACACTAGTTCCAGCGCCCAGCATACAGGTTTCAGCCATGGGAACAGCCCGCTGAAGAAGAGCGAGTCCAGTCAATTGCCTATGATATTTGGCTTGAAGTAGCGACATAAAGACGCAGGATAAAACCGGCTGGTGGCCATGACTCGAGTTGGCATAGTTGTTCGGTGATATCGCTGTCTGCTGCTTTACTCTCATCGGTTCATCATGTCTTACCTCAACGGAAACAAATTCTCCCTGTCTGAGAATTCTGGGTTCTCGTCGCTCAGCACCTTTGATCTGAAGCCCAGTATTACTGATTCGAACTACATTCTGGTCAAGTTGACTAGTCCTCTGGACCGATCCAAGAAGCAGATTCTCTCTAAATTGCACATCCAAGTACAGCAATTTCTTGGCGACAATACCTTCAAGTGCCGTTACGAGCCTACCGATATCGATCGCATCAGGGAACAAGATTTCATTGAAAATGCTGAAGTTCTTTCCCCTCTCCTGAAGCTTCCTCCGAGTTTGAAGACCCAAAGCAACTATGAGTCCCATGATGAGCCAAAGTCAGTGGACCTCATTTTGCATCAAGCTGCCGACAAATCTGCTGAGATCTTGATGCAAGAAATCAGTCAAATTACCGGAATCTCCCCGAGGAATATGAGTGTCCGCGCAGACAGCTCTATTATTCGAGCACAAATTTCCCCGAGAGACCTGTTGGAGGTTGCCAAGATTGATAGCGTTGGGGCTATTGAGGAGGTTCACAGCCTAACGTTGCTGAACAACGTCGCTCGGGATGTTATCCATGCTGATATCGGGGATTCCGGGGTTGGCAGTCTTGCATGTTACAAAGGAAAAGGCCAAGTTGTCACAGTCGCGGATACCGGCTTTGATATGGGCGACAAAGCCAATACGCATCCTGCTTTCGCCAACAGAGTGCGCGATCTCATCCCAATTGGACGGGAAAAATTAACAAGCGACACGAACGGCCACGGCACCCATGTCTGTGGGTCAGTCCTGGGAAACGGCAAGTCGGACGCCATGGGTGGCTCGATTCAAGGAGCTGCACCCGAGGCAACATTGGTTGTTCAAGCCCTCCTCGCAGACAACGGTAGACTTTTCGGTTCCTCGGGTAAGACTCTGGGGGACCTCCTGCGAGATGCCTATGAGAACCATGAATCTCGGATTCACACCAACTCATGGGGTCCTCAGTGGGACTGGAGAGGCCAGTTACCCTACAACAATGCTTCAGAAGAGATTGACAACTTTGTTTGGGGTCATCAAGACCTTGTCGTGTGTTTCGCTGCTGGAAACAGTGGCAAAGCAGCGACCCGCAAGGGCCACATTGGTGCACAGCCAGCTGCAAAGAACTGCATCACTGTAGGCTCGTGTGAGAATCTTCGATCTTCCCAAGATTACACCTGTGAAGTGTATGATGCCAAGGGATTGGTCAAAGGAAACCCTGACAACATCTCCGGATTCAGCAGCCGGGGACCCACCATGGAGGGTCGTATCAAGCCCGACATTGTAGCACCTGGAGGAATGATTCTGTCCACTGCTTCTCGAGCCTGTCAGCTAAGTAGCACTTTTGGAAATAGCGATGATAAGCTTTGGCAATTCTCGTCGGGCACAAGCAATTTCTAAACACGACTGTTTTAGCCCTTTAGTCAAGCTGCCATTTTGGCTCTCCAGAGCATACAGCTATTTGCAGACACCCACGACCAGGGCTGGGTGGATGATCGTGCTCTTGGAAACTGGACATGGCTGGAGGTAGCCATTTATGAGAATGAATCGTCCGATTCCCCCAGGCAAAGAGAAGGGGTTGAGTTGGTTTGGATGAGTCACAAGAATGACATGGGATCTGCGGAATACGGCTGGGTAAGTTGCTCATCTAATTAACATGCTATATGGGATCTCACAGTGGTCTTCAGTTATCTAGTGACGTTTTCGCCGGCAAGCACGATCTGTTGGCTCTGCTTGAGGTAAGTCATTGAACCGAAATCCTCGGAAAGAACATACTTACTCATATAATTAGGTTGGCAATGTTATTGCAGTGCGAGTCTGTGCCCGCTTTACTGGCTGGGAGCTGTATGGAAGGGCCGCTTGCCTTGTACTGGATATGGGGCGCCCCACCTCTGTTGAGCAGCCTCCTAGTTACGCACAGGTGATGGAGGATACCATCGCACTGCAGCAGATCTTGAACTGCGTCAACTCTAGTAATAATGCATACGCACCTACAATCACAGCAGCCTGGGATCGAGCCGATACATTCTCCGGCAAGGAAAAGCGACCCCTCCGTGTTCTTTCTCTTGGTAAGGCCTTCTAACTGATATCAAGCCCATTATTCTTAAAGACTAACTGCTCTTTTAGATGGGGGAGGTGTGAGAGGGTATTCCTCGCTGATGTTACTGAAAGAAGTCATGGACAAGGGTGCTCCAAATAAGAAGCCTTGTGAGATATTTGATCTTATTGGAGGAACAAGCACTGGCGGGTCCGTACAGCTGAGGGACAAGTCTCTTTGTCATATAATATATAGTGCTGACTGAATCAGGTTAATTGCTATCATGCTCGGTCGTCTCAAGATGACCGTTCAGGAATGCCTGGACGAGTATAGCGCGTTGATGAATGAGGTGTTTGGATCTGGCTGGGTCCACGACCATGTGACGAAGCCAGCCCGATATACTGCGACAGGAGCATTCTACTCTGCCAAGACATTGGAGAAGGTGATCAAAGCTCTGCTTCGGAAGAGGCTTCCAGCCGGGGAAGATGCAGATAACGCATTATTGCTGGACGACAAGGAGAATTCCTGCAAAATGTGAGATTGCCTGTCCATTCAGTTAATTTTCTATTGTGAAAGCTCACCTGATGAAATCAGCTTCTTAATGGCGGTGCGTGAGGAAGCCGGTAATAACCGAGGGCCTGTCTTCCTTCGCTCATATACGAACGACCTTGAGGTACCAGACGCAGACCTTGCGAATATCAAGTTGTGGCAGGCTGCTCGTGCTACATCCGCCGCCCCTGCGTACTTTAAGCCTCTTGAGGTGGGCCGCGTAAAACTGGTTGATGGCGGCTTGTTAGCTAATAATCCCCTTGGATGGTAAGAGTTTGGCGTACTTATAGTCTTGTACGAGCATGATGACTGAGATTCCTTCACAGGTTATGGACCGAAGTCCTCGGTGTATATGGCCCAACTCGCGAGACGGACTGCTTCCTGAGCATTGGTACAGGAATGGCATCCAATGTGGCCGTCGCTCAACCAGGATTCAACTTCAAAGCCGCAATGATGAGTTTTGTCTCGGTTGCAACTAACACCGAAAGCACCCATCTTCTTTTCCGCTATCTTGTTGACGCATTTGCCCCGTGCCCCCAGATCAAGAAATATTGGAGATTGAATGTGGCCAAGGAGAAAGAGGGATCTGATCCAAAGGACTATGAAAGTCCCGGCGAATTGGACGATGTGGCCGGAATTAAGAAGTTGAAAGCTTGGACGAACGAATGGATAGCCGCCCAGCAGGATATCATCAAGCCCTGTAGTGAGGCTATTGGAAGGAATTTGTTGAAGAGTACATGAGAATTCTATTGTATACTAATTTTTCGACTGGGAACTAATTTGAGCTGTGATTCGTTTTTGCTTTTACCTGTTTCGGTGTTAATCGCTGATCTACTGTGTGATAGCACTCAGCCGGCCAGACAGCCGGACTTTGAGCACCCTCAAAAAAGCGGCGGCAGCTAGGATAGAAAGGCCCCAGCAGAGAAAATTCATTACATAAAGATGTGTACGTGTTCATCAAGGAAGCAAGTTGCGTAATTTTTCAGCTGAAAAAATCAATACTGAGTGCTTGAAACAGTCGGCGCTGCCAGTCTCCACATTGAAAGCATAGGAATATCATTTAGTGAGATCAAAAAACCACTTCAAACCATGTTTAGCGATGCGCCTCGGTGAAAAGCTTCTCGGCCCATTCCGCAGCCGAAAGAACATCCGCCTTGCGCGCAAAGACCTTCTCCATCAACACACGGTGCAGCTCCTCATCACGATCCATGCAGCAATTTTCCAACACAGTAATACGGTAGTCCATGTCCATTGCCTGGCGAACAGTCGATAGTACGGCTCCGCTGGTGATCAAGCCTGCGACAACGATAGACTCGGCATTTGCGCAGCGCAAAAGCATATCAAGTTCAGTAGAAAAGAAAGCCGAGACACGACGCTTGGTGAGGACCACTTCTCCAGATACAGGTGCAATGGCTGGGTGAACTTGCACTGACGAGTGGCCTTCGAGGTATTCACCGCGAGCGACGACAGAGGGTACAGATGAGTTGTTTGGATTGTTTTCTGGGTAGCCTGGACGAAAGGCGGTGATGACGTGGATGATTTTCACGTTGGCCTTGCGTGCAGAAGTGACAGTTGATGCTAGGCGTTCGAGGTAGGGCTCTGGGCTATGGAGGCGATCGATTACCCCGTTTTGGACGTCAAGGATGAGGAGGACGGTTGCCATGATGAGCAGTTTATGGGTGGAGTTGTCAAGTTTGAAAGAGTAGAAATTAAATAAGGATGAGTTTAGACTGAAGAGAGAAACCGAAGAGGCAGGTAAAATACTCGACAAGATAGATACATGGTCGCGCGTCCGGTATCATGGATCCCGGTACCGGCATGGACATATGAAATTGATGGGACTCTGAGGAGACTCTGATTAGACACTGGAATATTTTATACAAAGGTAAGCGAGCTCGCTCATAATGTTCAAATACATAAAAAAAAAGAAAGAAAGAATGTGGTCTGGAGTACCACACAGAAAGCGCAGGCATATCAGTCGAGTCTCGGTCTCTTGAAGGCAAACTGTTCCAAAAGCTCAACCCTTTCTTTGAGACGAACATTTTCTTTCTCTAGATCTCCACGGTCCAAAATCAAATCATCTCGGTACCTTTTTCGTGTCTGAGGTGATCCTTCTATGCATTTGTCCAAGGTATCCCGGTGCTTCTTGGACGACATCATAGAGCCAGGTGATGCTGTCTCTGGAGACTTCGCCCGAGGGGTCTTTGGCAACCTAGGTGTTCTGGATGGTGTCATAGGCTGATGACTGTTGAAATTTTCACCTTCACTGTCGGATTGACCTCCCCCGGATTCATAGCTACCGCCTCTCTCTTCAGTCTCCTGTGATTCCCGCGGCAAAGGATGTGAGTAGTCGCGGCTGGAGTATCTGCTCTCTGTCTCCATGGAAGGAATTATGGGCAAAGGAACACTTGTTCGAGATGTGGCCAGTGATCTCGCGATTCGCGGAGTCTCGTCCGAGTAGAGACGGCTATCAAGGATGGAGGTTCTATCCTCTGGCACGGCCGTAGCTCGGTTCCCTTGGAGGCAGTTGCGAAGGCGGAATTCATCTAGCGGCAGAAGGCAGCTTTGACGCCAAGTATCCGCAGCTTCTTCCGCTCGTTTAGATGAAGCGACTTCTCCACCAATCCATGATGCAAATTCCCTCACGTCCAGTGTGATAGCATTTTCATTGTTATCGGAGAATCTCTTTCTCATGTAGTCAGTATAGCTCTTTTGCATGGGGCCAAAAGCGATGTTTTCCATTGGGTTGAAGAACTGCTGATCATTCTTAGGGAAACAAATGCAAGCGATCCTATTATCCCAACAGAACTTTTCGAACTCTGGAAACAGTATGCGGAATCGATGGGAAATCAGCAGAATTCTCCATGTTTGACGCCGGCCTTTGGGTCGAGTCTGTGGCTCAAAAACGGTCTTCGCCCAGTCAACTGCATGATTCGCCTCAGCCCAGCCTGACTGGGTAAAAGAAACCTTGATATCACCAAAGTTCTTCGTCTGAGGTGGATCCTGGCTTCTACAAATGACGTATGGGGTCAGGTGTTTCCCTCGCGTTGAGCAGCAGTGGATGACAGACGAGAATGCCCGTTCTTCTCTCTTGTGATTTTGGTTCATTGGTCGAACGAACATAAGGCTTGCCTTTCGATACATGGTGGTTACGAATGCGGCATCCTCCATAGCATAGATGTTGTCGTTGAAAACCTGGAGCCGCTGCTTGATATCTTTGAATGTTTGAAAGAACTTCCAGGCTCTCCGATCTTCATACGGACCTTTCAGTTTTAGTGTGCTGCGCTCTTTGGCTATGCGATCAGCAAGTCCTCGATGACGCATCCAAAAACCCTTCTGCCATCCAACGTTGAGGTTTGGCCTGTTCTGGCTGTAACCCTGGTGGTTATGGAAATACGCATTGGCTGCATCTTTTGCCAACATGTGGTAAGGAAAGAATCCATGATTCAGCCAACGCTCCACATGCTGAAGAACTGCATTCTCATCCTCAGCCGAGAGAGCCGGTTGACCCATGGCAACAGACTTCTTTTGCAAATACGCACTAGCAAGGTTTGTGGCAACTTCGGAATCAATCGTGTGGGATACAGGCGTCCTTATAATGGTGAGGTACACTGTCTTCTGATGATTTAGATAGCGGGTTAAAGGAGAGGTGCTGAGGATTTCAGACAAAAACTGACCTGAAATTCTGACATAGAAAATTTTTCTAGTACTAAAAGTCCCGAGGTTATGTATGTATCAACATTGACCAAGCCTCCACTCTATTATTAGCTTAACAAAAAATTCTGGTTCCCCCTAAATCACTTCATTTTGTATGGCTATTCGAGACATCACAAAACTATTAATTTGGGTATTACTAAGTGGATGCTATTCCACTTCAGATTGGGCTGGTTTCCATAGCGACAAATGTTGAACATTTATTTTGGCTTCGTTCGCTCCAGAGTAATTTTGCTTTGTAACTGTGAGCGAGAGCAACATACAATAAACGAAGAGGGAAATTAATGAGAAAGTGGACATCAAAGGAAATGAATAGGGCAAGTATGTAGTACATAGATATGGAGGGTAATGCTACGGCGCAACCCCTGGAATTCCCGGTGCGCATAATTGGTTACTGCTGCCATCTAATTCTGCCTACCATTTTACACCGTCATTCTGTCAAACTCTTTCTACATTATGAAAATGCAGGTTGTTTCTTTAACTATGTAAATTAGATGGGTAGAATATAGGGCAAAATATGTGACAGGATTTAGGGTCCGATTTACCTAGGTAGTACTACTCTGTAGTATTCTTGAACCATCCTAGTACCAGCATAGACATATGAAATTAATGCAGCTATTTGTTTCTATAGTAATAATTTCCAACTGCAACATGGAAAGAAAAAAGTGGGAAAAGACAAAAAGACAAAAAAACAAAAAAACAAAAGAAAAATGGAAATGATTGTGTAGAGATGCACATACGAACCCCACGAATCCAACCTCAGTGTGATGATAAACCAAATCTCGTATTCAATGAGTTCTGGATTTTTTTGAAGAGGACCCCGGCGGTGATTGAATTGCGTCCTCAAGTTTCCAAATACATTTAGCATAGCCCAGCGTGATTTGTTCGCGGCGTCGCTTCTTGTCAGCGGGTGATGATGCGTTTTCGTACTGCTCAACGCAATTTTGAAAGTCTTCAAGGGACATCACCGAACTTAGTAGCGTTTCCAGTTTTCGGGACGATCTGGGAGTTTTCAGTCGATTTGGGGTTCGACATGGTGTCGCGGGGACGTTGGCGCTGGTGTAGGATTTTTCGTCTTCGCTGCTTGATTGCTCGGACCATTCAGTGTCCGATGAATTTTCAGAGACTTCTTGTTGTTCTAGGACCTCCCACTCAGAGGGATTTCTTAGCTGTGGGCCTTGCACCGATTCCGGCGAAGCTATTTGGTCCCGGTGAACAATTACAGCAATGGGATTGTCGGCAGTGCTTCGCTCCGTGTCACTGGTCTCATCCGGTGATATACGGCGCCGCCTACTACGGATTAGGTTGCTGGGCTCGACAGTTCGAGCACGAGTCCGGTCGCACGTGTGACGATTGGTCGATCGTGTGCGGCTGGGTGAAGGCAAGCGGGTGTTGTTGTCGTTAGTGGTTAGCTCCGTGTAGTTGGTCTCGTCGAATGATCCACGGCGCCTCCTACCACGGAGTGGGCTGCTGGGTTCGACAGTTTGAGAACGAATCCGGTCGCCCTTGCGACGATTGATCAATCGTTCTTGGCTGGGTGGAAGCAGGCAAGTATTGAGCCACGCACGCTTTGATTCGGTAACTCGCACAACGGATCCGAGTTCACGGCAAATGAAGATCGCAAATTGAGATGCCGAGATAGTATATGGCAATTTCTCTCTTTGTCTCCCTCGTTGTCCGTCTCGTAGACTCTCCTCTTGTTTCTCTCGTAACTGTTTCTTCATATGCTCTGCATAGAGCTTATCAAGGCCGTCGAAAATCCCATTTTCAAAGGGGCTGAGATATTCGCTGCCTTTTTGGGGAACACAAAGACAGATGACCTTTATTTCCCAGCAGGTCACAAAGAATTCAGGTGTCACGGGGAAGAGATTATCAACCAGTAGCAGACGGTATTGGCTTGAGCCTCTCATTCCAGATTGACTGGATTCTATTTCCTTCATGAAGACGTTGTTCAGCCAATCCAGTGCATGCGCGTTTTCTGCCCAGCCAGTTGTGTTGTACGATATCTTGACTCCGACTGTACACTTCGGCGCTTGAACCTCGGAAGACTTGAAGGTAACATAGGGTAAAAGCGGCTTGCCCCGGGCCGGGTAACAGTAGATAACAGAGGCCAATGTGCGGTTCTCGGAAGGCCTCTTGCGGCGGATGCTCAAAGGCTGTTTGTCCTTTTGGATTGCAGTGGCATATCCTGTGTCTGAGAGTGCATAGATATGTTCATCATCGAGCCCATACTTTTCTCGAATGGCCCCAAACTGATCTATGAATTTGCAGAGCCTCTCATCTTCCAATTCAGGATCTTTGCTTGCTAAGCCACCTATCTCTAACTTTCGGAACTTTTTGATTTCCTCATGAAAGTTCTGATTGCGAGAAAATATCCCACCATGACGACTCGTACCATTGTCTGGGGCACCCTGATGTTTGAGATAGGCACTAGCGATTTGTGACACAATCGATTGCTTTTTTAATTGAAAGCCGTGCTCCATCCATCGTTCGACATATTCAATAATCGCTTTATCCTGGTCATTGGATACCTGCAGCCCAGAAATTATGTTAACGCCGTGCTGTAGCCCGGATCTTCTGTTAGTCCTTGCCAGAGCGCAGTTCGTTGATGGTACATGAGGCCGACGACGAGTAGACATGACCAGTTACTAATCGTTCAACCAAGCCCTGGAAGATCCAAGAAAAGCTCCTTCTGAGGCAGTTGAGTGACTGAGATTTCCTAGCTTCAACGAGTAGATGTTAGATATTGAAGTTACAAAGGGAGTCTTAAGGGACATACAAACCTTGCACGTTCTACGAAATCTGAAGAATAAATTTTAGCATTCAGAACGACCACTTAGGGGGGTTTTGTAAACATAAGAATTAACCAAGTCCCCACCTTGTTTGTGAGCTCTCAACAAAAGTTTCGCATCACGCTGCATGGCTGCAGTTTGTATGGCTAGATAGGTATTTTGTCTCTTCTCTTGTGGCCCTGAAATTGTCAATTTGGATATAAAGTGGATGCTATTCCGCTTCAGGCTGGTTTCCACAGTGACATGTAACTACTATCTCCAGCTTTGCTTTTTTTTGTTTTTTTTCGGAGTAATTTTCCGGACAGTGACAAGATGGACAGACACATTGGAGACTTTAACGGGGACACAACTATAAAGTTGAAAATTGTATACTCATAAGTTGCAATCCAATGTCAATATCCCAAAGGAATCCATGATCATCAGGTTCGATTTCTGGCAGCGGTGCGGCCCGAGTGCATCCCCGAGATTCAGGGGCTCTGCTCCACGCGTATCCACAGTGGAGATGAACAAGCCAGTCTCAACCGAAGCAGATAACTATGAACATGATGAGAGGGGAAAACCTAGACATCAATGGTGAGACTTGTCATTTGTGCACATACAAAGTAGTAGATCAGTTGCTTGAGCCCTGAGACTCGATCTCGGGAACCAGCCCTGTGACATGCTTACGTAAGGGCCACATGACGTCAATATAACTATCAGACGCGACTCTTCTCGCGCAAATCTGTGGTTGCTTCCTATGGCTGCCTTCAATGTTCAATCACCGCCAACAGTGGCCAAGGACGCGTCAAGCTACTTCACATGCAAACACTTTCCTAATCTAACACCAACATGGCTGTGGCATCAGTCCCAATAACGCATGGCGGCGAAAGTGAGTATTTCTGGGGATCTCTTCCGGCTCAAGTGGATATTGACAAGACCACAGATATGCTGAGATCGGCTGCAGCACTCAACGGCCGTGTCTTTGACACCGACTCCGTCATCGCGTATATGCTACTGGGCCTGTCTCAACAAGAAAGGTTGGCTTATCTGCCGACATACTGGACCACGCTCATCAAGTCGGCCTTGCTTAATCACGCAGTGATCACCGAAGCCGATGACTGGAAAGCAGCATCTGTCATGATTCCACCGGGCCGATACGTTGACAATTTCTGGACTCTTGTGTGGTCTGGATTTCTGAGCGTGCTTTGGAAAATAGGACTGCCAGGACTTAAGGTACGCGAAACCCCAACATTCTCGCAGAGGACCCTGTTAACCTACCTAATTATCTAGCGTCTTTGGTTCGAATTCTCTGGTATGACAGACAACGCGAAGAGAATTGGTCTACGTGGACAGAACAAGTACTACTACATCTTCAGTATCGGAACCGAGCAAGAGCACCGTGGAAAAGGTAAGACAGTCTCATTTGTAGATCCGTCATACTCAGTCACTTACTGATATTGTCCAGGCCTCGCAAAAGCGATCATGCGGGATCACCAACAGACCGCCCAAGCCGCGAACCTCCCGATCTGGCTCGAAGCAACAACTTCAGGCTCGCGCGCTCTCTATCTGTCGATGGGATTTGAGGAAGTCGAAGAGATTCAACTTGGGAAGGGTAAGGTGGCTGCTGATGCAAGCCTTGAGTCTGGTGGACCAGGAGTATCCCTTTGGGCGATGGTATGGTGGCCAACCCTGACTCCTGAAGCTATTCCCTAGGCTTTACAGGTATCTTTCTGCTTATCCATACGCTTATTACTAGCATATGTATGTATTCAAGCGCTTACTATCAACAAACCGATTTTATCCATATCTGTGCATTCTTCCATTCTAGGCGACATCACGCTGCTATTCCAAAACAGCTAACAGTATATAGTCGAGCGAACAGCTCTGCCGACTCAACAAGCTCAGCAAACATCCTGCAACATGTTCAAATCTCGGGGAATAACACCAGCCTTAATAGCGCATCTGCAAGAAGTCAGCTACCGCCCTCCAATTATCTACGAGTCAAAAGAAGCTCACCATGGTAAGACCATCGGTAATCATTCAGTTGAGCATTCCAAGCCCAAAATACCCATACCTGCTACTGCCAATAAGAATGGATCCGCACCACAAAACATTTTCCATAAAAGTCGGTATTCGAACTGGGATCCCTATCCGACGGCCCCTCGACATCAGCCGGCACAGTGAGACTCTTTTAGCCAACGATGTTGGGAAAGTTACTATTACACTCATCACCACATGATTTGATGTACAGTGGGACCTCCAAAGTATTGGGCGTAATTTTATACCTCTACATAGAAGGCGATATGTGAAGGTACCAGAACGCCGCCCAATACTTCGGAGGTCGCTTTCTAGTTATTATACCAGGGATGAACACCAGTATCCCATTTCAGATACCTCAGCCCATCCTGGAGGGGGGTATACCCCAACGTACCCTCATAAAGTGGACACAATCTTGGTAGTTGTTAGTGTCATATGTCCGCCTTCCCTTCCCGATGCACATAAAATATATATGATGTAGTTCTTTTTTATTGATTTCGTAGTCTTGGTCGGTTGCTTCTTGCTTTACGTACTTGCTTGGGAGGATTTGGCAATCATTAATTAATGTGATCTCAAGAGGTGTTTGATGATATAGAAGTTCCCATCTATCTACTGTAGCACAGAAGTTCAACACAATCCTCCTATTCCATCCAGTATTAGCCTCTCAATCGCTCCCTCCAACTATACTGCTAGAGCTCAAGTAAATCTGTGGTCGGATCAGCAGGGATCAAATACACACGTTTTACCACGAGAAACTATTAGCCGATTGAGTGTCTACGGGTGCTGGAGAGTATTCTTGTAAAGAAGAATTCGTCCATTAAAGCCCGTAATTATTCTTGTTACTCGAAAAGACCACTTGGTTAACCCTTCATCTCAGCCTACATGAAGATTCTATTAACTACCAAAGACCAAATGTGAGACAACGTTAATTATCATTATAGAACATTAAAGATCGTAATTGCTTCCGTTGCAATCCATATAATAATATCATGAAATATATCCGCCTCACAGCGCCTTGAGTAGTTCCTGGATCAAAGGCAAGAAGCTCGTAACGTCATCAATGAGGAGTGTTGTCTCATTGACGAACTTCGGAGTCAGGAGATCATGAGCGTTCTCCAAGAGCGCGCCAACATCCGAAATGGTAGACGGCTTGAGTAACTTCTTCACCTCGGGCAACAGGTCGGGCACGTATCCCAGAATCTCCTGGAGCGTGCTGACCACCTTGGGGGTCAGGAGGCCATCGGCGTTATCGATGAGGTCCGTGGTCTCGACAACGAAGTGGGGCGTAAGCAAAGTGGTAGCGTTGGTCACGATGTATCCCAGGTCGGTGATGATGGTCGTGTTCAGCAGTGACCTTCTGAGATCCGGGATCAGGGGCACCATGTCGCCGAGGATATCCTTCAGTCCCGTTACGACGGTTGGGGTTAGGAGGTCGTCCGCACTGTCAATCAGACCAATTGTCTCGTTGACAAACTTGGGAGTCAAAAGCGTGTTGGCGTTGGCCAAAAGAGAGCCAATGGCAGAGATGGTGCTCTTGGTCAAGAGTGACTTCAGCTCCGGCAGGAGGGGCATGACATCCTTTAGGATCGACTTCAATCCACTGGCCACCTCTGGAGTGAGGAGATCGCCAGCCTCGCTCACCAGGCCCTTGGTATCCTTGATGAAGTCTGATGTAAGCAGGTCTCCGGCGTTGTTCAGAAGGGTCTCGATCGAATTGATCATTTCCTTCGTCAGCAGCGACTGCAACTCGGGGATCAGTGGGGTAAGATCGCTGAGGAGCGACTTGAGAGCCTTGACCAGGTCGGGGGTTAGAAGGCTGACAGCCTCGGTGATCAGTGTGTTGGTGTCCTTGACGAAGGAGTCCGTAAGAAGCTTGTTGGCATTGCTTAGCACGTTCTCGATGGCCTTGATGGTGGCCGGCTTGAGCAGGCCCTTCAGCTCGGGAATTATAGGAGCGAGCTGAATGAGAAGAGACTTCAGTGAGTCGATGGTATCCGAACTCAAGAGCTCACTAGCTTCATCGATCAGGCTAGTGGTCTGATTTACGAAGCTGGTAGTCAGCAGGCTGTTGGCATTGCCGATCAGAGTCTCGATCTCTTTGACGTTGCCCTCTGTGAGAAGACCGCTAGCTTGATTGATCAGAGGGCCGGCCTGGTTGATCAGGGGACCGGCCTGCTTGATGAGTTTGCCCGTAGTCGAGATAAAGCTGGGTGTGAGCAGCTTGTTAGCATTGCCCAAGAGTGACTCTATCTCCTTAACATTGCCCTCAGTGAGAAGGCCGCTAGCCTGATTGATAAGAGGCCCGGCCTGCTGGATGAGCTTGCCCGCAGTAGAAATAAAGCTAGGAGTGAGCAGCTTGTTGGCATTGTTCAAGAGTGACTCGATATCCTTGACATTGCCCTCAGTGAGGAGACCGCTAGCCTGGTTGATGAGGGGACCCGCCTGCTGGATGAGCTTGCCGGTAGTTGAGATAAAGCTAGGTGTGAGCAGCTTGTTGGCATTGCCCAAGAGTGACTCGATTGCCTTGACGTTGCTCTCAGTGAGCAGGCCGCTAGCATCGTCGATAAGAGGGCTGGCCTTGCCGATGAGGTTGGTGGTTTCTTTGACAAATGTGGCAGTCAGAAGCGTGTTGGCATTTGTCAAGAGCGACTCAATCGCGTGAACATTCTTATCAGTAAGCAGGCCACTGGCATCATCAATGAGAGGGCTGGCCTTGTCAATAAGGTTGGTGGTCTGCTTGACGAAATTGGAGGTGAGGAGGTTGTTGGCGTTGTCGATGAGGTTGTCCACCTTGTCGATAAACTGGCTGGACAGCAATTTATTGGCGACCTTGAGGAGCGTTCCAATCTCCTTGGTATTCTCCTCGGTCAAGAGGCCGTTGGCATTGTCAATGAGAGTACCAGTCTTCTTGACGAAGCTCGCAGTCAGGAGGTTGTTGGCATTGGCCACTATGGTTCGGAGTTGGTTGTCAACCGGGGGTGCTAGACCGGTAGAGAGATATTCGAAAGTATCTGCGAAGTTACCCAAGAAGCTAGGGTTAAGCAGACTTTCAAGACCACGCAGAAGTTCTGCAATACCGCCACTGCCATTACCACCTAATAAACTCGAGATAGCTTCTTTCAAGTCTGGCAGGATATCAGAAGCTTTGGCAGTGCCGTTGCTGTCCGAGTCACTGTCGGAGCTACTATCAGAACTGGTAGACTTGGTGCTTGACGTGCCTGTAGCAGAGGCAGCGGAGGAGGCAGGCTCAGTAGCAGAGGAACTAGGCTCGGCAGCAGGAGAACTATGCTCGGCAGTAGGGGAACTAGGCTCGGCAGCAGGGGAACTAGGTTCGGCTGCCGACTTATCGGCAGTCACAGTAGGGTCGGCTGCACCGGCTGCGTCGGTTGATTCTTTCGCACTGACAGCAAGCGCAGTCTTTACGCCACCGACCACGGATTCCACGGGGTTGGCCCTGGTCGGGTCGGGCGTATCCGGGGCAGCGGTATTTTCTTCTTCTTTCGCAGCCGCAGCAGAGAGATCCGTATTAGCGGCATCGGCTGTGTCGGCGGGAGCAGAGGTGTCAGCAACGGCAGCATTGGCCTGGTTGACATTGTTTGCATGAGCGGGCGAGGTTGTCGGGGCGGCCTCCTCTGCAACATTCGCGACGGGGGTGACGGATTCCACCGAGGCTGAAGTAACGGCTGGACTTCCTGCCACATTGACAGCAAACAGGAGCGCTGTGGCGAGCGCTGGCAGAAGACGCATGTTGTTGAATGGGCCGATCTGGCTGTCGTTTCTTCAATTGACGTCTTGTCCGGCCAGTCGAATTGGCGTCGATTCCCCAAACCTATCGTTCAAAGGTTTGTTGGACTGGAAGAGCCTCCGGGATATTCAGAAATTCTACCCCGGAGAGAGCCAGCTCTTTATTTGCATTGTGATGACATTGATCGTCGCGGACCAGACAGGGTCCTAGCTAACCGCAATTGCACTGACGTCTCTTCTTTTGCGTCCGGAGTACGATTTACCTCCATCATCGCCGAGGAAATAGGGATCAACACCGAGGCAGAGTACCGATAGCCTACCATGTGATGGGCATTGACGAGAAACTCTCATCACAACTCCACATAGTAGCAGAGTCTAACACCTCGCTGTCGGCCGTGCCTGGGGACTAGGTAGGGATCAGCACTACTAGCATGGGAAAGGTAATGGATTTTCATTCCCGAGGTTCAGCCAGGCACATGTGTTAGCTTTCCTGGGGAGGGGCTGGGCATATATTAAGGGAGCCATCAGAAAGCTTGGGCGTATATTGGCGTATTGGGAATGAGATGCGAGGTTTCTGGGGGAGAAAGCCAGGGCAAAAGCGGGGGATCTTAGTATTTCCCCACCAGGTAGCCGAGATGAGGATCAAAGCCAATGATGGAATGGCGGAATGATGTTGGAAATTCAAAATTGGAAGATTAATAAATCAAGAGAACAAGGAATTTGAAAGGAGGGGAGGTTCGGAGTTGAGGCTTAAAGGGGCAATGAGCTACATGTCGCTGTTCACCTCCAAATCTCCCACCCAAAGCTTCTTCCCATACATCAGATTTGAACATACAATATAGTATTCTCTCTACTCTTTACTTCGTACATTTTTTTGCGTTTAAAAAATTGAACAACCATTAGGAGATTTCATGGGAACTGAGTAGCTCTCATGTACACATATTACAAGGGGAAACAATCAGCTATTACTAGTACTACGTCCTCTTTGACTGAACGAAACTAGTTGAGATCGTCGAATGCCTTAAAAAAATTAGAGGTTCATATTTTATTCTCTTTTCTTGCTACTTGCTTCCTTTTTTTCCATTCTAGGTATGTGCTAAGGTAAGTTCAGTACTCCGTACCACATGCTATATACTGCCTAGATATTTATATCTTCTTCGATACCACATTCCTTCAAAAACTTCAATCGCGTCTCTGAGTCACTCAAGCGTGACCCGAACGACCTAAAATTTCGGAACCATGTATAAGCCTCCTTATAATTCGTCAAATTTTCCAGTAGCAAACGCTTCCACTCTAAGTCTCCCTCGCCGAACCCAAATCCAGCCCCTGTAAACTCCCACCACACAGGGAAATACCCCGAGCGCTCCCAGTCAATCAGAGCGTTCAATTCGAAGCTGGCTGGGTCCACAATAATGTTGCAGTTGGTCAAGTCGCCGTGGGTAAAGGTCCACGGGTGAGGAGAAGGCATGGTGTTACGGAGCCGCGATCTAACGACTTCCGGTACTTTGTCACTCAACGATATCGCCAAAGCCTCCCACAGCTCCTCGACTGTGTTTAGTGGGCCATGCATAACCCCATAATCTTCACCCATAAACAGATGAGCACAATGAACCGGTTGGCCATGGAGACACTCCATCTTATCGGAGTGGAGCGAGCGGAGCTGCCCCAAATACTCCGCAGTCTGACGAGCGAGTCTTTCCCGGTCGGGTTGTGGGATTGACGACCAGATATCCTCTAACGGTACTCCAGGCACCCGCTCGACGATCTGGAAATACTTCTTGCCCTCGGTCCACTCCTGTAGGGTATTGTGAACGGGGATGGTGGTATTGTCTTTGATAAAGTGGGTGTTGATGACCTCATGGCTAGGGGGGTCTTTCTCGCGCTCCTTGAGAAGAAACTTTGAGCCGAGGGCCCAGTAGCCCCGACTGCTCGCTCCGTGGAAGAGGCGCACGCTACTCTCGTAGGCGCAGCGTCTTTGCTGATCTGGGGTCCATTTGCATGCGGGGCAGGGGACCTCCGATGATGACATTGATGCTTTTACTCCGTATTTCCTTGGAGGGACTATATTTGATAGATTAAGAAGTCTCAGATAGATTTGAATAATGGAAGAGAATCACAAGATAAACTGCTGTTCTTTCTACGTACAGGCAGGCCTCAGGGGCTAACGTATCACAAGCGAGTCGGCCACCCACCGCATTTATCTCCACCAAAATGCCATTGAATTAATTTCTTTAAGGAAAGGATCATCTCTCTGGAGATACATCTCTTTTATGGCCGCGCACTTTACATATACCAACATAGGATCCTAAAGCCCGGGGGAAATAAACAATATGAGCTCGTATTCGTGCCTAGGTCACGAGTTTCGGGCATGTTATTGCTAGCACTAGGCTGGATCACATTAAATTGAAGAATGGGGCAGCCAGAAGGAAAGAAATAGCCTGATGACTGGATAGGGGACAGTTCTTTTTGTTAAAGATACTAGCTCAATATCGGAGAAACAGAAGAAAAATCTATGATATATTCAATATATACGAAGCAGTGTATCGATATCCTGAGGCTAGCAAACAGGCCTGTATAGACAGGCACCCAGGGGAGATGGGATGGACCAACCCTTTTTTAGTACTACTTCTCTCCCCTCTCATTCTGGACTAATAGCTCTACGCGGAGCCCCAAATCTGCGGGCCTTTAAGTTGCACTGTAAGTTAAGAAAACTTGGTACGAAGCCCGTCCACATAGGCCTTGCCATTTCCCACGAGCCTAAAATCAATGTATCTAGAGCTAACCCCCTGATTTACGTTAGATACATGGGTTTTATTCGTTCCCACTTATCATTAGAACCTATATATAGGGCAGCAATGGCTTCTATATGATGACTTAGATTCTATACTTGGCCACTTGAATTGCCAATCCGCTCTTTGATAGTACAAAAATAAACATTTAGGGAACTCCAGCTCCAATATTGATGTTTGCACCATACACACACCGTGAATCTTCGCTAAGCAACCACACAATTGTACGCGCGACATCCTCGGCCTCGATGGTCTCCAGGCCGTGAGATTTCCAAGCTTCTCGGAAATCCTCCTCTGTCTTTGCATTGGGTTTGAATTTGGCCAACATTGGTGTCGATGTAACTCCTAGTATGAATAAGAAAAGATCCGTCCAATGCTAGTATCATCTGCTACTCACCAGGAGAAACCGCATTTATCCTGATACCCAGAGGGTACGTATCCTTAGCAGCGCTCGCCGTAAAGTAAGCGCAAGCCCCCTTAGATGTGCCGTAAGCAAACACGTCTGGAACGTGCTGCATGGATACCAAACTCGCGACATTGACAATGCTTCGATCCTGCCCTGGTTTGAGGCCTGTCATGGCGCGAACCTCTGACTTGGTGGAATAGAACACCCCGTCAAGATTAACGCTCATTATCTCACGCCATGCCTCCTCTGTTTCTTCGAGGATACTTGGTGCCTGCCTCACGCCCGAAGCCTGTGGGATTCCAGCGATATTGGCAGCGCCATGGAGGTCATCGAATGTGGAAACAATATTCTGTATCCATGCATCAACTGCGGAGTGGGATGTAACATCCAGCGAAGTACAGTGCACTTCAGTTGAAGGATTGATCTTCTTGATCGATTCCTTAAGATCGCTGAAGTGGTGGGTGGAGAGGTCACCGATGCATACAGCGCCAGCGCCGCGACGAGCCAGGAGTCGCGCCGTTGCAGCGCCCATGCCAGACGCACCGCCAGTGATGGCGAAGATCTTAGATGTTACTGATGCCATGTTTGTGGGAATTGGTTTGTAATGAAAACAGAGTTGATGCGTTGAGCAGATACCACTAACTTGCCATGATAAGCTGTTATATAGGGTCACTACAAGGACTGTGAAGATGAATTCTTCCGAGTTTCCGTGACTCTAGACCAACATGTCTAGACTGCGGGGTCACTTACTTGGAGATATCTGCTCATTTATACAAATAATGTTTGAAATACTTCTATTTATGCAGCTTGTGCGCGGTCCTAGGCCTCTGCCAAGTTAAAAGATGATATACACTCGTGTCTAGAACGGACCTGAAGCACGCCAAGCTTCACTCAGAAGTGCCCCCCTCTTTACCAAGCCAACCTTTGTCTCCGGCAGGAAATGAAGAAAGTGGAAACAAAGAACTTCCGAGATCCGTTACACCTTAGTATGACTTCCGATGCGGGGTTGGCGCGAGTTATGCAGAAACATATCGTATACGTTGATCTATGCACGTCATTATGTTAGAACACGGAATAATTTTGAAAAGCATAGATGAAAAGTAGTATATAATCCCTTATGAACAAAAGGTTGATTGAAACTCCAAATACTACTGCCCAATCTTCTTAAGCAAATCTTCAGCTATCAAGAACCACCATTTTGTCTTCAGTATGGCAACGTTTCCAATCCCCAACCAACTCTTTATCAATGGAGAGGTCAGTATATGCTCGTTCTTCTGTACAGAAGCTAGATCTAATATTAGATGAGGAACAGTTTACCGACTCGATCTCCTCGGAGCGCTTTTCTGTCTATAACCCGGCCGACGACTCCTTGGTCACCGACCAGCTCCAGTCTGCGGTAGAGGGCGATGTCAACCGCGCAGTAAAGGCTGCTCAAGTGGCGTTTCGTAGCGCTGAATGGAACATTCCTGCCAAGGAGCGCGGTCGTATCCTTCACAGTATCGCTCAAGTTCTTCGAGATAACAAAGACGAGCTCGCTTGGTTAGATCGCATCGCTATGGGGAAACCAGTGGTCTACGGTGTAGCGGAAGTTGTGATGGCAGCTGACTTGTTTGAATGTACTCTATACCGCATTATCTCCAATGACGATACATTGACTGACACAAGCACACAGACTATGCTGGTTGGACTGACAAGCATGCCGGGGAGACATTCCCGGCCGACGACGGCTTTCTCAAGATCGTCCAGCACGAGCCTCTAGGCGTCTGCGCAGGTATTCTTCCGTGGAACGGCCCTATAGGTCTTCTGGCGTTCAAAGCTGCCCCAGCACTTGCAACTGGCAATGTCATGATCCTGAAGCCTAGCGAGAAAAGCCCGTTTGCTGCGCTGCGTTTCGCTTCACTTGTCTCCACTATTCTTCCACCTGGAGTCCTTCAGGTTCTTACAGGTGGGGGTGCCACCGGTGATCTCCTAGCTAGACACTCTCACATCCGGAAGATCAGTTTCACTGGATCAGGCCCGACAGGGAGAAAAATCCAACGCGCAGCAGCAGAGAGCAACCTTAAGCGCGTCACTCTTGAATTGGGTGGGAAGTCTCCTGCCGGGGTGTTTGAGGACTGCAACCTTGCAAATGCCATCCAGTGGGCCACAAATGCTATTACTCACAACACCGGGCAGATATGTATTGCTGCAAGTCGACTGTATTTGCAGGAGAGCATTGCAGAGGAATTCATCAAGGGATTCGTGGAGAGTATGAAAGTTGCTGCAGAGAGTATTGGCGATCCAGAAAACGTGGAAACCAAGGTTGGTCCGCTGGCCGATAAGGCACAGCTGGCCCGCGTGGAGTCATTTTTCATAGACAACGAAACACAGATCCTGACAGGTGGTAAGAGACTGGGTGATAAGGGATGCTTCTTCCAGCCAACAGTGTTGTATAACCCCGACCCCCAGGCCAATGTGTATAAAAACGAGATCTTCGGGCCAGCAGTCTGTGTGCGCACCTTCAAAACCGAAGAAGAGTTCGTGGAGATGGCGAATGATACCGAGTATGGCCTGGCAGCAGCGGTTTTCACTAAGGATATCTCCCGTGCGATGAGAGTCAGTGCCCTGTTGGAGAGTGGCACAGTGGGGATTAATTGTGTCTCAAAATTGAGCAACGAGGTGCCTTTCGGTGGATCAAAGCAATCAGGCATCGGCCGCGAGTTGGGAATTCATGGATTGAAATCGTACACCGAGACCAAGACAATTTTTGTGAAGTATGAAGCACCCATTACTTATCAGTTAATTCCGCTAACATCTATTCAGTCTCAACTGCTAAATCTGGTTCGCTTAGTATTGTGGATTATGCGACTACGATATCATGTATCTCAACTTTCTGCATGTCTAAACCTACCGATATGACCATAAGGCTACCCGATTAGTTATTACCTAGAAATCACCACTCAATACTCAATCTCCTACCGTATTTCACAAGCAAGCCAGCTACCCCACATATACTGCGACCCATAGGCGGGCGACCGTGTGATAGGTATCTTAGGCGCCTGTAGGCAACTTTAGTAAGGAGCGTACGAGCACATACCTCTACGTGGATGAGTGCATATGCGTAATGACCTATCATCTGCATTAGCATACATCATCCCTTCTTGGCACATTTGCAGAGCCTCGAGTTTTAATTTTCAATGGAAAACCGTTGTGCGCATCGCTTTCGAGCACACCGTCTCACCTGCCTCTCTACCTATGCCACGGTCACTTCATCTATTGGAGCTGTGTACATATATATAACGTAGGGACAATAGTGGTATTTTAAGTCAAAATATGATCCTATACCTATGTATATCTCATTTCTTTAAATTGGGTTTACAGCGTTGGATAAAAGTACTGTGCAGGAAAGTGATATCGACTATTAAGGAACTACGATATATATTATTCTAGCTGAGAAGAAACAAGTGTTCTGGGTAGTCATGTTCGTTTTCTTTGATTAAATGATAGCCGAAGCTCAAATATAATTTACCTAGGTCCTTTAAGCGTTTGGACTACCTTCTACTGGACCAAGAAGGGAGCTGGGTACGGAGTACTCAAGCGTTGGGCATCAACATTACTCCTAGGATCCCTTCAGCTAGATGCGGTGTACGGAGTACTTAATTCACTATCAAGCACTTGAACTCTGGACTAGTATCATTGTTGCCTTAACTCATATATGAAACATCCATCTTAATTCTTATTCGCCCATTGTTTTTAGAGTAAATGAACTCATATTTTTGAGTTCGTATATAAACATAGTACTCCGTACATAACGCTCCTATTATTGTTAGAAGCTCCTATATTCTTTCCCTAGGACATATATGGAGTATAGTAAAACGGGGGGGTTCCAAATACAATTATGATTTACTGTAGAGCGTGCTAGAAGTCAAAAGTAAGTCGATTCCTACATAATAATTAAAAGGAGTGGCATATGTCAGTTTCAGCCCCGAGTACACGGGAACGGATCCGAAATATGTCCCCGGCAAGTGCCGGAATGCAAACCGAAGCTATATTGAAATGATCTGACAAATCAAAGGTAAGCTAGTGCACCATGCCATCCGAGACGAGAATAATCAAATGTCATACGAGTTAAGCCTAGGTCCTCCACATCACCCCATATAATCTCCATAACCCTCGTGGTTCCGGAGAAGGCGCTCCGAGACCGTTATAAGTGGATCTACCGTAAAGGGGATATTTGAACACATCAAAATATAAATCCTAGAGAAATCGCTTAAATCGCCTAAATAGATATGTACTATATATATATATATAGTACATAAATAGTACTCCGTACATATATAATACATATACAATACATATACATAAAAAAGTCAAAAAAAGTCAAAAGTAAAAAAAGAAAACAGCCGGGTTTCCCCCGGCCGGCCGAACCATTTTTGACTCCACCAAGGTGTAAACCCTTTTCACCTTTCTCTTTCTTATGTGTCTCTTTATATACAACTTGACGAACTCATACGTGGAGTACTTGCTCTTTACTATCTCTCTATACGCCCCGGATCTGGAGAACTGTCGACTCTAAACTCCCGGCATTCGGACCCTGCAGTTGACCGTTAACACGGAATGTGCCGATTCTATGACTTTCAACTTTCAAATCTCTACTCCTTACAAGACTGTCCAGTCCATTCAGGACCTTATTATGATTATTATTTCTTGGGAGTCATAGATCGATATCATTCTTCCCCGTGGGGGTAGGGGAAGGGGGTATGTATATAGTCGCAGATGTTGACTTCAAAAGGAAGTCCAGGTAATGTATATTCCCGAGATCCCATGTTCCCCAAAACGCCAGTGCAAGAAAAACCAAAAAAACCAGAAGAAAAAAAAAAAAAAAAATAAGAGTATGTGAGCAGAGTTATGCTATTGGATGGTCCCCACTCATGCTGGGGAATAACATCACATCAGAAACACGACCAAGGATATTCCGCATGCTCAAGCCTTCCATCGGCTGAAGACCTGCATTGGTGCTTGATGGCATGCTGGGGCTGGGGTCGAGACACGGAGGGGAAGGCAACACAAGGGGGGAATATGGTGCGCTTGATGGTTGCCCTGTCGAACTACCCGTGCGAGCGCTAAAGGCCTCACGGATCTCACGCAGCGCACGGAGTGACGATGAAAGATGCTTGGCGGAGTCGGTGCGGTTGTTCTGGTCCGTGTCACTGTCTGCATACACATGGTCCGCCAGAACCATCTCCAACTTGTCGATCAGCTGCCAGGTCTGGGGACTATCGTCATTGGCAACGAGCAAAAATGCAGATGCAATGCTTCGCTGCAGGCTAATCCAGGACCGGGAGCAGTGGGAATTAATCTCGTGCAATTCTACAAATGCGTCGATTGTGTTGATCAGGCTGCTGATACAGTCCTCGCGGATCAATGCACGACGCGATGCGTCCAGATGCGCATGTGGATCCAGTGAGACGCGACACAAGACAGAGAGAAGATATGAGGAGTGCAGGCGCAATTCAGTTCGCTCGATATGCTCGGCTAGCGATCGACAATTGTCTCGATGCCGCAGATGAGGAGTCGCTTCAGCAAGCATCCGCTGGATCTGGTGTTTATACTCACGGATCTCATGGATACTTGATTGAGACGATCCAGGATACATACGCGACCGCAGGACCTCCAATGCCAGGGATACAATGCGACAGAGAGTCTCAAAATATGAGCGATGGCCCGGCATTGATTTGGGATCGAATGGAATTTCAGGTTGGCTGACCATGGTGATCGATGGTCGGTCATAAGCCAACGAGAAATGACTATTCTGAAAGGCCATTGTCCACCTGAGAACTGTGAGCTGAAGATCAACCAAAAGAAAAAGAACAAAAGGGAGAACCTACCATACACGCCTTCGCACTTCCTGGTCGGCAAGTGAGAACCCGTGCGACTCAACATGGAGGCCGAGAACAAGACACATTCGCTCCGTCATACCTGATATCGATTAGCTTGACCATCTCATGGAAAACACCCAACACACGTACCGAGCAAGGTATATGATGCGCCTGCATTCATGTTGTATGAAAGTACATTGCTAATGATCAGAAGAATCTGAATTACTTCCACAGTGGGTTGCGATACATAATTCAACATCCGAAGACATTGATACGCACAGGAAACTGGAGAAAGTCAGCACAGCACTCCCGAGACTTCCTAGAACATGACGCACCGTATACCCATGATGTCAATTCACGGTCGCTTTCCGGGATATCAGATAACTGGCATCCCGATGCAAGAACCGCAAAAAGCAGACTGAGAAAAGCCAAAGGCATTCCGAACGGCTTCACTAATCCGTTGGCATCGGCTTTATAGACACCTCCTGCTCGTCGTCGATTGTCGAGAAGTCGTTTGGTCTGTCGTACTAACTGTGCTGTGTCCGAAAGGACTGGGTATAAAACTGATCCAATATTTTGGTAAAACGCCAGGAACCTGACAATTAGAATTAGCATGCATTGCAAAAACACCGCAAATTTCCGGCTTACTCCATACAACGTGCGTCTTCCGGAAGAACTGCACAAACACCGGCGATATTGAATGTGAATGGGTCCGAGGACCACAAATCCACAAAGGGATATGCAGCCGATTCATTCCCCAAAGCAAGCTCTGCAAGAAGATCATCCTGGGGTAGCGCCTGCGCTATGTCCTCTGATCTCTTCGATTTGTCCAAGATATCAACTAAAGCCGATCGTGACCCGATATGGACCGCCCCCGTCTTCAACGCATTCGACCCGTAGACACCTTCCGACCGGGTGGAATCTTTTCGTTCGATGGGTTCTGGCTCTGGTTCTGGCCGTTTATTATTTGAGTGTGTCTCAAAGATCGAGTGCAGACTGCTGATGATCTGTTCCATTGCAGCCATCTTGGTGTTAATTTCATCCCACTCCACCTGCGAAATATCAATTATATCCGGTAAATCCGGATCGGCGCTCGCAGTCGAAGGAGGATCGGTTGCATATGAACTATCGATGGTGGGAACCGAGTAGACATACGGGGCGATTGTGGGAGAAACGAAGGCCGGCTGTTGTGATGGCGTGGAGGCGGCAGTGACGACGGCTGCTGCAGGGGGGATTTTCGCAGATGACGGACGACCGTAGGAGCAGGTGAAGTTTCGTTTGGTGCAATTGCCACAAGGAACATTGCGATCGCAGCGGACTTTGCTCGCTCGGCAAGGTAGACATGTCTTGCACTCCCGCGGGCGGCGGCGGATAGGATAAGTTGGCATAATGTGAATTTTTCGATGTTTTTTTATTTTTTTTACAACCTGATCCCCACGACCGACAGCAAAGAAATGATGGGAGAGGCTGCCTGTGGCGACCGGGCAATAAAAGGGAGCGGCATAGGAAGACTTAGATCGAGGTGAAGACTGAAAATGGACAGCTCTCACTGGTGCTGACCAGTCGGAAAAGCGCCAATAACTAATCGGGACGAAGACTAGTCCTGGAGCGATTGCTGGCGTTCAAACTGTGCCTATCATCGATCACAGGAGGTCCGTGAGCTGCCCCGGATTGTCGAAATAACTCAGAGATCAAGAAGACACGGAGATAAAAAAAAAAAGGTGATTCTGAAAAGGATTGAATTTCTGACTTCAAAAAGAGTGTCGAGATATTCGTAGTATTGAGGTAGCACGATTAAAAAAGAAGGTGGAAGTGAAAAAAGTGTCGAAATAAATTGTGAAGATGCCCAGGTGGCAGATGAATTTGATTTCATAACCAGCGGGTGTTCCCGTCGGGTTGACCACCGACATGACAGGCCCTGATTTTGTTGACTTCAGATGTTTTTATATACTTTGTGCTACTGAGTGACTTGGAGATTAATCTAGAAGTATATATATGTACATGTATATTATGTATGTTTTGCGTATTTATTATACATGTGCAAGTCAACAGCTCTAAGCTCTAGTTGGCTTTATACCGCCTACATATACAGAAAACCCTCACAGGTCATATAAAGTCATGATCATTTCTATAACGAATAAAAGGTATCACTCATCAGTAGGTATTGAAGGAACTCGGGCCAGCTGACACATGCATGCATCTGTCAAAGGATAACATATCGTTCACGCCTTGGACTTCTTCTCAGTCACCTGCGGTACCACCCACCAGTCATGCCAACGAGACTTAGATCCAACCTCAGGAACAATCACCTCCAAGTTCAGAGGTTTGCCTCCATGAGAAGATGTCGCCGAGAGAGCCTTTTTGACTGCCTCAATGGCAAGACTGGTTCCGATACAGGCACGCATCGTGTTCTTCACGTCGCGCTTCCAATCCTCTTCAATGGCTGAAGGTGGCGGTTGGCTTGGTCCGGACGGGTCATCAATGAATGCCCCATTGGCAAGGGTCGCTTCCCATGCCTTCCGCGCCTCTGCAATCGCTTTGGAGGCACGTTCCAAAATGGTAGTGTCGGAATCGCCCTCGAGAGCGGCTTCGCGCTGGTATTCATCGTATGGAACCAACTCTGGTAATGTGATAGGGATAAATGGCTTCATGCGGATTTCGTAACGGAGTCGGTCGGTGGAATATGCCTGGGGAGATGAGGCAAACGGCAGCACCTTGTGCCGGGACAGTACAACATACAACGCATGTAGAGCAATTGCAAAGGCATCCACCGCGATGATGTGCGTGGTTAATCTTTCCAGAGCGTGGAATGATCGGTGGAACGCGGATGCCTTTTGAGAGGAGTTTCCAGAGCGGTCGCCAGTAGACATCAAGTCGCGTTTCCGTGCAGCCACAGTGAATGTGCGAATACGATCAATGTGACCGAGATGTGTGGAGCAAATATGAGATAAATACCAGTACATACCCGGTAACTCTTCTGGGGAATATATCGACAACTCAAAGCCCATCTGAAGAATGAGTCGGAACTGGGAGAGTTTCTGGTGATAGGCCCAGCTGCTAAGTGGGAAGGACCAAGTCGGTTCGCCGCCTTGGAATTGCAGAGGCGGCTCCCCACTCAAAGTCCGGAGCTCGAGATCAATTTCCTCTGCCTGTGTTGGATCAGCATTAACATTCAAATAGCGAAGACGGGGCACGACTGACCTCCATTTGCAGATTGTCCCAATCGATCAGAGTATGACAGACTGTGCGGCGAATTCGACACCTATTGAGACAGGCACATCGCACAGTATCAACAAACGGCTGTGAAGGTTAGCGGATGAAACATGCCAAGATATAAATGTACAACTAACCTGAGCGAATCGCTTCATGAAGCCATCCATCTTCTGGGCAATCTGGAACCGAGGATCAGACGGCACTTCCACTTCATCGGTGTTAGCCTCAAGCAAAATATTGGCAGGCAAGACGAGTTCCGCGAGTTCATCGGATAAAAGCTCCTTCACTGGAACGACGCCGAGGATAGTCATGTTGCTAACAATCAATGCTTGGAGAAGACAACGAATATAAATTGATGGTTGTGGTTTTCGGGAAAGCAAAGTCCATACAGCAGTCTGCAATACAAGTTAGAACCAGAAATATACTCAAGTTTTCGAGAGTCCATACCTTGAAATTGCTAGGGCCGGTGTAATCGAGCATCTGCTGCATGTCTATCGCATCTTGGCACAGTCTTTTCAGATGTGCCAGCGCATCATTGGAGTTAACATTAACCATCGGACGAGGCGGCACAGTGCTAGCCAGCTTCCGTTGAATCTTCAAGCTGAAGGCCTCCGGCACTGGTTTTCCTAGAGCGACTGTCTCTGTCAGAGGTTGGAGTTGAGTTATACACGAGGAAAAGTTTGCTGTAGATCTGGTTTCAAGAACTTCAATGTCCTGGTCTAGTGCGGACAAAAACTCATGCCGAAACACTAGTCTGCAATGGATGGCATCTTTGAGTTTCTGGTCAATATCGGTCTGCTCCGAAACCCAAGTAACCGCCTGGTCCAGCAGATGGTGGAACTGGGATATACTGAAGGCAGACAGGAGATTGCGGTTGTATAGTTGACTGACAAAATCCTCTTCCTAGTTGGCGGATGGCATTAGTGACGGTCATATTTCACGAGTCAGTCGGCTTACCTCATAATAATATTCAGTGGCCACTCGGACATGCACAAGATCACAAGCTTTGACCAATGCAAGACAATACGCCCTCAAAACAAGGCTGACCAAAGGAGAATCACTCGGTACACGGTCAAATCGAGCGTCCTCCATGGTCCTCGGCACCGGCCACAATAATTTATCGAGATAGATAGATGTGAATAGCGTCTGCGATAGAGGATGTCCCTTATGCCATGCCACCTGCGATTAAATCAGAATTCTGCCCATCTCTGTGCGGGCGATATCATCTCCTACCTCGTGGCACAGCAACTGGTCCATCAAGCCAACAACTTCCTCTGGTGTCAACGGCCGCCGCACGTCGTAGTCGTCTTCCAGCGCCTGCGCAAGATTTTCCCCGGGGGCTATGTAGCCGCTATCCATCTTCGAGTCCATAATCTGTGCGGGTTCGATCGTCGTCAGCTGCAATTCTCGTTGCACGTTTCACATCCGGCGAGAAAGCTGACGCACCTCCAATGCGCCCACAGCTTCGAACAGGGTGAACGTCTCATCTTTCACGAGCTGCCCTGTATTTAGCTCTACGAGTACAAATAATTAGACACTTGATCGAAGTTCTTGGAGAAATATGCTTACTCGAGGCGGCTTTTGTAAATTCAGCGGTAATGTCGCGCGGTGCGGACTGCGCCATCCGCGGACGGGGAACGCGAACTTCAGTATTCGGCAGCATCCCGAAGAGTACCAAGCTCCCGCAGTGCTGTTTTTATTACAGTAATTCACACAAGTATTGTGCTGTTGGATGTGTTTCGACAAAATGGACAAATCGAGGGGGAGGCGGGGGACGTGAGTGGAGGAAAAAGCGAGTCGGGCTGTCGACAACCGGGACATAGAAGTGACGTGCAACATCTAACCGGCCACACTCGGGCAGTATATATATCGTTACGGCAATTTTATCTAGCTTAAGCGTTGGATGAAAACAAAGACGAGTGCGATTTCTAAGCTCTGCCCAACCAGACAGGCCGGTATTGCTACACATGTACATTTCAATGCCTCCCCCGGACCAAAAATTCGCTCAAGTCCGTCACACTCGGGCCCTGCATATCTCCAAGCTCGATTCTCTCAGGTTATGGGTGAATAGGGCTTATTTCTCAGCTGCCTTGGCAAGGGCCTCGTTGTTGGCCTCGGCGAGGGACTTGACATCACCCTGCTTGCCGTTCTGTTTGTCATAACATTGTCATCAGTCAAAATTCTGCAGCGTTGAGCTCGGGAAGTTCACTAACGGTCCACTTGGCGAAACGGAGGTCCATCTGGCCACGGCGCTCAGAGGCAAGGCGAGGGCCTTCCTTCAAGGAGCGGCGCACCGTGCGGGCGGCGATGGCCAGGTAGCGGTTGTAGCTGGAGTCGGCGTTAGCATTGTCTTCAAAGACGGTTCGTGAATGCGTACGTCAAACCGGCGGCTTTCCAGGCAGCAGTCATTTTGAAGAGAATGTGGGAGGTATGGTTCGATTGAAGGGGTGAAAACGGTTCGGGTGAGTTTGGAAGCGTTCGACTTCGGAGGATCGGGATGACACGATCACGTGAATAAGAGTCTACCTTCGGAAGGCGGTGGATGATACGGCGGTGAGGATTTGCTCGGTTTGAATATTGGATGCATGTGAGTCACGTGGTACCGGAACAATATGAAGAATGTTAATCCGGTATATATTGATACGGAGATTGATAAGCGTGTATGGCGGTTGTGACCACGTGACTAGCGTTTATTTCGACAACATTTCTTGGACAATGAACACTATACAACGCGACAGACTATGTTCCTTAGCCGTACAACGTTCAATTGATAAAATTACAATCGCTGCGTGCCATTGGGTTATCAATAGTTGCAATCAGGGACTTTGATTTCTTTTTTCGAGGTGGGTGGGATGGAAAAGCATTGCCGCGAAGTTATATAGATCGTTCGTCCCAAGAGCAGCAAAATGCGTATCATCCCTGTCTCAAATGCAAGTTTCACAGCGCGAAATGCCTTGAGTGACTTTGTAGAGGTAAATTGAATGCTTCATCGACCCATGCAGGCAGAAATATAGGCACCAAGAAGCAGGGCTTGCTTTGTAGTAAAGATTCCTTCAATCTTCCTCCTTGTAGTGCGGGGTATAAAACGCGTCGACTTGAGTCGATCTGCATAAAATATGCGCAACCTCGAAACCAAGCAACAAACAAGGACCCCGAAGGCAAGTGCTCGACAGTATTTCAAGGCGGTCGGTTGCTGAAGAGCATTTGCTATCCCCCACCACTGCTTTCGGTCACCACTTCTCTCACTTACCCTTCAATCTCATCAACCTCCATCCACCTACCATCGTCCACGACGTTCCCCATTTCTTTCTGCTTTGATATCAGAGCATCTGAATCCACAGTGCTCTTTCATCATACCCATCAGGTGAGTAATGCAGCTCTGTGCTGGTCCTGGTCCATAAGTTCATAGCTTTCCCTTGGCACATTGCACTTTCAATCATGTGGCTTTTGCATCTGTGTATCACCAACATGAGTGTCCTCTGGCACACTGGGATCATTGGTATCCTGCACTTCTATCCAATACATAGGGCATCTGGGTTGTTGTGGCACACCCGATGACCTTGTCGAGGACAGGGTTTTGCACACCAACGTCCAACATATGGCTAGCTCATATCAATTGCTTATCAAGTGCTGTGAGCATGGGTACTCTTGGCAGCTTCTTTGGGTCATGTTCTGAGACCCTGCAGCCATGGTTAGCCTTATCACTGTCGCGTTTGTCTTAACATACCTTACTTCAGTGGCGCCTGGCCTCAGACTGAAACCAAATGCATGCTTCAACCCCTTTCCACATTGAGAAAATTGCGCGTGTTCCTTGGGCTTGGTCCATCACAGTCCTTTGTTGTCATATGTCCCCTGTCTGCACACAACACATTCTCGAATGCCATATCTCCTTCGTCTGCTTCACTGCTTAGCAGCAATGCATCAACACATTGGGCCCTCACACCCCGTCTATATATTCCAGAATTTTTTTATTTGTTATGAGGACAAATACTAATGATGATGTTGTACAGAAGGATACAAACGAATCGACCATCCAACATGGCGCCGAAGAAGAAAGCTGGCGGCCAAAAGCGCAGCAACGAGACGGATCTCGCTGAGCTCGAAAGGCTCCGGAAGCAAGTCGCAGAACAAGAGAAGGCGTTGAAAGCTGAGCAGGCTCGCAAGGAGGAAGAGAGCCAAGGCAAGCGTCCGGTCAATAGCCGGCGCCAACGAACCCTAGTGCGCTGGGATGGTAAGTTTTCATTTTCTGTTCATGATTTCCTATCTCATTTCATCCTTCTGTTTGGGGAATCCATCGGGGATATTGTCAAATCGGGGGACATCCATGGATGAATATACCGTCATCACAGTGCCAAAGAATTTGCCATTGAATTATGCTGACATTTGACTGGAACAGTTGATACCGACCTTCGGCTTCTGCTGGCCATGCAGTATGCTTGCAATAAGGAAGGCGTGAAGATTCCCTGGAAGGATGTCGCCGAGGCCATGGGAGAGAAGTTCACAGAGGGTGCGATCGTTCAGCATTTGTCCAAGCTGCGTACCAAACGGGATGAGCAGGAGAAGCCAAATCCGCCTCCACTGAAGCGTGCAGCAAACGGGTATCACAAGAACAACAAGAACAACACGAACAACAAGAAGGAGTTGCCTTCCCCAACGGAGGAATCCGGGCCGATCACTCGCAGCAAAAAGCGCCGTCGCGGCAATCCATCCAATGAGGCATCTGAAGACGATGTGTACACGCTGAAGGAGAAGCAGTTTGCAAAGAACAAGAAGAAAGATAAGGTATTCACTGCTCCCAAGTTGCGTACAAAGCGGGAGGATACCGACAGTGACGACTCACAGAAGCTGGTGTGCGTTGGAGCTGAATGGCTGGATGAGTTCACTGGTGACGATGACCATGAGGGTAACAAAGCATCGGAGAGTTCTGAGGAAAGCTCAACCGAAAGCACCCAGGCCACCCCTCAGGCGGCTAAGAAGTCAAAGATGGTGACCCTCAAGATGAACAAAGAGCGACTGGCGAGTGTTGACCGCAACCTTGGCGGATCTGCGACCTTCCGAGAGTCAGTTACCCCAACTAACCCGCCGCACGTTCTTATCAACAACATGCCATCTAGCCACGCATCCTATCTCCTTTACCCACCTTCTGATTCGGTCCCCCACTTTCCTTCTATGACTCCCTTCTCGACCAACGCTGGGTTTTCCGTTGCATTCCCTTCCAATGGCCCGAGCCCCTTTGACATTGTCAACCGGGCACCCAGCACTATCAACGATACTTTCCCTGGTACAGAAGCATATGCTCGGTTTGAGAACCCTTTGCTCGCATTCCCAGAGAGTTACAACGGCCAGGATATGATGCCGGTGGCTGGTTACACAGAAACCAGTGGTTTTGAGAACCAGTTCATCCCTGAGAGTGAACTGTTTGTCAGTCTCCCTGACGTCGAGCCTCCCCGATACCTTGGCTACGACGGTGAGGACACTAAGGAATTTTAAATTCCTGTGTCGTCATAACTCTTGGTTCCTGATGCTTCTTCGGTGCTTTTTCTTCCTTCTTTCTTTCTGTTTCTTCCTTTCTTTGCGTTTTCTTGCGTTTGGTTTGACTTTTCTTTGCGTCTGCTTTTTCTTTTGTTTTGCTTTTCTAGCTGGGTGATTGGGAGAGGCGGGTGAGCGTTGAACCCAATCAACGGGTGCAAGTCCGGATAATCATTTTTGCGTGGCATGGAGTCACGCTTTATCCGGAGTTGGAACCCCAGCATTTTTCTTGCATTGCTCATTGGTTCCCTACGGGGGGCCCGGTAGTACTTCAATAGGAGCAATTTTTCTTAAAACAAATCCCCTATGTTGTAGGTTATTAGTAGGATTCCTACTATTTTATTGTAATCTAATAGGAAGGTCAAAATAAAGTGACATGAGAACTATTACGATTTCCCTGGATTGATCTTTGACTGTAAGAGCTTGATAGAAAACTTCCTAGTAGTGTAGACATTACTATGCTGACTTGCAGATACATATCCTCATGTTGTAGGTATGGACAATCTTCAATTTGAGCAGCAAATTCATGATCTAAGGCTGTGAATTTGGATATGTGACCGATTGAAGATATAAAAACAGTTAGAATCATGCATACAGAAAAAGAAAATCAAAGATAATGAACACTAGGTTGCTGGTTATATATTTTGCTAATATTCGGGGTTTCTCAGGTTGCCGACAGCCGGACGGAGTACGGCGTAACTACGGAGTACATATAGCTTCCCGAGGTATAAATACATCGGCTTGAAACAGTAGGAAGACTCCTGCTTCACCTTCAAATACACATTAAAGTATTCAAGCTAAAGAAATAACATATTTCAACACATTCTCAATATAGTATTATACTATAAAGCTATATAATACAATATTATCTACAATCTTTCGACAGCCGATTTAGGTCCGTTCTTCCGGATCACGTGACGATTCTAGCTGTTTCTGCCGCCAAGCTCTGGGGATGAAGGAAGCGCCTGGAAAATTTTCGAGACTTTGGCTTCATCTCTCCCCCAGCTTTCTCCATCTCTTTCTTTTTTTCCCTCTCCCAACCCGTCATTTCTCCTGGGTTGTTATATTTCTCTCTTCCTTTAATTATTTTAATCTTGTTCCTAGCCATGCAGCGTGCTCTCTCTACCCGGACCTCTGTCCTGTCGGCCGCTTCCAAGCGTGCCCCTTTGTCTCGCTCGACTCTGAACCTCCAGCAGCAGCGTTTTGCTCACAAGGTGCGTTGAATTGGCAATTGCCCGCAACATCGTCTTGCTCTAGCATTGGCCCCATGTTCCGTCAATTCCGAAGCGTTTTGGTTCTTCCCCTTGCTAACAGCAACTAGGAGATCAAGTTTGGCGTCGAAGCCCGTGCCAGCCTCCTCAAGGGTGTTGACACTCTTGCTAAGGCTGTCACTTCCACACTGGGTCCCAAGGGTCGCAATGTCCTCATTGACTCCCCCTACGGTTCCCCCAAGATCACCAAGGGTAAGATTTTCATCAACACAGACACATAGCCATTCGCAGAAGACTAATGATTCCCAAGATGGTGTAAGTGTTGCCAAGGCTATCCAACTTCAGGACAAGTTCGAGAACCTCGGTGCCCGCCTCATCCAGGATGTTGCCTCCAAGACCAACGAGGTTGCTGGTGACGGCACCACTACCGCCACTGTCCTCTCCCGCGCTATCTTCTCCGAGACCGTCAAGAACGTTGCCGCTGGCTGCAACCCTATGGATCTGCGCCGTGGTATCCAGGCCGCCGTCGAGGCCGCCGTGGAATACCTCCAGGCCAACGCCCGCCCTATCACCACCGGCGAGGAGATCGCCCAGGTGGCCACCATCTCCGCCAACGGCGACACCCACGTCGGCAAGCTCATCTCCACTGCCATGGAGCGAGTTGGTAAGGAGGGTGTCATCACCGTGAAGGAGGGCAAGACCCTGGAGGATGAGCTCGAGGTCACCGAGGGTATGCGTTTCGACCGTGGCTACACCTCCCCCTACTTCATCACCGACCCCAAGTCCCAGAAGGTCGAGTTCGAGAAGCCCTTGATCCTACTCTCCGAGAAGAAGATCTCGGCTGTCCAAGACATTCTCCCCGCCCTTGAGGCCTCCACCACCCTCCGCCGCCCTCTGGTCATCATTGCCGAGGACATTGAGGGCGAGGCTCTCGCCGTCTGCATTCTGAACAAGCTCCGTGGCCAGCTCCAGGTCGCTGCCGTCAAGGCCCCCGGCTTCGGTGACAACCGCAAGAGCATCCTCGGCGATCTCGCTGTTCTGACCAACGGTACTGTCTTCACCGATGAGCTCGACATCAAGCTCGAGAAGCTCACCCCCGAGATGCTTGGCTCCACCGGTGCCATCACCATCACCAAGGAGGACACCATTATCCTCAACGGTGAGGGCAGCAAGGACAACATCTCCCAGCGCTGCGAGCAGATCCGCGGTGTCATGGCTGACCCCACCACCTCCGAGTATGAGAAGGAGAAGCTGCAGGAGCGTCTTGCCAAGCTCTCCGGTGGTGTTGCCGTCATCAAGGTTGGCGGTGCCTCCGAGGTTGAGGTCGGTGAGAAGAAGGACCGTGTTGTGGACGCCCTTAACGCCACCCGCGCTGCTGTTGAGGAGGGTATCCTCCCCGGTGGTGGTACCGCTCTGCTGAAGGCCTCCGCCAACGGCCTTGGTGGTGTCAAGCCTGCCAACTTCGATCAGCAGCTCGGTGTTAGCATCATCAAGAGCGCCATCTGCCGCCCTGCCCGTACCATTGTTGAGAACGCCGGACTCGAGGGCTCCGTCATTGTCGGCAAGCTGACTGACGAGTATGCCAAGGACTTCAACCGCGGATTCGACAGTGCCACTGGCCAATACGTTGACATGATTGCAGCTGGTATTGTCGACCCCTTGAAGGTTGTCCGCACTGCTCTGGTTGACGCCAGCGGTGTCGCCTCCCTCCTCGGTACTACTGAGGTCGCTATTGTCGATGCTCCCGAGGAGAAGGGCCCTGCCCCTCCCGGCGGTGGCATGGGCGGTATGGGCGGTATGGGTGGCATGGGCGGCGGCATGTTCTAAAGCCCCTGACCCTCTTCTCCTGAAGAAATACCTCGAGCGCTCCTCTTTGCATCGTAGCCTGTTCTGATACTCGGATATTTGTGTAATGTCTTTTCTTTGTGTGTCTCTATTTGGTGTTTATCGTTTTCTTTTTTTTCCTTCTGTTTCTTTCCATACCTGTATTCTTTTGGACTTGTTCTGATCTCTGACTCTCTATCCCTCTCCTCTCTCTCTCCTTTTCCCTCTTCCTGGGGCTCAACCTAAAAAAAACGGTCCACTGTACTATATCATGTATTCCAATGAAGTGCCATCTGATACAGTCTATTCAATTATCTTAGATATATATACTCCGTAGATATATATAGATATTTTGTTGATTCTTACTCCCTAGATTGACTGGAGTGAAGGGTTAAACTTTACATATGTAGATCGGCGGGATCGACAATGTCTAATAGAGTTGTATGCTGCGTACTCAGATGTATTAAACCCCCAGATTTTACCAGGATATACTACCTAGATAGTACATCTGTAATATGAGTACAGGGAACCTTGCATTCCCACATTTTCACATAAACTAGCGATGTAGGTGATTGGCTAGTCTGGTCGGCTATTTAGGCCGGTCTACAATGCACGCCATAACAGTCCAAGAAGGGTCTAGTCTGAACGGGGTGAATACAACTTCAAACAGGAATAAGTTAGGAAGGGATAATTGTCCTAATATACGGAGTACTTGGAATACTTGGAATACTCGGAATCTTATATACTAGTGCAATTAATGTTAGTTCAATTTAAGCTGACAGCGGGTGGGACCGGCAAATAACGTGTAGTTTTCTCTCTTCTCTTCTCTACTCCGTACTCTCTTTCTCTTTTACTCCGCTATTTCTCTCCGCCTCCCTTTTCCTCTGTCACCAGACCCCGGCATTCTGGTCTTGCATTTCTCTGCATTGCACCTGACTTGAACTTCTTGTGACCTCAATTTTGTTATTATCGTGGAACTTGGGCTATCGGGAATGCATACGGCGCTGGCGGGGAACACATCGTGTTGGCACCTCCGTCGCCTCTCACCATACGTACGGTCATGACCCCTCTGACACTCTAGTATATTGCTAACTTGATTCTAGAGTCACTGCATGCCCTAGAAAGTCCTTGAGTTGATTCGAATAAAAAAAAATAACCCGTAATTGCCACCAACAATGGCTGCCATGGTGGATCCCGCTCGGCCAGCCCTGGTGAGCGATGCAGATCTCATGCAAGCACGAGCAGCTCTCCAGCATCAGCAAAGTCCCGAACTCTCTGTTCCCCGCGAGTTTATCTCCCTCATCGTTGACGAACTGATCTACCGCCGCGAGTGTCATTCTTCTATCGCCGAAATCGAACATGAACGTGCAAACCTTCGGAAAGAACTCCTCAAACACACCCACATCAATGAGGCCTTCCAGAAAGAATTGCGGGAGATCGGCGAGATTATCACCCAGGTCGCCCACGGCGATCTCTCACAACGGGCTCGCATGCACCCCCTCGAGATGTCGCCTGACATCGCTACCTTCAAACAGACAATCAATACTATGATGGATCAGTTGCAGGTTTTCAGCCAAGAGGTGTCGAAGGTGGCTAGGGAGGTCGGCACAGAGGGTGTGTTGGGGGGCCAGGCGAAGATCGAGGGCATTCAGGGAATTTGGCATGAATTGACCGTCAACGTGAATGCCATGGCCAACAATCTGACCACGCAGGTCCGCGACATCACCACCGTAACGACTGCAGTTGCCAAGGGTGATTTGCAGCGCAAAGTGCAGGCGGATTGCAAAGGTGAGATCTTGCTGTTGAAGAATATCATCAACTCGATGGTCGATCAGCTGCGAGAATTTGCATTTGAGGTTAGCCGTGTTGCCCGCGAGGTCGGGTCAGACGGTGTGCTAGGCGGCCAGGCTGTTGTCCACGGCGTTGAGGGTACCTGGAAGAATCTTACCGACAACGTCAACCGGATGGCATCGAATCTCACGCAGCAGGTCCGCGAAATTGCAGATGTGACAACTGCTGTTGCACGTGGCGATCTTACGAAGAAGGTGACCGCGGACGTCAAAGGCGAAATCTTGGATCTTAAGCTTACGATAAATGCGATGGTTGATCGGCTGAATCAGTTCGCGTTCGAGGTTAGCCGAGTTGCGCGGGAAGTAGGAACAGACGGCACGCTAGGTGGACAAGCGCAAGTCGAAAACGTCGAAGGTCGCTGGCGTGATTTGACAGATAACGTCAATACTATGGCCCAGAACCTAACTCTGCAAGTCCGACAGATCTCCAACGTGACCCAGGCCATCGCGCGCGGCGATCTTAGCACCAAAATCGAGGTCCACGCCCAGGGTGAAATTTTGACTCTCAAAGAAACAATCAACAGCATGATGGATGGGTTGGGAGAATTCGCAGGGGAAGTCAAAGGCGTGGCGAGGGACGTGGGTGTCCGGGGTAAACTCGGCGGCCAGGCCAACGTTGCGGGATCTAATGGAATTTGGCGATCGATCAGCGAAGATGTCAACACGATGGCAGACAACCTGACCTCCCAGGTTCGTGCCTTCGGTGAGATCACAGAGGCAGCGATGAGTGGAGATTTCACAAAATTGATTACCGTGTCTGCCTCTGGAGAAATGGACGATTTGAAACAAAAGATCAATAAGATGATCTCGAGTCTGCGTGATAGCATTCAGCGCAACACTGCTGCTCGTGAAGCAGCAGAGCTGGCAAATCGGAGTAAGTCCGAATTTTTGGCTAATATGAGGTACGTGAATCCCCTTTTCGTTGCTTTTCTTTTGCCTTTGTGCTAACTGGAATATAGCCATGAGATTAGAACCCCGATGAATGGTATAATTGGGCTCTCAAGCCTGGCACTCGACACTGACGACCTCCAAGCCCCTGTGAGAGAGACTTTAACTATGGTCCATAACCTTGCCATTAGTCTCTTGACTATTATTGATGACATCCTCGACATCTCCAAGATCGAAGCTAACCATATGATCATCGAGAAGACACCGTTCAGTCTTGGTGCAACCGTGTTAAGTGTGCTGAAAGCCCTTTCCGTGGAAACCAACGAGAAGGCATTGGGTCTAGTCTACACAATAGATGGAGAAGTACCAGATTATCTGGTCGGAGATGCATATCGACTACGGCAAGTTATGTTAAACCTAGTCGGTAATGCCATCAAGTTCACAGACCATGGCGAGATCAGAGTCACGATCAAGCGTGCACAGGATGCCAAGTGCGCTTCAGACGAAACGGCATTCCAGTTCTCAGTCTCAGACCCTGGAATCGGCATCGATGAAAGCAAACTTGGGTTGATCTTTGACAAGTTCCAGCAAGCTGATGGATCGATGACTCGTCGCTTTGGCGGGACAGGTTTAGGCCTCGCAATCTCAAAAAGGCTGGTCTCTCTCATGGGCGGCGATATCTGGGTGACCTCGAACGTGGGAGAAGGCAGCACATTCTCATTTACGTGCCGAGTGAAGCTAGCTCAGCCACCGACAAGCTTTGCAGACCAGCTTGTCCCCCACCGCGGCCGACGCGTTCTCTTCTTCGATCACGGTCTTACGCGTAGCTTCCCAGTCGCCACAGTGCTCAAGGAGCTCGGATTAGATCCAGTCGTTGTCACAGAGGAGGAGCTAGAATGTGGCCAGCTCAAAACCGACTGGGGCTGCACCTTCGATGCAATCCTCATCGAAAACTTGGAGATCGCCGCAAAACTCCGAGCCTGCGCGGACCTCCAACCCATTCCACTAGTCATTACAGCGCACACTGTATCCCTAGCGCTCAGAGCTGCCGGTGAACTCGGCGTAGTGTCCTACATCACAGTTCCCTGCCGACCCATTGACCTATGGAACGGTATCCTTCCTGCCCTCGGCAACCGCGCAACCCGTACCCCATCAGGCTACACACGCTCCTTGGCAATTCTTCTAGCAGAGGACAATGATGTGAACCAAAAGGTTGCCGTCCGAATTCTTGAAAAATTCAATCACAACGTCACGGTCGTGGAAAATGGCCTCCAAGCTGTGAAAGAGGTCAAACAACACCGCTATGATGTGGTCCTCATGGACGTCCAGATGCCCGTTATGGGTGGCTTTGAGGCCACAGGGAATATCAGACAACACGAAAAAATAAATGGGCTTCCCCATACACCGATCATTGCTCTCACTGCGCATGCTATGCTCGGGGATCGAGATAAGTGCATACAGGCTGGCATGGACGATTACTTGTCTAAGCCGTTGGACTCTAGTCGCATGATGCAAACTATCTTGAAATGCTCCACTATGAATCTTGCCTCATCGCTGCCTGCTATTGAGGGCTGATCTCTACTCAGGTAGATGAGATGAAAGTGCCCCGGAAAACGGGCTCATTGCCAGTCACCCCACCATCGAATCCGCCTCTAAATCTTCTTCCAGCCCTTGTTTACTGCTTGTTTCCCTTTTCTTTTGGCTATTCATCCAAGCTCATTTCCTCCGAATGGGCTTGGAAACCCATCCCTTCCCACACTCCTAGAGGACCAATGTCCCAACGCCCCAGCAATACTCCCCTTCCCCCGCCCCCTTCTTCTTGCAATCTGCATACCTCTATACGTTGTTTACGAACACCAACATTTATGATGGAAGTGCAGTCCTTGTGAATTTTATGTTTTTTGAAATACCCCACCGTGTCGAGCAGCCGGTTAACAATTTTCTTTCAAGGATGATCATATCACGTTTCCCTGTTCACGGAGTTTGGCTGCTTGGCACGCGAGTTAAATTAAATTCAAATCATGTCTAACGGTGTTTAGGTGAATGTACGTTGTCTGTTGCTTTCTTTATTTATATCCTCAGGTACACGGACACATATCTGTCGAGAATTGAATTTAGAATCATGTCATTTTGACCTTATTTGGTCTTGCTTTCTTTCCTGATACTATACAATTCTCGATAGCCTCCAGGACTTATATTGGGAGCTAGGGTCGATGAGATTATAGGTCAATAAGGTACAAAATCTTATAGTGTGCTCAAAATCAATATTAGACTAGGTACGGAGTACTTCGCTGTATTATATATGTACGTACTTTCAAAAAAGGAAAAAATCAAGACATATATATACAATACAAGATGTAAAATGCATGGGGTATCAAAAAGCCCTCAGGAACACAAAACCACACCAAAAGCAAGAACATGTGTATATACAACCTAAACCTCCCCACGACTTCTCCGATCCACCCTAGACTCCACCTTATACTTCCCCTTCTTACCTCCTTTCCCCTTAGAAATCCGATCCTCCTGCCACCGCTGCCAGATATCTTCATCCCGCTGCATATTTCTCCTCCCATAACCAAGGTACTCATCAAATCGCTTTCTAAGCTCAGAGTCCTCAGGCACAACATGAGCAGAGATCTTACTCGTAGCAGTATTCCGCACGAATGTCTGAACTGGATGCAAGATGAATTCTTTCAATAGGCCCGCGCCGATCTTGTGCGTTTTCGATACGATATCCCGTAGCGTATCGCTGAAGGCCATGAAGAGCGAGAGGAAGATTATTGCGAAGGAGGCGGGGGCTGGAGAATGTGAATGTCAGTACTTCGTAGTAGTATTGATATGGGGATTGTGTGACACAGACCTGCTATCTGGAACATTTCTCCGAGGGTTGGGTTCGTCTGTTCACCGCTCCATTCTCGGGCATTTATTCCAAATAGGGAGGTGAAGAAGGATAGAGGGAGGAAGCTTGGATTGTCAGAGATTATTGTTGAGGCTTTTGCGGAGCGAGTATGAAAACTTACACAACACTGAATATGGTAAAGACCATCACCGCTCGTGATTGTGTTTGAGCAACTTCAGCTTGCCATCGAGTCATTTTGGCTTCGTCGACATTTGCCTGTTTCTGTTTGAGATCGAGGAGGGTTTCAACCTGGTTAGTCAGTACATCCGAACAACAAATACTAAGCAGGGAACATGACACTCACAGCTTTCTGAGCTTGATGGCTGCTTTCTTTCATCTCAATTATTTGCGAACGATATTCGTCGATCCGGTCTTGTGCTATATCGAGGAATGATTTCCCGTATCCACCCCTATTGTCAAAGTATTTGATCATACTTTTGATAACAGTGTCTTGTTGATCGAGTAGTTTTAGGATAGTAGATAGCTCGTCCTCGATGTCGCGCAGCTCAAGCAGAACGGAGAGATCTTCTCTGTTTCGTCGAGCAACCTGGAATTCCTTATAGTCTTGCTGGGCAGCTGTCATGATCTTGCCATCAGCGGTGCGGTCATAATCCGCCGGGTGATTGGTGAAGCCTCTATTTCGGAAGCGCTTGAAAGACTTGGTAATGGATTCGGTCTGATTTTGTTAAAAAGAGGTCCACTTGAGGAATTGAAAGGGATAGACCTTACCAAGATGCTAATTGATTCCTCGAAGATGCGCAATACCTGCAGATCATGATGCAAAGTCTTGTCCAGGAGAACAGTGACAGCATGCAGCATAATGAGCGCAGCCAAGTCGCCGGCCGTATCAAAGCGACGCGAGAGATCCCCATTCAACTCATTATAAATACTGCTATGCAAGTTAGACTGTTCAAAAAGCTTTCCCTCAGAGGTATTAGCCTCTTGATTCGGAAAGAAAGTGACAACAGTCTTTTGATCGACAATCCAAAGCCAGAGCTGATCAACCATAAGGACATTCCCATCCATAAACTCGAAGATTTCCTCGTTATCAGGATCATCCTGCGCAGACTGCAGATACTCTTTTAGCTGGTCGTCAATGCGCGCCGGTCTGCGAGTGCGTTTCCAGAGCATCTGGTCGTCGTCACGAGCGATAGTCGAGCGCAAGTTCGGATACCCATATTGATCCAATGTGCGACGGAAGTGCACTGGAGGCTCGCAGCCGAGGTAGGTCCAGATCAGTTGGGCTTCTAGGCTTGCTTTTGAGATTCGGCCTGGGACGGGCCTGGATCGGCCTTGCTTGAGTCGGTCTTCGACTACTTTGCGCCGTTGGATTAGGTTGCGGTATGTATCCCAGTGCAGCTGGGGTAAGTTAGTACAGTGCGGAAGAGGAATATCTGGTTAATTAGAAATACTAACGTAAGGAGCCTGAAATACATCCATGTCAGTTCTGCTATCGATATGGGGAACTAGAAACATACATATAGAGCAAGTTGAGGGTTCTCGGAAGTATCAGAAGGACTCTGTGGAACATCCGTTTGTCGTGAGTGAAGACATGCAGGCTTGACGAAACGTGCATGAGGCTCGAGATGACGAGCTCTGTTAAGCCGGTGGTACCAATTTTCGTCATTGATGAATTTTCGAACACTGCAAAAGATGGTAAGCGCCGTATAAGACCTGAAGTGAACATGTCCTACAAATTAGGCTCTTGACTATCCTGACATGCCCGGCGGATGACTTGTGATACCCAACCAGTATGCGTATATGGCACATGTATCCACATCAGTTTCTCGGTATCGGCCTCAGGTCGATCAAAACGTGGAACTGCTCGCGGTATATCCGGTACGTCGGCGTCCTGGCTGATACGATCACGGGTGGACTTCGGTATTGCTAAGAAAGGCGATTGCGCAGGCTGCGATGTAGACGCGCTTCTATTATCTGTTAGCTTAGGGTTTCGGCTCAAGCACGGGAGTACAATTTTCTTACGAAGGTGGCCGGTCGATACTTCCCTGGGAGCTGCTGTCGGAAGTACTCCGACGGTGGGATCGCTGTAGTGAAATGAATCCTAGCGCCTTGGTAAGTGAGCGCTTTCGTTTCTGCTCCGGTGGCGGCGGCGGGCTTTCAGTTGGTGGGTTTTCTACATAGTCGAGGTCCATATCTGCTTTGGTGATGTGGATCTTTGGAGATGGACTAGATGGATCATCGAAACTTCGCCTGTAGGGTAGAGGGGGTCTCAGGGCCCTCGGTTTCTCATCATCATCATGATGGTGGTGGTGGTGGTGGTGGTGGTGGTGATGATGATGATGATGGTCATGAGGATCGGAACCAGAAGCAATATAGGATGAGTGAGGACTATCGTAACTGCTGATTGACGAATCATCCAAGCCACTGGGCTGGACTCGACCTAGTCTCTCCCGAAGGCAAGCCGACGGACCACGAGAGAGATAATCTTCCAAGGATACCTTGGTTGACCACAGCTTGAGTGGACTTTCATCACTGACGCCAAGTGCAGTATCCTCGAAGAAGCCGTTAATTTGAACCGTAACCTGCTGTTCTACACCCAAGGGCGTATCCTCGCGCTTTGAGATTTCAACGGCAGCGTCAACGGCATTACCAAGTTCATCTAGAAATCGATCTCGTGTGGATTCCTGGCCGTGGAAAGTTGCTGTCCCAGCATGGTCTGTTGCCATGGGCAGTTCCTTTTCATTCTCAATATCCAACAAACCCGACCGAATAGAAGTAATGGGAACATGGAACTCCAACATTTTATTCGTCTCCGCATCGATCACATGCATGGTTGAATCCACAGTTTCTAGGAAAGACCAGACCTTCATATCGGCTGAAATAGTCTTGAACTGGTTCGACAGATGCCATAGCCGTTCTTGACGTGGGCGAAATTGCTTCCGGAGTGCAGCCGGGGTCTGATGTTTAAGATGCAGGAGATCGCGGATACTAGCAGCATACTCATCGGCGGAGAGGTAAGTCGAGCCTTGGTGGGGAGTTGCAAAGAAGGCGATGCCGTGAAAACTGGTTAACATGGATTGGCTCGGCTCTCGCGATGCCAGGGCTAAAGCCGCTTTAACAACAAGACCACCAGTGCTGTGACAGATGAGAAAGATGGGACGTCGAGTTGGCTAGTGAAATGTTTAGCAAATTATTCTAAGGTTGTGAAAAGAGAAGAGCATAACCAACCTCATTTTTCCGCTCACTACGTAGTTGGTTCAATAGTCGTTCGCCCAAGGTGTCGATTTTATCGTCATGGAGTTCTCCATAGTTATACAGCAAAACTCGTGCTCGAGGCATATGCTGTAGTAGTTCAATCTCAAGCCATGATGATTCTGCGCCATGTGCTATCCACGTCTTTCTATAATGGGCACCGATCGGCGGGACGGCGACAATGCTATAGAATGAGTTATTATATGAATATGTATGATATGATATGGAAGAAATGCTTACTCGACATTAGTATCTTTTGCAACGGCGATGGCCTGAAACCATGAGCGAGTCTGGTCGGTCACGGGTGGCCGTGAAGTCATATTGAATCCAGTTGTACATATAGGATGATTACAGAGAAAATTGCGGGGGATAAAATGACAGACAATCTGGGAATTCTTAAATATCCCAAATCAGGGGGAATTTCAGCCTCATGTTCGTTGGGGTCCGGGTGATCACGCCCCAACACCCTAGTGTGCCCGTAGTCTGCCTCTCAGGGCTGTGTTTTGTGAGTCAAAGCGATGTCTTTCTTTTTTGACCCCAGGATTATATTACGTCCAGAGATAGAGATTTCCATTAATGTATATACATAGAAACACCCAAATTCCAAATGCTAATGCACCACTCTATAGCTCATGCGGTATCATCAGAAACGCCATAACAAAAACAAAAGTGGGGAGAGACAACGCATCTATGCATGATAATTGTACATAAGGGGGGATTATGCGTCAGTGTGTCGCCGCTCATTAACCTCTCGGGCCATGCGCTTTCCAAGCTCATAGGTTGAGATCATGATGGCGCAGGCTGGAGCAACTTTTAGACATCGTGCCGTCCAGCCACGGAATAGGCCAGCGGTGCCTTCTTCACGGAAGATGTGCATGAGGAATTTTGGTAAGGATAGTTGTTCTGGCGCCAAGCTGCCGGGGGGTAATGTGCGGGGGGTGGCGCCAGCAGGAACATCATCCAAATGTCGGAACACTTGCTGTCGCGTCTTACCAACATCGAACGGGGTAGTAACAAGTGCTGCTAAGGAACCTGAAACACCACCGGAGATAAAGCTATCGAGGAAAGCTTGGAGACTAGACTCTTGAGGCTGTTCAGAACCCGAAAGATGGGGGGCCTTCTGGCGTGCCGCGATCAGTGCCTTTTTCACCTCCTCGTATCCCCACCAGTAGAGTCCAGAGAAAGGAACATCACGCCACATGGTAAGAGTGAACCCTCGCCAGAGCGAGCTATATCCCTTTGCTTGCGTCATCTGGTACAGATCCTCCACAGTGGTTTTGAAGTGGCCCGCACCCGTTCCCGGAGTTGCCTGGAGACGTGTCCGAAACATCTCCAGCGGACTGGTTGCTGCTGCGGCTGCGACGCGAGCCAAGGCCCCGGCTATCAAGGGCGCATAACCCTCAGACACTCGCTGCTTAATGGGACTCCGATCATCTGTGCGCAGCCAGTCATAGCCAGCAAAGTAAATCACATTTGCCGGAATTCCCATCATCAGGGTCGGGCTCAACCCTCGCCATAGTGTTAAAGTTCCTTCATTGCGCGCGATCTTCCGTAGCCCGTCTAGCGTTGATGTGAATGTTCGCCGTTGGGTCTCTTCGACGGCGCAATCGATCGCCGGGTGTGGATGGGTTCCGACCGCAGTCACCTGAGGCCCTAGCATGCACATCTGGGCATCATTTCCGACCCAGAATACTTCGCGACAGCAGGAGGTGATGCCGAGGTTTGGAGGGAGATTTTTCAAGGTTGGGGTGGTGTGAGAGGTAAAGGGTGAAGTGTTGTAAACCTGGGATTGTGACTGTAAACGGACTCGTACGACATCCAGCGGTGTCACTGGAGGTTGTCAGTGCTGGGATTTCCCAATGATCGAGAGCTCTTCCGACTTACCTAGAAGCCCTGTTAAGACATTACCAGCGGTCGCAGACACCATCCGCTGCCAGGGAGTAATGTCATCTGTTGTGGCGGGGGTCTTGGGTGCTGGAGGAGAGCTTGTCCCCGATGTAGTGGCCATTGTAGAGTCTTCAAACTGTGTGGTCCATCACGCCCCTAGAGAGGCGTTTGAGTCTGTGTCGAACTGGTTGCCAGTACCGTGGCCTGAAACAAATTCCACACGTTGCATTCAATCAATTCAATGTGAAAACAGTGCAGAGTTGTCCTGAGCCTGAGTTGAAAGAAAAAGGATGCGTCACCGGAAAAAGGAAGTTTTTCGGGGTTTCGCGGGTGGCGGTGGACGGAGATAAGCGTTTTGGGAAGATATTGGGATTTGGAGGACTTGGAGGGGTTTGGAGGGAGTTACTGAACTTGATTTTAGAAATTTCAAATAGTATTTTTCTTCAATGACGTTGATACTGTGACAAAGTGGTTAATATTTTCTTTTTTGGCCCTCTAGCCCTGGAGTTTCACATGGCTTATCAATCTCATCTGATCTCCGAGGTCGGACAGGAGGCAAAACAAGCTATTACGGCTTGGCCAAAGGGAAGATCAATAGAGGGGATAGTGGACCTTGAGCTGTGGGGTTTTGTGTAGATTTTGAAGAGTTGAAATGATCACTTTTCACGCATTAATAGGTCGGTATGTTTATATAAAAACTGAAGTATACATCTTCAGCCCGTGCACAGCCGATTATAACCAAAGCCCATATTATGTATACGGCAATGTAGTATTATGTGGCAATCAGAAGATATACATGGAAACCGGTAATTTTTAGTCTCTACATATGTATGCGATAGGAATCCATAATAAAGAATGGAATATGGTAGGAAGGTATTCTATCCAGCTTTTCACCTACCTAACAATCCAAGGGGTTGTCTGTCTAGTGGGGCTTTGGACTCCAGTAAGAAACTGGTGATTTCGACGGTAAACACCTACAACAACTTATATGATGAATATATGGACTACCGAAGACATACGCCTGGTACACCTTGGAAAGAGGACCTAATGGACGCTAGCGTAAAAATTCCTCGGTTAGCCCCCTGATTTAGCCTCTCTGGGTGGAAGTTTTGAGCCTCATAACGTCAACACTTGACTGATCGAAATACCTACCTAGGTAGCCATTGATATTAATATGGGCCATATCACATACCCCGAGCCTGAGAGTGCCTTGTCACGAGTGGCCTTCCACGGAGACCTCGACCAGGTTAGCATGCTGCTCGACAATGGCGAAAATTATCGATCATGGGACAAGTCTGGATGGACCGCACTGCACTGGGCTGTCATTGGCGGTCATCTACATATCGTTCGAAAACTCCTGGAGCACCATTCAAAGTCTGAACAGACTGATCTCGAGTTGTATAGAATGACTACAGAGCAGGTCAAGTCATATACTGATGGGCCGCCTCCGATTCTCTTGGCCGCGGAAAGGCGAAATGGCGAGAAATCTATTGACGTGGAGATATTCTGTGAGCTTGCGCACCACCTAGAGACCCCAAGAGAAAGGCTGCGTGTTGCCAAGTTCAACATCATATGGAAACAAGGAAAATTTGATACCGGTCAGTCACGATTCTCGGCCAACCTGTGGAGAATCCTAGGAAAAGACGAGCGCTGCAACGGACTTGAATGCAGAATCCCCAGCCCCTACGGATATCGCAGCAGTGATCTCAGCAGCTACAGATCAAACGAATCAGATTGGAAATCCAAGTTATTGCTGTGTGCTATCCGTGATAGCCAATGGTCAGTGATGGAGATGCTGATCAAAGCGGTCCCCGACGCCAATTTTGACCATGCACTCCATGTAGCTGCCTTCCGCAGTGATCCACGTTACGTGCAATGTCTCATGCAACATGGTGCAGATGTCAACTTCGCAACGCTGGCCGGGCGTACAGCCCTACATGAAGCTGTGATGAATGGGTTCTTGGATACAATTACCGCTCTCGTCAACAGTGGAGCAGATGTGAACCAACAACAGACCAGTGAATATTGGGACTCCCCACGTCATCCGGATTGTCGTCTTACCACCGAAGGCTTCGACTTCTGGCTGACTAGAAAAGGCGCATCCACACTTATGCAGGCCTGTGGGTTCTTACTTAGTCGCAACGCCAGATTTCGCCAGCGAAATTCTGAAGATACGCAGCTACCGGAAGAGAAGAGTTTGGATATTGTGCGATGTCTACTGTCCAAAGGTGCAGATCCGATGTTGGCTGATTCCTTTGGCATGACAGTACTTCACTACGCGGTCTTGCAACCCCATGTATCACTTATCGAGCTTCTAGTCCAGTCGGGAGCCTCAGTGGAAGCTTTGGACCATGAAGGACGAACGCCACTACATTACTTCGCCCGATGTGACGATAATATCAATATGCAAGACCTTGAACAGACAGCCCGTTTACTTTGTCGCAAAGACACCACGGAGCTCTCTCCAGACTTTCTGAACAAGCGTGTGACTAGACCCCTAAATTCAAGCGAAGAACAAGAGTCTGCTGTTCGTTCCTTGACTGTTACGCGTACTATCCGAAAGAATCGTATAGTCTCCTGGATCCCAGAAAATGATGATGCACGTACCGCTCTTGCCATCGCTCTACTTGGTAACCGATGGAAAGTTGCTGACGTCTTGATGCGTCTTGGAGCTACCTTTCCTACCAACATTGACTTCCAAAGCGTATGGGACAACGCCCTCAAAGATCTCGAAGCCAATACCGTGGGTCTTCTATTGCACAATGGAATGGAACCGCCGCCATTCTCGCTCATGACACTGATCCGAGCGTACCTAGAGCAGAGGGGTGCGAGAAATGTTGCTAGCAACCTATGGACAAGGTTCAAATCCATATTGACTACCATAGTACATGCTGGAGCGGACGTGAATTTCTGCGAAACAGAGGAGTTGTCAAAAAGTGAACATGAGAATTCAGAGAGCGATGACGAGAATATAAAGCGTGTCAAGGATGGGTCAAAAACCACAACTCCTCTAAATCTCGTTGCGAGCATCAGTGGTTCACGTGAAATACTCGAAGAACTTCTGTCGTTTGGTGCAGACGTGTATGCTGTCTCTTCACACACATTTGACCCGATTTTGACGGCCACATTGTTCGGAGAGCTACAGGACCTAAAATGTCTGTTAGATCGAGCTTCGTCTGATCCCCGCGAGTCCCACTGGTCAATGTTCCTGGACAACGTCCCCCAGAAAGATGATGCTATCGTCCGTGTATGCCAAAGTCTGAAGAAAGCTGACTCTCTGAACAAAACCAACTTTCAAGGCCGAACACTGCTGCATCTCGCTGTAGAGCAGGGAAATAATGAGCTACTTGCAGCATTAATTTCAAGTGGGGCTAGAACAGATATCCTTGATAATCAAGGGATCTCTGCCATCAAGTGCGCTGCTACTGCACGGAATGCACATGCATTTGAAGCACTTTTCACAGAAGAAAATGATCCGGAATCATACAAGTAAGTGTTTTTCCTAGCGAAAAAATAACCACTCCCTAACAATGCAAAAGCTCTCAAGCGTGGGAGGAATTTAGACAATTGGAGAATGAGGTTGACCCTGCTCTTTCAAATTCTCAATCCCCGCACGTTATTTCGAGCGTGCTGCAAATTGCCCCCATCTACATATTTGAGCGATATCTAGGCTGTAATCAACTTCCAGCGGTATATCAAGCAGTAATATCTAGGAACCATACGCTTTTCTCATTTCTGCTGAGTCGAAAAGCTGACATCGAGGCTGCTGACATATATGGCTGGCGCCCACTGCATATTGCATGCTATTACGGCTACAAAAAAATGGCGGATGATCTCATCGCCCAGGGTGCAAATGTACATTGTGCCACCCAGGCGTGGAATAATTCGTATGACAAGCCTTCAGGTCTATACTTGGCTAACGCCTGGGCGGGTACGCCTCTTCATCTCGCCACAATGGGTGGCCATGTAGATATCTTCCAAGAATTACTCCAACTTGGTGTTGATGTCCATGCAATGACAATGACGGACACGGAAAGATTCACGTTCTCGGGCCATGGCCCGACGGCACTTCATCTCGCGCTCGACACCTATACATACTATGGTCGTCAAGGAGAGGCCCTGAGTGAGGAGAGGATGAGAATTGCGCAGTTGCTGGTCAATGAGGGTGCCATGGTACGGGGTATGGTTTGTCAAATGACCCTGGAGGAGAGACGCAAGTTCCATCGGTTTCCTAGTCTCTGGGAGGCTCTTGTCGCGGAGGACGCAGCCTCTGGCGAAGAGGATGGCCAAGTCAAGGTGTGAGCGGAATCTCCCGTTGGAGAACGCATCATGTCTTTGCTTTGCTGTCAAATAAATTCCATTATCTACTTTTTATTCTAGTGTTGGGTCCCCAGGCTTGTCTAAGAGGTTTAGAACATTCGTGCGCAGGGGCCAAGGGGCCGTGTACTGAATGATATACAAAATATTTTCAATAATTTGAGATTGTCAGACTAATGCCTGTTAAATAGCACAAATAGTAACACAACCTAAGATAGAAACACAATGTAAGGTCATGGAGCCTCAAAAAGCCGGGGATGCCAAGCCTCCTGGGATCGGCGTGTGTCCAAGGCATCGGTGAGACACATTCGGGTGAAAGAACGCTCTCTGATCACCACCTCGCCATGGCTGACAACGATGAGCTTGAGTCGTTCCGCCAACAGTGGCGTGAGGAGGTCACTCGTCGATCAAGACCCAAGGCTGCCCCTCCTGCGTCTCCGACTCCGACTGCCCCGCCTCCGGCTCGTCTTCCGCCCACGCGCCATGAGGCCTCTCATCGCAAAGAGGTCGAGGAGGAGGGGCCCCCGCTGGCTTCCTTCGACCCGGATGAGCTTGCCCAGCAGATCGGAGCATTAAACATTAAACCAACCGAAGATGACTTCTCACGCCGAGACGTAGCAGAACCAACATCTGCATTGGAGCATTATGAACGAGCGGTCGAGAAGGAGGCCGAAGGCAACTTGGGAGATAGTCTTTCACATTACCGAAAAGCATATAGGGTGAGTTTTGGTCACTACAAATGATATTTGCAACGCAAATACTGATTTCTGTCCAGCTAGACTCCGCTGTCGATAAGTCCTACCGGAATAAGCACTATGCCCATGTATGGAAGAAGTCCAATCTGCCCGCACCTACTGCCCCTATCGATGTGATCCAGCAATCCGCAGAGGTACCGATCCTTCCGACACCTGAGCTCATTGCATCATTTGCACACCTGCCAATTTCACAACTGGATCCTATCGTCGAAAACACACCACCACCCCCTTGCCCTATTGCCACTGTGCCGTCGGAAGTGCTAGTGGAAATACTGCGACATGTGGCGATGGATGACCCGTCGGCCTTCGGTCGGATGGCACTGGTCTGTAAGCGAATGGCCTACCATTTCGCCCATGAACAGCATATCTGGAGACGGATTTGTCAAGGCCGGGAATTCGGATTCCAGGGAATGCATTATGACTTTTCATGCGACCTGCACGGGGAACCGATCTACACCCTTGCGCCGCGATACACTCCATTTCCCATGGGCGCGCCTGTAGAAATTCCACCTCCGCTGTCTTCATGGAGCCAAGTATTCCAGACCCTTCCTCGCATTCGTTTCACGGGCATCTACATTAGCACGGTCAACTACACTCGGCCTGGTGCTGCATCTGCCTACTCGAATTTGTCGTGGAACAGTCCCATCCACATCGTGACTTACTACCGCTATCTGCGTTTCTACCCAGATGGCTCGGTAATCTCGCTGCTGACTTCAACAGAGCCAGTCGACGTTGTCCCTCATATCAGCAAAGAGAATGTCATGGCGGCGCGCGTCCCAGCGCACCGAAAGCACCAACGGCATCTTTCTGATGCTGGTAATACCCTGTCTGGAGCCACCGATTCTTTGCCACCTGTCGCGATGAATACATTGAAGCATGGTCTTCGGGGCCGGTGGCATTTGGCCTCGCCCGTTGACACTTCCGAAACTTCCGAAACCCCCGCCTCGGCCTGGAAGCCCGACTTAATGTCTGACCAGAAATCCCTCCTTTCCGACGAGCGGGATCTCATCATTGAAACAGAGGGTGTAGATCCCAAGTATGTTTACACGATGCATCTATCGCTACGTTCGTCAACCGTACCGAAATCCGTTCAACTCGGGCCTGCTCCTCCGAACCCATCGAAAAATACAAAATTAGCCTGGAAGGGTTTCTGGAGTTACAACAGGCTGACAGATGACTGGGGCGAGTTCGGTCTTCGTAATGACCGAGCATTCGTATTTCGACGCGTACGCGGCTGGGGCCTAGACTGATATGATTGATGACTTCACATGAATGATTTGTTACATACATCGGAAATGAGATAATTTACGAATCTGCATATACTAAACACATTTTGGGGTTCGTATTACCCCCAAATCGACATAAAGCGAAAAGCGGAACGACAGCGAAATACAGAACGTTTCCTCATTCTTCATCAGATGCTTGACCGTAGCCTGAATATGGTTGTGTTTTCCAAAGAAGTAGTATCCATCAAGCATCCAATCAGAGTGCTGTCGTCTCAGGCGCGGGATGCACGCAATGCTATAAGGAGGAGTGACGAGACTGCTTTGGTGAAGCAGCTCGTTTGATTGAGTATTTCCAGTGGGTAGGCTTTGCAGATTTAGAGTCACTCAGGTATGAGAACCAGGCTGTTGCAGTTTGCGTTAGAAGGACTACGGTGAAAACGCAAAACAAAGAAGCAAACGGGAATAATAAGGGACGCATCGATACTCAACTGGGGGACTGCGTGAGGAAATGACGTGAGCTAAGCGCTAGATGCCCGACTAGAAACGATCGCCCCTTGTCGGTAGACTTTCATTGGGCGGCGTACGAAAAATGAGGCAAATGTAAAGTGAAACCAAGACCCGAAATGGCAATGTGAGGGATTGACAAGGACCGGACTGGCTTTCTGCCCTTGCCACAACCTTCTCCTCTACTCTAGGAAGAGGAGCAGGCCGTTGGAAGAGAGAGGAAGAGGAAATGAAGCGGAAGGCTGTCTATCTAGTGGCAACGAAGTGCTTAGAGTGATCATCACCTACGTACGTAGTAGTTGCATATGAATTGACTGTTATATACCCAAGGGATTGTAGAGTGTCTCCTCTCTCTACTTTCTTATTTTCAGATCAAGAATGTCTGCCGAATGTTCTGAAGACAGAGCAGAATTACATCAGTACCATATAGTTCATTTATTGTGTATGACTGATACAACAGGAGATACGAGGCTTTCGTCCAATCAAAGCCGCGGGAGTACCAAAGGTTGTTAGGAACAGATCAGCGCAGGCTTCCCAGGAACTGACGGAAACGGCGAGGAATAGATGGACGTGGCCCAGGGGAAGATGTACGTTCCACAACCATATGGTAAGCCTGCAAGGCATTGGTCTTGAATGCATGGCTGCCACCCCACAAGCACAAGCGAAAGACACGATAGTTCTGCTCTCCCCAACCCGCAATGAGTTCTTCTTTCGCCGAGTCCAGACGCTTTGCCCATTCAACCATTGTGAGCTCATAGTCCCGAGTCTCATTGACAACATCCAGTACTTGAAACCCATGGTATAAAAGTTCAGCAAGAACGTCCTGAAGAGTCATATAAGTGTGCGTCCCAGGCCAAATATAATATCTGGTGAAAGAGCTAACAGCGAACTTCTCAACAGCTGCCGAGCCATCAAGATACATGCGACCACCGGGCTTCAACACATCCCACACCCTGCGTGCAAAACGGCGATAATTAGGGATATGCTCAATCACCCCAAAGATGACAACATGGTCATATGGCTCCTCCGGCTTATGGTCCAGGAAGTCTTCCAAGAAGACTTGACCAGAGAGATTATTCTTCTCTATAATGCGTTGGATATACCGAGCGCTGTTTGGTGCGAGTGTCAACGTTGTGACATGCACGCCTCGAGCACCGCAATACTGCGTCACTCCACCCCACCCACCGCCAATATCAAGAAGTCTCATGCCTGGTTTGAGATCGAGAGCAGCAGACATGGTCTCCATTTTGTGCTCGGAGGCCTCTTCCAGCGTTTCGTCAGGTCGTTGGAACAAACCCTGGGTATAGAAACGGTATCGATTGTCCAGAAAGGTGAGATAGAACTCATCATCGAGTCCGTAGTGATCACCGATAGCCTTGGCGTTCATTTTGGTTGCTGTCCGGATAAAGTCGTATACGAACTGGACTTTTTGCCGCAGAGGCACTTTCTCCTGTAAATTCTGGCGGGCGTTGAATAGGGCGCCAAAATCACCCTTTACCTCAATATCTCCAGATAAATACGCTCGACCAACGCCCATTTCCGTCATTGGTGTGCGGAGGGCACGCTCCGAGTGGAAGATCACTCGATAAACCGGTTCGCCGATGCCGACGGGGATAACTGCGCCATTGGGCAGCTGTATTTCCCCAGGGATCTTTAGCCCTGCTAGAAGCGCAGCCACACCCGTACGTGGTAGATCCTTGTGGGGTGCTGCTACTGACATACTTGATGGTTGAAGCTTGAGTTTGGGTAATACTGTTGGTGGTGATGTTCAGCCAAGGGGGGATGAAATCAAATTAGCCGAGGATTGAATTTCAAATAAAAAGGGGCATCTATTAAAGTATTTGAAAGCACAGAACAGGTAAGTTGGACAGGACCATTTGACTACAGGAGTATGCAAGACAGCCTGCATCAGCGGCTCACGGAATCGTCTTATTCGGTCAATGTCTCACGTGTGACAAGATCTGCGCTAGGGTGCATTGCATATCACTCCTAACATTTCCAGCAAGTGCCAAGAAAGGATCCATAATGCATTCTGGATAGGGGCAAGAAGGTACTTTTGCGTTGTGTGTCAGGTGCGGCTGAGGCCCGCAGGGAAGATCTAATTATATTCTGACAGTGCAGATCAGGGTACTTTGTACTCCGTGGAAAGTCTGAAGAGGATATGTATTTTGGATCTATTGATAGAAAAAAAAAAGAAATATATACATGGAAAAGTCTAGGCCATTAAACTAGGTGCGCCAATTAAGTACGTGTTCGCCTTCATCATCCACCACTACAACCATCCACACACCCACCTGTCCATTACTCGCAAGTAATGGTGTACAATGAATCCAGCGATTGCGTCCATCGGGATTAGCTCGTGTCGTCCACTTGATACGCGCAGTCACACTGCGACCAACCATCATAGCTTGTAGTAGTTCTTCCTTCACTGCCGAGGAACTACCGATACGCGATAGAAATGGTGATTGCAGCATTCCTGGAATCTGGAGAGCGGGCGAGGTGAACAAAATCCGGAGGGAAGGGTAGGGTCGAACGAGAAGATACTGTATCATGTTAGCGTTCGAAATCAAATCTGAAAATAGACATCTCGGTTCCTACGTTCTCATACACGCCCGCAAATGACATCCGAAAAAAGGGCGATTTCATGTCATGCAGACGAATCGCTTCAGTCTCACGTTCTAGCGATGCGTCAGGCTGTAGCCATGATCGCGGGTGATGTGGTGATGTGTCATTTTTCACAGGTTGGAACAGATGTCCACCATGCTGTTGAACAATGGATAGTTCCCGCGGACTGAACAGCTCAGACAGTTCACGGAACTCATTTTTCTCTTCTGGTTCTGGTGGCTCCGCGATACTCTCTTCATCGGGATCGCGGTGTTTGTTTTGCAGTTCCATGAAGGATTCCATCGAGGCTCCCTCCATAGCAAGTCCCGAGACATCGATCTGTGCGCCAACGAAGTATTTGACACGGCCCTGGCTGTCACATAGGGGTGCGCACTGGAGCAGGTTCATAAATGGAGAGCCGTCGCGACGACTGGTAATGTTAGTGACTCAGTGACTATATTGGGGGAATGCTGTAGAACATACTAGTTGAGAAACATCTCCGAGTGATGCCGGCCTGCATGGATAGCTTCACGAAGTCGACGAACACTGTTTGCATTTGTCTTCGGGCCTTGTAGGAAGCGACAGTTTCGACCAAGTACGTAATCCATGCCGTATTGTGTCGTCCTGTGGAACTCTGGTTTTGTTAGTCCGAGTAGGAGAATTGGATAGAAACGCATACCTTCTGATGCGAAAATAATTGGATTGTCAGGTCGCGAAGGGTCCGTCAAGCAAAATACTTCTGCCAGTGCATTTGACGTTCCACGGAACTTCATTGGCAAAGTTCCTCGGATTCGCTGTGCTACAATCTTGCTTGTAATGGTAATACACCTTGACGTGATGAATGCAGGAAGCTCCTCGGCAGTGAGAGCCAACAGCCCGTCTACGACTCGCTGCTCCAAAACCTGGTTCGCCGTCACCCCAACGACTTGCTTGTCCGTTTGTATTGTTGGGGGAGGTACATCGACCGACAGACGGACGAGTGCATTAGCATATCGAAGGGCCTTGAGCGCTTTCGAGGCATTGAGATAGTATGTAAGGGTGGAAATCGAGCGTGGCCGTTCTTCAAGAAGAAAGTCGCGGAATCGAACTAGATACCGCGGGTTATTCAGAATTGTGAGCATATGCTCAGACGAGAACATGATGTCTGCAATCCTCTCCAGCTTGTATAGTGGTAAATCACCCCCATCGTAGGGCGCAATGAGATCATATGAGCCACTCTCTTCACTGACGGGGTTAAACTCCGGGGCTCCATCATTTGGATTGATTTGTTGTAGAAGAGGGAGCTCATTGGCGGTGGCATGGCGACGCAGGCTCTTTATAGAAGGCTTTGGTGTAGGATACAGTTCCATCTCTTCATCAATTGGATCTAAATTTTCCATTCTCGGTGGCTGGGGGAAGTTGTCCAGTAATGGATCAGTCCTATTTTGTCAGCCCATTTAATTCAATCCATGGCCTTGATGTCAATTAACTTACCGCAATGATTGGCGTGAATCGCTAACCCATTGGTGATATTCATCTTGGATTTCTTGAATTGTCCCGGCGAATGAGCGCAATGACTCGGCATCGGGGGATCTCAGCCCATCACGGAGCCCATCAAGCCCATCGAGGCCTTGGAGACCATGGAGATCTGTACGCGACATGGTTTAAGCAAAGAAAATGCGACAACTACCCGTATTACAGTCTGGAAACATACCGTTTCTTTAATAGTTGGAACTCTTTTCCTTCTTACGCCGACCAGAGTGATACATCATTTGATCGATCCTATGTTCTGTTACTACAAACCATGCGACAGACACAAAAGCCTCCGACAAAGTACAAAGTACAGAGGCAATATGGGAGGTCATAATAAGGCCGATCGATCGATAGACTGCTAAACTGCACGAGATCGGAGTCGATCGTTGACCGATGATGGCATAGTACAGCGAATGAGCTTCGGGGATCGGCCATCGAACTTTGAACTTTAAAACACCTCACTGGAATTGTCTGGAATTGCGATACATCATTGGATTATGGACTACGGAGTACGTAGTACATTGTTCGCAAATAGGCTATGGTCCGCTGTTGCTTATCTATTTTCTCTCCTATTGAAGGTATCTGTGCAGATCATCAGCACTCAGTATGAACTTCATTTTCTCCAAGCCTTCTACTTTATAGTCTAGAGAGGGCCCAGATCGTTAAAACTGTCAATACTGTCCTATTTGTCGTGACTCGGAGTAGGAGTGGTCAACGGGTAAAATTGTTTTGGTCACCCTTATAGGATGTAACACATGTACCTTCGTAGGTGAGATATATATACTCCGTGTATATATATATATATTCAATCTTGATTCCATACAACACTTGAGCCAAGTCAAATGACCTAGTTGAACCTACTTTTATCCAGTAGCCGTTTTCTTTCTTTTCTGAGCAATTCACTAGCTTCACTAGCTTATTGGATGAGTTTGATCCATCTCTTCCACATTTATAGCAGGATTTTGGCGCCAAGGCCTCTCTATCCGCTTATTAATCGGGAAATCTCCCCAAGGCCCCACCCAGGTAGAGATCCAGAACACCGAGGCCTAAGCTTGGCCTAAAGATCCTAGAAATGCTCAGGTGCATTCTGTGCGGACTTTGACGGACTTGATCAGCGGTGGATCTTGCTCCTCCATTTTAGCCCCAATTTCCCCCTCAAGGGAGATTGAGAAAATGTCTCCTAACTCCTATTGTCCTCGCCACCATGTCCGAGTCTACGAGGAAAATTGAGCGGAAACGTACATCTCTGGCTTGCGACTCTTGCTTTGCAAAGAAGGTGCGAGCAAATTGATACTACGTTAAGGGAAGTTACCTAGTTAACTTGACCCTGTCACTAAATAGATCAAATGTGATGACGCCGTGCCTCGGTGCAACTGGTGCATGCATCATGGCCTTCCCTGTACTTTTACAAGAAAGCCGCTGTCCAAACGAAAGAAAATCTCCGGATATAGGTAAGACTTTAGCATAACAGACCATTTACCTATGAACTCGGGTGCTGATACTCATGAATATCGCAGTAATGACAGTTTCGCACGCGTGGAACGACGTGTTGCTAGAATCGAAACCGCTGTATACAGCTATCTAGATGGAAAAAATGGTACTTCCATTTTCTATGAGATAACAAGACTCGCCGCATGGCATGCTGACTAAGTTCTAGGTATTTTCTCGCCTTTCCACGTTGAGCATGTGCTCCAACCTCTCCTTGGTGAATGGTATTTTGCCGGTATCAAGCTTGGAGGAGTCAGTCGCCACAATGGCATTCCGTTCTTCTCTGTAGAGGGCATACGGTGGGTAGAGTCTCGTTGTGGCCAGAGCAAGAACTTGGATCGATTCGCTAGGTTCTTTCATTCATGGGGAACAACCCCGAGATCCATACCCGACTCTCCCAGACCTCTCGGAGATCAAAAGTACTCCCAATTACCAGAAAGAGAAATGGTCGAGGCCTATTTAACCTTTTTCCAGTCATCTGCTGGACATCAAATCTTCCCACTTGTGAAATATCCCTTGTTCATTGAGACTATCAGGCGTGCATATCAACGGCCGCAACATCCATCTGGATCTCTCTCCGCGGTGTCTTGTGTTTATGCTTTTGCGGCATTTGTCACGGCCATTGATCTGCGGCGCCACAATTTGCCTGCCATTAGCGGTAATGATTATGCCAAGGAAGCACAGCGTATGTTGCCCACGGTATCACAAACTCCAGCAACATTGGATGCTCTGCAAACGGTCCTGATGCTGGTATGTCCTTAACCTTCCATGATGTGCCATATGCCTTTAGTTGACCTTTAACAGTGTGCCTTTCGACTGTTGTCTGGAGACCTGAGTTCTGCGGATATACTCCTCGCCATTGGTGTACGTCTCCTTTTCCAGCTTGGCGGAAATCAACTTCGCTGTCCAAATGCCGCCAAAGAGGAAAGGGATCAAGTAAGGACTCTGTTTTGGGTGTGTTACACCATCGACAAGTGCCTCTTCCTCCGCACTGGTCGTCCTCCATCTATTCACGATGAGGACTGTGACCTTACTCTCCCGTCTAATTACATCGCGAAATCATCAGAAAAGGCACTTGAAACAGAGGAAACCACAGATTCTTGTACACCGTTATTTCCATGTGATCTCCGTCTAAGCATGGTTATTTCAAACATTTATCGAGAGCTATACTCTGTTCGAGGTCTTCAAAAATCAGATGCTGAAATCCTCATGGCAATTCGAAAGCTTGATCATGACTTGGACGCTTGGAAAATGTCGACACCTTCACAGAAATGGTCACAGTCATCTGCCTCTGATAACCCTTCTATCAGGATGCTTGATACACGCTTCCTCATGAACAGACTGGAATACCACCAGTGTATGGGTATCATTCACCAGGCCAGCAGTCGGTGCAAATCGTGGAGTGAGGATACCGGTGATATGTCTAAGGGAATAAATTCCAGCTTGGCCTTAGCTGTTGAAGCTAGTCGATCATCGTTGCTGTATTTGAATTTAGTGCAAGGCACGCTTGATGAGGGAACCGTTTGGTGAGTCTTTTCTCTGCCTTTTGGCTCGTAGTTAGATAAGCGTCTGGGTGATTTTTATGCTAACGTTATTAACCTAACAGGTTCGCCATGTTCTATCCCATCTCAGCTATCATGACCATTTTCTGCCATATCCTCTTAAAACCGCAGGATCCGCGCGCACCTGACGACCTTCAGCTGCTCAACAAGGTCCCCGTTCTGATGCAGGCAGCATTAGCTCACCGTTCGGATTCTATTGAGCCAATGCACGTACAATTTGTGGAGGATTTTGTCGAGGATTTAAGTCATTTAGCAAATTCTGCCATTGCAAGGGAGTGATCCTGCCAACGTGGACATTAGTGACCTCTTTACGCTGTTGAAATAGGAAATCTAGTAGTTAATTCACTTCTGCGGTCTTTTACTTGGCGTGCTAAGAGTGGCATCACACCGAGAAAATAACAGGAGAAAGAAAAAAAGAACGGAGGGAACTCCTGAATCCGAGGTATTTGCTCACCGACAATCCTTCGGTTTGAACGGGGCTTCACTGTAGTCAAAAGAGTGTTGATTTGCCTGTATTTACATATATTCTATACCTACCTAGGTAGACCCCAAACTAGAGATGAATAATCATTTTCTGAGGGCCCATGAAATAGCCAAAACAAGGACCACACATGCAACCATCTGGAAACTGGGTGATTTTGCAAATGATGCATTATCCCCTTGGAGCCACAGGCTGTTGTCCAATCTGATTGGCCTTCGGATATAATTCAACAGGACAGTGCCACGGAATTGCTCTGTGGAAAGGTCGGCAAGGAATGTTTTGTCGAAGAAGACCCGCGAAAAAAATAGCCATGGTTTAATTCCTTCAAGGGCTTGAATACGTGTGAGTTCATAAGAAGCACGCGCAATGCTTGTGAGACGAGGTCGGCGGAATTTTTGATAGTTCGAAAGTGCCATTTCAATTTCTTCCTGGCTCACATGGTCACCTCGGCGACATAGGTTAGCCTCGTTCAATGCGTTGGCAAGAGCGGCAGCACTCTCAATGGCACCATTACCACCCTGTCCTAGGTTGACAGTCATCTATTGAAGTATTTCTTAGTTCACAATCAAACGAATGCTCCGTTGTAAAACTAACCTTGTGCGCGGCATCCCCAAGAACAGCGAACCGACCCCAATGCCAGTCCTGGAGAACACCTTCCTCCATCGGAAGCAAGGTGAAAGTTTTTCGCTTCATCCAAATATCGCCAAATGTGACATCCTCCGTGATGTTAGCCCCCATATGGGCGTTGGCAAGTGATTCTCCTTGCTCTTGGGAAAACCGTGGTGAGTCGGGCCATTGGTGACGCTCGCTCATCCTCATGTAGAGGAAGAAGTAAACATCGCCATTAAGGCCGATAAAAGTGAGGAACGATACGGCTTTTCCAACCACAATATTTGACTGTCCGGGTGGCAGTCCCGGGACGGCTTCAGCGATCCCAAACAAACAACTAAATTCCGATACAAAGGCTAGAAGACTTCCGTTAGCATCGTGTCATGAGGGAGATGCTTCATTGCCATTCAACACTTACTAGATCGATCAGCCCGCAGCTTTCCTGGCTGGCTCAATTCAGCATGTCTCCACATCTCAGATCGTACCGAACTATGAATCCCATCACAGCCAACCACGATATCTCCAGAGTAGGAGGAGCCGTCCTCCGTGAAGACCTCAACACCATCCACAGAGTGATCAACACGGATGACCCTTTTTCCATGGCCTGCATGGACCTTGGATTTGTCTTCGAGATGATCATAGAGCAGTTGAATCAACCGTTGCCGGGGAAGGAGGCAAATGGTGTAACCAAACCTACACATATGGCTTGACTTAGCGACATGATATTTCAGAGCAATTCAATGATGATTACCGTTGTTCAAGAAGTGCTCCTGCAGGAGGTCCTACCAGCAGTTTGCCTGACGAAAGTCGGATGTTCATCGTTTTGAGAGGGTGGACGAGAGAGCGAAGATCCTGATAGAGTCCTAGCTGGTCCAACACCATACATCCGTTTTGGAAAATTGCGATGGATGCGCCAACAGGCGACGCGATAGGGTAGGCATCAATCACCTCATAGTCGATGTTCGCACGCTTCAGTGAGTGCGCTAAAGTAAGCCCTGCGATTGCTCCTCCAACAATAATAACCTTCATCGGTTTCTTGTTTTCCATTGCATATGTTCCCTCTGTGAGAAGATTTGATATGATTAGACTTCTTCTCTCCCCCGTCCCCAGCTATGGCTTTATAGGAGCTCAAGGGAGAGTCCGTCCTTTGATGGAGTATATATTTCATGTCTAGTTCCAAAACTTTACCTAGCTAGTTGCCGATGACTCAGCGGGCAAAAAGCTCTAGGACTGGCGGTTTTGAATGATCTGCAATTATAAACTCGTTAGTTAGATCAATTAGCACAAAAAAGTCCATACTAGTCTGCATTTGTCTGGGAGCTGTAGGCAGTACTTTGGTTTAATCCTCAGCTGCAATGTATACTCGGCATAATTCGGAGTGGGGGCATTATTAGACCCATGCTACTCAACAGAGGGTGCCTATCTAGCCCATCGGTAGGAGAAGAGATAGAAACGGAAATATTGTGAAGATCATTACACCCATGACGCCTCCTGCAGAAATAGGGGTAGCAACCGTATGGAGCGGGCCCCGGGGCACTTTTCCGATTAGTAATCGGCAGTTTACCGGGCGCAGAAGTTGGAGCTGGCGAGCTGTAGCCCTTGGAGTTTTGGAGGTCAAGTCCTAATAAAGTTGTATTTTCCAACTACACCGCTGGGAGACTATACACAGTAGCAACTTATTGGCATAGGATTATAATGCTATAAAACAAGGCAAAACAAAGCCAAAGGAACTGCCTACCTCTAATGTGGCTCTCCAAGGTAAGCAGTCAAAGAAGGAAACTGTTATAACCTGCCCCTGGACTGGCGAGTTACACACTAGGTCAAAAAGACCACTATATCTAAGCATTACGCTCCGATATTCCAGGCTCCGATATATATATATATAGTGCGACATGAGAGAAACACCGCCCCCCCTACTCCATAATTTATTCTATTTACTCCCTGTCGCTTCTATAGTCTTCTCCCCTCCAGCTAGCCCATTATTCTCAGTGTCGGGGTGTATCTGCCTCTTATTGATACTCTTCCACTCCAGAGTGGCCGCACCTAGTAGTGTCAGACACGAAATACTCAAACCGACCTGAAACACGTTTCGCAGCGCTTCATTGTAAGAGTAGAGGATCGTGTCGTGCAGATCCGCCGGCATTGTATTCAGCAGTTCCGTGGCACCCCCAGAGGTGATGAGTTTGGGTTTAAACCCGGGCAGCCCGGAAAGTCTCTTCACGAGCTGATTAGCCAGAATATTCTCCCCAGCTGAGACAAAGATGGCTGCCCCGATTAGCTGGCCAAATAACATTAGTGCTAATCCAAATGGTACGTCGGGCTTCGGAAGGATAGTCTGCGCGGCGAGATTGGGGACTTGGAAGCATAAGCCCAGACCCACTCCGTAGACGATCTGATATCCGATCCACTTTCCCTCGCTGGTGTCCATCTGGAAGGTGGTGAGGAGACCGGCTCCGACGGACATGATGCATGATCCAATGATCGCGAGCGGGGTGTAGTATCCGATCTTGGAGTTTGTGATTCCACCACCGATTGAGCCAACTACCATTGATAGCATCATCGGTAGTAACCGGATGCCAGATTCGACGGCAGTATTGCCCTTGATGGATTGGAACCAGATTGGGAGGAAGTACACTGTAATTGAAGTCATTAACAGGGTATGATACTTGATAGTGCGGTCTTGTTACCAAATATATAGTTTCCAGAGCCGACGCAGAATGTCTGCCAGAAGCCCGAAATGATGCTGCGCTGTGAGAATATGTGCACTGGAAGGGTCGCTGTCTTTGGAAGAAAGATCTGAACGGCGACAAAAGAAAGAAGTAAGACACCTATGAGAACTAGGCAAGCCACAACGCGACCACTGCTCCACTACATACCGTCAGTTGTGGTTGAAAATAATGGCGCACATAACTTACAGCATACATCTGGCCGCCCCACTGAAGTGCCAATACCAGACAGACCACACTAGATACCAGAAGGGTAGTGCCGAAGAAATCTAGTTGTAGGATTTTGTCGGCCCAGGAGACACTCGCTGTGTCTTGCTTGGAGACATTGAGGCAGAAGGCAATGAAGACCATGGCGACGCCACCAATTGGCAGATTGACATAAAAGCACCATCTCCACGTTGCGTTCGATGCAAAGGCACCGCCGATCAAAGGACCCACGATGGAGGCAATACCGAAAAGGGCGCCGAACAAACCTTGGATTTGTGGACGCTTCTGGAGAGGCACGGAATGGATGATGCACATTATCTGAGCACTACCTGTAAGCAATTGTTACAGTGGGCAGGGGACTGGACTCAACATACAGTTCCAGCGAGGATACCAGCAGCGCCGACTCCGGAGATCGCTCTTCCGATTATAAAGGCCACTGAATTCGAAGCCGCTCCACAGATAGCAGAGGCAACCTCAAACACTAGAATACTGGCAAGGAAGACGATTCTGACAGAAAAGAGCTTGTACAGCTTGCCAAACAAGAGTTGAAATGCGCAGCATGTCAACAAGTAGGCGCTTCCGTACCAGCCCACGTCATCTAAAGAGTTGAATTCATCGGTGATTTTGGGTATGGCCTATCAATTGGCTATAACTTAGCGCTAGAATTTGACTGGAATTAATGTACAATGCTCATACCGTGGAGATGATGGCTCTGTCTAGCGCAACTAGGAACATCGCGACAAAGGCCGAGACGATCAAACAGACAACCCTAAGGGTGGACTGGTTCTCGGGCTGGCCTCCAGCTTTGACTGGTCCTTCGGCCTTGTCTGCTACATCCGGAATCGTCTCGCTATGTTTGTTCAACAATTCTGGAGCGTCTATCGTAGCTGGTTTTGTGGCGTTAGAGGCAGGAGTGCATCGTGGATACATGGTGATTGCGGTATTCGTAACTCCACTAGCCAACACGCGATCGATTCGGTCTCAATGCAACAGAGGTGATGTTCCGGATCATAATGAATAGTGAGGAAAACTCCGATATTTAAAGGGTCACAGGGAACAAAACTTGATTGAAGAATTCGGATTTTGCAAAGGATGCTCAACGCAATGGTCGGGGTTTAGAAAGTGCGAGGGTTAGCAAGTAGCGTGGGTCTCGGACCTCATAAACCCCGACTTTCTCCTTTCCCTCTCCTTGTTCACTCAAGCAATCCAGGCGTCGGGGTACAGGCGTCGGGGTACGGGCACCTATTAGCAAGCTTTCTGCCGGTACAGGATCGATAGGATCGATAGTCTCATACCATGGCGACGCCAATCTCTGCATCTGAACCGACCGTTATCGCCAAGACCCAGCGCGTGCTGGCCTGCGTGCTGTGTCAGCAACGCAAGATCAAGTGTGATCGTACATTCCCTTGCCTCAACTGTGTACGTGCTTGCGTGCAGTGCGAGCAAGCAACTCGCCAGCGACGCCGGCGATTTTCCGAGAGAGAGCTACTAGCGCGCCTTCGACACTATGAGAGCCTGCTTCGTCAGCATAACATCAAGATCGATCCTAGCGAGACGGGGCGATATGATCTTTCAGAGAGTGCTCCGTCGGAAGGTACACTTGCTGACATGGATTCTGGCCCGCCAAGAGAAAGTCCAGCAGTCAAGTCTAAATCATTGTACGAGAATATGTTCTGTTCTTTGATGAACACGCCCACGGTGGGCATACCCGTGGACTTCTTTCTGAATGACTAATCATGTAATAGGAATATCTGGCATGCCATGAGTCAAAAGGTATTACCAACTCTGCGAGTGGTCGTGGAGATTATTGATAATGAGGAAAGACCGTAGACCCCGAGGACGATGGCAGAAAGGACGGCGAAGGCGATGAAAACGACACCGGGTTTCTGAATGACAACGATTATGTGCGCCAAGCTGTGATCAAGAAGGCATGGAACCATACTTTCCAAGGCCAAACCAACGACCACCTTTTATTCGGTTCAGTAGTAGGAAATCTCGACCTTTCATCTTTGCATCCAACCCAGGTGCATATCTTTAGGCTCTGGCAGATTTATTTGGATAACGTAAATCCTCTTCTCGGAGTAACGCATACACCGACCCTTCAAACACGTATCATCGATGCTGCGAGCGATATCGCTAATATCAATCCCACATTCGAAGCACTGATGTTCAGTATCTACTGTGTCTCCATTCTAAGTCTCACAGAAGATCAATGCAGTGTCTTGTTCGGATCTTCTAAAAAGGATCTCTTGACAGGATATCAATTTGCATGCCAGCAAGCGTTACGGGGTTCTTCTATTCTACGCTCCAGTGACCCTGAGTGCTTGACCGCATTCTATCTGTACTTAGTAGGTGTGCCCCACCGACCTCTCTGCACTCGCTGATTGTTGCAGCTGTCGATCAGACCTGACACGGACCCTGCATCTCTCTCATCACTACTTAGCGTTGCTATTCGTATTGCGAAGCGGATAGGTATTGACAATGAGTCGATGTACGGGAAATGTTCCCCTCTAGAGGCGGAGATGCGTCGAAGACTGTGGTGGTCGCTCATTATCTTCGATACTCGCATCTGTGAAATGTCCGATTATAAGACCGTGTCGCTGGCTCCTACCTGGGACTGCATCATTCCCCTCAATATTAATGATTTTGAGCTTCAGCCAGAGATGAAAACCCCACCCACAACAAACAGTAGACCAACAGAGATGGTCTTTGCCGTTGTGCGTAGTGAGCTCGCCGACTTTGTCCGTCACAGCACCTTCCACCTCGATTTCACCAATCCGTTTTTGAACACGACCAACCTCCCACACACCAGAGGAGACGAGGCAGAGCGGCTTGTGGAGCTGGAGAAGGCGATCGAGGATAGATACTTTGCATTCTACAATCCAGAGAACCCATTGCAATTCATGACGATCTGGACGATGCGCGGTTACCTAGCTAAGAATCGTCTCCTACAACACTACTCCCGATACTCGACGGTCTCTGTGAAGCAGACAGATGCACAGCGTAAAGTTGGAATTTTTCACGCGCTGCGCATGCTGGAGTGTGACACTAAACTTATGACGTCGCCTCTCACCAAAGGATACCTGTGGCTTGTTGAATTCCACTTCCCATTCCCCGCGTACATTCACATCCTGCAAGCTTTGAAGAAGAGGCCTGCCGAGGAGTATGCGGACCAGGCGTGGGAGGTCATGAGCAACAACTACGAGGTCCGCATCATGGATGCCAAGGAGAACGGCCGCCCCTTTTTTATCGTCTTTTCTCGTATTGTTTTTCAGGCTTGGGAGGCGCGTGAACGGGTAGCCAGCCAACAGGATACGCCTTTGGCGCCACCGCGGATTGTGTCGGACATCCGGAACAAACTAAGGCAGATAATGTCGAATTTCGGGCATGCTACCGAGACACTGCAGCCTGATGGTGTGTTTGGCGCCAATTCAGATAATACGGCAATACATATGCAGGTGGATTTCGATGTACTCGAGAGGGCATATGGTGCTGGAGGAGAGGACTTTATGAGTTTTGGACCGTGGAGATATCCTGAAATGTCTGAGCCGAGCTCTCTGGGTGTGGCTACGAATCACTTTCTTTTGGACACGATGGACTGGGATAAATTGGTTTGAAATACCACTGGATAGCACATGTAAATATGTAGCCAGGATCGGACTTTGATCAAGTCTAAAACCTCATGTAACACGTTATATCTACGCTCTCACCCTGGCACAGGCTAGAAATCAGGCAGAAGCTAAAATATCTCACACTGAATCACCTAGGCACCTGATGGGAGTGGAGATTTCCGCTGGGAATCTCTGGCCCTATAGGTTTCTTTGTTCAAGGTGAATTTCAAAAGACAAAAGGTTTCGCATTGCAAACCCATTTCCCTTAGTTCATTGATCCAGCTGAAACTTATTACCGCGAGGCTCATTGGCCGCCAAGGCAGCGCTATAGGGCGCTCTCTTTGTTGCTATTCTCATTAAATACGCATATTCCATGTAGTCTTCAAGACAATGAATCTTGACTGCTATTCTAGAAGAATCATAGTATATATGGCTGTTCAGGCCCCTCAAAATCATGTTGAATGAAGCTTCACTGTGCTTCATTCAAGCGATCTCCAGTAGTTTTTCTATCTGGTTCTCCCCCAAGAAGACAATACGATGGTAATGTTCATATTATCATCTCATCACCCACTCGGGGAAGATGGGCTTTGTTCGCCTTCCCTACGAGGATCAACCGATGCGAATTTTTTCGGTGTGCCGAGCTGGTTGTTCTATCTACTGTACACCCTTGGACCAACGATCCTATTTAACATATATGCGCAATGGAGATACCTATGCCTACGAAAGGAACAAGTGAAAGTGAGACCAAATTACCGAGGGCTTTTTAAACTGGTAAGTTGAGTTTCTTTTACCTCTTACCTTTCTCAAGCTGCCGATGGCTAGGTCTAACACGAGTGGTAGATAACTACATTCACCCTGGTCCTGCTACAACTGATAATTTTGACATTAGAAGTTCGAGCTGGGTCTAATGCAGTGTATATCTGGAGGGCTGCCGGTGCCTTTATGGGATCCCTGATGATTCCATACCTCTCGTTCCTGAGACACAGCAGGACGATAAACCCATTTGACTCATTAAACATGCTTTTAATTACTTCGGTTTGCGTTGACCTTGCACAAGCAACCGCGTTGCACCTAACAACTGAACGCGCATGTCTGCCTTCCCCTTTCAATGTCACCTTGCTGGTTGTGAAAGTGGTACTCCTGCTTTTGGAATTGAAAAGTAAAAATTTAATTCTCCGTGAGCCCTGGCGGGACATTTCAGTGGAAGAAACAGAAAGCTTTTTCAACCAGACTTTCTACTGGTCGACAAATCCAACACTGCGAACTGTTAATGACCTTCTACCGCTCCCCAAACGAATCTCGTCTGATATTCTCAAAGAGAAGATGAAGTGTTATTGGGAAAACCGATGTAAGTGGTACGATATTCGACACGAGACTTCCAGCAGACTCTTTAACATAGTTGGCAGCGAATCCAGAGGGAAGACATGCCCTAGTGCTAGCAACATTGAAATGCACATTACGTGAGAACTTTTGTGTTATACCGTATACGTTGGGTGCAATATGTCTTCGCTACGCACAGCCCGCGATAATGTCGCGCTTAATCCGCTACGTCAACGATGCCCCGACTGGCGACAAAGCGCAGATTCAAGGCTTCAAATTGCTTTCTGCAACGATTTTAATTTACATAGGATCAGCTGTCAGTAAGCCCTGTCCAGCCAGTGACGAATAATAACCTAAAAGAGTTTAGATTTTGAATGGTCGCCGAGATGCTGCCAAGCGACGGGTGATGATTGCGGTCAAGGGTTCACTGACCGGCATTCTTCACGAGAAGATCTTACAATGCAGTGACAATAGCCATTCTGCTATTGCAACAATACGAAACGACGTGGAAGATGTTCAGATGGTCATGGGGTGGGCTCATGTTATATGGTCCTCACTCCTTTCATTATCCCTGGGTTCATATCTGCTTACATCGAGACTGGGTTGGGCGGGCGTAGTTCCGATAATCTTGGTATTGTGTAAGTGAAAAAGTTCTCACCCATTCTGATTGTTGCTGACATTTACATATGTTACTCCAGTGACTTGTCAAAGTGGAAAATACGCCTCGAAGCATTTTGTCGGGAAACATAGAGCGTGGGATGATGCGACCCAGGATCGAGTCAGTCTCATCAGAACAATACTAGAGCATCTTAAAACAATCAAAATGATGGGCTATTCGCATGCAATGGAGTCCAAAGTCCAAGCTTCGCGTGACACTGAACTGAAAGCAGGCTTGGTCACGGCCTGGCTCGACGTTATCATGGCAGCCAGCGGTAAGACAAGAATTGTCCCTGATCATCCTCTTGATAGCTAACAAAGATGGATTTGCAGGAAGTTTCTTGAACGTTGTTAGTCCTTCTATCACACTTGGACTCTATACCGTTTTCGCCAAACTGACCGGAAGGTTCGCCCTTGATGCGGATCTCATTTTCACATCTTTTGCCCTGATCCAAATGGTCACCCTACCAGCAACTTCAATCATACTCATTCTTCCAGAGTTTATCACAGTCGCAGCGGGATTTCATAGGATACAAAAGTTCCTCCTTCAGCCCGACCACCAAGACAGCCGCAAACTTCCTGAAGGCCAGATTGAACACTTCCTCGCCTACATCTACACAGGCCAGGATCAATATCGCGATATTACGGTGGGGCCTCTGGACTCTGATGATGGCCACGCCATCGCGGTGAACTTTGCAACAGTCCTAGGTGATACCGGAGATCAGCCAGTGCTGAAGAACATTAGTCTGAAAATTGAAACTGGTTGGCTTGTGCTTGTTGCTGGCGTTCCTGGATCGGGGAAGACGGCTCTTGTCAGAACAATTTTGGGAGAGCTAAAGCTTCTAAGCGGATCTGTATCAACTTTTCCTGTTAACATGGCTTTCTGTGCCCAATCTTCGTGGCTGAGAAATGGGACGGTTAGAGATATCATAGCAGGACCCCCGGGATGCAGGGTGACGGACGAACAGTGGTACCAGAAAGTTCTTCATGCCTGTGACTTAGATTTTGATCTGCTTCAACTCCCAAATGGAGATAATACTCTGGTAGGAGATGGCGGTATCTCTCTTTCTGAGGGTCAGAGGCAACGATTGGTAAGCTTTTGAATCCGATGCGAAGTAACATCAACTAATCCCAAGAAGGCACTGGCTCGAGCGGTATATTCACAACTAGATATTCTGGTCCTAGACGATGTTCTTAGCGCTCTTGATGGACGGGCTGCACATCGCGTGACCCAACGGCTATTGGGCCCGGTTGGCCTGCTCCGTGAACTCAACAAGACAGTGGTTTTGACTACCAATTCAAGTGAGTAAACTCTTGACAAATCTAAACTCTCCTAGGGACTGACTAATACCTTTAATCTAGCGGATCTCCTTCAATACTCAAATTTGATCGTCATTCTCAACCCCGATGGGTCTATTTGTGAGCAAGGGACTTGGGATGAACCCAAAATCCAGGCATGGTACAGCGAATTGGATGTCCCAAAAGTAATATTACCACCTGGGTTTGAACAAGGCAAGCATGTCCAACAGATCAACATCCCCAGCCCGGTTTTCTCGACTCTCGAACCATCAGTGGAATCGTTACGAAAACCCGCAGACAGTATCATCTACGCACACTACATCGGCGCGATTGGAAGATACCGATTCCTGGTTCCTATAATTATCTTTATCTCCTCCGCAGCTTTTGCCATGCTAATTCAGGGCTGGCTTCGACTGTGGGCAGAAGATGATGACACTGGAAAGCGAGTAGCCTTGTATCCCGGTGTTTATTTTGCATTGGCACTTTGGCACTGGGTCTTATTGACAGGAATAGGCACTATTGAATTCCTTGTTGTGCCAACCTCTGGTCGCAGACTGCACGATCAACTGCTTACAACAGTCATAAACGCTCCCTTGTTTTTCATCACATCCACCGGTATCGAGACGACACTGTCGGGATTTAATCAGGATATGAAGCAAATTGATCGTAAGCTTCCCCGTGAGATTGCTGCTCTAGGAAGTCAGGCATTCAAGCTTCTGGCTCAAATTATTTTGCTGTGCTTGTCACAGGCATACAATATCCTCGTATTCCCCGTTCTTGCGATATTTGTCTACTTCATTCAACGGAAGTACCTTGCGGCTAGTCGGCAAATAAGAGGAATTTCCGCAGAAGTGAACTCACTCCCAAACAGCTTTGTGGAAACCTTTGAGGGAATAACTACAATCCGTGCTTTCGGTTGGCAAAATGCACATGCTCTCGGTAATAGCAGAGCACTAGATGCCTCACAAGCACCATCATATACACTGAATGCTCTTGAACAATCGGTCACATTGGTGGTGGATTTGGTCGTTGCCTGCATAGCGCTAGCCAATGTTGCCTTCATCGTCGCGTCCACGGGGACTATGACAGCTGGTGATATCGGCATCAGTATGAACGTGATAATGATGCTCAATATGATTTTTATGAGTACAGTTCAGTCATGGGCGAACTTCGATACATCGCTCAGCGTCATTTGCCGCATCAGAAATTTTGCAACGACGGTAGCCCCTGAATCCCAACCCAAAAATGAGCGTGTGATCCATAAGTCATGGCCTCACAGTGGCGAAATAAGTCTGAGGGACGTTTTTTCCGACTACGCTAGCACGGGAGAACAAATATCTGCATCGGACCACGCCCTCAATGGTGTCTCTTTCAAGGTAAAATCTGGCCGCAAAATTGGCGTTTGCGGACCAACTGGCAGTGGCAAGTCATCTTTGCTCCTTAGCTTCATGCGCATGATTGATCTAGCCGAGGGAATGATTAAGATTGACGGCGTGGATTTGAGCTCAATCTCCCGGGATTTGGTACGATCTCGGATAATCACAATCCCACAGGATACATTCATCATCTCAAGTGATTCTGTTCGGGGGAACCTGGATGTTTTGGGAACTTCCACGGACAAGAAGATTATTGCAACACTGAGGAAAGTCCGCCTGTGGTCCAGCTTACAATCTAGAGCTATAGACACTGGACTCTCGCCAACATTTTATCTCGACGTACCGATGAAAGCCTGGCCATTATCGCTAGGTCAGTTGCAGCTTCTCTCGCTTGCCCGCGCTATTTTGCTTCGCTCTTCTCGCGGTAGGATTGTTCTAGTCGAGGAATCCACCAGTACTATTGACTCGGAGACTAGCGGACTCATTCAACAAGTGATCCGTGAGCAGTTCCAGGGCTATACAATTATCACGGTGGCCCATCGACTGGAGACTATCAAGAATAGTGATTCGATCATTGTGATGGACAAAGGGCGGATTGTCGAAGTCGGGTCATTCGATGCCTTGCGACAAAATGAGGGTGCTTTTAGATTTCTCTTAGATCCAAGTGCTCTGTAGCATTACCAGATCCGCGAGTACCGTAGGTTCAGCTTGAGCACTCACGGCATCGAAATCTCCACACCTAGTGTACATTGTCTTGATTCACGCGACCTAGTATGGTATTTTAGAACTACAAGTGTGTCAGCTCGGATTCTGCCTGTAGTATAGTTTGTAATATAAGTATTTTATCTATCTGAATGCACTAATATTGCGCCAATTCTCTACGTTTAATCTTAGGCCTAATTCTCAATAGTCCACCTTCCTATACTTTCAACACAGCATAGTTGGGCTGGATGCTTAGCCCCGTAGGCTTCGATCATAGCTTTACTGAAATTTCTCTGCTGACTTGTGTCTCGATTTCTGGCGTTTGTGTGCTTGATGGTCATACCCACACTCATGGTGCAGGTGGTGACGAGTTTCATCGATAACGCTCTCTTCTCCAACTCGTCAACGTTGTGTTAGCAAATATTTCAGATCTGCTGGGATCGAATTATATTCTCGGTGTTTGTCGCGTGGATCCAGAACCTCAGGTCAACAGAACTGTGTTTTTGCCTTATTTGGGACCGTAGCTTTTTCCTTGTTTTGACCTACATCTACCTAGGTAGGTATCTCGAAGCCCCCGGGCCATTATGAAGGATGCCTCATATAATATCAAGAAAAATGGTGATATTAGCACTCATATATTGGGGGACTGCTACTTATCGGAATAGACCAATCCTCATTTTAATCTATGTAACATGTTAATAAAATATGCCGCATCCCGTTGAGACTAGGACAAATAGCGTAGTAAATATCCCAAAGCCTATGCAGGCTATGCAAATACTAGACAATCTTGACATATATGATCTAGGACCTGACTTACCCGTGTCTCATTTCCAACTGCGTTTGGCGTTCGTCAACGCCCCACTGAAACTTCTATTCTTCACATCTTCCCTCCTTCACCTTTTCACTTTTTTCACTTTTTCATTATATCAAAATGTCCATGTCTTCATCATCTGATGTTGAGATAATTTCCTGGATTCTCAAACCACACTCTATTTGAGTCAAAATGCTGGCCCCAGAGATCGCCAATTTGGTCCAGTTCTTCTATCCCCTCAGCAACACACCTGCTATCTCCTTAACTCAAGATCTGCCATTGAAGAAAAAAAGCTAATCTGCTGCTTCTTGGTTGTGGGGATGTTCGCCATATTCTCTTCACTATACACACGGAACAGCAGGCTCGCGACCCGCGTTCTTTAGATGCCACATGTTGTGATGTAGACACCGCTGTGATTGGTATGACGACTGATCCACATTTTTCAAGTTCTAGAAGGTAGCTAATCTGGGAAACTCCCTACAGCTCGCAATATCGTATTGTTGTCGCTAGTGCTAGATGATGTTGATGGCACCAACGAACAATTGATCTGGAATTTATTCTATCATTTTCGCATCGATGAAGGTTCCCTCGATTTATTGCAAACCCATATACCCAAGCTTTTGTCCCTGTCGACCTCGCTGCAAGCATGGCAAGAGAGTCAGTATGGCCGAGTAATCAGGATTTGCGATCGTGTTTCCCTCGAACGGGTACGCGATATGTGGCGCTTCTATGGAGAAAAGAGAGAAGGTGATGTTCTTCGTCACTTTAAGAAGAAACTCGATGATGGAATGAGAATTTCTCAAGAGTATCAAAAGTCTGTGCTCGGTGAGACGGTAAATGTGATAACCGGAATCCGAGCTGCTGCGCCTGCGTGCTTGGAAACCACCCGTGATCTCAGTGATTTGTACAAGAACTACTGGGGTTTCGGTGACCGAGACTGATGACACAATTTGGTCCCTCGCCGCCAATTCCAACCCCATGTTTGCGCCCAAGGATGAAAACATGTTTTTGCACTACGGGACTGACCCGGTGCTTGAATTCCATATAGGCTCTTGCTATGCTCCAATTGAGTCAAGATTGCCTAACTCGCGCTCTTCTTCCAAGAAACCTGAGCTTCATGAAATTGTTAAAACCGTCAAGACAGAGTTCGGCGCCTGGACGAAGTCGTTCAGAGGGCATTCCAGGGCCAACTTGATCACACTACGGTTCTTTGTAGGAGATGCGGTGGCTTTTTCTTACGCCCTCCAACACATGCGCGCCATTGGTTCCTCAAAGTATTCCCATTGGTACCGCGATCGCTATCATTTGATGCCGCTGGTCTTGGATGACGAACACTATTTGGACGCCTCAGCACCACTTGTGTTTGATATTATTGACACATCTAACCTTATTGATCATCTCGGGGCCTTGAATTTGCTCACTGCCACTCCACCGCTTCTTCGCAATACCTTATCGGCCACACTTTATTCAGAAAAGCTTGTGCGGACCCAGGAAACTCAGGTATTTCTTCTTGAATCTCTTCTGTGTGGAGAAGTGACAACGGTCACCTCGCTTCTCGGCTTGGTGCCTGTGGAAGTGGCCACAAACACTGCCTTCTCTTCTGCGGGAGATGAAGCATTATGTCAAGACACGTCAGGATCCTCATCCGAAGCTGGACAATTGTTCGCGCGAATTGCATGGAAGAGGCCATTGAATCCAACTGACATGCCTGTCAAAACACTGGGCCTCATTCACTTTGATTCCGTCGGCCTAGCACATGTTCTCCAGCGTACTTTCTTGAAAATGTTTGCCGATGAGGATCTTTCGAAGCTACTTGCCAGAATTAAAAGCACACGAATGCTATCTCTACCAACTTACAACCGGGCGAGTTTTGTCGCTTTTCTTTGTCTTGTCAAGACACGCACCAGCACTGACTGGAACAAGGCAATGGAAAAATTGCTTAGTCTCATGGATCAGGACACCAGTCTTGCATTTGCCAATACCTATGTGCAAGAGCTGAATTTCTGGATCTATATGAAAGGTCTTTACCCAGTCGATATTTTAAAAGGCTCACCAAACAGCTTGACTACCCATGCCCAAGCCGAGACCCTGCAGGGCTGGCCGAACATGCCATTTATGGTCAGTGTTACCCTTCAGATGCCTCGAAGCAAGCTAGATCCCTTTATTGCCGAAACCATGAAAGTTGGTTTTACACCTCCGCTCCATGCTATCTTACAATCTTCATCTCAAGCAGCCAATTAGTGGCAAAACATGTTTGCAGAACCTCAGATTGGATTTGGTAGCCTTCAAACCAAAGGATCTAGGTACAGCGATTCATTCCAGGTGGAAATTTGTGAAGACCAGTTGGGATGGAAGGGAACGTCACCAATGTTTCTTTCTTTCTATGTACCAAGCTAGATTTTACTTCAAGACCCACATACTGCCACTGTCTCCTTGGCTATTCCGCACTCTCCTACAACAATCAGGATATTTTCCCGTATGGGCATCTTCATCACTGCAAACCAACAGGATGTTGAACATGTCTATATTACCAAGAACCAGTCACATCAGAGCGATGTTATGTCCATCTGTGGCTTTAATCCAGGGGACGTCGAGAACGAAGTTGATCCTGATAGGAACTCAGAAACAACGATCACCGCCACCGTCAACGAGAAAACTGGCCAAATTTCATCATTCACAAGTCATGTTCAAATTCTATCAGGGCAATCAAAAGTTCTACTTAAGGATGGCAGCGCGGTCAAGCGATCCTTACAATCCCCGTTCAACTATGTTTTGTCTCTTGAAAAGGGGTCAGGCTTCAAATTCGACTTCCCTGTTCCTGTTTTGGACTCTACCGTAAGAGTGAGAATTACTCGCAAGTCATGTTACCTTGAGCTCATCGCAGACGTTGCCAAGTCCACCGACTGGTCAAGCTTGCCATCCTTTATGTATCCCGTGTTCTTGGATTCGGGATTACCCACTCCGTGGAATATGCCGCAGGTCAATCTCCCATCGCTCCCTGCCATAAACTTTAGCAATCCTTCCTCTGAGCGACTAAGATGGCTACGAGCGCATCTCCCGACGATGTGGTCCGCACAAGAGAGTGCCCTCAAGTCCAACCCATCTTTGTCGGTTTCACCGAATATTCGGGCCAGAGTGGACTTCGAGGACAGTTTATTCCACATTTTCCTAGGCTTCAGTGGCATATCCGGGCCTCAGGCCTCCGTCTACGGTATCGAATGCCCCGAAGAAAAAGGTGTGCAAATGCTGGTTTTCGTATCGAAGATGTTAATGGATATTCCGAATCGCACTGTTGTTCTTGACGCTGCAGTCCTTCCTCTTTACATCGATCTCATGCCGAAAATCTTGCCTGCGCTGGAATCGATGTCGCGCAGCAGCCATTCTCCCACATCCATTCGCACCTCCAAAGACGATCTTTATCTTTGGAAGGAAGCTGTCCCTGCCTGGACCGAGCGATGCCGATCTTGGCCTCACAAGCCCAGCTGCGAGTACATTAGGACAGAAAATATTCCACTCTCAATCAAATTTGGCGAAAGGGTTCTGTGCTCATGTGGGGAGGGGACAGTACCCATTAATTTCATGCCGAAGTTCCCTGGGTGGAAAGATCTTGCCAAGCACTGTGTACGGATGGCGATCTCTCCAGCTTTCGCGTCAGTGCTTGTTGACAAGCCCGTTGATATGTCTGCAATTCTATCCGCTAGCCATGCAAGTGGCGAAGATTCGAATAGCTGCCAGGTTTGTGGTAAGGACAAGCAAGCCGATGGTTCAGGTTTGCTGGCTTGCTCACGTTGTCATAAAGCAAATTACTGCTCGAGAGACTGTCAAAAGGCTGATTGGAAGAAGCATAAGAAGAGCTGCAAAGCGGATGGAAACTGAGGTGGATGCAATAGTTTCTGAAATAATGGAATGGCCATACAATTTCACTTATTATTTTTCTCTGGTAGACATGTAAAATTTGATATCTGCACTGGCTCAGCTATATTATTATGAAAAGATGCAACAAATAATGTATACGTAGTCGTAGGGACTGACTACCTGTGAGCGTTCGCCCGAAGTCATCCATCTGGTGGAAATGTTGATAAGGATATATGTATTCTTATCGGCTTATCGATAAGGTGAAATTTTCAGGTTTGAGCTCTGGTCCCGGTCAACATTCTTTCGCGCCACATCTCAAAATGCCGGAAAAGGTCCGTACCGTGTTCGAGGACTCAGGCGATGAGAAGCTTGTCAAGCTGAAACTCTCGCCTCAACCCACGGAAGAGCCCGAGCGCAAGAAAAAGAGAAACAAGAAGCGCAAGCTCGATGATTCGGAAGCCTCCAAACCCGCCGATCAAGATGAACCGAGGGAAATTCCTACCCCTGCCAAGCAGGTAGAAACAACAATCTGTGTGCCAAAAAAGCGGCCAGAGATAACATCTCAAACAAATGGCCCGCCATCATCAAAATCATACCCGAAATCGAAGCCGAGACCCTTCGCCGATACCAAAACTAACTTCACACCCTTACGAGAGAAGGCCAAAGCCCTCCTCGAGACGCGGCGGAAGCTTCCCGTTTTCGAAAATGCCGATTTGATCCGCGAGCTACTCCGAAAACAAGATGTGATGCTGTTGGTCGGTGAGACGGGTAGCGGAAAAAGTACGCAGATCCCGCAGTTCCTGGTAGACGAATTCTGGTGTCGGCCTGTACCTACGCAAATCACACGGGACGGAAAGACAGAAAATAAAATGGTCGGAGGATGCATCGCTATCACTCAGCCGCGACGAGTCGCTGCCATTTCGCTGGCCCGCCGTGTAGCCGAGGAGATGGGTACACCGCTTGGATCCCACTCGCCTGCTAGCAAGGTTGGCTACTCCGTGCGATTTGATACGTCTACATCGCCCAGTACGCGGGTCAAATTTTTGACTGAGGGAATGCTGCTCCAGGAAATGTTGCACGACCCGAACTTGACCAAGTACAGCGCTATTGTTGTCGATGAAGTCCACGAACGGGGTATCAATGTTGATTTGACACTTGGATTCCTGCGTAATCTTGTATCCGGCAAGAAAGAAGGCCGTGGTGGTGTGCCGCTCAAGGTGATTGTCATGAGTGCTACGGCTGATATGGAGAGTCTAACGGACTTCTTCCAACAAGGATTCAAACATTCGGAGCCAACCCAGAAGGCCATCGAAGGAGCCGATGCTGAAGCTGATAAAATGGATACTTCCACTCCGAAGGACATCTCTGTCTGCCACATTAAGGGTCGACAATTCGCGGTCAAAACTATTTACTCGCCCGCACCAGTCCATGACTTCGTGGATGCAGCGCTCAAAATTATCTTCCAGATTCACCAGAAGGAACCTATGCCAGGTGATATCCTGGTCTTCCTGACTGGTCAGGAAACTGTCGAGGCCTTGGAACACCTAGTGAATGAATACGCTATGGGCATGGACCCATCCCTTCCTAAAATTCTGGTTCTACCTCTGTTCGCCGCTCTGCCACAAGCTGCCCAGCAACGGGTCTTCGCTCCTGCTCCGCCACGGACGCGCAAAATCGTACTATCCACCAATATTGCTGAGACCTCAGTCACTGTTTCTGGTGTACGGCACGTGATTGACTGTGGCAAGGCAAAGGTCAAGCAATTCCGCACCCGCCTTGGTCTAGACTCACTCCTCGTGAAGCCTATCTCCAAGTCAGCCGCGATCCAGCGAAAGGGTCGAGCTGGTCGTGAGGCCCCTGGTCAATGTTTCCGGCTATACACAGAAAAAGACTATCTAGGCTTCGATGATACAAATACGCCCGAAATTCTGCGCTGTGATCTGAGTCAAGCTCTTCTGAACATGAAGGCGCGTGGTGTTGATGATATTGTCGGATTCCCATTCCTGACCCGGCCACCACGTGAAGCACTTGAGAAAGCTCTTCTACAGTTATTGAACATTAATGCCCTTGAGGATGATGGAAAAATCAGCCCCGTTGGCCTACATATCGCCAAGCTACCCTTGACTCCAACTCTTGGACGTGTGCTATTGGCAGCTGCCGAGAACGGCCCTGAATGTTTGCTAGACGTCATTGATATTATCTCATGTCTGAGCGTGGAAAACATTTTCCTAAACACCACCTCAGAAGAGAAGAAGGAGGCAGCAGAGGCAGCCCGTCGCGATTTATACCGACGCGAGGGTGACCACCTCACAATGCTGACAACTGTACGTGTGTATGCTGCTGAACACTCCGACCGGAAGGCATGGGCAGAGCGACACCTAGTATCCCACCGCGCGATGCAATCAGTCATGGTGAGTAGTATATAATTTCTTGACGCCAGTCTTCTAAAAACTAACCAAACACACCAGGACGTCCGCAAACAACTCCGCACCCAATGCCGACAAGCCAAGCTGCTCACCAGCGAGGCCTTGAATAATACCTCATTACATGACCCCTCGCCCATCCTCATTCTCCAGAGTTTCCTCGCTGGATTCGCGACCAATACAGCTCGTCTCGTGCCCGACGGCAGCTATCGTACGATCGTCGGCAACCAAACAGTCGCCATCCACCCTTCAAGTGTGCTTTACGGCAAGAAACTTGAGGCGATCATGTACAATGAATTCGTGTTCACGAACCGCAGTTACGCACGTGGCGTCAGTGCTGTGCAGATGGATTGGGTAGGAGAGGCTTTGGCTGGAAAGGATTGATCATCGGCGCGAGATGCTATATTATAGTAGACTAATATATACCCCGTGAGCGATGATGCCTGTAAACTTGGCGTCTTTCACTTCTTTATCTGTCTCTCTGTCTGTTGAAGTCCAAAACCAAGATGTTCACGGTATATATATATCGACACCTTAGAACTCAGGTAGTTGGGTCAGGATGATCGAGGAAGTGGGAGAAGATGGACACATTCAAAGCAACGAGAGAGCTGTCCTTGTGTACTTTGTAGGGGTTGAGAAGTGCCGGGTTAGGTGGTTTGACTATCATCTTCCCAACGTCGCTTCCAGTCACGTCAAGTTTACCTTTTGATGGATCTACGGATTTACAACCTTGCAACCGCGCTGAAAATTACTCTACTTAGGCGTCAGACATCGCGAATAAGACAATCGATCACTAATTTTGCTTCAGCAAAGTCACCGATTCAACTGGATTCTAAGCCAATCTCCATATGCAGGCTATACTGAGTGATCCGCCTTCGGGCTTGACCCAAATGTGTCTCTCATCTGTCTGAACCTCGTGCAGGGGTAAGGGTAATTAGTATAAAAGCGACTGCCCGCCAACATGGTCGTCTTGGCGATATCAAAGTACGGTGTGGTGGTTAGGCGTGAACAGTAAAATGGGGCTGGGAAATTCACACGTCACAGTGTCGATCCCGGTGACCATCTGTCAGCTGATGATTTAACGTTATGGCTTCACTATTTGCCTCATAAACAGGCTAATAGTCGGATATGGAAGTAAACGACTTGAAAAGTGGTCTCACACCATTCCGATACCGGTTGCATCATTGGAGGATCATTTGAGGATCCTTTTCGGCCTCCGGTCGTATTTCCGCTTATCAGCTAATCTCTCTCCATCACTCCACCTGGCAGCTCATCACTACATGGGTAGACTTGTTTCTTTCTTTTTGGCCTTGGGGTCTTTCTATTAGTCCAGATATATTTCTCCTCCTTACAACAGTCTGTTTTATATGCTTTAATTCCCATACCCCTCACTTGATGGTCTTTACTCTCCTGTGATATCTGGACCCGCCATCAAACCCGCTTATCTGTCTCACTATCTGTCTCACTATCTGCTTTGGCTACTAGATCAGCAAGATGGCCTTCCAGGCCCCAACGCATGTCCCTCACCGCAGAACTTCCTATCCAACTCCACAGCTACCTACTCTCGATATCCCCTCCACCTCGCCGGAACAACGCGATGACGACACCGCACAATGGGTCCTGTTCTCTCCGACCGCTCGCACACACACAACCTCAACCGATCATACGCGCACTGTAGGTGCCTCTCGACTGAGCGACTTCGGCTCATTCGCTGCAACCCAATCTGGCGTTGAGGGCGAAGCCGATGACGAGAATGCTCTTGACGACCAACTGGACGAAGATGGGACCGAACTGGACAGCCTTGACGATGGACTACATGCCTTTCGAGCACCAGACCTAGCTCCGCCTTCTTCAGTACGGGTCGATCAGGGGCCTCCAGCGATGCTTCCGGCCCATGATGGATTAGGCAGTTTTCAGGTCTCGAGCCAGGAAGTCCAGGATCAGCTATGGCAGCATGAGAAATACAATCCCCAGCGGCTCTCATATGGCAGTCTCCAACATCGCCGCTACTCAAGTGTGCAGAGACATCTGGATACCGTCGAGGAGGGCGAGGCAAATGTCGAGCGAGAGCGGTGGCAGCGAATCGAAGAATGGCGCATGGACCAGAGCCGGGCTCTGTTACAGGAAATCGAGCGGGAAACCCGACAGAGACGGACTAGTCTGACCAGCCGATCGGGTCTTCATCGCTCGATTGATCACAGCCGCCAATCCCGTGTATCTGAGGCGCTATCACGGGATCTATCCATGTCGAAAGATGCCACGGAGGACGAAGAGTCTTTCTGGCGCCGCATTACACGAACGGTAATCCGTGACCTGATCGGGATTGATGATTCCTTGCTCTCCGTGATCCTCGGTGAGTCGTTGCCGCTGGACGCGCAACCCCACACCCAGGAAGATCCACTGGACATGGAAACTGTACTGGCTCGTGAACCAGAGCCAGAGTATAGTGATTCACCGCTGTGGCAGTCAAAGGTGCTTAAAACGATCGCCCATGAGCTGGGAATCCTAGTCCATCAGCTTTGTGATCACCCCGGGGCATTTACGACATATTATCAAATGACTAAAGATATATCCTCCGAATATGCGGGAATGTCTCTCAACCGCCTGGCGGAAAGCAGCATCTCTCAGAAACCCGCCGAGTCCACTGCACCCACCACCGCTGATACAACTGGCGAGTCCATGTTATCCCCGCACTTCATGCCCACTCTTCGAGACTCAAATCGAGAGCACGAAGCACAATGGGGCATTGAAGACGACGATCCCAAGCGATCCGACCAACTCCCCGAATCAACAAAACTCCAACATGAATCCGAGTACTGGGAAAGTGGCCTTGATGTAATGATTGTCTTCCGCTACCTCCGCACCCGCTTCAGTCGCCGAGGTTACATGCCTAACGAAACATACACCCCACCCCCACCCCGCCGAACCCAAGATGCATCCCGCCGAGCAGCCATCATCCGGCAACATCACCCACTTGTAGCGCGAGCCCACTCCCGATCACAAACCCAGACCCGCCGTGCCGCACAATTCTCCGGTGTGTCAAACCCAGCGGGTGTCTCCTCGCCACTCCTACGACCGCATCCCCGGCGACCTGGCTCTAGTTGCGCGAGCCAGAGCGCCAAGCTCTCGGCTATTTCCAGCCGGCGGACGATGACAAGTTCTAGCCGGAATTACTGGGATATCGGCGGCAGTGAAAGCAACAGCGCCATTGGTATTGGAGCTGGGCTGGGCAATTGGGGTGAGGTGTGAACATTTGCATCCGTGCAGAGCATATAATGCATCCATCGGGGTCAGTATATCACAATGCCATTTTGGGGTATTGCTGGCTATATATGCGCGCATACTGTTTCACAATCATTTAACGAACGAGCGATGTCTGGTTTCATTGGCTTCTTGTTTATACCTGTGCTTTATGGTGTTGTGGGGATTCGTTATTATCGGTCTCTTCTCATATATTGAAACTCACATACGGCATATAATCTTGTCATCAACATATACATTTTGGATAGAGGCCTACTGGTGGTATAAATATGTCATGTTTTGAACATTCACTGCCAGAAACTACTCGAATCTCCATCGTTACCCAGTTTTCTGCCCTCGTGGAGGGTACAAAACAGGCCATCCGATAACCCTGCTTGTATAGAATATTGACGCATTTCGATAGACCATCCCTGTTAACACACTGCCGATATCATAGATACCTGACTTCTCCGTCCAGGTATCATCTAAGACCGGTTTCGAACCCTCGGAGTAAAGTGATTTCCCCACCGGCCCTCAAGATCGCAAATGAGCAGGCAAGAAACAGTATCAGTAGAAAAGGTGAGGTTCTCGGTACGGAGATCACGATGGAAAATGTCAAGGGAATGAAGATATATGAAGATACTTCAGTCCCAGTATAACCTGCAAAACCAACTCTTTGTGCGTCGCGAAAGAAAAAATATTCACCCAGAAGAAACGTCGCTTGGCTTCTCAAACACTAATTTCCCATCTCGCGATCTTCCAAGTAACTGAATAACGTGCGGTGATTTGGCATTCCCGGGTAAAATCTACCTTGATACTTCGACATATTCTTAACTTCGCTCTAATACTTTCCTTGAGGAAATATTTGCTACGATCAATATTGCTGGCATGGGTATCTAGGATAGATAGCAATGCAAGACATGTACCAAGTTCTTCAGATGTGTAGACAGGTTTGTCCTAGGACTTGTCGGTGAGCGAAAAGATAAGGTGAGGTATGGGGACCTGGCTTAAGAAGATATCCAAGAAAAGATACCTAGAGCAAGAACTGCTATACTTTATTTCGATAAATTACATCTCGATTTTACTAAACAATAGTTCAATCACTTTGCCGCAACACCCCAAGGCAGATCTCCATTAAAAATAGGCTGTCCCTTACTTTCAGGCACATCAACATCAAAGTCGAAACGATCCGGCACCTCGAACCCAGCCTCGAGATGATGCCTGACAAAGAGCAACGAAACACCATCCCGGAACAACCAAGCATCTTCCGTCCTGCGCTGCCATTTCTCCAGAGCAACCCTCATCTCCTCAAGAACAGCCTGGTATTCAGGATCCTTGGCAAGGTTGCGAATCTCGTTTGGATCAGCCTGGATATCATACAGCTCCTCAGCCGGACGGAAGAAATAATCCTTCAAAGGTCTAGATCCAATCATCTTCGGACTAGTATCGGCATTTCGGATCTCTTCCCATGTTAGCGAGCCATAGATATCAGCTGCAAATGGGAAATCGAGTCGCCACGCAATGTTGCGGTGGTACTTGTATCTCCGATTTCGCATCATGCGCGTGGGCCAGTAGTTGGTGACCTCATGGAATGTGTGTGAACCAAAGACCTGTCCCCAGTCTTCAAGAGAGGATGTTTCAGCGAGAACAGGGAGTATTGAACGACCGATGCGGTCTGGGTGCTCGGGGCTAGGATGTTTCGCGTAATCGAGAAGAGTGGGCAGAACATCGATGTACGAAACCATATTCGGGTTGATGATTCCGGCAGGTGACCCGGGGCATTTCACGATCAATGGCAGACTGACACCGGCATCGTACAGTGTTGTCTTGGAATTAATGAACGGCGGTCCATTGTCACTGAGGAAGATAACTAGCGTATCGTCTGCCAGACCGGATTTCTTCAATCCCTCCAGTACCATACCGACGCCTTGATCGAGCCGGGAGATAGATTTATAATATTCCGCGAATTCATAGCGCACACCGGGCAGGTCGTTGACAAACGGCGGAACTTCCACATCCTCGGGCGAGTAATCAATCTTCTTCACGCGGGAGTCGTATTCGCCGTCATTCCCAAACCCGGAACGAGTCCAGTCCCGATGAGGATCAATAAACCCGATTGTCAAGAAAAAGGGCTTCTCATCCGCACTTGATTTTTCAAAGAAAGCAGAAGCTTGATCGGCAACAGCTGCCACGTCGCGACTGTCACTCTCCGCCCGCATATCCCAAGGGTAAACGCCCGATGGGCCGACGTGGACCTTTCCAATCAAACCAGTGGAGTAGCCGTGTTTTGAGAAGAGAGAAGGTGCAGTTTCGACATGGTCAAAAGTTGTAAAGTGGTGTCGGTTATTGTGTAGCCCATATTGTCCATTCTGGTGAGTGTGTAGGCCAGTATAGATGACGGAGCGACTAGCGCTGCAAGAAGCAGTCGACGTGAAAGCTTGGTCGAATTTTGTTCCCTCGGAGGCTAGCTGGTCCAAATTTGGGGTTTGGATCTTAGTGTTTCCGTAGCAGCCCAATTGTTTACCTAGATCGTCCGCGATCATGAGCAGGATATTGCGTTTAGCCATGATTGTGAAGGTCAAGGAGGTCTCTTCAATTGAGAAGTGTTAGGCTATTTTTTTTTTTTTGAAACTTGCGATTGGGATCCCCGCGATATTATTTAGCTTGTGATAAAGCGGATGTCGGCTTTGCTGGATGAGATGAGCTGTTGCGCGGATATCGGCTGGATGTCGCGTACAAATTGACCCGATTTAGGTCCACTATATGTCCACTATATGCTTGCGCCATACTGCGAGGTTATTTCGCGATGGGCTGTATAATGCCTTGGACTTGAATACAGATAAGATAGAAATGTAATAACATAATCCCTGGCAGAGACTGAGACCTGATCATCTGACTCTGATTTGCTAGAATACTCGAGTGTAGGGGTAAGCGGCCTGAGTAAGCTACATGAAATGCGACATGCTAATCCTACCACGTGCGATCAAAAAAAGACTGGCGCAGTCGACATGATCGTTCGTTCTCGCGGTCTAGATCCTATCCAAGCAAAAGGCCTTATAGTGGGGCTATTTATCTACCATTTTCTTTAGCCTATGCTCCTGGGAATAACCCTCGTACTTCGCTTTCCAGCCCAGGAATCCCCTAATCGGGCTTTAGACTACTACTAGGGCGAGGGCGATTGGATGAATTTCCTTGATCTAGAACCGTTCCCTTATCAAGCTATAGCGTCCAAGATAGTATTTAAACACGTTATGCCGCTCAGGCTGCCTTGTTCATGATCCGGCGTTCTTCATACCATGCACCTTCCAAGTTTCCTATAAAAAAGCCACCGTTATCCCATTGAAATGCATTAGCATTCTATGATAGAGCGCTGGGAATTCGACGGTGAGCCTGAATTTCTATACATGAATGTCATCGTTCAGGATGGCAACGACTACTTTTCGGCCCAGGTGCCTGAACTAGACCAGTCTGACTCAGGATTGGGGAAAAGCAGCCGAACGCACCATGTGCTCGGCGCTTGGCTTTGATGCCATACTACTGAGCTGTCAGGACTCGTTTGGCATCGCCCGCCAGGACGTTATGACTTTTGATGCCGCCTTCCTCGCGGATCCCGCCTAGGCCCCGGTGCAGACGAGCAAAGAGCAGCAGCAATATACTGTGCTGGTATCGGCGCCGGGCTCGTCGTGCTCGGCCATGCGGACAACAAGTGGATTGGGCTCAAGACGAGGGAAGCGTCTGGATAAATACCGCGTCGATAGAATGTTAGCCTCAAGGCCCATGCCGACGCCCGACGCTACGATCAAGCAGAGAAGATCGCTACCAATTTCAACAAGGAGTTGGCGACGAAGGGGTACACTGCCGCGTAAATGGATCCCATAGAGAGGACGACAGTACCGGGTTATAGGAAAATTGACGCGGACCAGACCATCAGCGATAACAAGGACGCAGCAGGGTTTAACGGGGGGATGGAGCAGTGGGTGAGGAAACATATCGCCGTGTCCAATGCCGCGAGACAATCACCAAGCCATATCCAGGCTATTTACTATTATTTATTCAAACGCAAAGCCTTTGGGAAGTCGCTCCTTTATGTAACACTGATTGGCACAATATCGCACCATGATCCGTAGTCGCAGCTTGGGTGCAGTCTGCCTAGCTTGTTTCACCCACGGGTGCTGCTCATTGGGTAAATACTTGTTCATATCGATGTACTCTTGCTCCGACAGTTGAGGCAGCCAAGCGGAGCCCGGATTAGTCCCAAGAATGTCGAGATTTCTGTCTCGAGCCGACTGCCACATGTATGCGAAGATAGTCCATTCAGCGTTTCTTTTCCATATTTCCACGGCCTTTTTGAATAGAGAACTGGTAAATGTTTCGAAAAGCGTTTGCACGACCGGTTCCTTCCCCAATGCGTGTTCCCGGTATAGTGCTTGGAATTCCCTCAACCGAGCCTCATCGTCAACATCGACCATCTGAACAGGCGCATCGCCCAGCAGCCCGAATAGACCAGAGCTCAGAGCAACCTCCCTAGTGATATGCAGAGAAACCCCTGCCATAGCTATATCCAGCATGCTGCGTTGGCCTTTCGCCCAAGGTAGGATATCGACCATTTCGCGCACGTCATCAGCTCCTTCTCCTCTGTAGTAATAGCGGATGTTCGCGATATCCGATATACCGAAATGATAAGGGTTATGGGTGCCAAGCGCATCAGCATCGCCAGCGCAATCTAACACTGCCTTCAAGCTAAAAAAGTGAATAAGACCGGCCGCGACAGAAGGCCGCATCCCAAGATCCTTCGCTTGCAATATAAACTCGTCGACCCAGCCTGGAGCGTCGGAATCAATTCCCCAGGAAGCATAGGTCAATCGCGTCCAGTTAAGATGCAGCACATCTCGATGCGGCTGCACCCATAGCGACTCCATAGTTCTCACATCAGCCGGTTCCAATAGGCGTCCTTGCTCCAATGCAACTTGCCGAGACTCGCTGTTGATATATGCAATGGCCGGCAGCTGCGCGTTTAGGAGTGTCATACGTCGGCTCCAGCAGACATGGTTGGATTCGTAGCCGTCGAAAAAGCTTTCAGGGGTATCTTCTTCTGCTATTCGATGCGGTAGACAGTGCATCCAGATCATACGGCGTAGCTCTAGAGGCAGCTTGGAAAAGTAGTGGAATGCGTCGTTGCTCATCCTGTGCGTTCATTTGTTAGCCACTATTATACGAGGTGCGAGTATCAAGAAATTAGATAGAAGACAGATCACAGTTGTCACTAGCGTGTCACATGATAACAAAGACTACCAGGTAGTCCATTAGGTGGAAAACGAAGGATGTGGTCATTCGCGAAGGTGTTTAGTCTCTTAGCTTCCACGCGATCGCTCAAATACGAGCAGAGAGCACACGCACCCGGGGCGACACGAACCCAACTATAAGCTGTAAACAAAATTCCGGATGTTGTAAAGTGGCAGAGAGTATCCACTATGGCGAGTGTGTGTAGTTTGTGTTTGAAGTCCAGAAACTGAAGTGAGGAGCAGGTGAAGAGGCGAGTGAAACGTGAAGTGCCCTCTGACCACACATACAATGGTCGCCTTGGATGCATTACCTGCTCTATTATAATTTTCTTTTTTTTCTTGCAATATGGATACAGAAGTAGACGAAATGATTTGAATAAATATTGAGCAACGCTCAAAGCTCATGGGCTCACTCTATGGTGCTTCATAATACAACGGATATATGGACGACCATCTTGAGCACTGGTCCATACAATGAGACTTCATGTCAATATGGTCTGAGGCTCAGTACATAGCCAATTGTGAATCAATAGGCTTGAGCCTCATACTTGTTTCATCTCTCCAGACCTTCCTGAGGGTCACTTCTGTTTCCTCGGAGACTAGATTTTGTGCAATCACCCAAGTATCTCGACTTACCCTTCCAAATCGATACACCCGACTTCATAATGTCGTTCAGTGTCCCTTCTACTACAATCGAATTACCAAGGAAACGATAGTAAGTTGTAACCAAGGTGACAATGTAGATAGCAATACGAAGTGATGAACTATGGTTGTGCCTGAATGGTTGCCTGCGGTTTTTTTCTTTTGCCGCCTGCGTATAAGCATTTGAAAATCCAAATAGCCCAGCGCCCCCCGTGGACGGGCGATGTCACAGTCTAGGAAAGCCCAGGGAATATCCGGTACGTATAGGTGCATGTATACTGCCATACTTTAAGTCTGATGTTAGGTGCTATAGATGAAGATAGGTTCAGACGAAAGACAATTATTATTAATTATAAAAATGCACATATCAAACTATTACCTATTTCATCAGACAATTATCTACTTCTTCGGCTCAAAAACACTCTCTGCCACTTTGCCCGCCTCTAAATCCTCCTTCGCCTGTTCAATGTCGGCTGCAAACCGGCTTGGTACAGGCTTGGCTTTGAAAGCCCAGATGCTTTGGTTATTGAAAGCTTCGTCAACCTCCTCCAGTGATTTGCCGCATGTCTCTGGGAAGAGAAGGAAGACGTGGATCGCAGCAACTGAACAGAATGTTCCGAAGAGGAAATACATCTAGAGCTAGAGTCAATGATATATTACACGTATTTAGTGAAACGTGAACATACCTTGTATTGGATATGTTGGAAGCCAGGGGGGAGAAGAATGTTAAGGCAAAATTGCAGACCCAATTGAAGAATGTCGCAAGAGAGACCGATTTGCTGCGAATATAGAGAGGGATAATCTCAGGGGGATAAGCCCTATGAACAAGGTTAGCTCTTATTAATAGAAAATAAATACTTCCACATAGTTTGACATACCATCCTAGAGGTCTTGTGAGAAAGAAAATGTTAGCTAACAATCTTCCAACATATAAGACGCAAGGTACTCACCCCCAACTAGGCGCATAGACAGCAATAAACAAGTAAGAACAGGCGATGGTTGCCTTTGACGCCCTTCCATCGGTCACCCTCCATGTAACCGTTGGAGAGCCCTTAAGACCTCCGGGGACAGCCTCGCCGTATGATTTCATGAGGGCTCCCTGGATAAACTGAAGAATGGCCATGCCAAGAGCACCTGCAATGAATAGTCGGCGGCGCGGGAGACGATCCATGAAGAGCAGTGCAGGAAGTGTCATGACCACATTGATGATGTATTGGATTGTCGCGGACAGAAGGGCGTTGTTGCCTGTCAGACCAGCCATCTGTACGCACGATGTGAGTCCCATATGTCAATCCGAATAGTTTAGCCTGGAAGTCTTACCTGGAAAATATATACAATATAGTACATCATGGCGTTTGTTCCGCTCAGCTGAGACCAAACATGGGTAAAGATGCCACAATGCACGCGAACGATGTTTCGGGAATTGAATAGTTCGGACCAGGAGGTGCTCTCGTATTTACGTTCGAGCCTAGAGATCAGTTAGTCACAGCAAAAAAATCGACCAAGAAATTCAGGAGTCTTACTCAAGCTTTTCGCGAATTTCGGTAGCTTGCGCAACGACAATCGGATCAAGGGTATTGCCCTTAGCGTGTAGTCGTGCAAGAACATCCACGGCCTCCTCCCACCGATCTTGTGTGGCCAGCCAGCGAGGAGATCTCGGCATCATGGGCAGACAGGCCATGAGAATAATACCTGGGATCATTTGTAGACCCCAAGGAAGACGGAACGACGCATTGCTGCTCATAAAGGATGCACCGTATGATATAAAATACATAATAAGAATCTGAGCTCAAGGTTAGCCAGGCATAACGGGAGAGGCAAAAGAATGGATCACATACGCCCCAAGTAATCATCCACTGTTGCAAGCTGAGGAGTCTACCACGCTGTTGCGGAAGACTGATTTCGGCAATCAGAATCGGACTGGATAATGGTGTTAGCGGTGGTGGCGGGGTCTTCATGGGCGACTTCTTACCCTTGACTAGTAAGTATTCCAACGGCAAAGCCATTGATAATGCGTGATACAATCAACATGGCGACGTTTTGCACTGCGCTCATCAAAGTCGAGCCAATCAACCACAAAATGCATGCAACGAACATCGAATCCCGACGACCATATCGATCACTTGTCCACGAGGAAAAGAGCGAGCCAAGCAGGGAACCACCGGCCATACTAGCTGTGATACCGCCCTGAGCAACTGAATTCGGCTTGTTGAAGTATTCCTTGTAATTATCAGTGCCAATAATTGCGGACATGCTAGAAACATCGAAGCCCTGGATTAGACCGCCGATGGTCGCCAGCCCACTGATGAGATAAACATTGTTCAACTGAGGTATTTTGCCCATCGTGACAAGCTCGAGAGACAGGTTAACACAGGGAAAAGATCATGAAACACAGAAGTTGATACTCCATGCCTGGGACCCCGGATTTTATGTAGCTCCACTTCGTTGAGATGGGGCTAATAGCTTCGTTCGTCGCCCGTTGTGATTGGACCTTGAGCCGATATCCGTGATTTTTCTGGCGAGAGCCGGAGAATTTTGGTCAAACGTCAAATGGATATTGTATGGTGAAATCGTGGCGTCTGAAGCTAAGAAGTATATGGGGCTTATTTTGAAATTCTCATTATTAACGAAGCTGGTCAATTGGTCCAATATTCTCGGCAATCTTTTCGGTGTTCTCCTCGGGCTGCGATATAAAGTGCAAAGAGTGTGGCAAAATACTCTTATTCTAGACGTAAGTTGAACAGAGCCGACGATCGAAATTATCTGGACAAATACCGAATGGCCGAATATCTCATGAGAATCACGAATCGAGTAGGAAGCTGCCAAGCCTAAGCTTAATTGGGTTTTGCCACAGTCCCCCGCCATCGGCGATATCCACGCGAGATCCGGTCCTCGCTTCTCTGTTCTTGTCCCTTTCCTCCAGCCTTTCGAATTGCACCTGCATCGGGAGTCGGCAGTCATGTTATCTTGGAGTGGAGATCCAGAACGGCCTTCAACCACGCGGAGATCTCGATCGGGTTAGCCCCACTTGTCATTCCATGCCAAGAACTCGATCATATGCAAGGGCTAACACTCACAGGCTGTTTTCTGTGTCGCGCACGCAAGGTAAAATGTGATGAGCGTTGGCCAATATGCTCGAATTGCGAACGTCTCAAATTGAAATGTCCTGGTAATCAAGGTCAGATTACGTCTGCTGCAAGAGTTCCGAAAAGTGATACACGCGACGCAGTATTGACACAAGCGGGTACAACACGACATCGAGTATCTAAATCATGTCATTCGTGTCGCCTTGCAAAAGCTCGGTGTTCGGGGGGAGAAAAATGTGCCCGGTGCTCTCGAAGAGACATTGAGTGCACGTATAGCGCGGGTCGCATACAAGAAATTCAAAGCAAGCCGGCTTCTGAATCACATCAGAGTGTCCAAATCTCATCTTCAAGCTCTGTTATTACACCAAATATGCCCCAATCAATTCAATTTTCTTTTCAGCCACTTTCCGAAACCGCTTCTAGCTCTATCTCATGGTATATTCTCTCATTCTGCGCACTAGCCAACACGCTGACTTAGCTAGGCTTCACTCTACACAACTACCCGACAAAGAGCGAATCCTTCTTCTAGTTGAAGAATATTTTGCCCACGTTCACCCTTTACGTTGCTTTGGCTTCGTGCATAAGCCCTCGTTTATGCAGCGATTGGATGAAGACCTAGAATCTTGCTGTAATGATGAATCACTTCTTCATATTATCTGTGCGCTGGGCGCAAAGTAAGATCTGTGTCTATATCCATTTATTGAATTTGCGTCTTATGATCAACAGATTCTTGGCGCTTGACCATCCCTCACAATTTCCACCGGAATCGGTACTCACAGCTGGTAATCAGTGGGCAAAAATTGCGAAAGCGCGAATACTCGCAGACTTGGATGATCTTTCCCTCGAAAAATTGATGGTAAGACCCCACGATAATCATATATTCAAGTTCTGGCTTTATTAACTGACTGCTGCTCGCTAAGACTGCAATTCTTTTGTATGATCATGATCTTCGAATTGGAAGCTATGCAAGTGCATTCATACTGAGTAGTATCACTGCAAGAATTTCACAGGCATTGCAGCTTAATCTTGAAAGCTCTGCCGACGTTCTCTGTACCCAGTCGGACTCTGCATGTTCAATTGCCAATGAATCTAAACGACGTCTGATGTGGAGCTGTTATGTCATGGACAGCTGGGTCGGCAGTGGTGTCAACCAGCTCACTCTCCTTGAAGACAAGGATCTCAAAATTCAACTTCCTTGTCACAGCCATAACTTCTCTCTAGGAACCCCCTGTATCACCGAAATCCTAGATGAGGGAAAGGTTCTTGGGTTTATTCCGAAAGAACAGACTCATTTCCCACCGGCTCAAAACATGGGCATAGAGGCTTATTTTATTCGGCTTGTGAGCATTCGGAAAAGAGTACTTCGGTAGGACGTCTTTGCCTTAGTCCGATCATGGATTATTTGCTTACCTTGATTCTTTACCAGATATGTCAAACAGCTTGATACCTCCAAACCCCCCTGGGAATCCGATTCCGAATTTCAACAGTTATCAACAGAAGTTGAAAGCTGGCAGCGATATCTTCCACAGAGTCTCAAATGGCACTCAAGTTCAATTTGGGCCCGCAAGGAATCGTCCCAGCTAGGGGCATTGACGCTGCTTTGGTGTACTTATCACCAAACGTTAGTTGACCTCTATCGAATTGGTATGCCCACCCTTTTCCGTATAAGGCAAACTGTTGAGTTTCCATCGGACAAGAAAGAGTTCTTGAATGATTGTCGCAGAGTGTGTTTCGACAGCGCCCGCGAAGTCTCCAAGACGATTGTTGAAGCATTGAGACATGGAATCAAAGCTCTGGCTGATACATGGCTTTGCATCATTACACACGACAGCACTAAGGTCATGCTATATTATTTGAAACATATCACAGATTCACCGGTTTCATTAAGCCTATCCGAATCAAATGAAACAAAAATTCTAGTGAAGAAAAACCTAGAAATACTCATGCAAATGAGATCTCTTGTTGCGACAGCCGAGCATTGCGTATGTATCTCGTTCACTTAAGCACCATCTGACGGGAAACACCATCTGACGGGAAACACCATCTGACGGGAAATACCACCTGCTAACCATTGCTGTATAGTACCTTTCCGTTGTTCAAATGATGATTTCAGCGGGTCTTCACCCTCAGCTTACAAATAATTCCATAAATGAACGACAATCAGAAGAAACCGAGGAAATGTGAGGCTTCCAACTCGAATATCATGGGAGCGATATGCTGACGTTCCCCATAGTCCTCCCCTTTCAGGATCCCCTGTCGAAGAATCGCCGGAGACTGTCTTGAACCCTCTTGCGATTTATCGCATGGCACGAACGGCTTTGCATGACAAGGATACACGAGGGTCAACCTCAGATTCCCCCTCGACGACAAATACTGCTTCCCCTCGCATATTACGATCCAGAACAACTGCTCGACAATCACATGAATCTTTGGATCTGACATCCTTCCAACCCATCCCCGGACAAGAGACATTGCAGCAGCCACACCCAGTTCGAATTGACGAACGCTCTATCATGACACAATCCTTCGATTCGGCTTCCGAGGCCCGATCAATCAGCTCCAATAACTTTCAACAATTCTCATCTTTCAGCAATACCGGATCATGGGACCCAGCAGAAATGGCTGTGATGAACATGTTGGACGATGGAAGTTCTCCATGGCCCGCAGAGTATTTGACAGGCGGCCAGTCTGGAGTTGATCCATTTCTTTTTCCATTTTAAACTTGGCATATGATTGATTTGATGAACTGACCACCGTGACCCTTTCGGTAAGGGATCCAGACTCCGGCAAGTTGCACAAATTACTCCGCGATGTAAAGGCTAGAGTTAGAGAGTGTTCCGTTTCCAATATGGAATGCGATGTCTGTGTTCCCCAATTCCAGTAATATCCCAACATTCAAGTTCCACATAGAAAAGCTGTGTGGTACCATTCCACTTCAGAATTTGAACAACTTACGATCATTGGGCAGCTAACGGTGATCCGAGCTCCCGTGGAAAAAAACACGGCATGATGTTGAGTGACTTTTCGTCCACCACTTGAGTTATGAGTTCGAAGATAGCGCTGGGTATAAAGGGAGTATATATGAGGAGCATGACAGTTATGTTTCTGAATTTACTCAACTCGTCATCTTGCAATGGCTGCATCAACTCCGAATATATATTATGACTTTATTGTTGTCGGTGGTGGAACTGCTGGAAATGTTGTTGCAGGCAGATTAGCAGAGAGCCCCGACGTGAAAATACTCGTTATTGAAGCTGGAGTTGGGTAAGTAAATGTATTTCACCTTCGTATCACCCACTGAACTGACCTGGTAATAGTAACCCAGAGAGTATCCCAGAGATAATAACGCCCGCTCGCGCATTCGAACTCCGAAACAGCAAGTATGACTGGTCCTATCAGACGACCTTCGTCGATAAACCTGATTACGAGCGTGTTGAAAAACCAAATACCCGTGGAAAGGTTCTTGGTGGGAGTAGTAGCTTAAACTACTTCACCTGGATTCGAGGTAGTAGGGAAACATTCAATGCGTGGCAGGAGTACGGTGGGGATGAATGGACATGGGAAAAGTGCAAACATTACTTCCAAAAAGCATGATATACACACAAATAGCTAGGGTGGGTATAATTGCTAACAAGCTCATCTTTAGCCAGCTTCATATCACGATGATGAGAGAGTCTACGATCCGCTCTTTTCCAAGATCGGACGCGAGGGTCCACTCCACATTTCCCACGCAAATCTGCTCCAAGAAACTAGCGCTTTCCGCGATGCTCTAACACAGGCGTGGACCAGCAAGGGCCATAAATTGAGAGAAGACATCTACAATGGCAGATTGGAGGGACTGACTCACTGTGTTAGCACAGTCTACGACGGAGTCCGGTCAAGTAGTGCAGTATACGTGACTGGGAAAGAAAACGTGGAGATAATGCATTCCACCGTCGCAACAAAGATCAACTTCGAAGGTGATACTGCGGTGAGCGTAACTGTTGTTGGAACTGATCAGAACGAGACCACAGTAAAAGCAAAGAAAGAGATCATTATTGCAGGTGGAGTTTTCGAAACACCCAAGTTATTGCTTCTTTCTGGCATTGGTCCCAGACGTGAACTGGCGCGTCATGGAATTCATCCGGTGATAACTTCCGAGCATGTGGGCGAGCATCTTCTCGACCATCCCATTCTTCCGCATGTTTTTAGACTTAAGGATGGTCTAGGTCTGGACCATATTCTCCTTCGAGGGGGGCCTGCCTACGATGCTGCCGTGAAGCAGTACGACAAGGATAAAACTGGTCCACTGGCTAGCGGCCTCCTTGAAATGGTAGCCTTCCCACGCATTAACGGGCAACTCGAAGAACATGAGATGTATTGCAAAGCCAGAACAAACAATGGCGGCAAAGATCCTTTCGGACCTGAAGGTCAACCTCACTTTGAGATCGATTTTATTGTACGTGGGTGATCAACAGCTATAGCGACATATTTGCTAATTCAACTAGCCTATGTTTTGTGATGCATTCCAGTGGCACTTCGATATCCCACCCGAGGGAGACTGGCTGACTGTAGTGGTCGACCTCCTTCATCCACAGTCAAAGAGCGGGTATGTCAGACTTAATTCGATAGACCCACGCGAACAGCCTGATATCAATCTCAACTACTTTACCGATGAGCTGGATATTCTCGCTTTGAGAGAGGGTGTTCGATTCGTTGATGATATCCTTATGAACGGCGATGGAATGAAAGAGATCATCGCTGAAGACTTTCCGTGGCCCATGGCCCGTGAGTCGGATGAAGAGATGGATCGCCTTATTCTAGATCGGGCGCAGACTGGATATCGTAAGCTAACCTTGTGTGGTATCGTGATGTGTAATTTGGAGACTGATTTTTACAGATCCCTGTGGCACTGCCAGACTGTCTCACGATATTGATCATGGCGTGGTAGACTCTGAGCTGAAGGTCTATGGTGCTAAGAGACTGCGCATTGTTGATGCGTCAATCATTCCGGTCATTCCGGACTGCCGGATCCAGAATGCCGTCTACATGATTGGAGAAAAGGTATATTCATGAACTGAACTTTTGAACTTGTGGAGCCTGATTCTAATTATGTTAGGGTTCCGACATAATCAAAGCGGCCTATCCAGAGCTATATAAATGAGCACTACTTTGTGAACTACGCTACAGTAGCTGACTTTGTTTTTCAGAATGCCCAACAATCGTGCACTCTAGTAGTTCTAGTAGCGTACTCTTGATTTTGAAAATACAAGTCTTCTGAGGATCTTCACTTTTATTATTTGTATTTTGTCATGAAATGGAGCTGAGTAAAATATCGGGGCTCCCGATAATCTTAGAAGGAGGTTAGGCAACCTTGTGCTTAGAAGATTAGATACGCGTATAGATCGGACCCACTAGTGGCTCTGATCTGGGCGATCTGCGGAATTATATAGTTCCTCCCGAGGTCATTACATAGGGTTGTCCTGCGAAGGTGTATCCCGGCCAGGGGTCGGAAACTAATTATTACTAATATTGGTGCCTTATGATGCCTGATTATGCTTGATTATATACCGCCTTTTGGCACCGCTCTTACAGTGTATTGTAAATGAAGCCCTCAAATGGAAGCCTCCCTCCCGGGTAATATTGAAGCTATTCCCACAATACAAATATTCCAACCCTCCCGTTCCTAGGCGTGAAGCCTCTCTTATACCATATTCTCGACGATTTCAATGCCCCTCGACCATACATATCGCCAATCTGTCCTCATCGATCCCGACCGTACAAATCGCTATCCATCCTCATCAATCCGAATACCCCTGACCATCTCCATACGCCCACGGATCAATCTCGACGCTTATAAACGTGAGATTCGGAGTCAGCCTCGGCGATAGGAATACAAGGACGTATATTTTATCTTGAGGGGAGCTTCAAGTGGTGAAAGAGAGGGGGACGAGTACACAGTGGGAAGACTTCAACGCCCAGGAATAAGGGAATTCCAGGATTTGTATAGGTGCGAATAGCGTCATATTTGTGCCTATTTCTTGAGGCACCAGGATTGTCGACCTCGGGAGAAATTAAAGAATTCGTAGTACTTGAATTCTTTAATTTCTCCCAAGGGCTCTGTTATGGTAATTCATGTATTCATATTTTCTGCCGGCAAATATTCAGGCTTATTAAGGCATCAATATTACTAATATTGGTTTCCGACCCCTGGCCGGGATACACCTTCGCAGTTGTCCTGACACGTTCCATATTACGCATAATATACAGACTCGTGGTTCTTGCTAGTTCAGAACTTGGGAGAACAACATCCTGAAAAGGTCTTTGTTGAAAATACACATAGTATACATAGTATATATAGTACCTAAATTATTGAAGATATTGATGCGGATTCTGACATGCATGTAGATGTACATCATACCCGGGTATTTTGCAATACACCGTCTGTGAATTTTACCCCGTATTCGTATTTGGAATTTATGACCATATACATTACACTCCTTAACCTTTGAACTAAACGGCCAAGTGAGGCGCAGTTCGGCGGATCTATATTAAGGTTTTTATCATCTGATGGAAGTTTTCTCTTCTGTTTAAAGCTCCTGGCTAGTGTTATCTCTTCTAAGACTATTTGCTCACCTGTGCTCTTTTCTATCTATGTTATTCGTTTTCTTTTTTTTCTTCTTGGTATATTATACATCAAAATGCATTCCAAAGTGGCCGACATGGCGCCTAACGACCAGCCTGACGACCAAGCCCCACCCCCGTATGAGGAGATTCCACGGGATTTTGGCGAAGCTCAGGGAATCTCTGTTAACGGTATGCTACGGGCTTGTTATGCGGTTCTACCTTGGCGAAGGAATTCTGACATAATACAGATGACGGCCGTGTTGTCGTGGATGCTAGTTCACGGCTTTGCAGATCGCTTTCCAAGCTATTGCCTCGTGTTATCCCTCCAGTTCTACTGCCACCAAGTTATTCAGAAGAGGTTCCAACCTTCAAATTTCCTCTGAATATTGTGATTCAAATAGTGGGCAGCAGAGGAGACGTCCAACCATTTGTTGCACTTGGCACAGAGTTACAGAGCATTGGTCACCGCGTACGTATTGCAACACACAATGTCTTTGAGCAATTTATCCTCGAGGCAGGCTTGGAGTTTTACCCTATCGGCGGTGATCCGGCGGACCTAATGTCATACATGGTCAAGAACCCTGGGTTAATCCCCAGCCTAGACAGTCTCCGTGAAGGAGATGTCCAAAAGAAGCGTTTGATGATGGCAGAGATTCTGCATGGTTGCTGGCAATCATGTCTAATGCCCGACCCTACCACAAATGCCCCTTTTGTGGCAAATGCCATTATTGCCAATCCTCCAAGCTTCGCTCACATTCACTGCGCCCAGGCCCTAGGAATTCCACTTCACTTGATGTTTACAATGCCATGGAGTCCAACAAAGGCATTCCCACACCCGTTGGCCAATTTGAAAAATGTCCCGGCTGATCAAGAGTGGCTCAATCGTGTCTCTTATAGCGTCGTGGACTGGCTATCATGGCAGGGGTAAGTGCGGAGTATTCTTTTCACATCTATGATGAGCCAATAGCTAACTTGTCTTGGATCCAAAACAGTCTTGGAGGTGTGATCAACGATTGGCGGAAACATGAGCTAGAGCTCGAGCCTATCTCTCTTTCCGATGGCCCTTTCATTCTAAGCAAATTGAATGTCCCCTATACCTATTGCTGGTCTCCTGGCCTAGTTCCCAAACCTGATGACTGGCCTCAGAATTTTGGTGAGATATGCCCACTTTTCTTAAAATCCTTTACTAACTCAGCCCTCATGAATAGACGTTTGTGGTTTCTTCTTCCGTGACCCTCCCCAATATCAGCCTCCTCTCGATATTGCAGAATTTCTTACCGCTGGGCCTCCTCCGGTGTATTTTGGATTCGGAAGTATCGTTCTTGAAGACCCACAAGAGATAACGAAAACGATTATACAAGCGAGTGAGGAGACTGGGGTGCGGGCAATCATTTCACGGGGCTGGAGCAAGTTAGGAGTGACGGACTCGGGAGAACTAAACAAGAGTAATGTTCTCTTTATAGACGATTGCCCTCACGAATGGTTATTCCAGCAAGTAAGCGCGGTTGTTCATCATGGGGGCGCCGGTACAACTGCGTGCGGGCTGCGCAATGGCAAGCCTACTATCATTGTACCATTCTTTGGAGAGTGAGTGACAGCCTGTTCCTTGGTCCTTATTTTTTTGGTTTTTCCACTTGAATTTCTCTGGAGCCTTGTGAAATCTTCTCTGACCGATTCATAGCCAACCATTTTGGGGAGAAATGGTTTCTGCAGCCGGCGCAGGACCAGACCCTATACCATACAAACAACTCAAGGTCACGACATTGGCTCAAGCAGTGCGGTTTTGTTTAACATCAGATGCGGTACGTGCTGCAAAAGATATTGCAATCAAAATGCAGCAAGACAAAGGGGTTAAAACAGCTGTGGCATCGTTCCATCGGAATTTACCACATGGTCTGGTCGGATGCGACCTATTACCGAAATTCCCGGCCTGTTGGAGATATCGACTAGGCAAGAAAATATACCACTTCTCAAAGGTTGCTGCAGAGATACTTGTTGAAAAAAACCTGTTAGATGTCAAAAGGTTGAAACCGTGAGTCCGAACCTACCTACCCTGCGTTTCAACATGAGCGTTCGGTGAACCTATGACTAACCCCTTTGAATTCAAGATACCAACCAAATCCCATTATCATTGAGAACACACGATGGGATCCGGTGACAGGTATCTCCTCCGCCGGAATGGGAGTCACATTTGATATGCTCAAAGCAGGAGGTGATATCTTTTATAAGCCGTACAAGGTATACCAAGACGGTCGCACCTCCCCTCTTCCATCACCAGCTGTTTCAGAAAATAGTTGTACCAAGCTACTGTCACCAGCAGGCAGTACAGCACCAGTTCACAAAGCTCGCTCAATGAATAATTTGACAGCACTTAGGGACGTTGAGCCCAAGGAAAAAGGCAGAGGTGTCGCCATGGCTTCAGCATCGACTCACGCTTCTGGGAAATTTCTAGGGAAGTTCTTTTCTGGATTTATGGTTGATCTGCCTTTGGCTGCGGCTGAAGGCTTTCGTGTGCTCCCTGGTCTCTATGGAGACAAAGTTCCCCAATACGGACAGGTAACAGATTGGAAATCTGGCGCAGTTGCAGGTGCTAAAAGCTTTGCTATTGGCATGGGGCAAGGTATGACTGATGTGTTCTATCAGCCATATAAAGGTGCTAGAGACGGAGGTGCCGTAGGCTTTGCTGGTGGGTTGCTCAAGGGTACTTTCGGGGTGGTGGGAAAGATGGCACATGGTAAGACTAACTTTTCCCTTTATTGACCCTCCCTGGTATTCTTTCGTTGATTCGTCCTCGCTTACCCCTTATCAACTAAAGGCTCCCTTGGTCTGGTTGCCTATCCCAGCCAAGGTATTAAACAAAGTATTCACTCTGCATTTCATAAGAGCACACGAAAGTTTATTGTGGCGGCTCTTCGCCTGGACGGACAAGATATGGTTCGGCAAGAGAGAGTGAGAGGGATTGATGACCGGATGGTCATTGAGAAATTCATAGGCATGACCAGGCCAAATGATTTTGACGAAGATAGTGATTATATATAGCAGAGTCGCACTAGTGCAGAAAGTAAATGATTGGCAGCCAACCTGCAATGAACTGGCTTAAAAGAGAGCTTTTATACTAGCAAAAAAGTCTGCCATCCAGGAATTAATTCTGGCTGCTGGTTAGTACTACCTGGACGTAACTATCGCCGCCTTTCCGAACCATCATCTAGCTATAAATGAGGAAGAGGAGAAAATATCTAGAAATATACAAATCTAAAAAGCACCCCTAAAAAGACACCGAGAAGACATCCACAGTAAGGATTATAGAACAGATACAATAATTCAGATGTTGAAATCATTTCGAAGATAGGAACAGGGTCTTGTAGCTCAAAAAAAGGACCAAGTACCTACTCTCTCTGTCTACTAAGTAGCGCCGCAATCCTTGGGTCAGTAAAGTGGATACCCGTGGACCCGAATTTTAGACTTTGCGGTAACTTCCGACGGTACCCCGACGGTACACCGTACCGTTACGCGTATCGACAGTAGAACACCGGAAAAGGACAGCGTAACACCCATGGATCGGTCTACCGTTGATTATCTTCTAACTATTCAAGCCTGCCGTACAAATTGTGTCACTCCTTGGCTTCCAATCCTGGAGTAGATCAGAACGCTACTCATCTATATAGGCCACTTTCCCGGAACCAATATTAGATGAAAATTGGACGGGATAGTCACTATAGTACATGAAGGGTTGGAGGAAAAGGAAAAAGCTTGGAATCAATCTTCTAGGTCGACAAATCGATGAGCTTGATCTCACAACATCATGTATCAATCCACGTGGAGCTTTTGCAGAGTGCCATGTTCCTGTCACATGCGTTTCATTTTTCGAATCTTGATCTCCGCTATCCCTTCGCCATGCCACCATCGCAAATATTGAAGCTTGACCGTATGAAATTCCAGAATGCATATTTCCCATTTCCCTCCGCTCACCATAACCGAGGTACCTCCCATTGGAAAATGAAAATCGGGAAGGTATATTTCGGTCGGAGTGTGAGGCGCGGCCTGGTTTGCAATCAACCTCAAGGTGAACGTACACTTTTTCAAATCAAAAGCATAACTTTCTAATCGTCCATTCACGTAGATGGGAGTGGGTCGGAGATATGCTTCCTCTGCCCTATCGCACCGTCGTGGTTGCAGGGCGGTCCGGGATGAACCACTCGAGGCGCAAGGGAGTGTCAAAGCCTTACGCCAGCTAAATTTCGGCTCTTCCGCATCGAGATGGTGATCTTTAGAAGACTGTGTAGAATCTGGCGTTGTTGAACCGGAAAATGCTGAGGCAGGAAATTCCAAATCATTTGGTAAATATATGGCAAGGTCCTCCCCATTCCACTGATCGCCCCATTCATGATCATTCTAGGTAGAGTTAGTTAAGGCTGTCTTTGTAAAAATTAGACCACCATACATACATCTGTCACATAAATCCACAAAGCAAACCCATTGGCTGTGCTGCCTTCTAACGCGAAATGATTGGCATCCATTGCTCTGATCTGGCTACTGTAGTCTCCAGTCTTATATGCATGTTTATCATCCATGTCATACGGAATGCCGATCTCGCTAAAAATGAGGGGATGATCACCCATATGTTCCAGACTTTCATCGCGCAGAAACTTGAGTTGACGACGCAGGCTCTCTCGAATTGATCTCTCACCGATTTTGATTGCGCAGGCTGGTGAAAGATACTTGCCGCGAAGCACCCCGATAATATCCAAATTATAGACCCGATTCCTATCAAGATCAATATCATAAATAATGGGTAAAGCTTTGGAACTCACCAGTGTTTTGTTAAAAGAGTCAGGCCATCATAAAAGTGTGCCGCGTGAACCATGTTTGGATCATCATCAGCAGTACCCTTGAGGCTTGGTGGGATCTCCATGACAGGTGGCTGGCAAAATATGATAGTACTACCACACACGCTGCGGATAGCGTTCTTGTACGCTCGGTAGTGGTTCAGAAAGTAAGAGTTTGTAAAGGCTTGGTAGTCAAGGACCTTGCCAGTCAGTGGGTTGGTTGAAAAGTAGTCCTTTTGGAGCAAGGTGGCTTTGCTTTTGGACGGGTCCCAAACTCCATGTTGCGCCCAGAGGCATTCACCGAGCCTCCAGCCCGGATCGCGGTGCCAGCCATATTGAGAGTCATCGTATTCGGCGGACAGCCATGCCATTTCACCCTTGGGATCTATAACCTCCGTACCTGTCTGGTATGGGCCAAATCTTCCAAAAGACCAGGTTTTCACCTTACAGGATCGCCCGGAGCCAATTAGCATAGCCTGAAATGCCGTTGGGGATGTCCCAAGCTGGAGATGCTGCTCCGCGGGGATTGATGAAATATCTTGAATCCCAACCAGTCCTCTATTGGGTTCATTTATGCTTTCCCATCCAATGACCACGTCTCCTTCGAGATCACCAGCACTTTGTATTTTCTGTGCAAGGTATTCACATGCCGCAATAAAGTGGCTTTGTAAATAATCCTGAATATTCACACCATCAATGATCGCCTTCGGTGCGAAATCTCGACCTGCCCAAAATAGAGTAAACATTGTTTGGCAGGCTAACCTGGTATAATTCGTACACCAAAGCATCTTTGGGAATTTTGCGGGGTTATCCCATGTGTTGTGAACTAGGGCAGCCTGTGTATTTTTGAAACTCTTGGGATTCAGTCCCGCCGCGTGGAGCGTCCATGTAGGTGCTCCACATCCTCCTGATAATCGAGACCACTTCAAACAGTAAGTTCGGTTCTAACACGCAATAGATGTACTCGAAACCGTACTTACTACGTCTTGATGCGGATCCATGAAAATGTAGAATTTGTATTTCTTGGCGACACGAAGAATTTCAATGGTGAAATTGATCCATTCTTCATCGTATATCTTAGGGCCAGCGTGCTCTATTGCCTCCCAAGTGAAGATATATCTAATGGTGTTGTATCCCCATCTTCGGAGACGTTGGAAATGCATATCGGCATCCTCCAGGGAGAACGGCCTCCCCACAAACGAAACATCCGCGTCGAAGAATCCCTGGAGGTTGTGCGATCTGAGGTCCGGGGATTTAGGATATTTAGCATCACCTGCCACATTTATTCCTCGCAGGATGATTTCTCGATTTAGGGGATCTCGAAACGATTGTCCCTCGACGCGCAGACGGAGTTGACTCATATCGTTGACCGCGTTTCATGGACCCGTGTACTTCCTAGGTGATGAATGAAGAGCATGCAATAAAATTGTATGAAGGAGACTATAAATGCCGAAAGGAACGCTGGTTATGGAAAGAACTGGTGCAAATGTCTCGAGGAACGGGGTGTCGGGAAGGAGAGAGGAGAAATTAGCGAGAGTGAGCTTGGAAGTGGCATCATATGTTCCACGCTGGCCGAGGTTGACTCCAGGGCTGTGTAAACTACGACTGCGTCATTCTCTCAATCATCCATGGATTCAAGTTGCAGTCGCAATACGAGTACGAACTATGGTATTTAAAGAGTTTTGTATCTGTAAAGATACTGTAATTATTGTACTGAATTCAGAATACCGCCCACATTTCCTGCATGAAACCCCTGGGACGGGCGGATCATTATCCATGGAATGTAAATTTGAGTTGCCGTACCTAAAATAAGAACCAATAAGCAGTGTTTATTTTCTTCGTATGCACGGTTCATGGACCTCAACCTGAGCTATACGAGTACGCGTATTGTTCGTTGGTGGTTCATCTCACCATTTTTTCAAGTTGAGTGCCAAAAGGCCTATTCGATTACTTTCGAGCCACCAAGGTGCACCCACATGTTTTATTGGATGAATCTTGGGCCAACCCATGCTATCGTTTGGTTGCTAATATTGTGGCATTCATCTAAAGAAGTAATTTAGGCAAATCCCATTAGCGATTTATGTCATACTCACGAAGGGATTCATACTAAACATCCCTCAAATCTCAATTCGCACTATATCGTGCACTTTCAAGGAACATTCTAGAGGAGGCAAGATGGGAAAGAAACTGGGTGTTGAATTGAGATGTCCACTGGGAGAGAAAGATAGATAAAAGGAGAGAAAAGATTCTATCCGCCTTGGACAGAAATGTTAGCTCAAGAAGTATCTACTAAGGAATCTTTGAGGTCTTGCACACATTCCCAGTGCAAATAGATATAAGAACATAGTATATCATAAACAGAAATGAAAGTACTATAGAAGTGAGGGACAAAGCAGAACGAACAAGGAAAGAAGGCGATAATGACTAGAGGTCCGCTCTTCAGTGAAAGTAAACCTAGGATCCTAATTTCTGCGCCATGTGACAGGTGGATTTGTTAGTGGTGGACCTATGAGCGTGAACCTTTCTGCGGAAGCGCATTTCGTTTCAAGGCGATGAAATGAGATATATTTATTGAACGCAGGTGAACGATGTTGCGTTCCTGGAATCACCGCCAACAAACGTCTGCCGGAGTGGATACGGGCACAAGTCTCGAGCGGTGTTGTTGCTACCTTTGGTCGCATGAAGAGTCTCAGGAGCATGGCCCCATTCGACCCACTCCATCAGCTGCGACAGGGCTCCGTTCGGAATTGGCCCAATTCCACCATAACAATGGCCAACACCAGGTGCTTCGAAGAAGCGGTAAAAGTCTCGGGCTTTTGGATCCATTTTGAGCACTTCTTCGTAATAGCTGATTGTTCCGTTTGGTGGGATCGCTTCGTCGGCAAGTCCATGCCAGGTAATCATCTTGCCACCATTTGCCTTGAACTTAGACAGATCAGGATTGGTGGTTCCAATCATTCCTTCATACTGGCGCATGGAAGAATGCAGCATATCAAAGAAGATAGAATCGGTCATGTTCTGAAGTGGGAAGCTGGGATCTTTGGCAATAGCATATTTGATCCAATTGCCGAACAAATCACTATCGCCCGCTGTGCATGTACCATTGATGGTACAGGTAGTTGGGACATAGTAACTGTCGATTGCTGCGTCTTTGTTCACACCAGGCCAGCCGGCCTTTCCAGATCCAGACCAGGCAGCTTGGATGACTTTCGCACTTGAGGCGCTCAGACTATGCTGTACTCCATTGCATGTGTATTTGTCTCCGATGAAGTCAGAGGCCTTGACATTGCAAGATCCTGGCAAGCTGATAATGCCATCTTGCACTCCATCCAACAGATCGCAGGCTTGGACGGCTGCTTTAGTGAACCCCTGAACTTCACAAGGGGATGGGTAGATATGATTCTTGTTCATGACGTGCGCGGCCCAGTAGCCCGCAGGAATGAAGGCTTCCAAGTTAATGGCGGGAGCGATAGCTAAAATGCCATCGAAGACATCCGGATATTCCTGCGCCATCAGGAGACCTTGTCTTCCACCGCCAGAGCATCCAGAGAAATAGGAATATTTTGGAGCTTGGTGGTAATATGACTTGGTGATCTCCTTTCCAATCACTCCAAGGTCATTGGTGGCCTTGGATGCATAGTCTTCGAGGAGAAACCAGTCGACATTATTTTTGCTTGTGAGAAACCACGAGAGATCAGTTGGAATAGCTTGGTCTCCCACAGCATGACCTCCATCAGTGGAGGCAGATGCGAATCCTTGGGCGACAGCGAATGTGAGGTATGTAGAGCCAAAACCGGCACTGTAGCCTCCACCACCCAAAGCTTGGAACTTGCCATTCCAGTCCTCAAGTGGCAGCCAGATCTGAGTGTTGATTGTGTCGTTCCAACCAGGATGAGTGTAAGTGACTGTAACATTGCAGAAGTTGATGGTGTACCTCCTTCCCTCATTGGAGCCTGGGCCAAGACTGACAGCTGAGTAGTTGTGTACTTCCTCAGCTTGAACACTGAGGATAAGAGCTCCAGCTACGTCGGGATTTGGGAGATTGGACGGCAAGCATCTGGAGGCTGTTGCTGCTTGAGTAGCTAATGCGGCCAGGGCAAAGAATATAACTGAAATTTGAAACATTTTGATCTTGTTCAACTAGAAATTTCTCAGCACAGGTGAAGAGGTTTATATATCAATGACTTTAGTCATCAGGGACTGTCCAATTGATTTCCGAAAGGGGTCTTCAAAGATAATTGAATGAACAATTTCTTCGATACGGCGTATTCGGCCCAGACGAGAGCCGACGAGAGCCATTTCAAGCTCCACATCGGATCGGCACCTGTGTATCAGTATCTAATGTTTTCCACGTATCTGTCTGATTCGTGTGCCAAAGAGAGCTAGCCATTCCACAACTAGCGCAAGCTATCTCCGCTGCAGAATCTGATAATTTCTTGTCCAGAATTTCGGTGGCAGCGCCACTACTGCCAAACATTATAAGAAGCTATCAATACCAGGAAAGGCCACCCATCACCTTAGAGGCACTTGACCCAAAATGTCAGCATCAGCCTAGTGACAAGGAAATTGTTCAGTACAACATATGAAGCAGGCAAAACGGAATTGCCTTGTCTCTTAATATAGAAATGGTCCTGTCTCCAATGGTATTACATAGATATTTTTGTTAAACAAATTACATACGCCACTTGTACTGCCATAGCTAGGCCCGCGTGCGCTTGTCTTTGCGCTCGTAATACCACGAACTGTATGGTATAGAGACACGTAGGTAAGGGCCTGTAAGACCTATGAAATGTGGAAGCTCTGTAAAGGTTACTCTGAATAAGATACATATTGAAGAGGGGAACACTCTACGCTGTATGCTCTCAGGCATACGGGCCAATTCAGCACTCATAAGTCCATGTCATAGGCACTGACCGAAGTATACGAAGGGAACTGGGACCACCGTCCAGGAAGCGAGATCAGAGATGTGTAGGAGTGTCCGTCGCCTCATGGTTATATAATAAAACTGATAAAAGAAGAAAAAGAAGAAAAAGCTACGAAGTACAACATATGTAGTAGGTAGGGCGAATGAGTAGTGGAGGGCCATGTTCCCCACTACAATATTGTGGAGTCAGCCACTATTGGTGTTCCAAAGGGGCAAAGACGAGCTATACGCGTATTTGTGAAGTCGGTGATTGCCTGCGACTACCTAAGTAGACAGTATGATGAGAGATCACATGTGAGCTAATCGTGGGTGTTATATGGACTACGAAATATTGTGACAATGTACTTGAGGCAGGTTATATTTGGGGTAACTCCAAGATGGAAAGTGCCCAACATAAGAGAAGAAAGTGTACACGACACGTGACATGACCAATGCGGGGAAGATAACGATAAGGTCGATTCCCTTTTGGGCCAACCTCGGGAGGGCATACCCGACTTGTGGCCTGATAAGACCTTACCCACTGCACTGAGAAAGTGCATTGGTATATTGGAAGAGGAAGGTCATCACGAAAGCCGCCTGGGTAAATCGAGCACTCGGAATGTTGTTCCACATATGACAGCTCCACTATGAGCTGGGTTGTCACAATGTCAATCCTATAAATATCAATACAAGAGTCGTTAGAGAGGACAAACAGCGACAAGACTAAGTTTCACGATCGCATTCTCCCTTTGACAATTTTCCACCATGGGATCCATCGAAATCAAAGAACAGCAGTATGATGTGCTCATTATCGGAGCCGGTCTGTCAGGTATCTGTGCACTTCACAACTTCCGAAAACGCTTTCCATCTTGGCGCGTTGGAGTTCTCGAGGCAGCCAATAACGTTGGAGGGACTTGGTACTGCAACCGCTACCCAGGAGCACGGGTTGATACCGAATCACTCTCCTATGCATACTCGTGGGACAAAGACCTTTTGAACGAATGGACCTGGAAGGAGTCCTTCTCCACCCAGTCAGACGTTCTCCGTTATATTGAATATGTCTGCGACAAACACGACCTCTACAGAAGCATCCAGCTCAATACTCGGGTTAAGACGGCCCTTTGGCAGGACAAGAACAACACTTGGCTGTTTTGCGATGAAGCCGGCGCCCTTCACCGAACCCGTTTCTTCGTCAGCTGTATGGGTTTCCTGTCAGCCCCAACGCTTCCTGCCATTCCGGATATCGAACTGTTCCAAGGCGAGGCTTTTCACACCTCCCGCTGGCCCAAGGACTTTGACATCAGTCGTGATCTAGCCAACAAGCGAGTTGGTGTCATCGGCACCGGCGCAACGGGAATTCAAACGATTACGGCAGTATCAAAAGAACCATCCATTAAATCATTGGATGTTTTTCAACGCACGGCAAATTGGTCCGCACCCCTACGCAACGAGACGATTAGCCCCGAGCAGATGGAACAGCATCGCAAGGACTACGATGCCCTTTTCCAACTCTGCGCCGAGACACCCAGTTGCTTCATGCATCAAGCTGACCCGCGGAAGTCCCTAGAAGTATCCCCAGAAGAGCGGTTGGAGCTTTGGGAGCATATCTACGCAAAACCCGGTTTTGCCAAGTGGCTTGGCACATTCAGCGACACATACAACAACCGTGAAGCAAATAAACTCTACTCCGACTTCATAGCTCGCAAAATTAGAGCAAGAATACACGACCCCGAGGTTGCAGACAGCTTGATTCCCAAGAATCATGGCTTCGGCACGCGACGAGTCCCTCTTGAGAGTGGGTACTTTGAGGCGTTTAATCAGCACAATGTCCACCTTGTTGATCTCCAAAAAACTCCGATTGAGAGAGTCACAAACAGTGGCATCATTACATCTGATGGCAAAGAGCATCAATTGGACGTTTTGATATATGCGACGGGCTTTGATGCCATTACTGGTGCATTCAGCTCTATTGATTGGGCGGGGAAAGACGGTCGACCTCTCCTTGGATCTAGCAACACCAAGCAAGGTGAACGAGCGATTTGGGTTGATCACCGGCCTCGTACATACTTGGGTATGGCAGCTTGCTCCATGCCCAATATGTTCATGGTCTTGGGTCCCCATCAACCATTTGGCAATGCTCCCCGGACCATAGAACATGCCGTTGAGGTTATTTCAGACCTCCTGCAACACTGCAAAGACCACAACTACTCCTATGTAGAGCCGACGGGAGAGGCTGTGGATGCATGGACGGAACACGTTGTTGAAAGCAGCAAAGGTGCTTTGTCAAACGAAATTGATAGCTGGATGACCGGGGTTAATACAAATGTGAAGGGGAAGACTGTTCGAAGTGTTGCGAGATACGCTGGTAGTGCAGTGGAGTATCGCCGGAGATGCGCTGATTCTAGGGCAGCTGGGTGGAAAGGCTTTGCATTTGCTCAAATCTCAAGTTCGAAGCTTTGATGTGAATAAATATTTATGAATTATTACGAGTATAGTTTAGTGTTTCACATTTGGTACATATACTGCCCGAGGTGGAAATTGCAATCACAAAGGATAAACCTCAATCAGACTCCAAACTAGACAATACACTAGCAGGTGGCGCAAAGAACGTCGTCCCAGTAAGCGGCTTTGAGAAATCAAGGATGCGATCATGCAGCCCAGGTGGATCTCCAATAAACATGCGCTCCAACATTTTCTCAATAACCCAAAGGCGACGAGTATACCCAATGAAGTATGTTCCAAACTCACCAGATCCAAAAGATCCAAATGGCATATTGTCGCGAAGAATCTCATGCTCATTCCCATCCTCATCTTCAATCGTGTTGAGTGTCTTGTGCGAGCGCTGTCCAGACTCAGCATCATCTAACTCCACATTATCTATCTTGGTACGACCGATAATCCGCTCCTGTTGTTCGGTAGATAGATCTTTCCATCCGGGTAGATCATGAGTGTACTTCTGCACAACAATATAGCTCCCACCAACGGCAGAAGGATCTTCCTCTGTAACTAGGACTGAAGCCGGAACCGCCAATCCAACTGGATTAGCTGTGCCATCCACAAAACCCAGAAGATCCCGCACATCGAAGTAACGAAATCCGACAGTCTCGTCGACGACGGAAACCGAGTCACCAAGTTGATCCATCAGCTGACGCTCAAATTCAAAGCAGATATCTCTGCGCTCAGAGCGAATGTGGAAAAGCAGATCACCGGGAGTCGAGACCGCGGTGTGTTTAGCGCCTTTAATCTCGCGAAATGGGTGCAGTTCTGATGGTCGGGGAAGACCCGTGAGACCATCCCAAATATCACTTCCAATGCCAACAGTGCAAGCAAATTGAGCGCTGAGGTCACGGATGGATACATTTTTGGCTAGGCTGTCTACACCTGCTATTGTGGAGCGCACGGTTTCAATGGCGTCGGGCTTGTCGGTCACGGATACAACAAGAAACGTAGCGGCCTGTGTAAGCGGAGCATCCACACGCTGAGGAGCTATTGGGACACGATGACCGCTCATATTTGCTTTTTGATATGACTCGGAATTGTAACATGTGAGTATGCGTTGTTTGCGGAATATATGGCCGGTGAGGCTGGGTTGGTGGGTGAAATTCCGTTTTGCCTGGGTGAGACTTATCGGAGTAGCTCGAAAAATATTTGAATGACCAAAAGTAGAAACGTGAAATGAGGGAAAAGTGTTGAAAATATAAGAGCAGACCAGTCTCCTGGACTTGGTCATAGTTTAGCTCCTAACGGCCCAAGTCGGAGGGAACTCCAGTCTTATAGAGGGCCCAGCTGATATGAGTGTATCAATTGCTTATATTATGGAATAAACGATTGGCCGCATTCATTTTTCAAACATTTTCAATAGCGAAGAAAAAAACAAGTATGTCAATGCTACATCGTTGATGGTGATGTCACACCCGCCGGAAACGCCCAGGGGAAATGTTACCGCATATTTCTATTGGGGCATTATTTTGTGAAAATTTATGAGAGAAAGTAACTGTATGACTATAGATGCCATTTATATCGATAAATAAATGCTACCTCATCGCTGGGTGTACCCGCCATCCACGAACAAAGCCGTTCCAGTAACAAAAGAAGCCCGACCACCACTCAAATAAACAACTCCGTCGGCAATTTCCTCCGGCCTGCCCATACGCTCCATTGGAACCGCATTAGCAACCTTCTCCTGCATAGCCGCCAGGATCTGAGGTGACTTGGTCGTCAACGGGGTCTCGGTATATCCAGGACAGATAGCATTGATGCGCAGCCCATCCTTAGCATAATCCTCCGAAGCGGTCCTCGTCAATCCAATAACCGCATGTTTTGTCGCAGTGTATGCAGTAGATAACGCAATTCCAGCGACACCTTGGATAGATGAGAAGTTGACAATTGAGCCACGCTGTAGGGGCCTTCCATTAATCGCGGACCGGATAGGCTCCTGCTTCAACATGATCTTGGCAGCACCACGCAGAACGAAAAATGTACCCGTGAGGTTGACGTTCAAGATGCGCTCCCAGTCCGATGTTTCGCAAAATGCAGCTCCACCTGTGTGCTTCATTGCGATTCCGGCTGCGTTGACGACGTAGTCGAGTCGGCCGAATGTCCTGGCAACTTCTTGAACAACTTCATTGACGCGGTTCTCGTCTGTTATATTTGTGGGGTAAGCGATGATTTGACACTGCTTTGATCCTTGTCTGCGTTGTTGCTCTTCGATCTCTGCTTTGACGTCCTCCAAGGCTGAGGGGTTGAGGTCGAGCAAGGCGATTCCTGAGGCACCATCTCTGGCGAATGTCTTTGCGCAGGCTCGGCCAATACCTGACGCCGCCCCTGTGATAAGGGCAATTCCAGATACGTCCATCTTGGGTGGTTGGTTGGGTTTGGGGTAGTTCGTTTGTTTGTTGATGCGCGCAACGGGGAAGAAGATTACAAGATGAAAGGAACGAAAAAACCAAAGATTAGTAGTATATATAGTTTTTCGCACAAGACTTTGCATATTAGTTTTAATAGCCTAGTATATTTCTCTAACAAGGGGATATACTTCCTACTTGGACGAATGTGGGGTGGTCGCGGATACTTGCCTAACTCGTGTCTAGTGATAGCCGTGCAGCCCATACATGACAATGCACCTATTGCTTTTCTATCTTTACAAACTATGTAGCGGACTGACACGTACTATGCATATCCTGAGTGCGGGGATCTTGCGGCCGATTGTCTCCTTGTAATTTTGAAAGAGCATTCAGCGGGAGTGCACAAAAGTGTTGACATGAGATTTGGAATCAAAATAGATAAAAGAGTGATTGGAGATTATTACTTTTATCTTGCGCTAGGTAGAAGAATATGGATGTACAAGTTTGAAATATTGGTAGTGGTAGATTCATCAATTGGAAGCTTATAGACTCATTTCTTGCCTAAGGCATCATACATATTATATATCAAAACCCCTGCTGCAATGGGATAGTCTTTCTCATTAGATCCAGCCAGGTTACACTCCTCCCATTAGCACAAGTCTTCTCCTGCCAAATTCGTTGGATATTGGCCAATGTTTCAGTAAAGCAAGACAAGCCACTGCGGCGTGCCGAATTTACAAACCAGTCAGAGAATGATACCTGAATCAATGGATCCTCAGATTCACAGGCCGCAATAAACGCAGGCCAGATAAACCCTGCTGAGCCATGTACCACAGTGGAGTCTGTGTTCTCGCAGTATAATAGACTGTCCAACACACCCATGACCTTTTGCTGTAGCAAGGAAGCATCCACGTCGTGGATCCGACGATAAAAGTATATTGCTAGTGCGTTCTGCATTGCATTAAGCATATTTTCTATTATTTCATGGTCGAGTTCAGAATGGATGTTGTCCAGGCTGGGTCGTGCTAGATTTGTGATATAGTCCTCGAGAGTCTTCGCCCGACCGATGAAGTCCTTTAAGCTGAGACAGTCTGGTGCGTCATTTCCCTCTGCCGCGTCTTTTTCTTTCCCGAGTCGAATTATTTGGGATAGAAGAATAATCCAAGGTTCAGGGATACCAAATATCTCCGGGTACAGAGAATTAGACCAGAAGCCAGGCCTTTCAAGATGGAGATCATTCTCGCCTTCCTCCTGCCCGCGCACCCTCATCATTTCTTGATCCAAATTCTTCCAGCCCGATAGACGGAATGATAGGCTATCAAGGCTGTAAATCCCTAGCCCGCTCGTCTCAATCGCTGTGTGAATGTGATGGCGCTGTCTTGAGTTCGCCCCACAAATGAAAACACTCTCATGGATGATCCGTTCAAATACATAGCAGTGATGTAGTAATCGTACTTTCCGAGACTTTTTTCGCGGAAGTCCTCTCAGTCGAATAAACTTTTCTGCTTCGAGAAAGTAATATTCCGATTGCCTTCGGTTTCCCGAGAACATCGTCACTTGGATCATGGTAAGCAATGCCATCAAGATTGACTTGTATTTGGCTACTTTGGGAACATCGTAGGCGGTCATGAGCATCATTTTTGCATATTGCTGGGCTTTTTGCTGGTATATGATGGCCTTCTCGCTCCATGTTTGGGATCGAGAGACTCCTCCAAGGCTGAATGCACTTATAGCTAATGTTCCATAGAATGCACACAAACTAGCATGGCTCATATCATCGCCCAGGGCCAAGCCAGCAAGACAGCTCTTGGTATGAGGTATAAAAAGAACGTGCCAGGGGGTTTTGGAGTGTCGGAGGGGGGTCATTAGGCTAATTACAGCCGAAACATAATGCTTGAGAAGGAACACAGCATCGTGGGGCACGGCTTCTGTGATACCCCCATAGGAAGGGAAAGACGTGGGTGATGTGGGATGATCGTAAGATTGGTCTAGAAAACACGATGTGGATAAATATCCATGGGGTGCTGAATCATCTTCCGCACAATCTTGATCTATCATGGCGTCCAAGAATCCCGGGGAAGATGGAATAGGAACATTCTCTGGTTGCTCAAATGTCAACTGCATTAAGGATTGAGACCAAGGTGACAGAAGCATATCGCAGGATGCGGAATGAATATTTCTTGTTGAAACCACATATTCTGGAGAAATGGACTGTGTCTGTTGATAGTCGCTTAGAGTTGGTTCGCACGGCAAGGTGTCTTGATTTTGGTTCAATCTGAACGCCCCGAACGGACCTCGGTGGATCTCAATATCATCCGAAATAGTTGCTCTTTCGCATTCCTCATCGATATTCGATATAATCCGTGGAGTTATCTCTGGGGGAGCACTCGAGAGAAGGCATTCACTCATGTGTTCTCTTTCTTTCATTGAGAATAATGGTCGACGAAACCGGACCCCATTATTGCGAGATGAGGTCTCAAAGTCAAAGAAGATATCTTTCTTGTACCCTCCACAAGCCAGGCCAAGATATTGACACATTGAACAGTCTGGACGTCTCTCGTCGCATTTGACATGTCGACTTCGACACTATAATTATTCCAAGTTAAAAAATACTTCACTATGACCCAATGAGACCATGGAACCTACTGTGGCGCACCCTGTGAATGACCGCGTATGAGCAATATACTCGCGCACATCCTCTCGAGTTGAATTAGCCATTGGTGTTTCCAAGATAAAAATGGTAAGTGTTGTGTCTCTAGGGTTGCGGGGGAGGTGGATCAGTGGATCCCCGATAGCGGAAACCTGCCTATTTCGACGGTGCGCGGTAGCTTTCCTATTAAATTGAACGATCTCTATTGTGCATGTAGAATTTGTAATTAGTTGATTGAAATTCACATTCTATTGTAAATATGTATCTAATAGTAGGTAATTTCACTCACAATCTTTTCTGGCTCCATTAAAACCACCATTAGCATCATTTAAGATACAACGCCTAGTGTAAAGCAATGACATCTTTCGAAGACAAAGTGGTGAGTATATATCAGTGATCTTTCAATAGCTATTGCAATCTAACTATGTCTCTTCTAGATTGCTATCACTGGCGCAGCCTCTGGAATGGGGCTGGCCACAGCAAAGCTCCTCGCAAGTCGAGGCGCAAGAATATCTCTCGCAGATATAAACGAGAAGGCCCTGCGCGAGGCTATCCAATCCCTCCCAAATAGTGATAATCATATGTTCACGGTTGTAGATGTGCGCAGCAGCAAATCAGTGGATGGATGGATCCAGTCGACTGTTGACAGATTAGGCAAGTTGGATGGTGCTGTAAATATGGCCGGAGTGATCACTCCTGCTGCTCCGATCACAGAAGAGACCGATGAGAACTGGGATTTCACATTTTCTGTGAATACAAGGGGGATCTTCTTCTGCTTGAGGGCTCAGTTGAACGTACTGAAAGCCGGTGGTAGCATCGTAAGTCCCGTCCTAGTGTCAAATCTAAAAAGTACAATGCTGACTCTCTCTTTCGGATAGGTCTCTGCTGCCAGTGTTTTCGGTCAAATGGGTGCCCCCGGTGTCTCGGCCTACTGCGCCAGCAAAGCAGCTGTTATTGGGCTGACACAGACAGCAGCAAAGGAGAATCAGTATGTTCGAGTCAATTGTGTTTCGCCAGGTAAGTCTCTCTTCTACGACACTCTTTAATGACAGCTAACCAACAATTTAGGCTCTGTCAATACACCCCTTTCTGCCAGTGAAGACCCTGAAGATGTGAAGCGCGGCTTGCAAAATACGGCACAGAAACGACAGGCACAGCCGGTGGAGATTGCAACTGTAGTCGCATTCCTTCTCAGTGAGGAGGCAAGTTTTGTGACTGGAGCTGTGTACAATGTGGATGGAGGTTGGATGTGCTGATCTCAAAAATTCAGATCGCATTTGAAATATTGACCTCATGATCTTTGAACCATTTATAGATACATTCGATAGTGATTTACTTTAAAAGCTAGAGCTAGGTGACAAAGTCACCCTCTATAGGCCCACTTACTCACTGGAGTATCGACAAACTGGTCAATAAGCGCAGCTACCAATCTGATGTGTGGGCTATCGACTCTTACGCATGTACTAAATTCCAATGCCACAATCTGATTGAGGGACAGGAGGCTTCCATGCGCATTTATGCTCAAGTTCCACACATCGACTATGATTATGCAGATCAAGCTACCCGTACTCAAGAAGCAACCGGATTCACACCACCCGAGCTGAATGAATACAAATTTCTCATCGCAAATGGCTCGCAAAATACCCCTGGACTACTATCATACAAGAAAGGGTCACAAAGTAGCTCAGTATTAGTTCCTGGAGGGCATATTACATGGATTGAATGGCAGAAGGTGCCTGAAAAATGTCAAATCTGCCTTCGTGTTTAGGGATACGAAACGTGCTCAACGAAGTCTTGTCCGTGAGGACGATAGGTCGTTCCGAGGCTGATCCTCTTGATTGCATATGTAGCTTATATTATTATTGTGAGAACTCTGTGTGAGAGGAGGAAGAAGTGTATTTGCTGTTGAGCGCTGGTTGTAGGAAGGAGCAAAGTACATACATATTCATGGATATGCTCTGCACTAGAGTACACGGCCGTCTGTTGTTTCTGCTCCTAGCTATGTACTCAATTCCTCTACACTCAGATACCTTTATCAATCAACGGTTTCAAATAGTTTCAACCTGACATCCTCTCATCACTCCACAAATCTTGTGAGATTCTATAGTCTAAACAAAATCTGATATGGGACTCACGTATTAATCGTGTTAGTCGGTTGCCTCGGGATGTCTTTTTCATTACCATTCTAATCATCTTCTTTGATGCTTGCTTTAGAAGTATTCTTATATGCATATAAATGTCTGCTTATAATAATCATCCGCAAACTGTGTGTAGGACGGTGAAGAGGACAACTTACAGAACATCTTTTCCATATATAACTTATCACTAGAAGTGCGTGTTTCATTAATTATTATGCTATAATAAATTACAAAAGTAGATAGCCAATTTTCTACTGACGATAAAGGCCGATAGGACTAAAATTCCCAATGGTCGGTATACATTGCGGTAGCATACATAGTGTATTCATCCCCGCCACAAATGTCTTAGCGTGTTTCGCTAGTTCCCAATGTCAGCACCACTCTTCCACTCGACACATTCCGTGAATTAAGCCGGGGAGCATGTTAGGCATGTCCCAATCGCTGATCTCCGCCCCGCGCTTAAAGCCGGACGTCCGCCTGGCGCAGGTGGTTTCACAGTTCGAGGCCGAACTATCTAATGAGCAAAAAGCAACTTTCCGTGCCTGGAGAACCAAATCAATTGAATCTCCACCTAGCATTCAAGATGTCATGAAATTCACTGCGGAGATTGATCGTGCCTCGGAAAAGGGGCGCCGGTGCTTGGGACCGCGACTTATGAACGTCCTACAGGCTACTCAGCAATTCGCTGCTTTGGGGGATATCATAGTCGGTGGATCTCAAAACTTGCTTGCGTGTGGTGTCTGGTCAATAGTGCGAATTTCGCTTCTCGCAGCCCTCGATTTTTCCTCCTATCTTGAGCAATTATCGAACATATTCATGATCGCTGGTCGTCTTGCACCTCGCTATGAAAAGATGGCTTTGCTTTATCCTCGGTCAAAGGATTTACAATCTAGTCTTTGTGAATATTTTATTTTGATTGTACGCCTCTGCCATGAAATGACTACTTTTTCACGCAAGTCAATTTTCGGAAAATTCGCCTCCACCCTTGGTGACTCAAATCTTAAGACATATCAATCAGAGTTGGAGTCCTGGGGGAAGACCATCAAAGCTGAAGTCACCTTCTTGATGGCCAAGGTAATGGAGAACGAAGCCGAAAGCAATTCGCGATTCAGAGCAGTCTCCTCAATATTCCAGAAATCAACTGCATATCAGCAAACAATTCAAACGAAACAGCGGGTACTTGATTTCTGCTCCCAGTACGATTGCACAGTGTCATGGAAGCAGGCTCGAAAATCAGGTAACACCAATCTGTTTCGGGAGAGTGCCAAATATCAAGATTGGAAAAGTATGCCACTTTCTTCCACTCTCATCTATACTGGGAAGTTAGGCTCCGGGAAGTCTGTGCTGCTCGCCAATATAGTGGACGATCTCCATATTCAGAGTGAAAGGACCCACGTAGCATATTTCTTTTGTCGACATGACGTCTCCGAGAGTCTCAAAGCGCGGGGAGTGATCGGCTCATTGGCTCGTCAGTTGTTATATCCTATATCGGACTTAACGCCTGCTGCAGAATACTTGGACAGAACGCATCAGTGCGAACCGATGGAGAGACTGATGGGACTTCTTTCAAATTGTCTTACTCCTCTTCGCAAAAAAACAAGGTTCTTCATTGTTGTCGATGGGCTAGATGAGCTCGATGGGAATCAAAGAGAGATCGTGATCCGGCAGCTATCGGATCTTCAAAGCGAAACGTTGGTAATGCTACTTTGCATATCGCTCCGTGAAGGTCCAAACGAGAACCCCCTAAAAACCAACTTGACACAACTTGCGGCCCCAGTCATTACACCAATTCCGAACAATACTCGCGACATCGAGGATTTCATTGAGACAGAATTGGAAAGTCGAATCGAATCTGGAAAGCTCACGATTGGCAGTCCTCTTTTGATCCTTGAAATTCAAGATGCTCTATTGAAAGGATCACAAGGGATGTTCCTTTGGGTAGCTCTCCAAATTGAATCTTTATGCGCCATGGATAGCGATGAGGAGATTCGCCAATCTCTTGCAGACCTGCCAAAGGATCTCTCAGAGACATTCTCTCGCACTTTGCGGTCAAAATCCCGAAATACGCGCCAAAAAGAGATATTAGCCATCCTAACAGTGGCCCAAAGTCCACTCACTCTCCACCAACTGCGCGAGGCATTATCTATTGTGCCGGGTGATTTGAATTGGAACTCGGATAGGCTCCTCAACAATATGCACAACACCTTAGCTTCTTGTGGCAGTCTTGTCACTATTGATGAGGAGGAGTTTACTATACATCTCGTTCACCACAGTGTAAAACAGTTCCTCCTCGGCGAATTTAAAGATTCGACTCAACCCCTAGTCAATGTTGATGAAGCTCATCAAATGATGGCAAGCATCATTCTCACCTACCTCAACTACAGCGTCTTCGAAACTCAAGTTTCAAAGACAGTAATACCTCACCTGCGGACTGAGTCGGTGCCCTCTGAGGTGATTTTCTCAACACTCAAATCATCAAGTGGTGTCCGAAACATGGCAATCAGGCTCCTCAGAGCCCGGAAAAGGGCTGGTTTTGATATTGGAAAGGTCATCGCAGAGACGAAACTCCAGAATCGTTCTACAGACGAGCAGTTCTACTTCCATAAATACGCAGCATCATTTTGGCTATACCATGTCGTCCACGCCTTTGACCTCTCCGAGAACATGCATAAGTTATTACTCAGACTCCTGGACCGACGGTCACCTTTGAGCCTCAACATAAACGACGAAGATATCGACAAACTATTATCGTGGTCGGCGAAAAAGAAACAATATGCATCTTTGATCAAGATTTTGCTTGGTTCTGAACACATGACGTCAAATGAACGAGATATTACACTAGATGCACTACATATTGCTGCGGGCGAAGGACACGGCGCAATGATTCGGGTCCTCCTAGAGCGCGCAAAAATGAACGACCTGATGTTGTTCGACGGGACTCACCCCCAGCGACTTCATCTATCCGCTCAACACAACGGGGAGTCGACAGAACAACGGCCACTTGATTCAGATGAGCTCAATGTCAACTCGAAAGACTCCCTGCGTTGGACTCCTTTGCATAGAGCTGCGATGAATGGACATACGTCCACCGTAATCTTTCTACTTACAGTCGTCAATGCCAACCCGGAGACCCCCGATATAATGGGACTAACCCCTTTGCATCTGGCCAGTATGAATGGTCACTGTGCTGCTGTTAAGGCACTTCTTGATCACGGAAATGCAAACCCTAGTGCTCTTGATCAAGATGGCCGAACTCCCGGGGATCTTGCTGTGGAAAAACTCGACGAAGAAACCATTTCAAAGCTAGATCCCCGGCTTTTCAGTGGTCAGTTATCCTTGGCTGATTGACTTGATATCAGGCAAATGGTCAAACCGACTTTGGAAATTCTCACAAGGCTATTGATTTTCTCATTGCACATAGTATTAGTCTCTCAGAACATAGTATCATGAATTATGCGGTGTCCCGGCCCAACATTGTCAATATCGAACATAACACAATGATGTAGCCAAGACCTTTTGTAAGATGCTAGGATGAAAATAAACAGGTCTATGTCATCGATACCTGGAAGCAACCAAGTCGGGCAGACAAAAAAAAAGGATCAGCCATAACGCGCCAGGACCAGCCAGGAAGAAAAGCGGGCGAAAAAAAAACAACATCAAGAAATGCTCCAACGAGGGCGAAAACATATCATAGCCCTCCAACGCAAGACAAAAATCGGGTTTCCCATTTACATCTGTCGCAATCCCTCTGCAAGGCGCCGCTTGCCGAATTCCCAGGCGTTCATTAGGCCCTGTTCCGTGAGATCGATATTCTTCATGTTGGGTGCATCTGCAGCCGGTGCGCGGCTAACCCGTGAAGCGATCATAACGGGGTCAGTCTCAAGGATGATTCCATCGTCAATGGTTTCGTCAATAGCCAGAGAGACGAGGTCGTAGTTCTCGACGATAGTGCGCTTGTCGGTTGCGCCCCTGATAGACGATATTGTTAGCACCGTCCGACGAAATTCCTTCAAACATAACATACTTGAATAAGATTCCCAGAGCATCCCGTAGGGAAAGCACAACATTGTACAGCATCACCTCATTCTCGTCGGCGCTTCCAACAACGTAAATCATAACGTCACTCTCCATCTTGAAGACGACAATGCGGTTATCGTAAAGGATCACATCGCTGGCAGACTTGTTGGTCTTCTCAAGGAGGCCCTTCTCGAAAGCACGCTGCTCCTTCAGGGTGGGGTAAGGATTGGCACCGGGGTAGTCAGTCGAGTTCGGTGCAGCGCCGGCCGGGGGGTGTGGTGCCGAGAAGTATTTTGCGAAGATGCGGGAGCCATCGTCGGCGGACATGACGAGGACCGCATTGACGGAGAAGAGGGACAAAGAGCCGGGCATGGTGATTATTGTTGTGTTTGGGAGCAATTGGGGAAATTATGTCTTTATGATTGTTGATGCTCTCAACCGCCAATCTGGCCGGAGGCGGAGACGCACTAATGTTGTTCCGTCTTTGAGCTCCATACACTATGCGGTTGAACTGCGGATCACAACGTGGGCGATTGAGGATAAGTCGATATTTATTCTTTTCTGTCTTAGTACCAGTACTCATTCAGCCTCAGATTACTTGTGCTCTAGTCGTTTGCTCTGTTATATGTGCGACCGTGGCAAGTTGATATAGATGGAGATATTAACCAGCCATTGGTTGGCCCTTGTCTTCTTCAACTGCAATACTACATACAACACCAGAATAGGATATATATCTTGAGATTGGAGATATGACATAAAATGAGTGAAAAGACATCATCGTGAAGGAGACATGGGGAATAATATATATCAAGACAAACCATGATGCTGAAGACTCCTTTCGAAACCACATCGCATGGGGAAATATCATGATCAGATCGTGTAAAGGGAAATATGATAAATCGGGGTTCTTGAAATACAGGCGAGCATTTCAAGGCATGGATTGCATTATGTGCATCATGGGGGTATGGGTATGTTAAAAATATGGTCAAAGAGCACATCAAATCATACTGCCCGGAGAACAAGGCTTACTGGGGCGCCAGTTGTTCATCGGTGTTGGCGCGATTCAACCACGGAATCCAGCTCGCGCGGTTTGCCTTCTTGCGTGCCGCTTCCTCCTCCTCCTTGATTCTAGCGGTTTCGCTAACAAGGCGTAGAGGACGTAACTTGTCCTGCTGCATCACCGCTCCAGTGTAGTTGTTCATGCCACCGCTGGATCGAGGAGGGCTGGAAGTAGCCCCGGTAGAGGCTGTATCTCCATGAGGATCACTGGTGATACTAGGGGAGCTGCTGTGACCGATCCGATCTGGCTGGCTGGACATGGAGGGTGCGCGGCTCATGCTGGATATATAGCTTGCTGCTCCGGAGAACATGCTCTGGCGGGATCCAGGGCCCATTCCAGTCGGACTGATGGGTCCGCCCGAGTTGCGTCCGCCGCGGTACATGTGGCCAATGACACTCGCCGCACTTGGGTCAACTTGTTCCGAACGGCTGCGGCGGTGGGTAGCTCTCACTGACTGCGTACGGAATGGAATGCTTGGCGCAGTGTTGGGATTCTCGTTAGGATTGTTCAGTGAGGGTTGTGGTGGAGGCAACATGCTGGTTGGACGCGACCGTGGTTGGGTTGAAGGGCGGGAATTTGGAGCACCAACAACCGACTTGGCCCGTTGTAGAAGACTTTGTGACGAACCGTCATCTTTTTCAGGGGGAGTTGGCGGGAGCTCCTTTTCACTGCCCCCGGTCTTCGTGGTAGAGGTTTCGTCATCCTCATTTCGGTCCAGGATATGCTCAAACCCGTCATGCATCAGCAGTCTGCTGATAATGCGCTCGATATAGAGTGTCAGGGCTTTGTTCTGATCTTTGAGGGCTTTCAGTTCTCCCTCCGGTTGGGGAGCTGCATCGGTTTCGGGCGCCTCATGCACAGATTCAAGTTCATCTGCCAAAGATCCCAGTCCACCTGCCGACTCCTTTGCGGGGTTGGCATCTCGCATAAACTCGCCCTTAGCAAAGTCACCAGTAAGAGTCTTCTCGCTGAGAAGAAGTTGATAGCTTTCATTGTCTTCCATCAAGCGAGCGTTGGCCACGCGGGCGTCGAGCAACTCTTTCTCTATCTCCCGCTGGCGTCCGCCACCGGCATTCTCCATCTCGACGAGTTTGATCTGTGATTCAGCTAGTTCGAGGCGTAATGACTCGATGAGTTTGTCTTTTTGGAGGAGAAGTGTAGAGTTGTTGCGGGAAGGGCTCCGCTCGAGGTGCGAGGAGGGCGCAAACTGACCATCCAAGTCCGGGGAAGAGCGATTTCGGAAGCTTGCTATACCGGAGGTCAGTCTCTGAATCAAATTACTGGCGTTTGTAGGAGCATTAGGGTCTTACAAGATCGGGAGACTTGGTTGCGATCTCCTTCTGCGTTCATGCGCATGTCCTTCTGTGCTAGCGAGTCCTTCAAACGCTGAATAGTCGCCTGCATTTCCTCCTCCCGACTGGTCTGTTGTTCCTTCTCTTGGAGCATAGCATTCCGCTCTGCCTCGTGGTTTTGTTCCAGGTCCCGGATCTGACGCCCCTGGTCCCGAATGTCACTGTTCAGAGCCTCGATCCGGCTGTCTCGCTCATGAGCCTGGTCCTCCAACTTGGTTTGTTCACTGATCGCTTCATCGAGGCGCATTTGCAGAACGCCGAGCTGTTTTTGATATTGTTCGGAAGCATTTTCGGCCTTCTGGAGCTGTTCCCGCAGTTCCTCGATGAGGGCGGCATTCTGAGCCCGCGCCTCTTCCTCGGAGGGGTCGTTGGAAACTCGTGGAACGTTTGACATGCTGAGATTTGAACGGCCAGGTTTTCTTGCAGCTGCGCGCGCGGAGACGGGAGTTGAACCTCTTGAGGAGGGGGAGCGGTTGAGACCGTTGGTTGCGCTGGGCGAGCGTGCATGCCCTCGTGTGGTGGACCCGTTGTTGGAGTGCGGATCTGCGGTTGGTGATTTGCTGGAACTGCCGGGAGTTCCAGGCTTTCGAGGTGTTGCTGACATGGTGAAAGGTCCCAAGTCTGACGCTGGTGAATGTATAAGAAAAATAAAACGTATATAGCCCAATATTATACTTCAATTGGGAGAAAAAAAGGAAGATTTCGGGGTTGCAGGTGTAATTAGGAGCGGTCAAAGCCTAGTGGACACCTTGTGGAGAGCGCTTGTATGAGAAGATTGAAGGCCAGGAATGTGGTCGAAAGCTGTCACAGATTGATTGCGTGCCACATGGTTGCTTGAAATTGGAGATTCATCGGAAGCAACGGCCGGATGAAAGTTTGGAATGAGAAAGGAATTGAGAAAAGATGGTTGCAGACCTTCAAATCAAAGTTGTCTAGGGAATGCGGATCCCCTTACTGTATCTAAAAATACGCAACGGTTTTGGGGGCTGGAGCAATACGAGAGAGGACTTGCTGAAAAAGGGAGATGTTCCAAGGAATTTCGCTGAAATAAGGAAGTTGAGCAACTTCCAAGGGTGATTTTATTGTTAAATAACAGTCTGGGGATAACTCCTGTTGATATGGCATGAGCCCATGAAAGAACCAATACAAGCGCATTTAACCCGTTTTGGAAAAGGGATTTAATGCCTCAGGCTTTCTATCGGAATAAGATCTTTCCCTCTCCACACTGAACCCTGTATCCACTTCAATCCAGGCATTCCATCTACTTACATTGTACTCGTTGGGGTTCTTAAGAACTTGAGCCTAACTTGGGCGTCTGATATGCACAAGGCCACGACTTTGAATCTATAATAGTAAGCACGGGCGTGTGGGAGGCCTAACAGGTGATTCAGCTCAATTACAGGGGCTCACCCTAGTGATGAAATCTGGCAATCTAACATAGTGTCCCACACCTACAAACTATGCACTGGAGAAAAGCTAAACTGCTCATTCACGCTACTACTACTACTCCTACTCCGTAACAATCCTCGAGTACTCCACAGATGTATGCAACCCTTGCCAAGACCCTAGGGTATCGTCTCTCGGGCAACCACGTGAGTCAACTTCTTTGTTATCGCGCCCAATAACGTGGGCTGATAATTGCAATGGATAACATCTCAAGTTGGGTACCACTTGCGCCACCAGCAATCGAATGCGCGTGACTCCTAGTATTTACCAACGGACTTCGAGGGGGCGGGCAGCTGGGATAGAAGCGATGGATCGAGCCCTTCGTAGAGAGGTTCTTACCTTTCTGAATTTAAGACTGATCTCAACGGACAAAGCAAACATTGTATGTACATATGTACCTTCCAAGAATTGTTCATACAGAGTTCACAGAAACCAAACAATGTGACCTAGTATCTAGGTCTCAAACCCCCAACCCCTGGAGGTCGGTGGGACCTCACCCGGTCAGTGATCAAGGTGCTTATAAATCCCACCACAGTACGGAGTAACTACTCCGTCCCTAGGTACTCCGTACAGTTACTACATAGTATATTTAACAAATAAAGATGAAAAATACGTCCAGATGTACCCAATCAGCTCTTCCAAGACTAGAGCATATGCAGCAATATCGTTCACCGTAGTCTGTTTAAGCTCATTTTGCCCTGTGTTCTTTTATAGCCGATAACGTTTCCCCCGCTATTAACTGCCAGAATTCTAGGAATTCTGCTTCTAATCAATCTACACTATGAGGTAAGACCCCTCTTTGATTGATTCCCTAGGTAGTTATACTAGAGGATCTCAGTACCCAAGCGTTATAGTAGGGATGTATCTACTCCATACGATTACCGAGATTGTAAGCGGAGAGAGAGAGAGAAGAAGGAGATGTCTTCTCTAGAAACAAATCGAAGATTCCAAGTTCAGCTGTAGCAAATGTATATAAAGGTTCCGATCATATGCTATCAGCATTCCAGGTATTGGGATCAACTCCGGAGTTCGGGATATCCAGAGTTCAGCCACAGTGAGCGTCAACTAGTGTGACATCGACAAGAGTTTTGTTCCAGAGATGATGGCGCTAGATCTGCACAGTTATGTCTCTTGTTTGCTATGTCATTGTTTGTAACTTTCTTCCTAGTTATACCTGAGAAAAGGCCTACCGTTTATGTATCTTTGTAGTGATTCGACACTTTTTTTCGGCTTATCAAGCAGGCTAGAACACGAATCGGAGTATACGTGAAAAGCAAATACTAATAACTGAGACACAGGAGAATCCTCCCTAGCACGGAGTACGGAGTACATCCATCAAAGAGGTGATTGATCAGCACGATAAAGACGGGTGGGCCGAAACTGGATTAGTGGAGAAAGCTTTTAGCCAATGATAAATGGAAACTGCATCCCGGTAGGGGCCTGAGCACTCAGGCATTAATAGGGTTAAGCCCTTTTGCCACAGAGTTGCTTGGAAATCAAGACCCGTGACCTCAGCGAAATCGACCCTCTTTTCTCTCTTCCTTCCCGAACCCTCGACAACCACCGACAACCTATACCCAGTTCGCAGGAAGTGCCATCACCACCCTTCCAGCACTCAAAATGGCCCGTCGTCCCGCGAGATGCTACCGCTACTGCAAGAACAAGGTGTGTACCGATTTCGCGAGCTTTTGAAGATTTGTGCGGGTTATTATGGTGGTGGGGAGTGTGCATCGATACATCGCCAACAACCACCTCGACATGACCGGAATATCACATTTACCACGAGGACTTGTTCTTGTGGCACTCTGTTGGTTTTTGGGGGGATCTTTTTTTTAAAAAAAAAAAAAAAAAAACGTCGGGCAGTTTTCGCTGACATTAGTCTTCAACATCCAGCCCTACCCCAAGTCCCGGTTCAACCGTGGTGTTCCCGACCCTAAGATTCGTATCTTCGATCTTGGTCGTAAGAAGGCCAACGTGGATGACTTCCCCACCTGCATCCACTTGGTTTCCAACGAGTACGAGCAGCTGTCCTCCGAGGCTCTCGAGGCCGCCCGTATTTGCGCCAACAAGTACGTTATCCGACCCGCTCCCTTATCTCTCGCCAGATATCCATGAACATAGTCTCATAACTTTCAATAGGTACCTTGTCAAGATCGCCGGTAAGGAAGGTTTCCACCTGCGCGTCCGTGTGCACCCCTTCCACGTCGTCCGTATCAACAAGATGTTGTCTTGCGCTGGTGCCGATCGTCTGCAGACCGGTATGCGTGGTGCCTTCGGTAAGCCCCAGGGTCTCGTCGCCCGTGTGAACATTGGCCAGATCATTCTGTCCGTCCGCACCCGTGACGCCCACCGTGCTACCGCTCTCGAGGCCCTCCGCCGCTCCCAGTACAAGTTCCCCGGTCGCCAAAAGATCATTGTCTCCAAGAACTGGGGTTTCACCCCCGTCCGCCGCGAGGAGTACCTCCAGCTCCGCGAGGAGGGCAAGCTCCGCCAGGACGGTGCCTACGTTCAGTTCCTCCGTGGTCACGGTACCGTCGAGGAGAACATGAAGCGCTTCCCCGTTGCCTACGAGAACATTGCTTAAATGTTTGATGGGTTGATCAGAATATGAAGTTCAGAACAAAAACATTTGAACGTTCTCTTATTGTCTTTACCTTGTCCCATTCACCTTGATATCAATCTCGTGCAATCGCAATGATGGAGTTCTTCCAGGAGTCTTTTCATTTGCTCGTCTATATTGCACTTGTAGAACTAGTTCATTTGCCTAGGCAGTACTGTAAACTACGTACTCTTTTACTTTCCAGTCCTAGAGTTGGCAGCACTTGAGCTTTTCTGACTATGCACGGATCATGCCGAGGTGCAGTCTTTCGGTGGATATCAACAACTGCCAGCAAGACGAGTAGGAGTCTAGACCCTCCATAGTGGGCTTTGTTCAATGATCAAAGCACAGATGATTTGAATAGGGCTAGAGTATGTATAGGTCACGTTCCCAAGACTACAACACCCACTATATAACATAGTCGTTCAGGCCGCATTATATGTTCCCGAGAGTTTTCATTGCAAGTAAATTATTCTAGAAGCTAATCGTAATCTGAGTGCAAGAAATGAAATACAAAAGTTGATATTAGGCTTAGACATTCAGTATATACATCGTTGCGAGTTCTACATCTACCACTAATACTATAACAGACTAGAGCAAATTTATATCTAGGAATTAAATCAAGATCCATTCATTTATTCAATCTAATATATATATCCATTCTCTCTAAAAAAGAATATGGGAATCAAAGTATATATATAATCTCATTACTGAGGTGCCGACCCACAACGTTCCTTATGCAATTGTCCAGCAACTAAAGGAACATAATTAGCACAAGTCTTGAAACGATTCGAATCTCGCGCCACTCTGATTGAAAAATAAAGAGCGACAAAAATCCAATGGGTGAGGAAAAGATACCTTTCAAGTCTGCCGGGGTACAAGAAACCTCCAAACAGGTACCAAGTGCATCCTTGAACGCTGGGCTTGGGCAAGTGCACTTGTAATCAATAGAGGAGATACAGCCTGCCACAGAAGAAGCTTCGCTGAGACATCGCTTCTGTTCAAAATAAAAAAAGATAATTAGTCTTCTGGGTTTAAATCATATATCCAGATGGGGACAGCATACAAGGCAGGGACTGGCATCATCCAGACAATCAGCGACAGTCAAAGACAGGAAAGCAGCCAACGGGAAGAAGATAGTGAGCTTCATTTTGGATTGTGGGTTGAACGTTGTGTGTGGGAGTATTGTGATAGGGTTGTTCAACGAGGGGAAACTTGAAGTATGAAAGTGGAGGAGTTGATGAACACAGGACGCCCTTGCTCGATTTATGAATAGTCAATATATTTATAGAGTGCTGTTGAAAACGATACATTCTTCATCATATCAGCATCTCAGCATCAACAAACCGGGTGTCTGGGTGATATGTGGAATGGAATTTTGTTGGAATGTGAGCAGCCAGGCTTTCGGAAATGTCAAGAGTACAACTTTAATCGATTGAATAACACGTCTATTTATTACCCAATCGTTACACAATAATATCATGACTTGATTGCATGTCCCGAGCAAAATTTGACACAAAATAGACACGAGCTTGATGTTTGTGTGATCCGCTGGCTACTCAGGAAAGATAATTTTGAAACTACTGCATCTATCTTGAATCACCAGATCATCAGCAGCCTTACTTGGGGAATGAGAATATCATTGAGTGCAGAGCTTCAGTTTAGCTCCATGTGCGAGCGTGTTGCCTAATTACTTGGAATGGCTTCTGACCGACTCCAGTACGGAGTACTGGTACTAGCATTGACATCTGCGGTATAATCTTTTTCCAGGAGTGGAAAAAAAATCCATTTGATTGCTCCATGTCGAGGTAAATTCTGAAGAGATTTCATTCAGATTAATCGCCCGGAGCAAGAAATCGAAAAAAAAGGCGACGCCCGATGGTAGTACTAGGCACATCAAACAACGAACCGTGGGAGTTCACATAGGCTGCTATGTTTCTAGGTAAACTCGCTTGTTGCTGGTAAAGTGTTCAAGATAGAACTCGGCGGAACGGTCATGCCGGACATTTCCAAAGAGGTGTTGGACTTCCAGAACAATTTGCTCTTTCAACAAAGTCGCCATCAACATCCTCGCAAATTAGGGAGATTGACTTACAACAATGACTTTTGAAATGATGTATCACTTCCCAGAGGGGGTGATTCGGGGCTTGACGAGAAGACCATGAAGGCGAGGAAAACCTGGACAGATGCAGCCATCTCAGTAATAGTATGAGAAGCAAGGTATCACGCTCACATACAAGTTCGCAACGTCTGCTGAGCTGAATCATGGAAACACGGCATTTTTGCTGGCTTGCCTATTGAAATAAAGTGGTCGAAGAAGTGAATAATCATGAGGCCAACAATAGTAAACTGAATGCACTCTTCGTAGTCAAGAGAGACGACGCAAACGGGCGCAAGGTCAGCGAAATATAAATATAGACGGGTTCAAAAGAGCTCATGGGTAGCAAGGGTGTAAGAACATTGGGTATAATTGTGGCTACAATCTCTCTCACCAGAGACAAGCATCTATGTTAATATTAATATGAATGGGAGAACGAAGAGGAAGAGGAGCAGAAAGAAGAAGAGATAAAAAGTTATCCAGTGAAAAGTGTCCAAAGATGACCCCTGTAGAATCTGTCTAGAAGAATTTAACCTACATGGCCTCCTTGGACAGTTTTGCAAGTATAGCCCGTAAGAACCTTGGAATAGTCAGCCGCTTATGCGGCCTAATCATGTATTTTTTGATGTCTTCTCAGTGAACCTTTATATATGTATATGGTTTGTTATAGTATCTCACCTCTTGTTAGTTTTGTAGCCAAGGGGTAAAAAGAATCAGCAGCAATATATAGAATATAGCTGTGAAAATATTTTTGTTAGCTTTGGCCAAATGTTGGATCAATAGATTCATACAGCATTCATGCTATTGCCAGTACTTATAGAAAGCTGAAGTATATAAATAATACCCAATGGCCGCTATTCTCGCTATTCCGAATTAGGACCCCGCGAGCAAACATATGGATTTGATTGGTTAGATTTATCTACCGCCTGTTTTTCCGCCTTGATCAAATGTGTATAGAAATCCAATTGACTATTATTTTCTATTATACACCCTTTTTTCTTTCTTTGAATCCCTAAAGCTGGGAATTCTCTGTTGAGCTCATAGAGGTACAAGTTAACACATTTACACCGTTTTCAGGATCTACATACTACAGGGGAGTGGGGTAGATGTTCAGTTTTCTGCCGCGCAGTATTAACTCGCATGGTCAATTTCCTCGTACAGTTCTAGCCCCGCATACGTCACCCTCAAAAATCCCTTTCTCTTCACGTACACAGCTATGAAGCAGAGATTCTCGTCTTTGGACGTCAAGGTATATTTCAATTTATTGTGAAGAAGATATCATACTAATATTACCAGGTCATCACGCAGGAATTGGCGTCGGAGTGTATCAACCTCCGGGTGTCGAACATCTACGACCTGTCCTCGGTACGCTTTATTATCTTCTTGCCACCATCAAAAATTGAAGGATTTCAAGCTCATCTACTGTTCTGACTAGCGTATATTCCTCTTTAAACTCGCCAAGCCAGACCATCGGCGCCAACTCATCGTTGACTCCGGCTTTCGCACTCATATCACCCAATATTCGCGAACCGCGGCAACCACACCTTCGCCATTTGTGACCCGTCTTCGAAAGTACCTGAAGTCTCGTCGGATTACAGGAATTTCCCAAATTGGCACTGACCGCATCATCGACATCTCATTCAGCGATGGCGCATACCACCTCTTCCTCGAATTCTTCGCCGGTGGTAACATTATCTTGACCGACCGCGAGTACAACATTCTTGCTTTCTTCCGCCAGGTTGCTGCCGGTGTGGGTCAGGAAGAGATCAAGGTTGGACTCAAGTACAATGTGTCTAATAAGCAGAACTATGATGGGGTTCCGGATGTCACAGCGGATCGAGTTTTACAAACACTAGAAAAGGCACAGGCGCTTTCTGCGCAAGAGGGGAATGCGCCCAAAAAGTCTAAGAAAAAAGGAGCAGATGTTTTGCGTAAGGCATTATCTCAAGGCTTTCCTGAATATCCCCCCTTGCTACTAGACCACGTCTTTGCGATCAAGGAATTTGATACTACAACGCCACTAGATCAAGTCTTGGGAAGCCAAGATATGCTGCAGACTGTGAAAGAGGTGCTCGAAGAATCGCAACGAATTTCTAACTCCTTTAATTCTGGTGGCAGTCATCCGGGGTACATTGTTGCGAAAGAAGACACACGACCTATCCCGGAAGGAGAGACTTCGTCAAAGGCTCCAAGTCTGTTGTATGAAGACTTCCACCCTTTCAAACCTCGACAGTTCGAAAATAAACCAGGAATGAAGATTCTGGAGTTCGAGCGCTTCAATGCCACGGTTGACGAGTACTTTTCATCTCTTGAATCTCAGCGACTCGAGTCGCGATTGACAGAGCGTGAGGAGGCGGCCAAGAAGAAGCTCGAATCCGTGCGATCAGAGCACCAAAAGCGGATTGATGCACTCAAGAATGTACAAGAGCTTCACATCCGTAAAGCGGATGCTATCCAGGACAATGTTTACCGGGTTCAGGAGGCAATGGATGCTGTCAATGGACTGGTGGCCCAGGGAATGGACTGGGGTGAGATTGCGCGCCTGATTGAGATGGAACAGGATCGCGGAAATCCAGTGGCGCAAACCATCAAGCTGCCCCTCAAACTGTACGAGAACACGGTCACCTTACTTCTTGGGGAGGCCGGCGACGACGAGGATGAAGAGGAGGAGTTTTCTAGCAGCGATGAATCAGACTCTGACTCGGAGAACGAAGCAGAGCAAGCGACAGGCCGCGCGGAACGAGAATCTAAGCTATTGACCATTGACATTGACCTTGGTCTGAGCCCATGGGCGAACGCATCGCAATATTATGACCAGAAGAAGCAGGCCTCAGAGAAGGAGCAGAGGACAACCCAGTCGTCGACGAAGGCACTGAAGAGTCACGAGAAAAAGGTGACAATCGATCTCAAACGAGGCTTAAAGAAAGAAAAGCAAGTGCTTCGACAGGCTCGGACGCCATTCTGGTTCGAAAAGTTTATCTTTTTCATTTCTTCAGAGGGTTACTTGGTTATAGGGTATGTGACCCCATTCAGCGCCTACTCGTGACATCTACTAACATTTATAGTGCACGGGATGCCATGCAAAGCGAATTGCTCTACCGGCGTTATTTGTCCAAGGGCGATATCTTTGTTCACGCTGATCTCGAAGGTGCGACGCCGATCGTGGTGAAGAACCGAGCTGGCAGTGCAGACACCCCAATCTCTCCAAGCACACTATCTCAAGCAGGCAACCTTTGTGTTGCGACTTCAATTGCTTGGGATTCTAAGGCTGTCATGTCTGCTTGGTGGGCGCATGCTCATCAGGTATCGAAAATCGCAGAGAACGGTGGCGGAATCATGCCCACAGGTGTTTTCCAAATTAAGGGAGAGAAGAACTTCTTGGCCCCATCGCAACTGGTGCTTGGATTTGGTATTATGTTCCAAGTCAGCCAGGAAAGTGTTCGGAACCATAAGCAGCGATTTGACACACCTGACGTTCCGCAGGCCGCTTCAACAACTGTAGGTGAGATTGAGGCCTCTGAGCTGAAGGATGCTGCGGAGCCAGAAGCCACCGAAGAAGCCACCGAAGAAGCCACCGAAGAAGCCACCGAAGAAGCCACTGAAGACGCAGAGAAGGAAGACGCAGGATCCGAAGAGGAGGATGAAGATGACAAAGCCGCCGCCATAAACCCTCTTCAGCGAGAGGATTCCGAGCTCCCGATCTCTCAGCCAACTCAACAACTGGAGTCTGAGTCTGAGCTGGAAGAAGAATCGAAGGATGAGCTGGAGCAAAAAGAAGCTACACCAACAACAGATCAAAATTCTGTGCCTAAGCAAAATGAAGAACCGAACTTGAATGCTCGAGAACGACGTACCTTGCGACAAGGCAAGCCTCTTGACCGCCCTGGCGAGGAAGAATCAGCTGCGCCACGCATTGCGCCCACTCGTGGCAAGCGGGCAAAGGACAAGCGTGCTGCTGCCAAGTATGCCCATCAAGACGAGGATGAGCGCGAACTTGCTCTTCGGTTGGTGGGTGCCAACAAGGGCAAAGCCGCAAAGGCAGCCAAAGCAGCTGAAGCCAAGGAACAGCGTGACCGAGAGGCTGAGGCGCAAAGGCAACGGCGACGGGCCCAGCATGAGCGCGCCGCCGAAGCCGAGCGCAAACGCCAGGCCCAGTTCACGGAAAATGGGACGGATGAATACAACGAGGAAATAGCTGCCGCCGAGGCTGCAGATCTCACTTGGATTCCAGCCTTGGTGGGTACACCAACTACTGATGACGAAATAATTGCTGCTATTCCAGTATGTGCTCCGTGGGCTGCCCTTGGACGCTACAAATACAAAGTCAAGCTGCAGCCGGGCTCCGTGAAAAAGGGAAAAGCCGTCAAGGAGATCATTGGTCGGTGGGTGTCCGAGACCACCACCGGGAAGGTCAAGAAGGAGCACGCCGAAGATATCGGGATCTCTCGTGTCGATGCTGAGCGTTTGCGGGAACGGGAGGGAGAGCTCCTCAAGGGCTGGAAGGATACAGAAATTATCAACACTATGGTTGTGGGCAAGGTGCGCATCATGACTGCAGGACCCGGAAGTGGCGGAGGTGGTGATAAGGGCAAGGGCAAAGGTGGGAAGGGTGGTGGTGGAGGCGGAGGTGGCAGAGGTGGTGGTAAGGGTAAGAAGAAGTGATTGAATCTTATGTATACTACATAGAGAGCACATAGATTAGAGCATTGGATTCAATCCAACCAGGGTATCGAAGATGTTCACTAGTGTCAAGCCGATGTATACTCCCTAAGTAAGCCTGATCTCTTTGTTATGCCAGCTCATCAGCCACAACCCCGCTTCGACTAGCTCATTTACACTTATTTCGACCTCATACACTCATGAGTAAGTCCTATTCTTCTAAATCTATTGCTAATAATATCATTTTCGATGTGACGGGGCTGGGGGGTTTCTGACACGCTGAGTCATCCGACGTCATGACCCAAATCGATTTTCTCGCGATCTTCCATATAGGGCCTCTTATCGCTTTTGACGGCATTGTGCAGAATGATAGTTGATTGTGTGCGCTAGAGACGAACTCTGATCCTATGCTTTAGAGAGAAAAAATATTTTGCCCCGTGCAAGCAGAACCTGGCTCCCTTGGGCATCATTTCGCCCCTCATCTAATAGCGTGTGCGCCTGAATGGTGCGTCATTGAGGTCTTCTCAAACACCACGTTGCTTCTCGCTCGCGCTTTTGCCGGCCGCTGTCAGGGCAGTTGTGCCAGATTCTTGACCACGATGTCTACACAAACGCGAGTTGTCTCCGTTGAACGGCTCAGCCAAGGGCCCGGCGATTTGTCTCTGGCAGAATGGTGGGAGAAGGAGCGCAGCCAAAAGTCACCCGAGTCCAAGGCTATTGAAGAAGCTGCCGAACTCCTCCGATCCAGTGATATCCCCGTTGCATTCCCTACCGAGACAGTATATGGCCTCGGAGCCGATGCCACGCGCAGTTCTTCTGTTCAGGGAATCTACCGTGCGAAACAACGGCCCTCGGACAACCCGTTGATTGTTCATGTCGACTCGCTCGACATGCTTGAGCGTTTGCTTAACCCTGGCTCTCAAGGAGGCAGCCCTGGCTCACCTAAAACGCCGCAAAACGCCCTTCCCTCAATCTACAGGCCTCTGATTGACAGATTCTGGCCCGGCGCACTGACAATCATTTTACCTAACCCATCCGGATCCCTACTGGCGCCAGAGGTCACCTCCAGCCTGACCACATTCGGTGTCCGCATCCCCTCTTCTCCACTGGCGCGTCTTCTCATCCACGCAACAGACCGTCCCCTCGCCGCGCCATCTGCAAATGCCTCCACCAAACCATCCCCAACAACCGCGCAGCATGTACACCACGATCTCAAAGGCCGCATCGAGCTGATTCTTGATGGCGGCGCATCCGGCGTTGGCGTCGAAAGCACCGTGGTCGACGGGCTATGCGATCCACCAGCTATTCTGCGCCCCGGTGGTATCGGCATTGAAGAAATCCGGAAATGCGAAGGATGGGAAAATGTAGCAGTCGGTTACAAAGACGGCACGCTGGACGTGAAGGAGGTTCCACGTGCCCCGGGCATGAAGTACCGCCACTATTCGCCCAAAGCGCGGGTTGTTCTTTTCGAACCGACGTCCAATCCAGCCGGAGTGATGAAGCATGTCCGAAAGGACCTGAATGACACAGCCATTGGCGCACACAAAATTGGTATTATCCGCACGCGAAACTGGAAGCTAGGCTTGGAGCTCGCCTCAGAAGATGAAATCGCCAGTACCATGAACCCCGTGTCTTCTGCCATTGACAACATTGTCAGTATCCCAATCCCCGTGCTAGATAATGGAAACCCAAGTAGCCGCACAAAGATGGCGTATGATTACCATCTTGGTTCAGATGCGGTTTCCATCGCGCATGGTCTCTTTGCCGCCCTACGCGGGCTGGATGACCTTGGTGTTGATGTTATCTACGTGGAAGGTGTGTCAGATCGTGAGGGTGACCTGGCTGCGGCTGTTATGAACCGACTACGAAAGGCTGCTGGTGCTGAAATGCGAGTTTAGCCGTGGAGATGGGTTGCGATTACATAGTTATAATCTCTTTGATTCTCTAGGTCCGGGGGGTTTTTCGGGGTTTAGATAGAGGCTTGAAAAGTGTGAATATTAGATCAAACATATTTTTTTTACATACAATATTGTCTATCATTCACGTTGTGTGTGAGTTCACAGATGGGTTGCGATTGGAGTCTTCTCTTGGACTTGCCTGTTTGGTAGATCCTTTTCGACTTCATTCGACGTGGAATTCGGAGACCTCCGGAGCAAAAGCTTATCGACTAATTTTATTTATTTTGGGATTTAAAGTGATAGACAGCTCTAGGGCTGTGTCATGGAAATAAATATGATAATCTGAGACACCGGCGGGGGAAAAGGGAAACTCGTCCGGCGCTTATATCTCCCGCATTGATCTAGAAAATCATCACATCCGAAGAATATTACTCTCTGAAAATTGCAATAATGTGCCAATCTCCTTTGCATGAGTTCCTCCAGGGCCTCCCTAAATGTGAGCATCATGTCCATTTAGAGGGCACCCTTGAGCCAGAACTCATCTTCGAGCTCGCGGCGCGCAATGGTATCACCTTACCGACCGACCCAGTCTATACCTCAGTCGAGACACTCAAGAAACGCTATGAGCATTTCAGTAACCTGGATGACTTCCTACACTTTTTCTTCGAGGGCATGGCTGTCCTCCGCAAGGAACAAGACTTCACCGACGTAGCCTGGGCATACTTCCAAAAGGCGCACGCAGACGGAGTCCACCACGCAGAAGTCTTCTTCGACCCACAAGTACACGCAAGCCGTGGTGTATCATATGACACCATCGTCACAGGGTTCTCAAAAGGGTGCAAGCGTGCCGAGACCGAGCTCGGCCTGAGCACACGACTAATCCTATGCTTCGTGCGGCATCTCCCCGTCTCATCGGCCAAGGAAGTCTACGACGAGTTCGTGGCACACCAGCACTTTGAGTCTGACATTGTGCACGGGCTCGGGTGGTCGTCTTCTGAAGTTGGCCCGCCGAAAGACATGTTTCGCGAGATCTATGCGTCAGCCGCACAGAAGAAAATCCCGCTCACAGCGCATGCTGGCGAGGAGGGTGATCCAACTTATATCAGTACTGCGCTTGAGCTTGGTGCCCAGCGCATTGATCATGGCATTCGGCTGGTTGAAGACGAGGATTTGATGCGGCGTGTGGCGCGTGAGAGTATCCTGCTTACTGTTTGTCCGTTGTCGAATGTGCGGCTGCGCTGTGTCACCTCTGTGAAAGAGTTGCCTATTCGGCGGTTCTTGGAGGCTGGTGTCAAGTTCTCGATTAATAGTGATGACCCTGCTTATTTCGGTGGTTATATTCTTGATAACTACTGTGCTGTGCAGGAGGCTTTCAACCTGAGTGTGCTGGAGTGGAGGATCGTTGCAGAGAATAGTGTCCAGGAGAGCTGGGTTGAAGATTCGCGCAAGGCAGAAATGCTAGCAAGTATTGAGGCGCATTCCAAGAAGTATATGCACACTATTTCTGTATAAATTCCAATTTTTTGGTGTTTGTATTGGCCCAGGGGGTTTTGTTTGAGTTGCGGCTGTGGTGGGCGTGAGCGGTGGGTGCATCTGTGTTTCAACATTTTTGTATACTATTTTTCAACTGAAGTATATACCCGGAGCAAGACATGTTAAATATTCGTTTGTATCACTTCTCGATCAATAAAGTACCTTGGAAGACATCTGAAGCTTGGAGGGCATAGTTTATATCACTAATGCCTTGTAAATCAGGCTGCATTAGGATCCGTGTTAAGACAACTCCTCACTTGTGCACTTGATGTCTGACAGCCAGCCCTACTACACGAAATATTTCATGCCACAAAGCATCTTTCGTAGTACTTGGAGCCTCAGGGGGTCTACTTTCCGGCTCCATCCACGATCCCAGATACCCTATATTCTGCGTCTAGCATCGTCCTTCGCATTCAACCCAAGAACAAATCCTCAGCAAAGCGCAGGAGTACTTAATCTATCCGAACGAAGCCACAGACCAAACTCCACCTACCCAAGGTACAAAATGTCTACCTCCGCCCTTCCAGACCGCTACAAGCTCATCTTCTTCGTCCCAACTGCCAACGTGGAGCACTGTAAAGAAGCTATATTCGCCACAGGCGCAGGGTCATTCCCAGGTGGAAAGTATACCAAATGTTGTTTTCAGACTGTTGGCACAGGTCAGTTTCTGCCCAACGAGGGCGCAGATCCGGCGGTCGGAGCTGTCGGTGCTTTGGAACGGTGCGAGGAGGTCAAGGTTGAGGTTATGTGTCTTGGCCGGGACGTGATGCTGAATGCAGTCGATGCTTTGGTCTTGGCACATCCGTATGAGGAGGTTGCTTATGAAGTTTATAAGATGGAGAATGTTTAGTTGGTTGACCGAATATGTGGTTGATGGGATGTTGCGCAATATGGTGATACAATTGGGGCGGAAGTCATCATGTTCTGAAGTTGCCAGACTCCTACAATATATCCCAAGGAATCCCAGGCTTGAGAAAACAATTTGAGAGTATCATCGTCTGGAAATATGAATGTTGTGTTGATTGCGCTGAAGGGCAACTGTATGATAGCGGATTGGTAAGGCGGTAGTAATCCCTGGATGCTGATTTGGCAAGGGCCCGCCCCGAGTAAAACGCCTCGTCAACTCGACTTCTCCTCCAACATCCAACCTCATCTACCCCCAATTGACCCTCACTCATCGCCCGCGATGGCCTCTAAACTCTTCTCAGTCCCGCGGGTCGGCCGCCAGTTTGTGAACCAGCTCCCTAAATCCCAATACAGAGCCTTCTCCGCCGGTTCGCAACGGTTCAGCGACTCCCTTTCGGTGGTGCGTATTCCTTTCGACCCCTCTTGTGCTTCAGGCGCCAATTGCATCTCAAGATTGAGGAATTCAAGACTCATATACTAACTATGATTGTCTCCAACAGCACCGCAACACACCCTACAACAACCCGACCATCCCGTTCAAGTTTTCCGAGCAGAATCTCACACTCGCCGATGAGATCCTCAAGCGTTACCCTCCCCAGTACAAAAAGGCTGCTGTTATGCCCCTGCTTGACCTTGGTCAGCGCCAACACGGATTCACCAGCATCAGCGTCATGAATGAGGTCGCTCGCATGCTCGAGATGCCCCCGATGCGCGTTTATGAGGTTGCGACCTTCTACACCATGTACAACCGCGAGCCTGTTGGCAAGTACTTTGTGCAGATTTGCACCACTGTAAGCACCTAAAATCAACACCATTCGCTGTTCCTCCTAATCCGCAATCATCCAGACTCCATGCCAGCTCGGCGGCTGCGGTAGTACCGCCATTGTCAAGGCTATTACCGAACACCTCGGAATCACCCCCGGCCACACCACCGAGGATGGCCTCTTCACATACATCGAAGTAGAATGCCTGGGCGCTTGTGTCAACGCCCCTATGGTCCAAATCAACGACGACTACTACGAGGACCTGACCCCGGAGTCCATCAAGACCCTCCTGACAGCCCTCAAGGACGCTGCCACCGCTACCGGTGCTGGCGCCGCCACCAAGATTCCCGCTCCCGGCCCGCTGAGTGGACGCAATACCTGCGAGAACAGCGCCGGCCTAACCAACCTGACTCACGTGCCAGAGTGGAACCCGGAAACGATGATGCGCAAGGACAATGCACTGGATGCCGCACCCAAGCAATAGAAAAACACAAAGAAGATAAATTATTAAAAAGAGCTCTTCATTGCCGTGGGTCAATTCCGGATGGGGAGGATATTATAATGGTTGTGTTTTTTTTTCGAACGGACGAGCAAAAGCCGCCTTGGGGCACGGCGGTCAACCCGGGGGATGATTAGAGGCCACCCGGCCCTTCGCCCTGAGGCGCCCTGAATGATAACCACTCTTGAGGCGTCCGATTTTTTTTGTCTGTCTACAACATACCATGTACAGTACGTTTGTTCCTGCTTCTTATTGGTGTGATCGGAGCCCGGATGCATATCCGGCCCAGTCGCTATGGGATATCGGCAGGACCAATCGCAGATTTTTTTTCCATTTTCTTCCTTCTCTTAGCCTGCTGTTGAGTTTGTAGATATGTGAGTGCACTGGACAAGAAAGTACTTGTTTTTGCTAGTTGTACGGAGTAGGGGGGAAGTGTATTGCATTGCATCGTATCACATTGAGATATCCACTTCGACACTATCTGCTGACCAAGTAAGGGCTATATGTACCTGGTTAACTATATACATCCTAGACTTACCCAAGATTGATACTGAAGATGAGTGTCTCAATCTCTCCAATTTCCATGTGGTCCTCAAATCTAAACAGACATGGCTGTGCCGCCTATGTCTTGCCAACATAAAGCGAATAGATTGGATAGGGGGAAGCCTATGCCTTTTTTGCCAATCTTTTTGATGTTCTTCTTAGATATTTTCTTCTACTTCTCAATTTTATAACTAATCGTGAGTATACTACTTCATATATATCATACATGTTCAGTATCCGGCGGAAACGCAGCTTCAAATCATCGGACTCTGTCTGGTACTCAGCATAGGCACGTAGCACGTGGTACGAAGACTTATAGGACTCAGGCTTCAAAACTCCTTTTGGGGATGATTTTTGTGCCTGAATGCCTGACTTTAGAACGTCAGAAAAATATAATAACTACCTGAATCTCTACCTATTACAAAAGCCTTAGTAATCATAGTACCCTTAACTATTCTCTTATGGGTTACAAGTGTCAAAAATAAAGCTTTCCATCTCCATACAAATGGACATATCTCTATATTTTTGGAAGATTCGCAAGTGAAAATATGGAGATACGTCCATTTGTATGGAGATAAAAAGCTTCGCTTTTGACATCTGTGGTATTAATAAATTTACCATACACCGTATAGAGCAGTGTTAAAAGCGGTGCTAGATAACACACTCATCAATTCCCCCACCCCCAAAAGGGATTTTGAAGCCTGAATCCTATAAGTCTTCACACACGTGGTCTTGGGGCCATAGCGTTTTGACTTCCGCAATGACCTTGATGGCAGCACCATCATCCATTATGACTATATCTGGAACTTTTGTATATGGCTTTCTCTCAACTGACCTAGCCGCTCTAAAGTCGGCAGCTCGTAGGTGATGGCCTTTGGCCTGGAGGCATGTAGTGACTGCCCGGGAAAGTCGTTCATTTAATCTGCCCTGTAACCTGGTTTCATCTGCAACTACTAGTTGCTCCTGAGAAATGGATGTGTGGGAGCCTGGGCCAGCAAAGTCCTAGATGGGTAATGTGTGTCATTTTTAGTCGCGTTTGTTTGTTATACTGTCTAAAAGGCGAGAAGGGGGTAGAATGAGAATAGATACTCCGGGTTAAGAAGCTTAATACTAAGCTTCTTAGTGATATAGAGCAAATTGACCTTCAAAAATAAAAAAAATGAAGCGGTATATTCAGCGGAGTATAGATACAAATACGCTTTTGTCTCAAGAGGTTGATATTTTGAAGGCCGAGTTAAAGAAGGCTTGTACTAACAGTTCAAGTGCAAATACTCTAAGGAATAGGAGATCGCTTCTTGGATCTAGAGGCAATATCCTTTTACCACTTTGCGCTAACCGGCAGATAGTAAAAAGGCAGGATACTGATTCTAAAAAGCTGAAGCGCCTACAGGCAAAGTATACCAAGGATTTAGAAGCTCAACAACGCGCTCAGGAAGCAAGGGATTTAGTTGAGACTGAGCATAAAGCTTCAATAGTAGCTAGGTTTGGTGAGGGTACAAATTGGTATAGAGATACCACTGGTGGTTACCTGTAAATATTGATTTCAATACAATTGATGGTGGAAAAATTATCGTTAAGTGGGAATTATCGTTGAGTGGGGCGCACCAACACAGTGAAAGTGTGTTGGGGCGCTTGGCACGACTATCAAGCTTGCCTGATTGTAAGATGATTTTACGAATAGAGTAGAAGCAGCGCGGTCGGAATTGTTCCTATCGGATTGAGAAACGGGTAGAATCGAGAGTAGAGTGTGGTAAAGTGTGGAGAGGACAGTGTAGACAAGTGGATCAGGAGAAATGAGGAGAAAAGAAGAGAATGAAAGGAGAGAGGAGTGTAGAGTACCGAAGAATTAGTGTAAACCTGCTTGGTGTGTTTTGTAGAAAGGATTGTATATATCCATAGTACATATAGCATACTAGTACTCACATATGTATGTATACCTACATGTAGGTATACTATACTACTAGCACATGTGTATTTTGTATAGATTTGTATAGATTTGTATTGGTTTTTAATCACACAAGGTCAACCTTGCTGTCGACCGGCGAATTGAAAAATTGAACAAAAAAAAGTACATGACTGACATGCCTAAATGCCCATGTCAGTCATGGCGACCGGCGAATAAAAAATTGAACCGCATCAATGGCACCATCTTCAGCCAACTGATTCCGGTAGCTCCTCTCCTTCATATGCAATATCATCTGGCAAAACCTCTTTCTCTGGTACCAGAACTGGAACACCTTGACGCTCAACAAGTTTTCTCGATTGAG